CCCCCCCCCCCCCCTCCTCTTCCTCCCTGAGAAACAAATTGTAATTGTAACCATAAAATCATCATGCTTTCCTACCGTCCATCTCTGATCCCCCCTATTCCATCGCTCGCCGGTGTGGTTTGCGTCTACCGTGACCCGGGTATCAAGTCCTCGGCGGCCTAAAGGACAAAGGATGTCGAGCGGCGGACACCGAGGATTTGAACAAAAGACAGGCCAAGCTGCTCAATGTTGTTCATGTCTAAGCTGTACATGGGTTTCGAACGTTGCGGACGGGGCGGAATGCTTTTATCTAGACATGAAAGACGACGGTGTGTTTGTGGTGAAACTTGGAAGATGAAAATGTTGTGATGAAGGTACGTATATGGGTATTGGATGTTTGGGGCTGGAAGGATTTTGTTGCGAATATGGGGCAGCCCGATCATGTCAGAAGGAGCAGTAGTAGCTGGCGCAAGGAAGTTTTGGACTTTTGAACTTTTTTTACTTGTTGATTGTCTATGTGACATGGAAAGAGAAACGTGGGACTCGAACTGACTTATTTGACAGATTCCATCTCGGGACCTCCACCTGCCAGATCTCTAGCAATCATCATTTCTGACTTGGAGAGTCCTAGGTTACCTGCATACTCGCCAAACGTGACGACAATTTCATGCAAGCCATCACGCAAGACTGCCAGCAATTCTTCAACCTCTGCGACTTGACGGTTGCCGTTGAAATACCTGTCCGTCCAGTGAGGCGGCAAGTTTTGGACGAAGAATTGAATCTGTTGAGTTGTGATGATAAGAGTGCGCACAATGGTTGAAATGTCCTTCTGCACCTGTCCGAGGTTGTCTTCCTTCAGACTCGACACGGCAAGACCACAAATAGCACGAACAGCGTTGGTAAGAATGGCGCCGGTACTAAAAGGCACTCCAAATACGACAGCGTTCACGCGACGGGCAAAAGGCTGACGGAAGGGCATGCCGAGAGGTGTGCCGATGAACCAAGAAATCAAGCCATTGGCATTATTGACCATACCAGCGCGACCCAGCTGTTCCTGCTGTTCCTTGGTCAAGATGCGATCGGCACCATACCCGAGCAGTTTCTGTGCTCGGGGACTGATGGGATTTGTCGCACCGTGAGATTGGCCGTATGACCTGGCGACTAAGCCGACAGAATTTTCGAAAGCCTGCAGACCAGTCGAGGGCGGGGCCGGTGCTCTGAAGATAGCGTCCTCTTTGACGGGCCGCGAGGAGATTTTTGGGAGGGTTTGAAGTGGCTTTGGGGGTTGCTCGGGCGTATGAGCAACGGCACCCTGCGAGTCCTGAATACGCTGAATGACGGATTGAATTTCAACCAGACAGATGCCGGAAACCTGAGACCAGGTAGAACCACCTTTTCTATCGAGCTCACCGAACAGAGTCTTCCTGCGAGCATCGAACTTTTGTGTGATCATGGCCAGCTCCCAAAAGGCCATGGTCTTAGGAATCTCCTTCTTCGCCTTCAACCCAGCAATCAAGCTACCGTTTGGATCCTTTGAATCGGCAGTCAGAGGCTTGTCCTTCTTGACAGGTTCTTGGGCGGTGTAGATGGTAAAGGCGCGGTTGGAAAGCTCCCATAAGGCGACCAGAAGCGTTGAAGACCAGACAAAGCGAGCAATGAGAGACATTGGGTCGGTGAGACCAGCGGGTCTGGTAGACTTAGGCAGGAAGAACAGGGTACGTCCAACCTTGAAGGCTAGGGCCCAGGCAAGGTTTCTCCAGACTGCAAAGTAGACGAAAGGACCGAACAAGCAGGTTAAGCTGACGAGCTTTGCGGTGTGGGCGACAATATTCTGGAGCTCATTCTTCAACTGCACGACAGGCGAGTCCTTGGAAGGAGACTGCGGTAGACGAATCAAGTCGTAGTCCTTGTAAAGATGAATAGCGGATTGGGCCAGGGCGAGGAAAAGGAACTGAGAGCGAAGGAGGATGGGACGCTCATTCAACTTTGGACGTTCGTATGATCTAAGAAAGTCAGAAGGTGGACCGAAGCACAGATTGAGAGTCGACGCACCTGCCAGGATCAATCCATGCAAGATTGGCATTCTTTGCTGTGGTGAAAATGTAGAGTTCTGAAAAGACAAAGGCCGAGAGAGAGTACCAGAAGCAAGTCAGGAAGGTGTTCTTGGATAGAACAAAGTTCCAGAAGGACTCAAAGGTCGAGATTGTTGTTCGTGGGCCAAAGTGGAGTTGAGCGACTCGGAGGACAAAGATGGAGAGTGACGAGATGAAGAGGAAGAGGGCGCGGACACCAGCAGGACCGAGAGGGAACCAGGACCAGAAGAGGCCAGAACTAGCCATGGGGATGGAAGCGAGCCAGCATGCTGCAAGACCGATCAGAGCAGCACTGGTAAACCTCCGGTGCAGAGAAGGAGTGAGGAAGTCGCGGTATGGGCGAGGCAAGGGCGCCGCCTTGACGGGAGCTGGGGGGTTCATGCCAGCTGACACCATCTACAAGAGTGTTGATGAAGCTCCAAGCAGAACAAAACACGAAAGTAGAAGCTGCCGACGCGCCAAGCAAACAGCGTTGCGACCAAAGACGTCACCCTCCCGCAGCCCGCAGGTCGCTCCTTCCAAGCTCCAACTCCCTCTCCGCATTCGATTGCGACCACGCACGAGGCCAAGGCTTCTGTATTCACTCCGGGCACCAACTCTGTACTATACGCCAGCGCGTAACCCTCGTTCAAACGACTCGATAGACTTGGACATAGACAGCCATGTCATTCCAAGACTCGCCTACCCTCGAAGGCAAGACCGCGCCGCCAGCTTCCCAATCGCTTGCCTAGTCTGACACACTGATAGCCCAACCTACCACATGGCGCCGCTCAGACGACCCCGAGTACCAGGATGATCCTGAGTTCAACGCCTTTACCACAGACCTTTCCGATCGCCTGTTCTCCCTGACCGCCAATATCTCGCGCCTGTCCAGCCAAGTCGCTCTCCTCGGTACCAAACGCGAAACGGATCGCGTTCGCGAACGAGTCCAGGATCTGCTAGAAGAGACATCGGCCAGTTTCAAGGATATCGGTGATGGCCTGAAGAAGGTCCAAGCATGGCACGACTTGGGCGTATGTCGACTTCCATCCCATCGTATCGTTCCGCCGGCTAACGCTATCACAGCCTGCGCAAAAGTACACCCAGGGTAAACTGAACCAGGAATTCAAGGCTTCTTTGACCGAGTTCCAACATTTGCAACGGGACGCTCTTGATAAGCAACGCGCCTCTGCCAACGCTGCCCGCACCGCTCTCGAGGAATCTGGCTCACCAACTGTTGAGCGCTCTCAACAGCAACTACAACAGCAGCAACAGGAACAGCTACGCTTGGCCGACCAGTCAGAAGTCGACTTCCAAGAATCCTTGATCATCGAGCGCGAGGCCGAGATTCGCAACATCGAGCAATCCGTGGGCGAACTCAACGAGTTGTTCAGAGATGTCGCTCACATGGTCCACGACCAGGGTGGCCAACTTGACATTATTAGCAATAACGTCACGAGCACCAGAGACGACACACAGGGTGCCGACCGCGAACTGCGTACCGCCAGCAGACATCAGAAGAATGCCAGGAACAAGATGTGCTGTTTGCTGCTGATCTTGGCCGTCATTCTGACTGTCGTCATTGTTGCAGCTGTTGCTGGTTAGATGGGCTGCTACACTCTAGACCTGTCTATCTCTCGCTTCGACCACATCCCCCAATCGCTCGCCCTTTTCTTTTGTGCGCACTCCCGATCTTTGGTATACCCCTTCCTCTTGTTCTAGTCTCTTGGTCAATGTATATACAAACACAGCAAACACATTTTCCGTCGCCGGAACCATCATTTCCCGATTACCCCCACTCGTACATCTTCTTACCTGTTCGTGTGCCTCAAAACCATATCACTGTATCAAGGAAGCAGTATCCGAGATTCTTGCATCGACCTTCCCTTTTGTGTGCGTTTAGCTCCCACAAAAACCTTGGCCTCCACAATCGAGTGGAAAAGACGAACCCTCGAGCCGGGATGCAACGTCGTATCTACCTCTTCAGACTTTCAAGCTTGTCCATTCGCCATGAACTATCGCACGTGTCTGTTCGTCCAAGCGTTTTCCTGCAATGACATCTTTTTTCTGTCTACCGGCCGAATCGCATCTTTCCCTTTGATTCTTCATGCAAGATCCCAAAGCTTGTAGAAACCAGCACGGAGTAATTATATGCGACCTCGGCAGTTCTCCTCTACTAATCTCATGGTCGGTGCTGGTGTTTATGTGGAGGTTTTTTTCCTCTTTGAAACTTGAGGCTCTGCTCCTTCCTTTGCTTTCTGCTCTTTTTTTTGGTGCGACGTGTGACTTGTTTGCCATGACCTCCAATGATATTGCTTTCGGAGGGTGTAGAGGGTTTCGGAAGATGGGCTTTTGTGCCCTCTTGTGGTTTAGATGCTGTGACTTGAAACATAGGGTTGAGGCTCTCAATTCGGGTAGATGTTCAAGTGCCTTTTGGAGCGCGAGAAGATTTTGTGTTTCGATTTACGAGCATCTAGACTTTTTTTTGTGCCATGACAAGTCTAAGCTTTTTTACAATGTAAGAAAGAAGAGATGTCGAAAAAGGAAAATGGTCTGTTACGAGCTACTTCGTCCGAGGAACGTGGGTTAACCTTACTTTCTGTTGCATGGAGTGAACAGCCGTTCTTGATTTTACTGGAGGATGGCGGAGTAGCGGCGGAGCTGGCTCCACCTGATGGTTCTCAAGAAGGGCCTTTCTTCTGCTTTGCCGTGGTATCATCCCGCTTTCTTGACGTGCGGCAGGGTAAGGTCTGAGGGAAGACAAGAGATGGTCAGCATACTTCTAAACACTTTGATCTGGTAGATATCAGCTTGAAAGTCTATGTGGCTTTGCGGGAACACATTGGTGTCATGGAGCATGGTACATCTGTATCTTGGATTCGCCATGTCACGACATCCGAGTGCCTTATCGTGTTGGCGTGTAACGGGGCAAGTGCCGTTGACCACACCTGACATGTCTTGAGGCAAGTGCCGTCCACCGTCTACACGTATGGTCTTGTGGGATGCGTAGCTCGAGTACAGTGTCTCGAAGAGTGATGGCCGCGTAGACGTCTGATCCACAGAGCGTACATATGGTCCGAAAACTTGAGTAGGGCATGTCAGGGTAGGTGGTCTAGATCCCATAGTCGCTTGCTGTCGTTGATATCAGACTTGAAAGATGTGTGGTTGGAGGATATTGATGTCTGCCAGATAGGTAGTGTATAGTGTGTTCGCTTTGCCTACTCGACCATCTCAGCTGATGTCAATATCGTCTATCGGGCAGCGTATCAAGTATTCGTAATGCTTGCTCTCAATGCTTAGTATGCTCTCTCGCTCTTCTCACCGAGAGTCGGTATACAGGGCGAAGAGCAGCAAGCATACGACGCTCCTGTCTTACTCATCGGCGAATCATACAGCTTACCAACTCGCCAGATGTAACATAGCCAACTACTCTATCGACTGCCGACAGGTAAGACAGACCAAGAAAACCTGGTATAAACTTCTGACAGCGTGAAAGTGGTCTTCAACTATGCTCCACTCGTGTCCTTCTATCAGACAAACTATATTCATACCCCTGCTGTACTATTACTCTAAACTTTTGATCAGCGGGATGCGATAACACCTACTACTCACACCTTGCAAGGCAGGCAACTGTGCTCGTGACCCATACCAAACGCTTTCACCGCTTATCATTCTCGTTCAAGAGTGATAGACGTGGCGAATGATTCATGAAGCGAGGTCTTGATTGAGACACATCGGGAATAGAGGGGCTCGTCAACACATACCCGCTTTGCTAAGCAGTCACCGCCCGCCAATGTATTCGAAACAGTGCTGAACGCAACAACGTTTGGCAGACGGCACGCACGCCTCCCCCTCACCTCAATGGACGGTCCAAAGTCCAGCTCACCGCCCGGGTGAAGTCGAACAAGCAGGATCACGTTCCAAATGTAGCCACGTTTTTCGTACTGTACCCACTTGCATGCAGAGTCCTGTACTTCGAGACAGTGCATTATTCAGACCCCCGAGAAAGCCCGACAGACGGGTTTCTTAGTTCGCGTTGTTTGTTGCAGCATCATGAGCGCGTTTGGGCAAGTTGGCTGTTTCGTGGTTGACGCGATGTACGAGCCTCAGATCCCGAGGTTGCATATCATTTGCAAGGGTGGATAGGAATGCAATGGTCATTCTGCCTCTGTCGTCGATCGAAAGCTATTTAGTAGATGTTATGCTTGGCTAAGCGAATGACAGAAGAGATGCGTGTCTGGCGATGCTGCAGCGCTATCGTCCCGTCATGCATATCATCTCGTGTTTCTGCTCAATGTACATGTCGGCTGTGCGCCTCTTTCTCGGGAAGCACTCTCGCGTGTTCTTCAAGTCGTCCCAAACTGCAGGTTGCATTTCTGCAGCATGTATGCGTCTCGCCAGGCTGTATATTTGCATACATACGGCTTCATGTCTGCGTCTCGGATACGCGTCTCAGCATGTCCTCTTTCACGGTGTATTTACGGACTCATGGAGTAAGGGCTGCGTGGTATCGCTGATTGGTCGGCGGTTGGTGTGGCTATTGCGGGTATTGCGGACTTTTAAAAGAAGCACCGAGTGGTAATAGATAAAGTCCCAATGAATGGCGAGAATGAAAAACAGAAACGACAAACGTGAAGAGAGTGGCCACGCATGGATGCTCGCAAAATGGAAAAACGAAAGGATATATCGGTGTAGAGGAGATTGATAGCCTAGGAGTCATGATTCGTCACAGACCGTACCAGCGTTTGTTTTGGCTTGCAGAATTGCTTCCTTGCCGCTTCTTTGCCGTTGTCAGAGATGCCATTAGTGAGCATGACCGCAGCAGAGTAGTGACGGTACCAAGAAGACACTGTTCGCGATAGATGAGGTGTCAAGCCCCAAGCATCTGAACGAGGCGTCTGCGTCTACAGGCATCTAGATTCGTACACCGACGTACATCTATCTCTGGCCTCGGTTCGCACGGAAGTTTCGAAGTAAGCCCTCAATCTGTTTTGATATGTTGAATCATCAACCGAGGAATTCATGTCTGCAGCGACGTCAACAGAGCGACCAGCATGCAATCGAATCAGAATATATTGACAAGTGACCGCAGACGATGACGGTGGCTGCAGGTGTTGGGGAGAAGGGTGGAAATTTGGGAAGCCACCCCGGATGAAGCCTCCATTCTCGCTTGTTGCAACTATAAACGGACGCCAGAAGATTCATGGAACAGGGATGGAAGCTTTTGCGATTCGAAAAGTCCTTCTAGACCAAAAGCCAATTTCCTGGACCGAGATGAGTCAAGGAGCAAAATCTCTTCGACATATTGGACGGTGATGTCAACTTGTCAAGTGGTTGAGCCTTGTGGCTGGACTCAATACTAGGTAATCAGGCGTTTCTACGAGTACTGTACTATTCTGACCAGGCTTCCGTAGGGCTTTGTGTCGTGTTCTAGTCAATTTCCTCTTTTCGCCTTGGCCCCAGCTCCTTGCTGTTGGTCGAGGCGCTCGGTCGCGTGCCTGAGGTGCAACACGACGGAAATTCTGCTTTGGGGCAAGCTGAATATCTAACACCGGAGAACCAGTTTCTGCGGTGCCGAAACCAGTTCCGTTTGCCACATTCGCGAGTGATATCCGAAGCATGGCACCTGGTTTGAAACGTACCGAAAGGCGGTCAAACACGCTTTGACATTCCTGATATCTCTGCTGGTGTCCGTCGCGTTGCCACGACTCGTACTTCCCGGATTTCGGACGAACTGCCAAGGTAGGCCACGTGGGTGCCATGTGGAAAGCTCGCAACATGCAAGCCACATGCGTGGTAGGCCGCTCTGAGAACTAGCGTTCCAATCTCGCTTTCGTCTTACTTTCATTCTAGAGTCGGCCTGGTAGCTTATTGCCATGACTCTGAGGACTATACTGAGCAGTAAGACGACTCAGTAGTAACGGGCATAGTATGATCAAGTCATCCCCATGAATAGTGACAGACATATCGTTTCTGATTGGCGCCCACGCGCCGATCCAGACTGGGGTCAAGGTACGGGGCTTGTTCGGAGGTTTCTACGCCTACACGTTCGAAACATGTGAATGCGAAGTGTTGGTTGCATACGTACGATCAGTGGTGGGTTGAGAACGAACTCTTGCCTTACTGGGTAACCATTCTGGGTTCCTGCTTTACCCGCAGCCGGAACTGCATCCGTGGGTCTCCTAGGAGATGTCTGCACATCATGAATGTGGTTGGCAACGGTCAGCCGATGGACTTGGCCGAGGGGTCCGAGGCCAGGAGTCAATGCAGATCTGAGTGTGATTGGTCAAGCACCAAACCGTCACCGAGGGGCTACCAGAATATTGCCAGCAAATGCAAATTTTGGCTTCTCGCTCTATGCTAAAGAGCGGCATTTAGGCGTTGGCCGAAGACCAGCGCGAAGAGGGCTATGCGTGAGAATGTGCGGTAGTCGCACAACAGAAATTACATCAGGATAGTATCTGCGTCAGCATCGTCGAGAACTCAGCCACGGTTGTAAAACGCTTGAGGATGGTGCAGGACTCAGATTCAGATCTCTTGGTGACGAAAAGGACAAATTGCAGACGCAGATCTCCGCCTGTCAACCGTGTGATCTTCACGGAACGACCAAACATTTGGATTTATCCCCGTCGCACGGCATCAGTGCTGCGAACTTGCAGCTGCACGGTGTAAAACAATAGCCAGCATCCGAAAGAGGCGTGTAGAAAGGAGAGCCATGCACTGATGGTTGCAACGAGCCCTGAACGAAGACATGCAAGAATGGCTGTTTTTTCAGTACCCTGGTCGATGAACGTGTGCAAATCTGGGCAGAGCTCTCCCCACCCTTCACAGCTTCACGGCTGTCACGCTCCTGACCGCCGGATGACTGGTCACATTCCTGTCCTGTTGTCAACGACTTGGCCGTCGGCCTCGGCTTCTATCTGCGTACATACACTTTCGGCATCGCGCTTACGCTTTCATCTCTGTCTACCGGCAGTGCCACATGGTCGCGATCTACTCAAACTCTGTTGCTCGAATTGCAATGCGCAAATCTGTACGACATCCACAAGTCTACACCCGTCAGCAAAGACATCATGACTTACAAGTATTTCCCTGAGGTAAAGTATGGATCAAAAAAACTAAGCTTAGATGCGCCTTATGAGCCCGTCATACTATTTCCATACCCGCGATATTGGATGGCGCATAGGGCATCGCTACGAGTCGGACGTTTATGCCAGCAGTTGGATAGCATAGCATGGCATGGCATGGCATATACGAGTGTGGTGAAAAAGTCTGGGTGGTCACGAAAATATCTCATCAAGATGTGAGAGGCAAATCTAAAGCAAGGAGCATCTCTGAACCAACAGTCGTTGATCTTGGTAAAGATTGGTACCCCTAATTCAGGTAACCACAAAGAAACGAATGTACATGTGTACTTTCGACCTTCGTACTGCTGGAAACCGTTCTTCTCCTGGTACAATCGTGATCCACACGTGTCGTTGATCGTGCGGCTGCAAGGACGATGGGTCTGTTTGCCTATTGGATCAGTCTCTTGTCTAAGGAACCAATACGGGCGTAGAATGTTAGCGCATCTGTCGAGTCAGTCAAGACTGGCGCTGGAGACTGGATTGAGATGGGAAAGGATAGCAAAGCGGAGCAGTTCCGAGAGGTTGTTGCCTCTATCTTGGCAGTCATTTCACTACGGATCGGAGACTGTGGCTTCTTATAGGCGAGGAGATGGCTTGCAGAGCACAGGAATGTGTTGAGAAGAGGATGAAAGGCGTCTCATGCTGATGATACGCGGCGCATGAAACCAGGGAAGCAGGCAACTCTACGTAACAGACAAAGATCCCTGCCCAGACGGGCCAAAAAAGACAGGATTCTTGATCGACGGCTGCGACACGCTAACCGACACGTGCGTGTGGGAACCTTTTTCTCACACGAATCAAGCAAATCAGGCGGGCTGCAGACGTGGCGGATGACTCAAAACGCCATACGATCTAATGAGGGATGGATACATGCATGAATGTGCCTGCGCCTACGACGTACATGAGTGAGCAGCGGGAGAGCAAACACGAGCGGACGCACGTGGAACAAACAGCGGGTTTGCACGATCGGCAGTGGGTGACGGGTCACGAAGAAGGGTGCTAGAAGGTGTGAACGAGGTATGCGGTGAAGGTGGTGGAATACGTGCGTAGGCCGGTAGGGCCGAGCGGGCAGGCACGGTGCGTGGGAGAGAAGAAGAGTTAGCTAGCTGTAGCCGTTTTGACAACAGCTAGTGGGCAACGGGTGGATAATGAACAATAATTGATGAGGCATAGCGCACGCGGTGCTCGAAGGTAGCGTGGCCGCCCCCTCCGGGCTGGTCCAACGGCGCTATCCACGCAAAGGGGAAGGTTGATCAAACCCCTGCTACCACGCGAGCAGGGCGCCGGCTAGCTGATCTCATGGTTCCGAAAATTGACACTTGAAGCGGCGTTGGCGGAATTCTTAGCTCGGGCTAGCATGGTCGTACCCACAGTACTTGAAACTTGAAAGGCCTTACGATATCCAGGCCACCGAGCCGTGCAATGCCTCATCCAAGCCCGTCCAGCACTTGTCTTCTTGCATCCACCACCAACCCGTCCTCACAGCAGCAGACCTCGTCGCCGCCAAACCTGCTGCCTGAGTTTCCCGCGAAGAAGAGTGCAGCTGAATCCACGCCACGTGAGAAGCAGCGAAGCAAGCACGACAGCCTTACCGCACCTCCCGCAGAAGACTCGGCGAGCCGATCTGCCGGCGCCATTAACAACCATCCCGGCCCATCATCCGCTGCTGCTGCTGCATCTCAGCGTCAACCCCCTTCGCATCTCCGCTTGACCTCGCTGGGCCGCATTGCTCTTCCTCGCGAGTCCGCACAGTCGCCCTCGCGCCCTTCGTCCCGCCTGTCGCAGGAGTCGTTGTCGTCGCTCGACTACCATCAACGTCGCCCCGGCCTTGACGACAAGCGAATCTCGCTAAACACCTTTCTCGCGGCCACCACCCCTCCCTGGCCCGTTCTCTCCGACAAGGAAGACTCCAACAGACACAAGATGCATCAAACCTCGTCTCGTCTGCTGCGTCAGACCGACGATGACCGTCCTTTCACCAGAGTAAGCCTCCGTTTCGCAATTGTTTATGCCAATTGGCCTGCTCACTGTCTTTCTCGCAGGATCTCAAGGATCTTTTCTCCACGCTGATGGTCAGCTTGCCCTTGACCCCCCACCGAGTCCGCTTCACAAAGGTCGAGCACACCTTTACTACCGATGAAGCTCTGACCAACCTTGGTTCTCTCAAATTCTCCCAGTCCAACCGCATGCCCGACCCAAAGGACCCCTCCAGAATTGTCACCACCACCACCACCACAACTTTCTCTATGGCCAAGGAGATGGCTCGCACCGTCTGCAACAGATTTGTCGAGGCGAGATTTGTGGAATCCCTCGATGGCAAGACAGACTTCAGCTCAAGGAGTTCCGTATGGCAATTGAGCCCCAAGGGTATGCGTGTTCTCACTCGCTTCTGTCAGCGTAATGGCATCCACCAACGTCACGTCAACGAACTGCTGGACTCTCCTCGCAACACCATGCAACTCGTCATCCTCGAACGTGTGCCCGACAACGATAACATCAACATCGACCGCGGAACCATCGAGGTTGTTTTTAGACGTTTCTGTGGCGAGGAAGGCCCCAACCTCAAGAGCACCGCCACCGCAGACTCCGAGTCGATACATGATTATGCAACTGGCCTGGTCGGAGTACATATGATGAGATCCCGTAAGCAGTTTGAGAAGGACACACCCTACATGTTCACAGGCAAGTCCGCGCTCGACTGGCTCATGGACTGCTGCATGGTGGTAAACAGAAAGGAAGCATGCGACATTGCTCAGCAATTCATGGTTCACCAACTGATCGTCAACCTCACTGAAGAACGCAACTCACCAGCTGCCTCTCGTTTCCAGCCCCTCAAGACGGCGCATTACGGTGTTACTGAGAAGGGTATGAGAATTGCTGGCTGGGTCAGAAGTCCGAACGGATCTATCAATGGCGAACCCGTTGTCGTAAAGCTGCCCCCTGGTGTCGCTCGTGATTCCAACACCACCAGAATGTCACAAATCATTCACGACCCAGCTCAGCGCCTCGTGTTCCGCGAGTTCCTACAAGAGACTCACTGCGAGGAGAATCTCACATTCTATCTCGAAGTCAGAAGCTTTCTGTTAGACTACAACTCTGCCAAACGCTCGGTTCCGGCTCCCCGTCTGGATCTCATCCGCGAAACCCTGGCTTCGGCATACAGTAAGCTCATTCCCACCAGCGCTTCCTTTGCCCCCACAATAAGCTAATCTTGCAGGTCTGTACAATGCTTTCCTGGCTCCGGGTTCGCCGTGTGAGCTGAACATTGATCACAATCTACGTAACGCTCTCGCTAGCCGCATGACCCGCGCCGTAGGTGAAGACACCGAAATGATTGCCAGCTTGGACGAGGTCGCCACTTTGTTTGACCAGGCTCAGACCAGTGTATTCAAGCTTATGGCTAGTGTAAGTTTATACATACCTTTTGCCGAGATCCAGTGCTAATGTTCGTTAGGATTCGGTGCCCAAGTTCAGCAGAGACCCCAAGTACATCAGAATGCTTGAAAATCGTACCAACTACGACCAAATGAACGCAGCCTTTTCTGCTGCCTCGGTCTCATAAAACATAATGACTGGCTCCACCAGCCATTACCAACAACTTCCGCATCTCGCCACCTTCTTACCGCCATTTTTCATCACTCTCGGCCACACCAGGATCGGCCGTCTCGGAAGATGGAACATGTCAAGACGACGTAAGCAGCTCGTGGTACATGTCTACCACGCAATACGCGTCTCGAAACATCTCTTACGGCCACACCTCACCCCATGAGGTATGTCAGCTTTGGATGACATTCTCCAAACACGATCTGGATAATCCTATCATCACCTACTGCGCCGGGCGTGCCTTCTGTCGCTGGCCCTGCGTATTTGCAGCGTCAGAGCATGCACTGTACTTATTTTTGGTCTTTTTCATTCGGATAAAGACATCACGGCGTCTCACGGTGCATAGCAGATGGGCGTTTGTTTCTGCTTTTGTTTTTGGAAACATCATCCATGCACGAGGCAAACGACAATTAATCTGAATTTGCTTTTCCTTTCTTTCTTAATGCTTTTCATTTGTTCTTTTCGGCGGTTCGATTCAATTTCTCATCTGCTGTGCTTGCAATTCCACACGGCTGGCAGCAGCAGCAGTAGCAACAAAGCGAAGCGTGTGGCATTGATAAGAAAGCAATTGCACGGAGGACGCGTCTTGAGTGAAGGACATGAATGCAAGCACGAAGCTGAGCAATGGCGGAAACTGTAGAAGTAACACTAGCTGACGCCATCAATGACACGTCTATAACCACGTCTCTCCTCAATCATGTGCTTGTACTGAAGGTCGTCTCGACGGGGACGATTGATAAGCATGTTCGTCTACTTTGCATGCAGTCAGACTTGGCTCGTGTAATTGAACGGTTGCGCGCGGTAAAGGGGTCAAACAAAGTTCAGGTGTCTTCCGCGTGGCTTGATTGAATTGCAACGGCACGCGCTTCCAACGCCAACGCGTCTTCCTCGGCCCTGACAATGATTCATTGACAACAGTATTATCGAAACACCAATCTTCGGACCCTTTCTTTTCGTAGAAGCATCTGACGACGCATTAGTGACAGCTGCGATTGCTTCTAGAAGACAACGACAATTACAGCAGAAGCCATGGGCGTCCCGCCGGGAGTAGGTTACATCAAAGTAACGAAAGGTTCGGCCAGCCATTTTCCTCTAACGCATTTCATAGTCGCAAGCAGCTCCACTTCCGAGCAATCTGCCCTTTCGACTCGTATCCAAGACTATTGGATCCGGCGCATATGCATCGTATGTGTCCAATGTATATGGGCAGAGATGGCTATAGACGCGTCGCTGACGTGCCCTTGTCGATAGAATCCGCAAGGCAGTACCCAAGGACAAGCCGAAACCCGTCATTGCCGTGAAGTTCATCAACAAAGACCATGCCTTCAGAGTAGGTCGGCTGCGACCCAAGCAGATCGAACTCGAGATCAGTCTGCATCGGCAGGTGTCTGGACATGCCAACATCATCCGCTTCTTATCGCATGGCGACGACCAATCGTGGATCTGGATAGCCATGGAGCTGGCAGAAGGCGGCGACCTTTTTGACAAGATCGAAGCCGACGAGGGCGTTGGAGAGGACATTGCACACTTCTACTTTAAGCAGCTCATCAACGCCATCGCTTGGTGTCATGGCAAGGGTGTTGCGCACAGAGACATCAAGCCGGAGAACATGCTGTTGACGGCGAATGGAGACCTGAAGTTGGCCGACTTTGGCCTTGCCACGGCCTTTCTCAACCCCAAGACTGGAGACTCCAAGATGTGCGGTCTTGTGTGTGGCAGTCCTCCATACATTGCGCCCGAGATCATCCAAGTTGGTCTCGCAAACCAAAAGAGGAAGCATGGCGAGGAAAAGTTTGGCTACTGTCCCAATATCTCGGACATCTGGAGCTGCGCCATTGTGTTGTTCGTACTGCTGGTTGGTAACACGCCCTGGGACCAGCCTGAACCGCGAAAGAGTGAGGAGTTCTACCATTTCTGCGAGACACAAGGCCGACCCGAGGACGACCTCTGGGAGAAGATACCCTCCGACGCCCTCAGTCTGCTTCGAGGAATGCTCAAGGTCGATGTACTCGAGAGGTTCAAGCTCAACGACATCCGCATCCACTCTTGGTACACCCGACCGAACAAGTTCATGAATGCCAAAGGAACCGTCTCGGACTCGGTCAGTCTAGCCACAAACATGATCGAGCGTCTACACATTGATTTCACCACCGTGCCCATCTCGTCACAAAGTCAAGAGCAGCCCGAGCAGGTCGAATCACAGCCTGCTCCCGCTCTCATGTCAACGCAACCCGTCACACCAGCCTTTGATCAGCCCTTCGACTGGGAAGCTCCACCACGTCTAGCAGGTCTCACTGCTTCACAGCCCGTAACTGCTCACGATACATCTCGTGTTGCCATGACCCACGACCTCATTGCCGCTCAGATTTCTCAAGAACCGCACATGACCCAATTCAGCCAAACCCACAACGTACCTCTATCCCTCACACAAAATGCTCGCCGCTTCCGCGATATCGTACCCGCACAATCTCTCGCTCGCTTCTATTCCTACCAAGCACTGCCTCAGTTGCTTGGCACCATTCGCAGCGCTCTACACACACTTAATGTACCCATACCCGCTACCGCACCTGCAGACGACAAGGCCAAGCAAGCCTACATTCGCATCCGTATACTCGACGGCCGCAAGCAAGGACTCAGCGGCAATGTCGTCCTCGAGTCCATTGCTGAAGATGGGCTTGTTGAGGTCAGATTCGTCAAAGCAAAGGGTGATCCCCTGGAATGGCGCAGATTGTTCAAGCGGGTCGCTGTGCTCTGTCGCGATGCGATTCTCATGCCTAGGGAGTGATGAGGATTCGACTTCGTGCATGATCTTGGCTGCCCTTTGATTCTTCTATTTCTGGCCTCCCTTTTGGTTTCTTTCTCAACGCATCTCGTTGCGGATTCTTTTTCTTGTTCTCTCCTCTGGTCATCCCTTTTGGCTGTGTGTCTTCTCTTTACTTTGGTTCGGGCTTCAATTTTCTGCACTTTGTTTCCCTTTTCTGTCTGTCACGCTGTTACTGAGGGAAGAAAAAGTCATGAGCCTTGATGAATTTGGTTTTGGTTTTCTTGTCGTCTGTGGTCCTCACGGCAGCCGAATTAATGGATGTAATGCTGTTTGGATGGGATGAAAGGAATGGAGAAAATATGGAATAGTACTATACCCCCTTTCTCATCAATGCCACTTTTGGAATTTTACTCTCCTCTATCGATCTCTATCTCTTGTTTTGCCTGTGTTGATGGCGCTCGAGCTTCTTTGCTTTGTTCGCCGTGGTATCGCTGCGGATAGGATGGCTCGTGATGTGACGCTGGTTTTGACTCCAACTAGGACTTGAACAGGGGAAAGGCCTTCGCTGGAAGGAACAGGAAGGAGCGAGACTGGCCAGCAAACAGGAGGGAAGCGAAAAGAGAAGAAAAGAAGGAGCGAGCCAATAATCCTTGTTTTTATCGTTTTCCAACCCATGTCGCACTGAGTGAACCCTGTCTCAAAACTTGTCGTCTATGGATCTAGAGGTATCGCTTCCTTCTTAACTGACGCTTCGTCAAGGTTATGGAGTGATTATCTCATCGTGCCATATTGATCAAGATCTCGTTTGGGACTTCTTCTTGTCTTCTTGTCTCACATACTAAAGTTCGTCACAACATCAATCGTAGCAAGAAATTCACGACAACAGTTACGGGCGGAGACAACAATCCCATGTCACGTTTCAATTGCAGAAATACTCAGATCTCTCAAGTTACAGTTTTTTTGACCGTTCTTAATACTCTCCTTCCTCTAATCACAGGAGATGATGCCTTTTTTTGTTGTTGCGGAATATCATGTCTTTGATGTCATGGTCAGGGTGTTACCGCTTGCAACATTGTACTTGGGATCGAAAAAAAAAGAAAAGATGTCAAAATCATTCCTGTCAACTACGATACGACAAGAACCAGAGATTTTATTCTCTCATGGTTGAAAAGCCGAATGATACGAGGAGAAAGAACCACTGACAAAGTGGAAGCTGGGAATAGGAAGGGGTGACCGACCGACGACTACGAGGAAAGAGCGAAGAACCAGAGGGTTTGCAGAAAGAGCGACCGGCTATGCACGAAACGGGAAGGAGTGACGACCTGAGAAGGAGCTAAACAACCAATAAGAACATTGTAAAGACAATGTCGATTCGAGGTGAGCTCATCAGCATACAATATAAGTTCAAGGTCGAAATCAGAAGTGGGCGCACATAATTGTTTGAAGTATTAACTTTTTGGATCGACGTGACTAGATCACGAGTTGTCTAGAATAGCTATGTAGTAGGTAGTACCGGAAAAGAGGTAAAATGGATATCAGAAGGGAGTGATCAAAGGAGGGTATGTAAGGAAAGAAAAAAGTGAATACAAAGATTCCAATCGCTTGCACGCTTCGCTTTCATTAGAAAAACAATCCAAAACCAAGGATCCAGAATCGAGGACAGAGAGGTACAGGACCCCGGTATCGTATGAACTCAAAGGAATCCGAATAAGCCAGCACAGTCCTCAGAAATTGGATGCTGTGTTGATCTGGCCGCCACCGTTATGGTAGCGGGCTAGCGGAGGCTCGTTCTTCTCGGTCATGAGGCTTTGGTTTGGTTGAGGACCCATAATCTCATCGTCCATTGTAGGGCCTCGTGCACGACGGCGTCCCCACATGCGCCATGCTACAAGAGCAAGACCACCGAGCAGAATGGCGCCACCAATGCCGCCGACAACACCGCCAATAATCTTCTTGCTGGAGGTGCTGAGACCGCCACCACTGCTACCACTGCTGCCACCGTCATTCAATGAAGGGGATACGGTTGCAGTTGCAAAACCAGTGGTTGATGAGACAGTCCTCTGTGTTTGAACGGCAGTAGTAAGGGTGCTGCCACCCGTGACAGTGGTAATAATAGTCGTGTAACTTTGGGTCGATTCCGAAACGAGAGCAGACGTGATGGTAGTAGCCTTGCTAACGGTGGCACGGTTGATGGTCGAGGCAGCGGAGCCGGAGCCAATGACGACAATCTCAGAAGAGGTTGAGGTTGACTTAGACGACTTGGTAGACGAAGTCTTTGTGCTCGAAGCAGATGACGCGCGGGACGAAGCAGATGACGCAGCCGAAGAAGCAGAAGAGGCAGCAGCAGTCGAACGGGCAGAAGAGCTGGCTACGGAGGACGAGGGAGAAGCGGAGTTGGAAGTGTCGGCGGCAATAGAGGATGCGGATGTTGATGGAGCTGCAGACGAGGTGGGAGCATCGCTGACAGGAGTGGTCTCAGAGGTCGAGGCGGGAGCGGCGCTGGAGGTAGGGGCGGCTGATGATGTAGGGGTTGTTGTGGATGAGCGCTGCTCGCTCGAAGTGGTAGGTGGAGTGGACGTAGTTGTGTCGGGTGCAGCAGAGGATGTCGAAGAGGGAATAGACGAGGTGGATGCCTCTGCGACAGACGACGAGGACGGTGCTGCAGATGATGTGTTTGCCCCTGTACCGATGAGGGAGTTTTGACGCTTCAGCATCCACGGCAGGCTGTTGGCATTTACTGTCGCGAAGACCATGATGAAGGCGAATAATAGAGCGATAAGGCTCAGTGAGCGCGCCATTGTGAGTTGCTGGCTGCGGGATATAGGAGCTGCCGATCAACAAACGAGAAATCTCTATCCAAGTGACTGCCTGGTGTCAGGCGGCGGGAGAATGCTAATGTCGCGGATCGCAAGGGCCGTTGTCGACTTTGTCAACGGCCGTGTGCTGAGTGGCTAATTATATGAAGCGATGGCGTGGCCTGCGATAAGCGATGCTTCTATACAAATCGTGATGGAAACACGTCCAAGTGATGGAAACGAGTGGGAGAAAGTAACGACGGTGAATACGGCAAGGAGAAAAAATCAAGAGCGTGTGTACGGAGCGAGCGGAAGGTACGAGTACATGCGGAGTGGGTTGGGAAGCGACGATGATGGTCGAGCGGGCCAGAGACTTTGTCACCGCACAGCCAAGCCTATCGCAGCTTCGTGTGAGAAAGGCTAATGTTAGAACACCACATGGAGCTGTCCCTGATCGAGCTAGATCCCGTCTCGCAACCCTCGTTCGCTGTCGGCCTCGCCTGTCGATCTCAGGTTACGCACGCCTTCATCATGTCATTTCGGCCAGAATCAAGTGCGAAATTGGTTCATCGTGAGAAGAGCCCTCGCAACGGTTCGTGATCAAAGAGTTTGCGTCAGTACTGTTCAGGAAGACTGCTTGGCTGTCTCTTCAACAGACATCGAGCGTCTCCTAATACTCCAGCTAAGCCTCCAGCATGTCCCCCAGTCTCGGAACATTCTCCTGCAGGAACCTGAAGTCAGAGTCCACCTCTTTCCGAATTCTCCGCAGTAACACGACCCTGTGTCCGCCTAATGCGTAGCTCTTAGAAGCCCGCGGCCCTTTTTCAAAACATCGACTTGTCTCGAATTGCGACCACGTTTGAGTGAAGGTTTGATGTGCTTTTGGCATATGCTCAGCTACTCTATTCATACAAATTTCATGCAAGTCGTCTCATGGGTATCGCGTCGTCAATCAGGTCTTTCTCATTTTCAGTCCGTCCATCCTTCTAATAGGTGCGTGTGTAATGCGCGCCCTTGCCGTCCGTACCATGCGATCTTCGCGTCCCTGCTGCCTGTAATAGACTGTCAGCCACTACCCGTTGTTAGAGGTGCTGGTTCTCGTCGACACATACCTTGACACCGGGCTTGCCTGTTGCGGAGCCCCGGAGCTTCATCATGGCACCACTGATTTTATCACCCATGGTGGGCTTGCGCTTCTGCACTCCAGCGGTTCTTCCAGTAGTGGTGCCCGTGGTGTGGTGGCCAGTTGTGTGTCTTGTGCTTGTTCTGGCTGTACCGGCAGTGGTAGTGCCTGTGTGGTGACCAGTAGGATGAGTGTTGCCAACCTCCTTCTTGGTAGTGGTAGTCGTGTGACTTCCCGTGATGGGGTTGGTCGAGTGCTTTGTCGTGGTGGTGGTGGTGGTGTGATTGTTGCCCTTCAGACGCGACATGAGAGACGGCTTGGTGGTCGTGGTAGTGTTTGCTGCTCTTGTGCGGGCCATGATGAGAATATGCAAGAATGGTTATTGATTGGAAGTCGTATGTGAGGAAAGTATGTTCAGATTTGTATGATTCAAATGCTAGAAGAAAGGTCGCGTTCATGCTTCATATATGCGAACCACAGAGGAGGTTCATCCCTGAGATGACGAGCCAGCCACATGACAGTGATGAGCATACACGAAACTGGATTTTTGGTCGTGTTGGTATAACAAGCCATGCATGGTACGTCACCTTGTAGATCTGCTGATAGAGGAGATATCCCAGGGTGTTGCAAGGGTCCATCCAATAGGCCAGCATATCTTCGAAATTGGTCTAGGCAGCGTCAGAAGTTGGCATAAAACTTGAATGCTTGTCCCTTCGCTCAGGAAAGTGCTGATAGCCAAGGTGAATACCAGCAGATCCGACGTCATCGCCAATTTGCTACGCGCGTGGGACGCCATGGCTGGTGGAGGAACTGATGGTGACAGACATTTCTAATGGTGGTCACGTTTTATCTGGATCCGGCATTCAGATCTGACAAAGTCGGGTAGATAGGTGTGGTGTACGGTTGATTTTTTGAGTTTGACGTCTGTGTTTACTCCAACGTATAACGACTTTCAGCCTCCTAGCTGTCCTTACCAATAACCCTCGCCACCACAAGCTGACCATCACTCTTCATCACAAAGTTGCAAGCTCCTGCAGTCTTACAAGCTCGCTGTAAATTCGAATAGACTGCGTGTCCACATTGTCACATGATGAATGACTCGATTCTGTCGCGGTTTCCTTTAGAGCTCCGCGAACAGATCATAGACCACATTGTTCTCAAAACCGAGAGGCTTTGGCACAAGTGTCCTACGCATGGTCCTGGCACATGTTCATGGGATCCTGCGGAGGAGATGCTGCTACAGTTGTCACGCCGCCATGCTCTTTTAGCTACTTGTCGTGAGCTCCAACATCTTGGTCTTCAAGTTTACTTACGACGCACACGATTTACTTCGCATCACTCCCTATCATTATGGCCAACCAAATTCTACAACGACATGAAGACCGAAGATAGTGATGTTTATCGATCTCTGCCATCGCTACAATCGCGAGGCTTCATCGAAAGCCTTGGAAGCGTGGGCGTCACTACCTCTGATGACTTCTTACATCACACCGGCTGGGACTCCAAGTCAAGCACCAAAAGATTCGCAAACTGGATCGACGATCCTTTGGAGATTCTCTCCCTGTACAGGGAAGCTGCACATGCTGCTTGTCGGCTACGCATTGTGCAACATGATAGGGGACTTGGAAACCATCAAATGTTTTACGGACACAGCTATCGCTTACCAACTTTTACCGACGGTAATGCTCCCAGACCGGTCAAAAGGGTCTTGAGAGGTACCTGGACGCATGATACGATAATTGTTACGGTTGGTCTGGTGGACGAAGCTAAATCCGTCCAAGCGATGGAGACCGCAATGGCATTGCTCGCTACAGAACATCGTGAAAAAGTTGAAGCCATCCAGAAAGAGATCAGGTGGCAAGAGCCATTGCCGCTACAGGCTGAAGGTAACACCATTGACGAACAACGACCCCTGTACAACCAGTTCATTCAAGCCATGGAGACAAAGTTTTTTCTTTGGTCGCAACGTGTTAAGAAGTTCCATCAAGGATTGATTCGGGTAGTTCTGGTGAGCTATAGAAAGGAGTTTGAGGATGTCAGAAGCCACTTGGATCAAGTTAGGGACCGTTTGTTACTCGACATGTCTCATGGCATCTCTGGAGATACTGTGGTGGATGCAGTCGTGCGTATGATGGGGGACATCGAATTCGATGATGTCGAGTTGACGTGTCGAAGCAAGGGAGAGTTGAGACCAGGTACACTGCTAGGGAAGACCATCGTGCGATGTGATCCCCCCAAAGACGACATACACACTGTCGTCACGAAGCAAAAGGGCGAAATAATTCAAGCTGCGTGATATGCCATTGGAAAGCAGCTTTCCAAAGCGCGAACTGTATGTTCTGATCACGAGAACATCGTCCATGGGCAAGACACACATTACTAAGATCAATGCTCGGCGCGTGTTTACCTCCAGTGCGCGCTTGAAATCGATCGTCGAGAGTAACACAGAATAAAGAAGCCAACAACTCTTTCTTCCTTCAGACCACGCCCGAGTATCAGCAAAAGAAAACAACATCACAGACACCCAGCAAAAAAACCAGGCCTTGGGTGGGGGGAAACATCTTTTCGACCAAAGTCATCGTCGCGACCAACCAAGGCTGGGAGTCGAACTCACACCCTCTGGATTCTATTTATGCTAGACTTTGGAGAGGGTTTTCGAGGCGGGGATTCCTGTGTAAGCCACAGGACCGATTTCCTGGAGGGTTGGTACATTTGGATTGTTATGCTACTTGGGAAGTGAGGGAGAGTGATCGTGTGAGTGAAGTGAATCTTCGCGCTTGGAAACGAATGCTTCTTCAGAAGGAACTGTATCATGCCTTCTGCTATTGGCACTGGACTGCCTTGCGGGCAGGGGGATAGTGTCATGGTGACACTCTGCCAGTGTTTCCTTTTAGTGTTGCACTATCCACCCCCTGACATGCATGTCCCGAGGTGACAAGTGTCAGAGCATCTCGTTGTTTCGCCCACGCAGCTCAATTTTTGTAACATACTTCCCTCCAGAACCAGATTATCTCAAGCAGGAGAGATCGATCCCAGCAAGCGGACCACTCGAGCCATATCAGATATCATGTCTTATCCTCTTCCACATCAAAAGCCTACCCTGTTTCAGAGCTTGCACTCAGAATCGTTGATATACACAAATAGACTATCAGTGCTTGTTGAGTAACATTGAACAGGAACACGATCGTCAAAGCGTGATGTTTATGACAGGAACATGTCTGAAATATATGTGAGTAACAAGGACATACATGGAGATTGCGTAGCTTGTATAAACTTCAATACGGGAATGTCAACACATTCTCAGACCCTACTAACCGCAACATCAACATCCTTGCCCTTGAGACTATCCACATCTCCCCGCTCTGAAGCGACATCACTATCTTGCACCGCATCACCATGCAAAGTCTCCGCAAACATCTGCCTCTTCGGCATCAAATACCTCACATCCACAAACCTCAACACACAAGTCATACATATCACAACCAACCACAAACTCAAAGCAGTCTGCCATCCACATCTATAATATGGCGCTTCCTTGGCAGGCCAGATCAAGATGCCAGACCATGCGGAAACAGCATAGTAGCCTGCCACACTCGTACCAACAATCAGAGATCTAGCTTCTGGATCTTGGGGGATGAGTTCGGAGAGCCAGGAAAAGATTAATGGTGCTGTGCCGAGAGAGAGGTAGGAGATGAAGTAACTGGCGTAAGCGGCGGATACGGGAACACTTTCTGGGTTGCGTGTCCAAAGGGTCATTGTGATGGCGGGGATTAAGCCGATGAGAGATTGGGCGATCAGCAGGGTCCAGCGTGTTCGTAGGGTATCGGATAGAATGGCCCAGATCCAGACGAATGCTACAGCGATACCGCCACCTGCGATTGGGATGACGTTGATTGCTTCGGTGGACCAACGCTTTGATCCATCTTCGTTGGTGAGAGACTTTAGGAACAAGTTGAAGTATGAATAGCCTCCTTGGGCGTGAACAGTGGCGATATAGAGTGCTGCGATGAAGTATAGAGTCCACCCCGAGAAAGCTCGTTTCGTGCCGGCCCAAGACAGCTTCTTTGGCTCTGCTCTACCATGTCTGGCGAGTCGTTCCATGGCAAGTTCAGCGTGAACCTTTTTGAACCAGAAAGCTCTTGGGTTGGGATTGTTGGGCACATCAGGCAGCATGAAGAAGCCTAAAACTCCCCAGACCACTGTCATTATGCCATCTAAGACGCGGTCAGCGGCCTCCATGAAGAGAACAATCATGATATACTTACTGATGACAAACAGCCATCTCCATCCTGAAATACGAGTGCCGTCAAGGGTAGCAATGATGGCAGCTTGGAGAGCACCAGACATCATATACCCCAAAGTCTGACAAGATTGGTAGAAACCCATGCGTTTGGCCAGCTCCGTCGGCGTATACCAATGCATGAGCAAAGTCATCATACCAGGCCATGCACTACTCTCACACAGACCAAGAAGTACTCGCAAAACATACACATGTTTTGCACTCTTCACCAGTGCCATCAGACCTGTAATGACACCCCAAGTGATTTCAAGACCAGTGAGCCAGTAGCTAGGACGTACATATGTCATGATTGCTTGAGATAGGATAAGCATCAGACAGTATGCAATGTTGAAGTATGTGGTGAAGTAATTGAGCTCGTTGCCGTAGAGGTTCAGGTCTTCCTTCATACCAGAAACATAGGCATTGTTGATATTTTGTTGATCGAGATATCTAAAATGTATAAATTTGCTGTTCAGACATATCATCAGGATTCGCACTTACTTGATGACTTGACTGATACATCCAAAGGTAAGAAGAAACATATCAAGTCTTCTAACCAAAGCCTTTTCCTCAGCAGAGCGGTGCTCCAACTGTATAGCCGGTTTAGCCTTCCTGAAAATCGAGAATAAGCCCATTGTGCTTGGTGACAAAAAGTACAGTCCAAATAGACACAAGCTGTAATATGTTTTACAAAACAGACGGTACGAAGATCAGGAAGATGATATAGACCTTTTCGATAAAGCACTATTATGCTGCCTCGAAGATTGCAGCAGAGGAGTGATAGGCGAAGCATCATCTGCGCCACGAGGATGTTGATAAGACATGCCTGGCCTTGTGATACCGCATATCGCGTCCGTGATGTTACTTCGCTCTGTGGTACCCGAGTTTTTCGCAGTATCTCTGCACTAGGATGGAGAGGGGTTGCATGGTTGGAAGGTTAAGCATGTCTTGGCAAGTGCGATCGCCACCAATCACCTTATCATGAACTGAACATCTTCCTTCAAGCTCCCGGCCAGCGGCCAGCGGCCAAGCAAAATAGGCAATTGATAGAACATACATCGGCCGTTGTAGCCGGTCACTGTCACGAGATTGTCCACGACTAAAGTGTGAAGATTGATTCATATTCGATACAAAGTCGAATAGGATTCAGTTGCCCTGAGCATCTCGAGGACGGTATCATATCAAGACGACCTATCGAACAAACCCTCTCTCAACTAATTTGCCATCGAATATCATTCGTAACGATCTAATTGGGAACATGCCTTCTGCACAACCTGCCACACCTCCTGTGACGCCTCCAGGTCTGGAACCGTCCGTCCCTCTGCCTTCACCCTGTCTATCATACTGGCACAAAACCACCCGTGGGTTCCCTCACCTCAACGCAAACCGCAATTCCCAAACACCAGAAACCGCAGAATACATCATCATCGGATCCGGCATCTCAGGCGCACTGACAGCCTTCTCCCTAATCGATTCTGGCATCGACGCCGGTAAAGTCTTGATCCTAGAAGCCAGAGAAGCAGTATCTGGAGCTAGTGGCAGAAATGCAGGACATGTTCGTCCTGATGCTTTTAGAGGCTATGCCGCTTATGCAGCTGTTCATGGACCCGAGCAAGCGAAGAAAATCATTGTCGAGGAGAGGAAAGTGCTGCATGCTGTAGACGAGTTCGTGCGTCGTCACAATGTCCCTTGCGATTTTGATCTCACGACAACCTTTGACGTTTGTTTAACGCCGGAGTTTGCTGCGTATGAAGCTCAGAGTTTTGACGCGTATAAAGCAGCTGGGGGTGACGTGTCGCATGTATGCTTTTACGATGGCGAAGAAGCTCAGCGTAAGACTAGAGTGCCCGGTGCTGTTGCTGCGTATGAGTGGCCTGCTGGATCGAGTCATCCTGCCAAGTTGGCGCAATGGTTGTTGAGCAGTGTCATTGAAAAGGGCGCGCAGCTATGGACGCATTGTCCCGCTATCTCAGTGACGGAATCGAAGCGACCAGGATATCAATGGGATGTGCGCACACCGCGAGGAACCATCTCGGCGCAGACGATCGTGCACAGTACCAATGCATATGCAGCTGCTTTGCTCCCTCATCTCAATGGTTACATCACACCGAACAGAGCACAAGCGCATTCTCTAGTGCCTAACTCTGCGTTCAGCGCTGAGAATGCTTTCACCAGCACCATGTCGCTCAGATACAGTCTCCACCACTTCTACTCAGTCATACAGAGAAAAGGCGATGGAACCATTGTTCTCGGTGTCTCCAGATCGAATCCGGAGCTCAGTGCAGAAACATTGGCAGTTCGAGAAAGCTTTGACGATGGTAGTTTCAACCAGGAAATTGTTGACGATGCTTTGAAGCGTTTCGGAATAATGTTTCCAGAGGATGGCGCGGAGAGTGAGCGTCATGGCGAAGGTCTGGATCATGCATGGACTGGTATCATCGCCATGACACCTGATTCAGTGCCGTATGTTGGCGCAATTGAGGAGCTGCCAGGACAGTATATCTGTGCTGGATTCAATGGACACGGGTAAGTGGTCAATGTCTTTCTTTGAATTGTGTGCGAATGCTGACGAGTTGTAGGATGGCGAGAATATTCACCTGCGCGCCAGGAGTTGCCAAGCTGATACAAGGTGGTTCGTGGGAGAACACCGGATTGCCAGAGTGCTTCCAGTATGGCAAGGAAAGACTTGTGAAAGCAGTTCGCAAGGGCCAAAAAGGTAGCGTGTGGTAAACAATTTCTTTTGATTATGGTGTATCGTACCAACCAGGAAAAAAAATACTGTTAGATATTGGTATGTGTCCCAATTGTCTCAATATCCATGATCTTGTATGGATGTCAAGCTCTCTGTCCATAGCTGTTGCTTGCTTGATGTACAGGATTAGTTTTTGCTACAGTGGTCGGTTCTTTCAAGGCTTTGCTGTCAGCACACATGTACCAGATGGTATGGATTGAAAAGAGGTGAAAGGCTAGAATTAGGAAATCTTGAATTTGGTGTATCAAGGAGAAGCGCTTTGTGAATTGGTATTTTGTACAAGGAAACAAGCAAGATCAGGCAATCTACGGTGCCTGGGTCTTGGGGACGTGGGTGTCGCGCTCGTAGTAAGCCCATTGGCCCTGGTTTGGGGACTCTTCGAGGTCCTCCCAAACCTTGCTGTTGAACATCTCGTCGGCAAGGCTCTTCTCGGCCTCTGCGACCAAGATGATCTCCTCGATCAGGCCAGCCTGAATTTGTTGCTCAATGGTGTTGACCCTTGAGGCATGTTAGTTTATGTTTGCAAGTATTTCTGGAGGCTGACTCACTGCTCGGTGGTAAGAGGAGGCTCCGGCTCAATGCGAGGAATCATCTCGTTGTCTGCGTTGGGGTCTGCCATGAAGGACTCGCCCTGGTGCGACTTCTCTGAGTGGACTCTGGGACCTTCGGGCTCTTGCTTTTGGATGGGCTCATCCTCGTAGTCCTCGGACTCCATACCCTTGAGGGCAGTCTCGTTGTAGACGATGTTGACCTCGTTCTTGTTGCTTGATGATGCGACCGAGCGGAAGGCGTTGGGGTGAGCCTGGACAACGGCCTGGACGCGCGATTGCCATTCCTCCAGACCCTCAGGCTTGACAGACTCGACAATTGACAGACGGTGCTTGGTGAGGGCCTCGACGGATTGGCGGTAGACGGAGTGCTCGGGGAATTGCTTCAGCTTGTCCAGAGTCGAGTTGTAGAGGTAGAGGAGGGTGGAGCGTGGGGCGGCATGTGTCAAGACACCCGTAAGACCAGTAGGAGCGCCAGGGGTGAGGAAGCGCGAGGCCTCTGCAAGCAATCGGGACGAGACTCTCATTGTGGCGTGTGGATATGAATTCGACGGTCAAGCCAAAGCTCAAATCCAAAGACGTCAAGACAGCGACGCCCGCCCGCCAGCCAATTGCTGACCACCGGCAAACAACTCAAACAGGAACAGGCGGAGCGGCCGGGGTGCCAAGGTGCCAAGGTGCCAAGCAGCCTCCACATTCTGGACAATGGCTGATGCGATGCTGCTCTGATCTGTCTCCTATTCTTGACTTTGGAGCTTCGATGCCCTGACCTGATATCCACCGGTGCCCTTGCTCCACGTCACTCGTTTGTCTGGGTTCGCTCTTGTCCTGGACAGCTGGTTCCACACAATCGTCCTTGGCTTGGATTAAGCAGATAGTCTTATCTCGCTCCCACCAACTCCTCATTCTCGACCATCTACCCCAGCCTAAAGTGCCTGCGGGCTTCTCTCCAATATGCGATCACTATTGATATCGCCCTTGATCGCCCTCTCTTTCGCTGCCTCTGTGTTTGCTGCCCCTCCGATCCAATATGATGCGCCCGCAGTCGCTCGAGATGCCGCCTCGATTGTAGCGCGAGATGCGCCCGATGCTCCAGCTTCACCTGCGAAGGATCCGGAAGTCAAGGGCGAGACGGCCAAGGATCCCGTCACAGATGGTGCAGACTCTGGACCCAAGGGGACCGTCTTCAATGGCGTTAGCGTCCCTCCGATCACCGAGCTCAGTGGAACCACCCTGGACAAGGACATCGAAAAAGGCACATGGCTTGTGGAATTCTTCTCGCCTTACTGCCATCATTGCAAATCTTTCGCTCCGACATGGCAGACGCTCCACGAGTTTTACTACACCTCGGACCCTCTTCCTTCTTCCAACAAGGACTCCGCAGACTCCCTCAACTCTTTTACCCGCTACTACGATTTCAAGTTCGCTAAGCTCGATTGTGTCGCTTTTGGCTCCGCATGCTCCGATAAAAACATCAACTCATTCCCTACTATTGTTCAGTTCAAGGATGGTAAAGAGGTGGAACGCAAGGTCGGTGCTTTGCCTATGAAGGATGAGGTCAAATGGATTGAGAGTATGCTCGAAACCATCAAGCCCGGCTCAAGACAAAAGGACGGCCCTAAGCTCCCCAAGGTTGGCGCCAGCTCATCGCCCGAATTTAAGGGTGCTGCTGTCGTTGGTCCCGCAAAGGAGGCAGACGCCATTGCAGAGGTCACCAAGTCCACCACTTCAACTACCTCGACCAAGTCCCTGCTCCAGGCCACAAAAGTTGCAAAGGAAACCCCCAATCCTGCTGGTACTTCTGTCCCATTGACCGCCGAAGCCTTCCAGCACAGAGTCACTACCACCCACGATCCCTGGTTCATCAAGTTCTACGCTCCCTGGTGTCACCATTGTCAAGCTATGGCTCCCAGTTGGCATGCCATGGCGCGCGATATGAGGGGTCGGTTGAATGTTGGCGAAGTCAACTGTGAGGTCGAAAAACGTCTTTGCAAGGATGTCAACGTCAAGGGCTACCCTACTCTGATCTACTTCCAGGCAGGTGAACGTATCGAGTACGAAGGTCTTCGTGGCCTCGGTGATCTTATCAGCTATGCCAACAAGGCTGTCTCTGCCGGCGATGGTGTTGTCGACGTCGACGCTGCTGCTTTTGAAGCTCTTGAGAAGGACGAGGAAGTCATCTTCCTTTACTTCTATGACCACGCCACTACTAGCGAGGATTTCCAGGCTCTCGAGCGATTGTTGCTGAGCTTGATCGGCCATGCTAAGCTAGTCAAGACCAAGGATCCTGCCCTCGCTACCAGATACAAGATCTCGACTTGGCCTCGTCTGATCGTTTCCAGAGATGGAAAGCCGACATACTACACTCCGCTGTCCCCCAGAGATATGCGCGACTTCCGCAAAGTCTTGGGATGGATGCAGGCCAATTGGTTGCCGATCGTGCCTGAGCTGACGGCCTCAAATGCTCGTGATGTTATGGACCACAGACTCGTCGTTCTGGCCATTTTGAGCCGTGAACGCAAGGAAGACTTCGCCATTGCGCGACGTGAACTCAAAAGTGCTGCTCTCGAATGGATTGACAAGGAAATTCAAGCCTTCCAGCTAGAAAGACAGGAGTACCGCGATGCTAAGCAATTGCGCATTGAAGAGGCAGAGGACCGCAACGATCAACGCGGACTACGAGCAGCCAAACAGATCAGAATCGACATGAACGAGATTCCTCGAAAAGAGATAGGTTTCGCTTGGGTTGACGGTGTGTTCTGGGAGCGTTGGCTCAAGACGACATTCGGCATTGATGTCAAAGATGGAGAGAAAGTAGTAATCAACGACGAAGACGTAAGTTCTGCGCGAAGAGGCACTGGAGAAGATCAAACACTAACCTACAATAGAAACAACGATACTGGGATCTCACGACGACTGGCAACCCCATTGTGCCATCGCGTGTATCTATCTTGGAGACACTTCCCAAGGTGGTAGCCAATCCACCAAAGATTAGCCCCAAGCACAAGAACTCGTTCCTGGGCCATCTGGCATGGACAGTGCGAAGAGGCATGTGGGCTCACCCTCTGATAACAATTGGGCTGGTGATTGGCATGCTTATCGGAGCGAGTATCTGGGGTAGAGGATTGATCAGAAGGGGAAAGGCATTCGGCAACACGGGGTCTTTCTTCACAGTGGGTAATGAGAAGGATGGACTATTGGGCGGTCCAGCCACAGGAGACAAGGTGGATTGAAGTTGGTTAAGAATCTCTGTTTTTCACTTTTACACAAAAGGATATGACCTTTCATACATTTTCCATCAAGGTCGAGTTTGGGTTCAATGTATTCCTTCGGGTGAAGACGGAGTTGCGGAGTTGGACGCGGAGGCCTTGGCGAACCCCCGAAGGTCGGAGGGCGATGCGATCAAGATGATGATCAGACAGTCAAGATTGGTTCCTCAGTAGTTGCGCGATACGATGAGAGGTCAATTACAGTTGTCCCGAGTGCAGGCTGCACGGAGCGCTGCGCCATTTCGCCCACGACCGACCTTCCGACTGTCCCAACAAGTTCGCCATGCATCGACAGAGCTCAAGCAAGAAGTCGCCCGCAACGAGAAGATTGGAGACGCCCGCTCAGGTCTCACTCGCATCAAGAACTTGATCTTCGGAACCTCCCTACTCGCCGTCCTGGGATTTGGATATCTATATGTCACAGACACTCGCGCGACCTTCCACCAATGGCTCGTGCCGCGTGTGTTGCGTACCTTCATCCCCGATGCTGAGGAAGCCCACAAGATCAGCAACAAGACACTTAAGGCGCTATACTCGGTTGGCCTGCATCCTCGCGAGAGAGGCAATCCCGATATCAGCGGAGACTTGAAGGTCGAGGTGTTCGGACATGTCTTGGACAACCCCATTGGAACTTCTGCCGGTCTGGACAAGAACGCCGATATCCCTGATGTCGTCTTGGGCTTCGGCGCTGGTATCGTAGAGGTCGGTGGTATCACCCCTCACCCGCAGGAGGGTAACCCTAAGCCTCGTGTCTGGCGCATTCCCTCGCAGAATGCTATCATCAACCGCTACGGTCTCAACTCCGAAGGTGCCGACAGTGTCGCTACTCGTCTGCGTCAGCGATTGCGCGAGTTCGCATACTCCATTGGCTTTGGTCTGGATCCCGTAGCAGAGCAGTCTGTCTTGGACGGTCACGCTGGCGTGCCTCCCGGCAGTCAGATGCCTGGTCGTCTGCTCGCTGTTCAAATGGCCAAGATGAAGGAGACTCCGGACAACGACATTGATGCCATTGCTCAAGATTACGTCTACTGTGTCAATCAGCTCGCCAAGTATGCCGATATCCTGGTTGTCAATGTTTCTTCACCCAACACTCCTGGTCTTCGCAACCTGCAGCAGGCTGCGCCCTTGACCAAAATCCTGACTGCTGTTGTTGATGCTGCCAGAAATACTGATCGCGCGACGAAGCCAGCCGTCATGGTCAAGGTCTCTCCGGATGAGGATAGCGAAGAACAGGTCAGCGGTATCTGTGGTGCTGTTTGGGCCAGTGGTGTCGACGGTATCATTGTCGGCAACACCACAAAGAAGCGTCCCGATCCTCTGCCCGCAAACTACATGCTTCCTGAAAGCGAACAGAAGATCATGCTCGAAATGGGTGGTTACTCCGGTCCCCAGTTGTTCGAGCGCACAGTCGCTCTGGTCAAGAAGTACAGAGCAGCACTGGACAAGGGACCCAACGAGACCAAGTCCGAATCCAAGCCTGAAACCAAGAAGATCGAAGCACCTAAGCAACCGGAAAAGTCAGAGTTCCAGCTCGAGACCGAGGCCATGAAGGAAAAGATCAGAAAGCGATTGCAGCAAAAGTCCGACGCGACACAAAGTGCCGCTCCCAACAGCCTAGACGCAGAGACAAAGTCTTCAATCGAGTCAAGCGTAGAGCGCGACCTCAAGAACCTCAAGCCTGTAACCGAGACAGCGGATAAGTCGAGCCGCGATCAATCCATCATCCAGATCCCCGAACGCCACTTGCCAGACTCGCCCTCTTCATCCTCCGCCACCACAACCGCAGAGACAAAAGCAGCCTTCTCAGCCGTCGAGCCAGCTCTCGGTGCCGCCCCTGATGCTGCCGAAAAGATGCTCTCCTCCAAGTCTTCCTCCTCAATACCCTCAAAGAAGACTTCCCTCTCCACCCCAGCCGACCTAGACACCAACAAGGAAAAAGTAATCTTCGCAACCGGCGGCATCACAAATGGCAAGCAAGCCCTAGAAGTGCTCAATGCAGGCGCCAGTATCGCAATGGTCTACACAGCAATGGTATACGGTGGCGCGGGCACAATCACCAGAATCAAGAAGGAAATGAGAGAGGAGATTCGTGGTGTTAGTGAGCCTATGTTGCCTTCTTCTGCGCCTCGTGATGAGCGCTGAGTATCTCTGAAGTGGGAATAGCAGAGGAGGGGGGAATTCGGTTCGTAGGATAGAAGAGATGATGGAACTTGAGTGGTAACAAATGCAATTGGCTATGGAAAGCGTTCAACGAAGGCTTGTGAGGAGGGATGCTGCACGAGTGAAGAGGAACTCTGAGGAGGTACAGTATGATACAGGTCAGAAGATCAACTTTCTCCTTTTTTTTTTCTTTTTTCCCCCACTCTCGCTCCTTGTCTATAGCATTCTTTTTCCAGTCTTGCTTCCCTCTAACCATCATCGGGGTTGTGGCGCATTCGTTAGCGTATTTGTCTCCCATGTGTGTGTTTGTTACGGCAGCATGCATGAGTGCACGAAGGGTCGAGAGTTCAAACACTCGTTAACCAGTGATCCATATTTTTGCTGTTTGTGGGTGGTATATATCGACCTCTGTGATTTTTTTTTGTGGAGGATTTTGCTTATATCATTTTCAGTATCCCAAGCCACACAATGATAAGAACACATTATGGATAGGAATCATGGAAAGCTAAGTTGAATTGTGAGAGTCATGTGATGACATATCTTGAAGGTTGTGTTTTTGGGTATAGACATCCTTCTTTTTTTTTCTTTCTTTTTTTTTTTTAAAAATCACCCAACCAAAACCTTTCTACTCAACATGCACCTTTCCAATTCTCTGTCTCAACCCCAAAATATCCTTTGCAAACGACACAATCCACGCACTAACAAAAATAAATAACAGCAACGGCGACAAAACAACACTCAATCCCTGATGCACCCACGCAAACGGCAACCCCCCACTCCAAAACACACAAAGCGCACCATAAATCCCCCTTACAGGCCTAACATTCTTCAACCTCTCAAATACACCCCCTTCTTCCCCATCCATGCCATTTTTCGTCACCTTGTCAAATACAGAAGGTAAAATTTCAGCGTGGTATTTTTGGCGCAGGGTGTCGTAGTGGGGTTTATCGTACAAGGACCAGAATTCGGAAGAGGTGTAGAAAGCGTGGGCGTAGAGACATTTTAGACCGTCGAGGGCTGCGGTTTTGGCTTCTATGGCGCGGTTTGCGGCGGTGAAGGAGGTGTGGTTGCGGGGGCCTGGTCCCCATACTCCTATGTTTATGACGCGGACGGTGTCTTGGGAGTAGTGTTTTCCTTTTGGCATTAGAGGGTAAGGCGCATTGAGTTTCAGTGGGCATAACCAGAGAGGGTAGAGGTTGAAGCTTTCATCTAGGTAATCGATGAAGTCTGGTGTTGTGGAGTATGGGAACCCGATATCTTGGACGATAAATTCGTTTGCGAGACCGGATTTGTGGAGAGCGGAGTACATTGTTTTTGTGTGGATGAGGTCGTCGAGGAGGTAGCGGGTCAGTTTATTGAAGGGAGCGAAGTGATACTTGAAGGCGTAGTAGCCGCCCCAGAAGGCTCCTCTGTCGAAACGGAAGAGGTAGTCTTTGATGGGTACACATTCGGTGAAGGTCTTGGTGCTCGAGGCCGGGATGTCGTGGTTGAGGATTTCTTGGGCTCGGACGTAGAACCAGGGATCTGATCGTGAAAGATACTTTGTGATTTTGCATCTTGGAGATGGTTTGCTGGCCATTCGACCTGCGATGATCACTCCGCTGGTCTTGGAGAACATGATACCGTCCAGATATTGAACGTCCTCGTTGGCGGTGTAATGCTCGATGACTTTCACGGCGTCTGGAGCACTCGACACAGAGTGGTACTCCAGTTCCATGAAGTTGCCAGCCTCCACTAGTTGGACTTCGATCTGTGTAACCACTCCGAGAGTGCCAAATGAACCTGCAGCTCCGTGGAACAAGTCCGAGTTCTCCGTGCGGGAAGCTTGCACAATCTCTCCGTCTCCCAGCACAATCTCGATACTATTTACGATATTATCGAAAACACCATGTCGAAAAGAGCTGCTCTCGCCAGAAGTACCACTGAATCCACCACCAACAGTGATTTCTTTGAACTCCATAATGACAGGTGCAACTAGGCCATACTGTAATGTGGCATCGACAAGCTTCTCCATAGAGACATTTGGCTCGACAACAGCAATGCGCTTTTCTGGGTCGATCTTCAGAATCTCGGTGAAGTCGCTGGTTGATACCATTTTACTGCGGTCCTGCTCCTGGCGTCTTGTGCTGCTAGTACTGCCATGGAATATCCGGAAGGGTTCCTTTCTGTCGTAGAACGAGCGGACTTGAGATGCTACTCGCTTAGTCCGTTGAGCGTGTGCCTCGAGTGAGACACTCTTGTTTGACATGATCTCTTGAAGTCGATTCTACCCTTGTGGGTGGATTGGTCTATTGAGATTCTTGAGATGTAACACGGATTGACTGTGTTGACATGAGTTATGATCAGGTATAAGTGTTGAGGTGGTGGATCTATTCCGAGATTTGTCTATGGAGCTTCAGGGTATCTGAAGCAGGTAACAATCAACAAAGCATTGGAGATCAGTAGAACGTGTTAGATTGTGGTGCTAACCTCGATGTTACGTCAGTACTTTGGCTTTCGACTGCCGAAGCTTCCGAGCTGTTCGTTGATGACTGGACATTTGGCTACCTTTCTCGACCAGCTTCTTTGACCCAAAATTGGACATTCGAGCAGCCGACATATCATACATTCAGATCCCTCCAGCTTATAACAAAATACCCATGAACATGCTGATGTAGCACCAATGCCGTTGCCAGCGTGCCATTTGCATCCGTTGAGAACGACTGTATTTGTGTTAGTAACACTCACCAGTTTTCATTCGACGCGCCTCATGCACCTCGCTCGCCCAATCGCCAATACGCATCAAGATGCCCGGAGCATGGCTGAGTGATTCTAATTGAGTGCTGTCAATTTTCGTCGCATTCATCGCCTGCTGCAACGCCACCCGCTGCTCAAAAGAGGGCTGTATGTGAATGGTCGGGCTCATCACGTCACTGCTATTGAGCGTCTGTATGATGAACATTTGATCTAGCAACATGCTGGAGATTGACATCGCTAGGCCAAAGGTCTCTTGACTTCGATTTCCAAGAGGTCAAGAGTTAGCAAGCGCGACCCCGACCTCAGAATCATCTTCGTCGCTCCCGCTTCGGATCACAAGGCCTTCAAGTCAGGTCTGCTCATGGCAGTGTCTGCTGCTCTCTCCCAGGGCAAGTGGACATGGTTTCGCAACAGAAGCGGCCCCTTAAGCACATTTAAAGCCATTGATGCTGGGAGTCGCGACACCCTAGAGAGCTTCAGGCTCCTCTGGTGCATGCGTGGTCGGAATGTTCTCCAACTATAGACTACTTATATGTCAGGTCTAACGCGTTATAGACATCTGGTTTCCGCTGGAGCTCTTATCATAGCCCTAGGCTTCATGGTTGAACCTTTCCTGCAAGCAATCATCTCGGACTATGGGCGTCTGGTCGATCAGGAAAGTAATGGTGCCACTATCGGCAGATCATTTCGTCTCGATGGTGGTACCCAATGTATTCTCACATATCCATCAAGACATCCGAAGGTCGATACAACACCAGGCTTTTCTATCAGTGCCTCCGTATACGACGGTCTTAATGCAGCAACGAGCAATGGTTTCGAGACGTGTCCTTCACGTGCGTATCCGGTAACTGTACTTGGCCTGAGTACGCCTCACTGGCTATACATAGCACATGTTTTGAAGTCTCCGATAATCTGAAGAGGACGAACCTGGAGGATCGAACCAAGACAACAACCTCGACAACCCGGAAGCCATCATCGAAAGGTCTAGCTACCTCGGCTACCTCCTTAGACAATTCTCCAGTATCTGCTGCGACTGAGGATGTAGCATCATACCCTGTGGCGCCTCTGCCGATTTTCTCCGATGTATCGCCCTTGAACTCTCTGATAGCCCCAATCAAGTCCAGCGCAACTAAAGCCACCGTGGGGATAGAGAAGAGGGCAACTTCTAGCGCCTCATCATCATCTGCGAGGCAGACCAAATCTCCAATCACGTGGTCAGACTGGACGCTGGAATATCTTGACTTGACCCTTACAAACACTAATGAAGCTTGGCGAGCAGCCAATACGTTCTCTGTCCTACAAGCAGCAGTCGTCGCTAATCCGAATTGCACTGTCAACTTCAAGGGCTCTCAAGCTTTACTCGCTGCATTCACAGCCTTACTCGCTTTATTCACCGTGATCCTGACCGACAACAGCCATACTCTCGGCAGTGCATCTTGGGATGCTGCGGATGCATCGGCCATGGAATGCGGATTAGAGTCAACTCTGAACGTGTACAACTCCTCTGTTGTCAATAACATTCTCATCGAGCATGTTGTGGCAAGTGCTTCACAGAAAGTTCCGGACTCATGGTTACCAGTAAAGGGAGTCGACCAGACCTATTCGCACCCCAATGGGCTTGAGATCGATTCAGGAACGTTTGAGTCAAATCCTGTTTATCATCATAAATTTTTGCATCGCGACGACTACGCCATCGATCCCGCGCCTCTGCAAAAAGGTATTAGCGGCAATTTTAGCATAGCGCAGAGTGCTATGCTATGTACAGTCGACTTTCTGGCGTCTTTAATCAAGCAAGAAAACGACAATGGAACGGTGAAAGCCGTGACTCAGGACAATCTACCACCGCTCTACACATATGGTAGCCCTGTCCTCCAGCCATTGTACAACCAGACCGACTTGAATGCAACATTAGACGCCATAGCAAGAAGTATGAGCAACGCGATTCGCAGCCTTGGATCGAAGCCGATGCTTGGTAAGACACAGCAGTGGGTCAAGTACTACCAAGTACGTTGGGCATTCCTGGCCCTGCCATTGTCTTTAACCACAAGTGAGTCTGAAGAAGAAGTGTCCATCACCATGTGCTCATGTTTGCTAAATGTACTCTCCCAGTCGGTACAGTGTTCTTTATACTCTCGATCATTGAAGCACATAGAACCCAGATCGATGATTGGAAGGCCAACAGTGTCGCCACGATGTTATACGGACCCGAGGAGACGACCTAAAGGGAACTGCGCGTCAAAAACAATACAGAATCCTTGAGTGTAGCTAGCGAGACAATAGTCAGGCTTGAGTGGTTCCCTGAAGGGTATGCACTCACGTGCGCACAACATTCTGCCGATAAACCCTCTCGACCGACTACACCTGTTAGAGATGAGGAAGAGCTTGAAATGAACATGCTAAGGTTACCGACAACATCTCAAACCGAAAATTCGAACGCGACATTAGTGGATCTACAGAGCACAGGTGGTGCAGAACGAGGCAGTATCCGATCAGTATCGCCAGGATTGATAGGCCCTGGATGGAGTGATGTCCAACTTCAGGACTTTCCTTCACCACCAGGAAGTGGAAGGAGCCCTTGAGCAAGGGCAATGGTATTCGAGTTCTTGTGCGCTCTGTCTGTTCTGGAACAATGGTGCTCTCCTTACGAATCATATTCTAATTTGATGACAGTCGATTCATGCTCTAATTTGATGACAGTCGCTACCGTATATAGGACCCTATACGATGTTCGCACTATACTGGCTAAGCGTCAGGCCGAAGCCGTGCCTATCTGCTTATACAAGCTCGATTGATTAATAGCTTTAAGTTACTCACTTAGTGCTGGATTGTCAGATGAGCCCCCACTCGTCAAATACGTTAGCTATACTGATCTGACGAAGATTGAAATATCTTGGCAAATACGACGGCGGCTGTGACGTGCACTCCTTTGGTACTTTCTCCTGTCTCAAATTCGCATACGGGTGTCTCAAACAATCGTGTCTCTAAGAATATGCTACGGCCGTTCACCTTTCGAGTCTAGTATGAATCCCTCACTTGAATCATGAGATGCAATATGCCTTGCGACCAAACTTGGAACCGTCGCTGCAGTTACTGCTTCTGTCGCGAGTTACACTATAAGCCATCAAACCAAAAGAGTAAACAGTTGTCCAAGAATCACGTTAGTATACCTCTCATAAATAAGTCTTCCAAAAATAGAAATGTACGTCAGTGCACACCTATGCCCTCGAGTTTGGCCCAAGTACAGAGATACAAGGCATATCTACCGTCCAGCTTGCATAAACCTATAAAAGGTTAAGCATGGGGATTGGAAGCGGTTAGGAGGATATGCCACACGAAAGGGGGTACATTTGCTAGCAGCCACAAATCTCAAGTATCTGCATCGAGAAACGACATATTATACAACGGGCAAACCTCCCCCCGGCATATCTCGTCAAGAAACCAACGTGCTCGCAGAAGGACCAAGTCCAGAAAGGGGGGGGGGGGGGGGTCTTGATGAGGAAATGTGGCCGATCAGAAGCGAAAGAGCAAAGACATCAATCCATGGCGTCAAGAGCTATTGATTTTCGAACAGACAAGGCAATATGTCTTGTACGAAGGCGGAGGACAAGGAGTGAGATGTCTATTCGAGACAATAACTGTGGAGGATGATCCTCCAGTGGAATTGATGGTCGGGTCAATGATCCTCGAGCAGCAATTTCAGCTTCTTGGAGGCGATGAGTGGGCGTCAAAATCCATGGCGTACATCACACATGCTGTGCAGGAGATCAGGGTGTCTGGAGGGAGGGGCAGGCCACAGACAAGTCATTACAGGGGTAAACAAACGAGATCCTTTCTCCTCCAAGCAACGGGGGCTGCAGGGGCTCATGGCGAAGGAGCTTGAGCGCGGGCCACAAGTTCGGATGTCGGCTCTCCGAGTTTCCAAGCCATTTTGACAGTCGTCGCGTGGGTTGCGTAGCCTGTGCTTTCCTTGCGAGCGAGTTGATGGAGACAAAGAATAGCACCTAATCTTGTTCGCATCGCATCGCTCTGACTCTGTTCCCTCGCTAGGCCTGCATTTCGCTGTCAGGCTTGAATAAGAATGGCACAAGCTCGTGCAGCAGGCAGTGTCGCCGGTGCCGGCGCATCTCCGCATAGCATCAGTCTTAAGGTGCTTAGGTAAATGATTGCTGGCCTGGTTGTCAATGTGCCTTGACTGAGCTGCTTACTGACGAGCGAATCTTGCACGAGAGTAGGCTGTCCCACCCATCACTATCGCCGGCACATACACTCCCCGGAGACGACCTAATCGCAAGAGCCTCACTGCCCTACCCTGCTGCGCCGAATGATGCCTTCCCGCTCTCACCGTTGCTGGCACTGCCTCCTGCCTTTGGTGCTGCCTACGTGGGCACCGTTTTCTCTTGCACGTTATGCGCGAACAACGAACTCCCGCCATCATCTCCTATTGTCGTACGAGATGTACAACTAAGTGCCGAACTGCAAGTGCCGAGTGGTAGCATTGCATTGGATCTCGAAGGACCAGACACTGTAGAGGGGCAAGATACACAGCCTGCACAGACACTACAGAGGATTGTACGGCACGAACTACGCGAAGATGGACCTCATGTCCTAGCCGTCACCGTCACCTACCAAGAAACTCGAGACGATGCCACAAACAAGCGGACATTTAGGAAGCTGTATCAGTTTGTCGCGCAACCTGCTCTGGGTGTAAGGACAAAGGTAGGCGATCTCGCAGCCAGAAAGGATGTACCCAATGCGCGGAGATTTGTACTAGAAGCTCAACTTGAGAATCTCACCGAAACACCAATCGTGTTGGAAAAGGCCATCGTTAGCACGGCTCAGGGCCTTACAAGCAAGAGCCTGAATTGGACTGCAACAGATGAGAACCCTATATTGAGTCCTCAAGACGTCATGCAAGTCGCGTTTACCTTCGAGCAGACTCAGGGAGAGGATCTGGACGAGAAGAATGGCAGAACAGTTCTTGCTCAACTCCATGTCGACTGGAGAAGCCCAATGGGGGAAAAGGGTAGTTTGACGACAGGCTGGCTAGGCAGTAGAGCAAGGTGATGACGATGGCACTTGGGTTTGATTACGCAAAGTCTAATCGAATCATACTCGGCGCATCGAATGGATGAGACGTCGGGAGCGGCTTACCTAGTTGACTCAGTCCTCGGAGTGCTACAGAAGATGTCTCAGCCGCCCAGGGTTCATGATTGTTTGTTGCCGGCTTGCCGTGAGACAGAAGTAACACAGAGTCAGGTTTCCTCAGCCCAGATGGGCTCGAGCCTTGGATCGTGGAATTACACACGACTGGGACCATGGAGCCACCGTGAGGCGTATTCGAAGTCCGGTACGCATCATGATATTTCTTACGCCGAGACTCATGATTGCGGAGATTTTGTGCAATTATCCATTGGTCGAGTGAGAGTGCTGCTAGTTTGAAACATGAGGGGCGTTCTCCGCAGATCGTTTGCGCCTGCTTTAAGAGTTTAAGAGCAGGCGAGATTTTCATGTGCTCCCTGTTGCTGGGTGCAAGGGGATGGCGGAAAGGGCGCATAGGAGCAATCGCACATAACTCTTGTCTCTGATAAAGCTGGATTCTGCAGCACATCAGGGAGGCATGGTGAGGCGCACAATGACAGGCGATACGAAATTGCGCCGCGCGAAGAATGGATGTTTATTATTGCCGATCGCGTGTGCAGCAACAAGTGGAGAAGTGGAAGGGTCTCTGACCGAAACGGGGTAGAGGACCACTAAAATGCCGTATTTGTGGCTAGCCGGCCCTCTTGGCCTGGCCAAAACATAGGAGAAAAGTAAAGTGATGGACAGGCTCGGGACACGAGCTCGAGACACACGATGCTATACTTGTACCAGGGTGGGTGCGGTGGTGCGGAGGATGAGGGTGTGTAGACAAAAGAATCCTTTCAGCATAGTGCGCGCGCTTAGGAGTGGATATTCGCTCTGTCATGATCAGTCGTCTCTCGCACGCGTTTGCAATCTATCAGGGAAGCAGGAATCAAACACCGCGTCAGCATGCACCGAGAGACAAAGGAGAGCAGCAGTTCCGTTGCAAGTGGCCAAGTTGCGCACAGACAGGCTAAACTCTGTTGTCCCCTTGGCTGCCCCGAGCCATAGATTGATCGATAGCGGGCAGCGGACAGGCATAAACCACCCGGCATCCAGGGAAACTGTTGTGCCTTGTGCTTCCACGTCTGCCAGTTGGTTGACCTTTTTTCGAAACAGAGACCGTTTGACAGTCTGCCAAAGCAAGTCAAAGGATCGACAGGAGTTTCCAGCGGTTTTCCCTTCCACTTTGGATATTAGCATTCGCGAACCCCTCGCTCGCTCTGCTTTTGCTCTTTCCACTTGTTCGAGCTCCAGCTGCCAGCTTTCCTGCGACCAGACGCCCAACAAACTCAACCTACACTGCGAACCGCCCTTAGACTTTTTCTCCTCACGACGACCGTTGCTCGTCACGAGAGCTCCTCACCCCTGGCGCTTTGCATCATCTACCGCAATCTATAGTCACTCCTTTTGGTTATCCACAAGCTCGCCCTATTAACACCCCTGCGATCAATGGAATAGACCTTAGCAACAAATCACCATACCACTTTGCATAATTACACATGGCACCAACCAAGGATTCGACGTCGGTGCCCTTGGCCGACTACTTCTTCATATCCGGCATTGAGTCGACTCAGATCTACGACGAACGCGAGCATGCTGCCACCTCCCCGCCGGCGGTAGACGAGACCATCGAGGAAGACATTGCTCTCGAGACAGACAGCGCCACATCGCCCAGGCCCTCAACACCAGGCTCCCCAAACACGGACAGGACGAAAAGGGGATCATCTCGCTACAGCTGGGAAGCGCGGAAAAGCATTAGCAGTGTCATTGGTCCTGGAGATTACAAGCCGACACCAAGCAATCGCAGTAGCGCGACTATCAAGGGGCTACAAACAGAAGCGCCCGGTCTAAGCGATGAGGATTTCGAAATTGCGCTTCGCAAGTTCGCGTCCGAAAGGGAGAATTTCCTGGAAGAGATTCAAGTACAAGCTGGAGCAGTCGTGCCGCAAACATCGCGGACACCGAAACCAAGACCGAGAACAGTGCGCATCACAAGCGCCGAGGAGGCAGCAAACAATGCGGCAGCACAGAAGGGAGGTATCGGTGGATTAAGGAGGCGCCTATCGACCATGAATAGCATGAAGAGACAGCCCTCAGTGTCAGTATCAAGACAACGTGAGTATTTCAGCACGTCGTTAAGCCAACCGGCTGACCGGACTTCGCTAGCCTCGACACGCACTTCCAAACGACTGAGTGGCTACAACTCTGTCATCCCTACGCCGAAGCCTTTCAAGGCTTCACCCGACATGCACCCCCTGAAACGACGATACGAACCCGTTCTGCTCGACAGATACCCTCCGAAAGCTCAAGACGATGAAATGAAGCGAAGATGTCCATTCCCCGATTACGTACCTATGTTTGCCTTTCCGAACGACGTCGTTGTTGTCTCATCCGACGAGCGGCCAAGATCGACATGGCATGGTTTTGCCATGACCACCGGCGATGGTTCAAAGCTACACGCTATCTGTATCACAGTATGGATGCCGCTCAACGAATCCGCCTCGGTCGAGCTTGAACGACAATGCGAGGCATGGCGCAAAGCCAATATGAGCGATGAAGAGAGGGAACTGGCGAGCAGCTTAGGGGAACGACTAGCAGGAGAAAGAGCAAAGCTATCGAGACTACTGGCCGAGCTACCCAACGCTGCGCAAGGCTCGGCTGAAAGAGAGAAACTTGACGATCAAATCAGCGCCGTCGAAGAGAAAATCTCTCTCATGGCCGATCTTCTGCGACCAGTACGACATGGAGCGGCCTCCAAAATCGAAGGTCTCACAGATGGCGAAAGCGGCTTCTGGATCCCGCGATGCTATGGTGTTCTCGGCAAAGACGGCGCCATGACAAGTTTCTGGAAAGAGTGGCTCAAGGCCATCGTTACGCCCATGACGAACGGTGCCGTTCTTCGCGTGCCTCCAAGTTCTCCCAAAATCGGCATGTGGCAGCCGCTCGAACGATACGTCGTCAACTTATGCGTCGAAGCTCCGAGCCCCATGTCCTCTAGCACACAAATCGAGGTGGCTATTCGAGAACTGCGCTTGTACGCCAGAAAGGAGGCCGAGAACGAAATTCCTGGCTCTCGGAACAGCGATATTTACGCTCTTTTCCGATCGCTCTCCTTGAACAACATTGTCACTCTGTTCGAATACGTCCTTTCCGAATCACGAATCATCTTGCTCTCATCACACACATCCATGCTGCATCTTGCGAGCGCCGCCATCACCAGTCTGATCTACCCTCTAAAGTGGGCCGGTGTCTTTATTCCTGTTCTCCCAGCACGACTAATCCAGGCTCTCGAAGCCCCTTGTCCATACATTGTGGGTGTGGAGCGAAGATACGAAAACCTCGAATTTCCTGATGACGACTTTGTGCTTGTGGACCTTGACCAGGACACGATCGAAAGCACGTCACGACCCACGCTCCTGCCTCGCCAACAGCGTAGAAAGCTCGTCGCTTCGTTGCAAGCAGTCGCGCCTCACCACACACGTTACGGCGTGCCGGTCGGTCCTCCCTCATACGCCATCGAGACCTTCCCCAACAACGCATTCTCCTCCGAGAACCCTCAGATTTACAGTCAAAGAGCCACACTCTCGAGCTTGGCCTCTTTGGTTGGTGCCAATTCTGCAGCGTTTGCGGAGATGCCTGTGCCTACGCAGAATCGCAATATCGTTCTCAATGCCTTCCTCAACTTCAGAACTGCTTCGCGAGGAAGCGACCGCCCTTCTACAGGCTCAACCACAAGAGAAGACCGCCGATCTTCATCTACCAGATCTCCACCATCTCCCACCATTCCTTCCCCGATATCACAGACCTTCCCTACGACCCCAGTTTCTCGCAATGATTCAGGCTACAGCATGCAGACTTCCCTTCGTGAAAAGCGCTCTGGACATTTCGATGTAGCAAGCAGGCGCAATTCGTCCTTCGGCTTTGATCGCATGGCCAATCTTCGAAGACCTAGTGTTGCTAATGGCGCTCAGCCCTTCATCAGCCATACCAGCAGCATGTCAACATCGACCCTGGCAAACTCTGCCGGCTACGCGCCCTCTGTGTACGCACCGTCTACCCTCGCCGCTTCCACCATCATGCCCAACGCTGTTCAGCCTTCTTGCCCTCGTGACACCGACACCACCAAGTGGGTCGAGGGCCATTGCCTAGTGTGGCGCCCGCGCGAAGACAAGACATACTGCAGCATCTGCGATGACAAATGCGAAGATGGTGTCTACCGCTGCGGTGGATGCAACACCAGCGTACATCCCCGCTGCCTTCACGAGATCTCGGTCGTCTGCCCGCTCGCCTTCCGCACCGAAGCCGTCCGTGCTGTCTTTGTGCGCTGCTTCGCCTCGCTCCTGTACACTTACCGTCGCTTCATGCATCCTGCATCAGGTGAGCGCAGAAAGGCAGGCATGGTGTACCACTTCAATATGGATCAATTCATCCGCAGTGTACCTGGCGAGCAGACCGAGCACATTGCCATGATGCGTGAGACTCAGATGTTCAATGAGTTCATCCACGAACGCGAGTCTACTAGAGCCGAACATCCTTCCATCAAACTCTTCGACGAGATCATCCTCGCCAAGCGAAACAGAGGTCGAGGCTCTATATTCTCCAAGCACAACACTTCCTGGTTATTCGACACGTCGGAACATCTATGGCGTTCGGCATCTACTGCAGCACCCAACTCTCGCTTCCCTGGTGACTACCGCCAGGTCGTCAGTAGGATCCCTGCGAAACTGGACACTACACTCATGAAAGAGCCCAGAGCAGTACAAGGTCTTCCTCGTCCACAAACGCGTACAAAGCGCAAGCCTATACCCTCCATGATGGGCTTGAGCGTCGACGAAGAGACTCCCGCATAATATCATCCAGCAACCACTCAACCAGCCTACAAAATATCTCCCGCTTTTTTTATGCTTTTCTTGCATTTTCCTGCATCATCTCGTCTTCTGCTCCTTTTTCCTAACGCCCAACACTCGCTTTATTGGACTCCGGTCTTCGACATCAGCCAACTTGAACAACGCCACAGATTCGCTATACCCCTTGCCCAACACTTTCTTCTCCCTTTCTGCGGTAGCTACCTCGCTTTTGCTTACATGCCTTGGCTTGCTGTACTATACCCTCTTCATTGTTCTTGCATCTCCATCCTCACGCCTCTTTTCACTTCTTCAAGAGTTTTGGATCGTTCGGTCTCCTGGACATTTGGGAGCCGTCTCGCCACAACTCTGCTTGTTTCCTATTGAATGGAGCAGAGCAATTTGTTTGAATATTTCCACCCTGTTTTTTCTCCTTTTCTAGCGATGGAGTGATGTGGAGTTATTTGCCCTGTTTTGTCTGAATCAAGAAATGTTTACATTGTTTGTCCTCTCGCTACTTTTTCCTAGAAGACGAATTAGAAAAATGAATTTGTAATGCCCCATGCTTTCTCATCTCATCTTTCAGTCGTTCCATTTCTGTGACTGATACCATTGTGATTAACGTATGTGGGTAGTTTATGAGCTGCTACGTTTGTGATAATCCTGCATAATTTCTTCCATCATGTCTTGAACGAATGGCTTTTCTCCTCCCGATTGCTTTGCTACCTCTAGCCGTCCCCCGAAAGGCACAGCAGCCTACTCATTTGATCTCAGTACGTCTCAGTGAGTATTCGAAGTGGAGCGCTGAACTTGAAAATGTGGATAATCAGACAAATAGAGGTCGCGGCGATCAAGGCGATCAGGATGGACCATTTGGGTATGCCGCACAAGGCGTGCGAGATGCATGAGGCGAGCAGAACCAGCACGGCGAGCACTGATCTCATCCATTTCCAGTGTGTCTCGTTACTCTGCTCAGCAGCATCGACGACTCTCCGGCTGGGGAATAACAGATCTCCTCCGCATGAGTGTGGCCGCTCATCTGACACCTGTTCATCCCTTTTCAGCTTCGACGCACGCTGGTGTGATGTGACACGCTTGGAGTGGTCGTTCTGATCTTCCAACACTTGCTCGCGTCTCTCCTGCTTCTGTTCACTCTCTTGTACCCTGTTGAAGGCTTCCCGTGGGACTCTGATCCAGGTTGTTTGTCCGAGAGAGCTAGACGATGAGATCGCTATAGCGTCCTGAACCATGGTTGAATCCATCACGACAGATAGCTCCAGAATGCACCGGGCATTCGCAAGTACCGGCGTCGCAGGGCACATATCCGGGAAAGTAGCATTGGAAGTCTATGCAACGCCATGAGTACCGTCTGTGGTGAAGGCGTCGTCTTCATCACATAAGGCAGTAATGCGGGTCCGTGAGAGCGGATGGACGGAAGCGAGTCCAGCAAAGGAGAGCACAAAGCCGAGCTGGAACAAGAATGGAGCCATTGCTATCGGGTGTCGTTTCGAAGTAGAGCTGTATCTATCAAGCATATCTTCATCAGCATCAAGATCAGAAACGGCCTGGGACACGCCGATTGAACTCACATCTGGTCAATCTTCCAAGAATCAGGGTCCAGACGAGAGTTTTTCGAACAAAGGTTTTATCCGGCAGCGAGTGGTCAATCTCGCGAGAGTGTTGGGTAAGCAACTAGATGGATATTGTTACGATGAACGGAGTATTGGACTCGGACGACGGAGTGCAAGTGTAGAAATAGCTTGTAATTGATGTATCTTGCACTGAATCAGTACGAAGTCTGATCGTAATGTGATGGAGGAAGAGGAGGGAAAGTCAACAGCCTCAGGAAAGAAGACAAGTACGACAAATAGCTCCTTCTCGCTGTGAGATCATCCTGAGTTTCCACTGAGCATGTTGGGAGGGAAGTTGCGATTGGAAGTTGGAAGCTGTAGAGAGGGGGATAGAGACAGGGTTGTCCTCCCAGCATAAACCTATCGAGACATCGTGGTTTTGATTTGCAGCAATAGCACCTACGAGGTCTTTATCTACTACGTATAGCTTTGAAAGTTGATACTTCTCCACTCATCAGAAGAGAAGCTCCACGAAATAACTCATTGAGGTGTGGCATCATCATCTGTTGACCTGAAGCTTTCCAGTCGTGCCTTCCGCCCGATACACACCTCTCCTCAGGGACAGAACGCACGTGTAATCGTGAATGACAGAAGACCGATGAGTGAAGTTGTACGCACGGTGTATAATAATTGATATTCTTCCCGTCTCTTATCCCACCACAGAGAAAACGCCGCGGCTATGCTGGTAAGGGGGTTATGTATATGCAGTCTGCTGGAAAAGAAAAACACAAAAACGAACAGACTCGCTAAACCCAATACGCCGCCTCAATGCACAAAAAAAGAAAAAGGGAATAATATCGAGAGGAAGAGAGATCAGATCGTGGGACCCCTGAAACGTCTCTGTTGTTGTCGCTTGCAGAAGTCATCCAAATCTTCATTCTCCTCGTCTTCCTCGACAAAAGGATCGCCATCCAAAACCATGGCGGGAAACTTCTAGTTCCCTCCGAGGCCGTTGCTGCTACTAGAGCTAGTCATACGTCTGCCTCGAGAAGGCCTCAGGTTTCCGACACCCGCCGATGGTGCAGAAAGTTGATGATGGTGGCCAAGACGACTGGGTGTTCTCGCATGGCTGTGAGGTGCTGTAGTATTCTTGGGTGTCAAGCTCTCGCTTCTCTCGTTGTTTAGGCCGCTGCGGGAGCCAGGACGCGAGGTTCTACCTTCGGCAGTAACGAGGCTGAGGCGCGCGCCAGAGGTTCCGCGAGAGTGGTTGGTTCGTGGTAATCTAGACTTGGAGACGAGATTGTTGATGTTGTTGGAGCCGGCGCGATCGAGCGACACTAATCCAGGGACTGGAGGGATAGCGCTCGGAGAAGCCAGGAAGCCGGATGCACTCCAACCTGCTGATGAGCCTCCAGAGCCTCCATCACGACTAGTGGGACGGTAAGGGGACACCATGCCGGTAGCACCGCGTGAGAAAGGCCGTTGAAGATCACCAGAGTGGTCGAAGTAGCTTCCAATACGGCCTGGTATACGATCCGTCGTTGGAGTAGGAGGAAGAGAGTTGTTAGTAGGCACCATGGTCGAAGAACTCGAACGACGCATCGGACGTCGATTGTTGACTTCGCCCACACGAGCGTTGTGAACTGCCCGGGAGACGTGCAGTTCAGAAGATTTGATCAAGTCTGATGCCATCTCACGCACCAGGATCGCCGGGTCGTACTTAGCAGTCTCAGCGATGACAGGATGTAAGCCGTACGTATGAATAAGGGCGCCGTCTTCGTCGCTAGAGTCGCAGATACTGCGAATAATTCTAAGCAGGTTGAGACGGACCAGAGCCTTCTTAGTGCGGAGTTTCTGAGCAGTTCGTAGGAAGAGATCTGGATGAATAAGGGAGCTTGCCAGTGGGGGGCTGAGGCGTAACAGTTTCTGTAGAGGCTCGAGAAAGTTTTCGAAACTGTCAGCTTTGCTGTGATTGAAGCAGTTTATGATTGCTTGAGAGAAGCTTTCATCCCTGAGAAGGTGCTCTTCTACCTTTGCCGTCTCTTCTTGTAACCTGAGAATTGTTAGTCATGATCATGGTCATGCGAAAACATATGACGACACATACCAGACGAAGATGGCGTCCAAAGCCGTGACCTGCCAATACTGATCTGCAAGCAAGCTAACATAGAATTGGAGACCCTTGTTCTGCCATAATATCTTCCTCCCGACCTTGCCAGAGTGTGCCATATCACACAGGATAGGCAGTGCGAACTCCTTCAGCGGACGCTCGGTCTTAACGATACGCTGCAACAGAGGAATAACGCCATTCAACGCAGCATCCTCTTGTCTCGTCTTACTCAGCCTGCACAGATTGTACATGATGTTCAAGACCTGATTCGAGATTTCGCGGAAGTGTGGCACTTTCATGCTGGCGTTCAGAAGATCTGTCAAGACCTCGATGGCATTCGAGTTTTGAAGAGCGTCAAGTGTGGTGGCCAGCATGGACAAGTTCTTGATGAACTTGAGCATGGTGATCTGATGCTGGGGAGACATGCGTTTCAAGTCCTTCAGCACGCGCTTCAAGACCATACGGTCTGCAACTGCTTCCTTGACGTGATTTTCAGCCTGTGAGAACAGTACAAAAATGTTGACGATGCGGCCCTCGACCAGCTCAGCAAGTTCGCCCTCTTCTTCTAGGACTCGGTTGAGCACTAGAGACAATGGGTACAGGACTGAGCTGCGCGAGAAGATTCGACAGAAATCATTCTTCGGTGTCGGACCTTGCAACTCGAACACACTCCAAACACCATTCACACCGATCAGAACAAGATCTCTCTCCGCCTCATAGTCTTCTTCGAGAAATTCAACCAGGACGTTGAGACCACCACAACTGACAAACATCTGAAGCGTGAGTGTACTGGTTTGATACATCTGTCGGACAAAAGCAGCAGCTTCCAGTCTGATGTCGCTACTATATCTCTTCTGCGCGAAACGAGTAATGATGGGTATACCACCCACGAAACAGAGGTTCTCCTGAATCTCGACATTGTCCATGATGATCAGATTGACCACTTGTAGTAGGCGTAAGATGGTCGTTGGTCGATTGCACGTTTCCAGAATTTCCAAGATGGGCAACATACCATGCGAAGACATGACCACGGTCTTGACTTCAGGAGACTCCCACAATACCGAGAATAGCTGGTCCACGATATCTTCCAGATAGTCCTCGGGTTGTGAAACTTTGAGTGATCCCACGAGACCCTCGACAAGTGTCACTAAGCGAGCAAACTTGTCACGTGCGATGTTCGTCTCCAAGTCCATTTCGTCAAAGCCTTCTTCAAGTTGCGCAAACGGATCATCCTCATCCTCCTCGTCGCCAAGCCATGAGTGGCTCGATAGTTTTGAGTTGAGCATGAGAGTCCCAATGTCAGAGCCACTCTCACTTTCGGGTTGCGGAATTTGCTGCACATCTTCTTTGCCGAAGATGTCCGAAAAGTCTTCGTCCTCGGGGTCTTCCGCGTATTTCTGTATTTCCACTTCGGAGCGTGTTCTACGCATTGCTGCAGCATCGTGGATTTGGGGAGATGGTCGGCGCATATTGCTCATGCGTGAGCTCGGTCGAGGTAGACTTTTCAGGTCAGAGGGGTGAAATAATTTGGGGGCAAACGAGTCGTCGCTTCGAACAGTGAGTGCCGCAAGCTTCTGACGAAAGACGGAGTCGTTGTCTGGTCCAAGCAGATCGGAATAGTCTTCCGTCGAGTTCTCTCTATACAAAAGTGATGGACGCACTGGTGCCTCGGTGGGCTTCGTTTCAGATTTGGTGACTTTGTGCATTGGTCGAAGGATCTGTGTTCTTGATGGATTTTCTTTGTCAGCCTTCTCCAGCGCTTTCTGCGACTGTCGCAGCGTTGACTGCTGAGGGTTCCTCGTGGGAGCGGTATATTTCATGTCGTAGGTGTTTGCCCTAGGCGGGAAGAAAGGCCGCACGGTTTCCATAGGATCGCCCCGTATGATCGCCATGGGACTCCTCACCGTTAAGTCCCCCTCGAAGTTGTCGTCCCAATTGTCACCTCCCTCTTCTTCCTCAGCGTTGATATCGAAGGTGGCGTACTGCTTTAGTTTGTCCGAAGATAGCATGCCAGCAAAATTATCGTGGGGCTTCAGTTGCGGCAGATGCAAGGCAGCGTTGCCAATGGATGTTGCAAAGTCATCGTCCCAGTTGTCTTTGGCATCGCTCTCAGGTGACTGATAAGGTTTTGTGTCGTTTGCTCGATTTGCCAGTACCAAGCCGCCTTTGTTAATACCAGGAGTCCTCAAATGTGAACCAGCATCAGGTCTAGGAGGAACAGGACTCAGAGACAGTGGCCTTGATGACGAACGCCTCGAGGAGGTGTTTTGTGGCGATTTGAGTGCTTCATTCCACTGTTGAACACTCTTGACGGCTTCGTCGTACTGCGTAGGTTTGGCGACGGGTTGATCAGATCGTCTTCCACTCAGTATCCAGGGATGTCGCAGTAGTTTCTTGGCTGTTACTCTGAGGTTAGGATCTTTTTGGAAACACTGCATTAGAAAATCGCGAACGGCCTATGCGACGTTAGCAAGACTGGCGACAAAAGCAATCGGAAGTCTCTGATACCGGAGAAGCTCCTTCGGGTAGCGGTGGATGATCATCGTTGACAATGCGGAACAGGGCTGGCATCGGCTGCAGCTTGTGGTATGGAGGTCGTCCGTCGAGCAACTCAATGACGGTGCATCCAAGACTCCAGATATCCGAAGCAGTGGTAGCACCAGACAATTCGATGACTTCGGGAGCCATCCAATAGGGTGTACCGACTACGCTGCTCTCATGAAGACCGGTGTCTTTCCTTGTCGCGACACCGAAGTCGGCCAGCTTGACGAGACCCTCCTTGGTAGTGAGAATATTTGCACCCTTGATATCTCTGTGAATGACACCCTGTTCGTGGAGATATAGCAGGCCGTTCAGGACCTGGGTCATGTAAAGTGCAACCAGATTCTCCGGGAACTTGCCAAAGTTTCTGCAAATAGTATGCAATGAACCATTCTCGCAATATCTGTAGAAGGTCAGTAGAGCCTTGCTAGCATGTACATCGAGAAAGCGCACTCGAGAATGATGTATAAAGATTCGGTAGACTTGACAAAGCCATTGTACTTGACAATGTTGGGGTGGTTGAGGTTCTTTAGCAGATCGATTTCCATCTGCGATTACTAGTCAGCATCTGTGATCCAAGGAGCCCAAGGTCAAGACGGTACCATAATTGCGCGAGACTGGCCTTTCGGCAGATCTGCTAGTTTGACTTGTTTGATGGCAACAGTCTCGCCAGTACCCCAGTTCAAGGCACGGTATACACTGCCAAAGGCACCCTTCCCGAGGCAATCGCCCAATTGCTGGCCGCATCTGTCAGCTCGAGGCCCAAGCAGTATGTCTCATGTATGCCAGCTCTTGTCTTACATAGTCTTTCAAGCCGCTGACCTCTCCGGCGGCCCTTTGTACACTTCCATCTTTCGGCACTCTTTCCCAGCTTGGCTGTCTGCTCTGGTTCGGTGCTCTGAGAGCGGACTGTGGTTGGAAACTGGCCCGTCTTTCGAGAGCTGAAGTAAAACGTTCACTGCCACTGCCGCTGTCAGACTCGACCGACGACCTGGGAGGACCATAGGCCGACTGAGGGCGTTGGGCGATGGCCGGCATAGCGGCGGAGGTGTCTGAGTCGTCGACGTGGGCGGTGTTTCGGGCGTCGGGATCAGGAGCGGTGATGGTAGAGACGGTCCAGAAGCGGGATGCAGTTGCGAGAGCTGCGCGACAGCGGTGGCAGCGACAAGGATGGATCGCTTCTCGGCCTCATAACAGCCAGACTTCCGGGACAGGGTAGCAAACTGCACGTCGTCACAATGCCGGATTGGAGGCAGAATGGAAGAAGACTTCTTGGACGGCTACGGCGTTCCACTCTCGCATCGGGCGTCGAATGTCGACAGTTATGCGTGGGCACGGGGCACGAATGTACCAATCCCACCGTCCGGGAGATTGAATGAAGTCACTGACGATGGCGAAAGGTTGTTTATCTCACCATCTGAGACACAGCAATTCCATCCCACGCGCCTACACGATATCTTGCCCTGCTTTAAGGTGATTCCGAAATAGCCAAGCAACCTTCGCGGACGACGTTGGAACGGGCGGGGCTTTCGTTCCCAAGCCAAAGCCGCAACTCTGATATTCGCTGCCAACTCTACAAGCTGAACGCTACCTCTCAAACCTGCTATCAAATGTACCCATGAGTCCTGACGGCATTCCATACTCCATGTTCCCATCTCCCAGCTCTCCTGGCGTGCTGTCGCCGCGTGTGGCCACGCGCGGCCTAGGCCTGCGTTTCAAGGGTCATTGTATCATTTCATCGTCGTCGTTGTAGTGCTGTTTTCCGGAACCGGTCTCATGACCGCTTGTCACAAGGAGCCGTATCGTCAACGTCGCTGACTCCCACTTTCGTGCTTAACGGCCAGCGACCATGTTCAGCACACCTCCGTCAACGGCAATGATCTCTCCGTTAATATAGGTGTTCTTTGCGAGGAAGAGCATGGCCATGCCCATCTCCTCGTCGCGACCACCACGCATCTGAGGCACGTGGCCCTTGTCGGCAACCTTCTCGTCTGGCAGATCACTCTTCTGTCTGTCGTCGGAGCTCTTGGCTGTCATCTCGCTGGGGAAGTAACCAGGTGCGATGCTGTTGACTCTCACGCCGAGCTTCATGAACTCGGAACTCATCAGCTTGGTCAGATGCACTGTTGCGCCCTTGGCTGTGTTGTAGCTGTGAGGAGACACGTTAGCTGATATCTCGTAAACACGAATCGAGTCACCTACGCGAAGTGGCCCTGGGCATGACGCATGATACCACTCATGGACGAGGTGGTGATGACGGATGCACTGAAACGCTCTCCAGGACCTTTGGGTTCAACAGCAGCCTGCAACAAGGGGAGGAAGGCAACAGTCGTGAAGTAGACCGAGGTGACGTCGGTCGAGTAGGTGTCATTCCACTCTTCGACAGACTCTCCTTGCCACAGCTTATCCTTTAGTTCTCCTGCCTCAGACTTGTCAGGCTCGGCCTTGGGTCCAGGTACACCTGCGTTGGCGACTAATACGAAGTGTCAGTCTTAGCAGCTTCAGTCTCCTTGCATGAGGACCCGCTTACCAAGAAGGTGAATGCACTTCTCCTTCTCCTCAATCTGCTTCACCAACTTCTCCAGATCTGCCTTTTTGGTGACATCGATGTTTCCAATACTGGTCACTTTGTCAATTGTGTTCTTTTCCTTCCTCTTGATTAAGCTGTACATACGGAATGATCTCTCCGTGGTCGGGTTCGTGCTCCTTGCTTGCAGTCTCGAGCTTCTCGACGTCTTGGGATCATGTCAGGATCAATACGTGCTCGTAAAGTGTGATGAACTTACTTCTGCCGACGATGTAGACCTTTGCGCCTACAGATGTCGTTAGCTCGGTGAAAGTAATTGTGCTGGTGGTGATGGCGTACCATTGGCGGCGAGAGCCTGTGTGGTCATCAAACCAATGCCGGAGCCACCTCCTGTGACAACGGCGACTTGACCCTTCATGCTGAAGAGCTTGTGTGCGTGGAAGTGGTGTGTTTCGGCCATGTTGATTGAGTTCTGAGGTGCGGTGATGGATTGATTTGGTATGGCCGTTACTTTGTAATCGTTCCAAGTTTCGTCCTGATACTCGGAGAAAAAAAAGACTCGAAATGTGTTACTCAAAGGTTGAGGAAGGTGTGTTTTCGAAAATAATGGCTGACAGCTCACGATGATGATCAGCTGTGACGTACAACGAAGCTAAGCACCGATCTGCGAGCCTCATTCGGCTGCAATTTCCATTTTCTTTGAATGTCATGTGCTGTACTCCCTGATGCTCTCATGCTGCATTTAATTTTTATTGCTAAGGTAAAGGTGTGCTTGAAATCTGCACAGCATGTCGCTATTGAAAATCGGAGAGAAATGAATCGCTCAAAATGTGATTCGGAATGCTAAGTAAAGCATCCATACGATCGGCGTCGCTTTTATTGTGAGGGACATGCCTTTGCCTGGGAAGGATCTCTCGTGGCCCCTTGGATCCAAATCTCGGTTTGGAAGGCTCGATGCGGCCCAAGAGACCTTCGCTTCGCACTGTAGCCCTGTACGGCCACTCTTCGTAGAGTACACTGTCTTGCCTATGTCGCTTTAGATGGCAGTGGGTACTTTGGCCGTGTTCGACACTGGCTGTTCTTCTTGTATTACTTTCATGTCGCCTCCTAAACCTTTTGTGGTTTTTTTCAGTCGATTTTCCAGTGACTTGTCAGACTGCTGTCATCGTGACCTTTGCCGAGATATAATTCAACTGCGTAGAGTGCCATGGTACCAGCAAGATTGGCCCACCTCCAGACATTGCTGCCTGCATCGCCGCCCTGACTAGTCCACCATTCTCCAGGATGATCAGCAGAGGCCGAGGCGAAATGCTGCATCAGTAGACTGGTATAGACTGCAATGAGGATACTTGGACTGAAGTAACCGAGGAAACCAAGAACCTGTCCGACCCCGTCACTGTCCTCGAGGGAAGGCTCCTGTGAAAGTGCGCGAGCTCCGGATTCACGCACAGCTGGAATGATGCGAGCAGAAGCATACATGACGAAGAGGCGGTAGGCCAGCGAGATGATGACAGAAGGAGTGATGGTCATGATAGCTGCGAAGAGGAAGTTGAAAGAAGTGTGAATGGTAGACGGAAGAGTAGAGAGGGCGTGCATTAGGGTCGAGTATGAAGCCATGATGATCGGAGGCAAAGGCGGGAAGTCTGGTTCGGTGGGCGCTGGAGTGGAATAGGTCGGGTTCGATGGTTGGTAATCGGTGAAGATTTGGTAGATGCACAGGGTGATGTAGGCGAACTGGACAAGATTAGTTTATCTGCTAGTAAGAAAGACGGGTATGATGCAGGCTCACAAGAAGCGAACTCTCGACGGGATTGCCCTTGCCGCTGCCAATGCCCCAAACGCAAAGGAAGAAAGCACAGGTGATGGCAACGCCGATGAGAATAGCGTCGACATTACCGAGCTCGGGGAAGGTGGTGATTCTCCAGAGAAAGTAAACGGAACTCGAGATGATCGAGGCAGAAGTGATCAGCAGACCGATCTGCAGAGCAGCAATTAGCTTTGTGTCTTCATGTGGGCGCGATAACTGTCAACATACCATCCAGCCATCACCTCCCTCGCGGTTTACCAGGTACCTTGTGATCTGACCAGCAGCCTGGATGACGAGTAGACTGCAGAAGCCTTCGCTCAGCTGGAAGACAGGAGTTGACCAGCGCAACAGCCTATCCCAAGCACCGATGGTCATGGACTGCACCAGACCGTCGCTACCGAAAAGCCATGTGGACCAGGTGTTGTGCTGTGCTCTTCTCCCATTGAACGTCTTTTCCACCCATCCGCTTGCGTCCGAGTCGACGGAGAATTTGTTGAGACTCCAAATCATGAGGGTGGGAATGACGATCCACTGTGAGGCGGCGATGGTGTTGACGAGGGCATAGCGAAGCCTGGAGCGATCGGGAGTCGCCAGTCGTAAGGCAGAGTAGAAGAAGTAGAAGGCGCTCAGCGAGAGGGAGAATGCAAGGCCGCAGGTTCGACCACCGACATCAAAGGCCAGCGGGATGGTGAAGACGACGCTCGACAGGAACAGGAGCGCCGACAGGATGCGCGTTATGTACCACATGAGCGCGTCCAGGCCACACGCTCGACCGGCGTGTATGGGATCCGGAGAAGTCGAGAAGACTCGAAGAAGATGTTTGTCGTCAGGCAGCGCATACAAAGTGGCTTGAACTCTTTCTGCCGCGGGATGCCTCTGACCGCCCTTTTGACTTTGGCCCAGCTGACGATGACTGCTCGGCGCTCTGGAGCCTAGAGCCTCTCGTCTTCGTCTTCGTCTTCGTCTTCGTCTTCGTCTTCTGGAAGACCGGCGGGAACAAGGAGTCCTGTAATTATCTTTTCGCTGTCAGTCTTGGTCGATGAGGCAGCCTGCGTCTCTGTACTTGCATGCACTCTGTCCTCTTGCCGTCGCGTGCTGCCCGTCCAAATTGCTTTCCCCACTACGTGACCCTGACTGGTTCGGAACCGATCTTTCTGAAACTTGAAAGAATCTCGACTGCTCACTTGAGTCCTTTTGTTCGCTGGTCGTCAGAGAAGTTTGGTCGTATCCATTATTGTGCGAGCGATCACAGATAGCTACGAGAAACAGAAGGCCGAACACAGAAGGAGCTCGTCATTGCCCACTTTCACATCCCGCGCCGAGACCAGCAAAGCCACACACCCGCCTGGAACATGCTTGATGATACAATTGGTTGCTGACACCTGCAAATCAGGTTTCTCGGACAATCATAATCATGTGCACTAGGAAAAATACCTGATCATTATCCTTCTGCGCAACTCCATCATGGAATCTCATCAATGCTTTGGACGTCCTCCGACTTTGAGACGTTGATCTTGTCCCTGGTCGTCTTGCTGTGCGGATACACCCCTTTGCGCAATCTATTGATCGAACCCATGGGCCTATGAGCTGCCAGACCTCGCCAGCCGTCCAACGCCATTCGATCTTCCCAAAACACTCGTCGTGCCTGACCAAAACTGTCCTGAGCTGGGAAAGTGATTGTGCCTAGGGACTGATAAGGGCTTGTTGCTTCGTCCCATACCACACTACCGTCCTCGGTAGGGTGGTGAGCCGGGTCAGTGCCTAGCTGAATCTGCAAATTGTAAGCACTCGACCTTTGCAATGCAGGCGAAGCTTCTTACCTTGAACTCATACTTGGCTTCTTTGCCATTGAAGTAGTCAAACAGCCAGTCTGACAGAACGCTCGCCGGATCATCGCTCTTGACCTTATCTTCGGCCGTCTTCTGCGAGTCCAACACAGGAAACAAGCCCATGTGGCCATAGTAGTCACCAAAGCGATATGCTGACTGACTGTACATCGCATGAGAAATCATGTTTGTATTGGGGAGCATGTACGGCGCGTGCTGCTTGACCAGATCCGTGCGTAATTTCAGATGTCTGCCCAATGCAGCTGGATCGTCGAAGTATTTCTCACGCAGACTCATGATCTCCAAAGTGGTGTCGACGTCTGTGAGCTCTATACTTGGCGCATTGTTCCAGAAGAAGTCCTGGGTTGTGATGGACTCGTCAACTCCCTCGAGACGAGGCCCCGTGACACCAAAGACCTTGAGTCCAAGACCTCGAGGGCCTGCTTCTTGGTCACGTTGAAGCAGGTATGGCTCGTTCGCGTACCTGGCCGCAACATCATACACTTTGCCGGGCTCTGTAAATATGCCTTGGCGAAGGTGTTCTGGAAGGTCCGGATTTACTTGTAGCTGGCCTTTAACAATTCCCTGAGTCTTGACATGGGTTGCGCGGAAGGCGTGACGATGACGGTCAAAGTTGTGTCTCTGCATACGCTCCATGACCTCTTTGATACGCTCAATCTTCTCTTGCTCGTCTGGCTTGACTGTCTCGACACCCGGTTCATCCCAAGCGAGGTAGGCGTCATTTGGCGGTGCGCTGGACAGCCCGCGCTTGACATTTGTCCAAGCAGAGTTCACGGTTTCCTTCAGTGTTTCTGCCATGGTCTGGTATAGGTTTGTTGTGTAGACGGACAAACCGAACTCCTTGCCTTCCTATACGTCATAGAAACGGCAGCTGGCAGGAACTTCCCGTGTGCTAAGTTTGTCACGCCTATTTATTTACGCATCTATATAGCTATAGCACAACACATCACTCTGCCAGTCAGCTTATGTTGTAAGCTGTCATAGAATGTCTCACTCCAGCCGTCGAACAAGAAGTTGTTGGGGAGACAGAGACCACTATTGTTTGTGCGGGAGAAGATGAGTCTATACAGTCAAAACCCGACGGCTATCAATTTCAACCCATCAAACACAACACGGAACTCCACTACTCGTGACGGATATAACACTCAAGTTCTAGAATTGCACCTTGTCATGTATACACGGGCGACGAAATAGTCGTGCACCGGTCACATCAAGCATAGCCGCCAGCGATCCGCCAGACTGGGTCTCGAATTCCTTACGGCCGAGTGCTGCTAGCCTCACGAAATCGTAGCATCTCTCGATTTGGCTCTGTTCTGTCTTTGTGGTAACTTTGTTGAAATCTACACATCACAAGGAAGCAACCTGACTGTGAGTTTGAATCACGTCAACAGCGCAGATCCGATCTTGTGCAGGATATCAAAATCACCACAGAGAATCGACAAGGTGCCAACCGTTACGAAATCTAGCAAATTTGGGACACTAAACGCCAGAGACGCGTTTTGCAAGGTAGCGTTGCCGCATGGCCTCAGAGATTCAGAGCTTTTCCAAAGGTAGGCGTATCCACAAGATAGCCGTAAGGTCATGGCGGTCCATGATATTGAATCAGAACCGAGCACAATGTAGGTGGAGGGCTGACTTTGAATTTTTGGGCTCGTCCATCGTTCTTCTTGTCTTCACGGTGACTGTACTTCTTCTGTCTCATACTTTTTTGTGTTTTGCTTCTTCAAGACCCGGTGGTGTGGTAGCTTTGATAATGAATCTCCGCATCGACGAGGTTCGTGAGCCATCTGCAAGGGTGACGCGCCGAGGAGCTGCGACCGTCAAATCAACATGAGGTTTTCCTCAGAGCCTTCCAATGTCCTCTGACCTTCGCACGAGTCCCTCTCGCTTCTACGCCTTTCTAGTCATCGTTCATCCTCAAGCACTGTGCACACAGTTGGCTTCGTGTAGCCGCCCAGTCGACGTCCCTGGAACAGCTTCGGAACTTGTGACTGTTTGTCCAGTCTGGCCATGCTCATCATCCGAAGAGCCGAAAAGCCCACCTCTTGTCGACTCTGTACGCCATCATCTACTCCATGAACCGGGAATGGACTCTAAGCTTCTTGTCATGAGACACAATCTGTGTAGATCTGGTCACTACCAGCTACCAGCACAATAAGCTAAACTGCTGGCCATCAAAGACTCATGCCCAATCTACAGGAGGAGGAAGGCGTCTATTCGAGTGCGGGTTATACCTGGTGGCTCCATCTTCGGTGTGCTTTTGCTCACTATCGGTCCTCTGGCCCCAGACGGCAAACCTGTTATCGATCAGCTCTTGTCCGTCCACCATACGTCCCCGTCATACTTACAACGGGATATACAGCCGCAGACTCGCGTCGAATAACTCCCTCTCGCAACCTGCAATGAGTTGGTCAAAGTCGCTCTCTGACATACCGCTATTGCGACAGTGATACACGCCGAGAGACTTCAAAGTCTGTACCGCTATTGGCTTCATATCTCTCCCTATTTCCCTCAGACGAGGGTCTTGAAGCATCTGGTCAGTCTACAGTCATGCCAGAAAGCGCAGGGACGGGATTGAAGACCGCTCATCAAGATGTCATCACGTACCTTGGGGCCACTCGCCAATTGGAAGTTGCTTCGGCTCAAAAGAGATGTTGACAAATCCCGCGTTGACCATGTGCCTCGACAAGTCTACACCAGCTCTTGGATCTTTGCGTTGCCTTTCCAGGGCATTACTGTAGATGGTCCACCACCTAGACAGATGCTCTAGAGTCCTACCACTGTTGGATTGTATATGGAACTGAGCTTCGATCATCTGGAGCCAGCCGTTGCGTTGCAGTCGGCCATGTAGGTCTTGTACGTACGATGCCCATCGGGCCGCGTTGATCCCATCTGCCAGGAAGCTTGAGTTGATAAGGTCGTACTTGTCTCTGGCTAGCTCAGCCTGGCCGTATCGGAAGGCTTCGTTAAGATTCCATCTTTTCTTAATCACTCCTGGCGACGATCCTATGGTGTGGTATATGTCGATAGCGATAACCTTTATGTCAGGTTAGACAAGACCGGCATCTGTATTCGCGCTGTCGCTACGGTGGCATACCTGACATGCAAAGTCGTCGTCAACGGAACTGGAGGATGCTGATCCCATCTCTGATTTCTCCATCACTTCTTCGGCCCACTCAACACCACAGCCACTGCCGCAATCCAAGACAAACTCTGGAGTTAGGTTGATCGGCAGGAATGTACGTCCCTCGAACAATCGAGATATGATGTCGTAGAAGTCGGCCTGCCGGTTGATCTCTTCCTTCTCAGTGGTCAGCTTCTTCCATTGGCAGTCTTTGGTCGCGAGCAGATCATGAGGAGGTTCTTGCACTGTGGTGGTAGCGCCTCATTCATCAGGAGCTGTCACACATCTGCTATTTCGGTCTGTCGGTCGTCTTAGCACTCACCTCGTCGATAGGCACACAGTAGACCCCATGTTGGACAGAAAAGCTCAGAAAGTCTCTGCCGAATTCATGTACCGAGTCATCGCTCCTGGGTTGAGGCTGAGCAATGGAAGACATTCTATCAACCGACGGGTGGATGCAGTACGTTCGCAGACAGAATGGCTCGTCCAAGTCATCGAGTGTGTCAATTTCAATGTCTGCGCTACGTTGAGAAGGATGAAGACCAAAGACAGCCACAAATTCCTTGATGGCGACGTAGGATGAGCAGTGGGCCGGCCTAAATTATCACGGTTGGCAACGCCGTGACATACGCTCACCAAGCTTCTGACAATTTTCTTGTCCGATGCGAATGCGGAGACTCAGCCTGGCATGGAACACTTGAAGATCTAGGTTTCCGATGAAGTGCAAGACAAGCCGACGGGTCGTAGTGCATTGCTCTGGGGAGATCACACGTCGTATGTTAGAGCCACCTTCTGCCATCACTACCGAAGACGATTTGCTCAGCTACTACAGAAACTCTGCGAAGTCGCGTACGAGTTCCTCGACAAGAGAGCTTTGTGCCAGGCTAGTCGCTCACACAGTCCCTCTCACGACAGAGGACGTAGTCTGACAGAAGTACTAGCTTCACTGACATGATCACACGAAATCCAAAACTTAGCCGTCTTCGTTCTACTGATCTGTGTGCAATCGACGAGCACGTCTTAAGAGAAACAACACATGAGCAGGCACGTACGGTCGCGGTACGCTCGGGGTCTGCGGTCGACACTCAGATGCACTAAAGCGTGCCGATGGCAGCTCACATTGAGCAGGTACCATCATCGAGGTTGCCGTATGTGCTGCAAGCGTCATGTGGCTGCCACATTCGCAACACTCGTACACCGACACGATGAGACCATCTCGTTCAACTGCACCAGTCAACGACACACTGTACTACCTGCGCGTACCATGCTCCAATTAGGAACACATCGCAGTGTGGCTACGGACATGGCTCGACAGGTACAAAGCCAGTTGTAGAGGTCTGCACTACTGGTTGATGCAGCTGGCGTCTGTCAAATGTTTCCAAAAAGATGGCGCGAGCAGGGGCCCCAGCTACTGGTTGCTTGGGCAGACGTTCAGCAAACACAGGCCCCGAGGCCATGGCTACGGAGTTGGTAATGGCCTTCTAATGTGCCCTATTGTAGAACATCGGGAGATCCTCGCAAGACCTCATCTTCCTCATCTGCGCCATCAAGAATACCTAGGTCGAACGCTTCGCCTTCGCCAATCCTGGCTTTTCTTTTGGTTTAGCTGTGTATACAGGCAAGATTTGGAATGGTCAGTGCGCTCGAGTTCGGATGAGCGTCCGTCCTTGATCAGTAAACCCAACATCTTTCCCACATACGAACACGCTCTGACTGACTTGCTCTTCGCACAACTGCAAGCTTGGGCCGTTCTGTGCATGCTCCGGATTTAAAGTTGGCCATTCTCTGTGGGACACGTGGGAATATTCGGGTCCTGGTAATTCCGCAACTAGCAGTCAGGAACTATTGTTTCCATCATCAAGGCATCTGATTGAAGGAGAATTACAGGCGAACTGTCCGACCACTATCTCATGTGCAAGCCTCTGTCGTCTGAGTCGTTTCTCGTCCTGTCTGGACGGTGCAACAGCTGTAAGAGGTCTGTAAGTCTATAGCTCAGTGATTGCCAGACAAGGCCGGCAAATCAGCCACTCCGATTGAGGCGCTCTGAGCATTTCAGAGACACTGTACATCTCTACAGATAGCTGCATCACAGACAGTGTCACCCAAACGTCTCCTCGAGTCCAATGACGGCCCACGAGTGTAGAACATATGCCAGATCGCGTACAAGTAATCGTGACACTCCGAAGTCTGTTGCAAACCCCATGTTTGGCATTTCTAGATGAGTACCCACCCGCATGTCTCAGTCTGACCCTGCAGCCAGGAACGCACAGTGATGCCCTATCCAGCCACTTCTGCAGCCTGGCTAGCTCACATACCGAGGCCGCGACGAATTACTATATTGGCAAGCGGGAAAACTCCAAGGTCCCGACCTATCGGCCGACTCTTCGAGCTGATCATCATCTGTAGGTTCAAGAGACACGCGGTGCCCAATCTATGGGCGCTTCTCCTCGCTTTCCAAAACCTTGCCGTGGGTGTTTCCGTGTGGTCCAAACTTGAACTATGTCGATCTTCACCGCAACTATGTCGTACGCGAACGGGCTCCATGCTACCGCTTTGATCCACCCTTTGGTGAGCAGCTTTGCATACACTTTTCGACATCCTCACAGATATCTACAGCAGACCAGGTTCATACATGTAACCGACTCCTCACGAGGTCGGCACACTTGCTACATAGGCCATACTAGTGACCGACTATCGGCTGTTGCTGACGCCATATGTCACAAACCAGTCTTAATGAGTCCATCAACTTGGTCAACTTTTCGTTGCAACAAACATACATGCGATAAGAACCCCACTCACAGCATCGCGTGTATGCAGGGAAATTTGACAGCTGGCTCGACACACCAACCTCGCCGACGGCCGACTCTCAGTCGCAGGGCTCGGAAATGATCTGCGAGAAGTCGCCAGTGCTCAGCCAGCAGGCGGTCTCCGTGACCCCTCCGAGTAAGCCTTCTGGTGATTTAGTCTCCTCTAACACCATGGGTGAACTTGCAAAGCCTTGCGCGCAGACTTCATGCTAGAAAGAGACGGAAAATACATTTGCGCCGACATACTATCGTTGTTGTTGTCCGAGACATGTAGTTGCTGGGAGGCGGCTGTATGGGGGTAAACACGTTTGCCCACAGGCGCTGCGTGGTAATGGCATCTCACCTTGGCCGACAATTCTGGTTGCTACCTTCAAGTCTAGTCGGCCGTGATAATCACGAGCGATATTTATCGGTGACTGTAGCCACAAAACCCTGTTCTATAATGGGCCACCCGTTCATTCGTTCTTCCAAAGTGACAACGTGATGCTGTTAGTATGAGATCTTGACAACTGAAATTCACACTGAGATACAAGTGGCGTGGTTGCGACCCTCACGCGTCGGAATGTGATAGTCGGGTACGACAGCTGTCAATCGTAAATCTGTGGGAGATGCAATCTCTCAAAAGGGAAGGAGAACATCAAGGTGACGAGATCGTCATCATGGTCCAAGCTCAAGCTCCGCTGACACCGCTCATCTTCTATTCAGATATTTTGTTCACCCTGCTTGACTTATTGGGAAGTGTTGCTGGGTTTGTAGAACATGATCCGACCATCGATATGTTCGAGGTCGCTAGTGCTTGAGGTTGTTCTTTGTCGGGCAAGAGACGGGTAAGTGCGATAGACAATCGAAACGTCATCATGAAGCTTGAGGAAACATTTGGCAAAAGGCTTCATCCTCTTCACGAGCGGGTCCTCGCGGTAGAAGAGCAGTGTTTATCCGGTCCAAAATGTGTTGAGGCTCGAGTTGCTAATGATGAGCCAAGACTTGTCCAGTGGTAGTGTAATCGTGATGGTTTATGGGCATCAGCGAAATGTGTCGTTCGATCGTCACTATTCGATCAAACGTCATCAACAATTACATCACGCCCAATCTTCCCCCAAAGCTATATCTTCCTGCCAGAGCCGCAGATCTGCTTTTGCCCACAATTTTTGAACCACCAAACAAAAGTCACAATCAATCATCATGTCTGAGGGTCAATTCAAGAAAGGTGGATCTCCCCAAGTTCTTTGGCGTGGAAGAAAGCAGCGACTGACAAGCGACAGATTTCACAATTCCCGTCGCTGACCAGAAGCCTCCGGGTCTTCAGTCTGAGCTGAAGGGTCCCACTCCTCAGAACGAGCATCTTCCCACTGAGGATGGCGGTTTCCAGCTCTACAAGGCTGCTGGCAAGCTTGACGGCAAGAAGGCCATCATCACTGGAGGTGACTCCGGTATTGGCCGTGCGATTGCCATCATGTACGCCATGGAGGGCGCCGACAGCTTGATCGCCTACCTCGAGGTAGAGGAGAAGGATGCACAAGAGACCAAGAAGAAGGTCGAGTCATATGGCCGCAAGTGCCACTTGCTCCAGTGCGACCTGAAGAAGAAGGAGGACTGTCAGAAGGTTGTCGACACCGCCCTCGAGAAGATGGGTGCTATCAACGTCCTTGTCAACAACGCTGCTTTCCAGAATATGGTTGAGGACATCAAGGACCTCAGCGAGGAGCAGTGGGAGTTCACCTTTGCCACCAACATCCACCCCTTCTTCTACCTCTCCAAGTACGCCCTGCCTCACATGAAGAGCGGTGACACCATCATCAACAACGCTTCCATCAACGCCTACATTGGTCGTCCCGATTTGCTGTAAGTACCGACTTTGCCCAAACTTAGCCTAAAACATCACCCAAACCCGACCACTATCTTTTAACCATTTGACTGACTCTATATCTCTAGCGACTACACCTCCACCAAGGGTGCCATCATCTCCTTCACTCGCGGTCTCTCCAACCAGTACGTCAGCCGTGGTATCCGCGTCAACGCAGTCGCTCCTGGCCCAGTCTGGACCCCCCTGATTCCCGCCACTATGAATCACAAGGCGCAAAGTGAATTCTCGGCTCCCATGGGCCGTCCCTCGCAGCCCTCTGAGATTGCCACTTGCTTCGTCTTCTTGGCCAACTCGGACAGTGCCTCGCTCTCCGGACAAACCCTCCACCCCAACGGTGGTACTGTTGTCAACGGTTAAGCGCTTACACGTCAAACCTCCATTACTCGAACAGAATGCGTCGAACAGAAGCAGATATGAGTAGGGAAGACGGCCTCAGCTTACGAAACTAGTCTTAATGAGTTTACGAGAATGAGACATTTTGTCATTGTCCTAATCAAGTTTTGATCTCGATCTATGTGATATGCTATTTTCGACCTGTAGTCACCTCAATTACCTATGACGACTTGATGTTATACAGTGCCTTCTACACTATCTGCTTGACACAAAGCAGAGTACCGACCACGGTTCCGAAACTCGTCGATATATGCTTCATCCTCAACATCACTGTACCACATCACAGGGTGCAGTCACCCGTCTCTTATCACGCTACAACAAGCCATCTTCTACCAAACTTTTGCGAGCCACACCCTCGAGCTATTGGCTGAAACCTGATCCATGCGTTCAAAGTCAAACTCCGCTCGACGATGAATGCTCTTTCTGATATAGTAACAGCATTGATTCCCGACTGAACCGTCAGCAATACTCATCAGCACTTCCAATCACTCTTTCTGTCATTACAAGATTTTGCCAGTCTGTGGTCATGGGAGTGCTTGTTCGTCCTCCTCGGGTTTTGGAATTCGCTATATATAGGTCCTGCGTAGTTCTGGCCATGCAATAGTGTTTCAGTCAAGTGATGCTAATCTTCTCATCGTCCTTTACAACCCCACCCCCCCTAGGCCAAGTAGCAGCCTCCTCTGATAACGAGACAGCCATCAGAGAATTGATATGATCCAATGGCCAGAACACGGTCAGATGATGATATCTCAAAAGAGTCGCGGATGGCTTTTGTTCTAGCAGATCTGTGACGTGGGTGCTCCTCCGGACGCGCAACTCTATGGATTACGTGACTGCAGAGATGCATAGTCTGATTCAGCGTGATGATGATGGAGCTGAGAGAGGTCCAGCGATGAGATCTCAGTGACAGTTACTTTCTTTCAAAAATGACTGTGCATCGATGCAGCCTGGACTGCAGTATCGACGATGTAGCCGGGGAGCAGATAGTTGGGTCAAGTCCGACAGGCAAGGAAGGAACCGAACGATGGTTATTTGCCTAGTGAGCAATTGATATTCAGATTCATGTCTCGACTTGCTTGTCCTCTAGTGTAAATTCATTGATGTAGAACATAGGAAATTTGCTATCATTAAACACATGGCGCTCTGCTACCTCTGCCTTCCCTCTATCCGACTCGAATACTGTCGACCGTGACGACACGTCATCCTCGCTTTGGATCTGTTGGCTCTATCCCAAACAGGCAAGCGTTCTGTTTACCGCTGTTCTGTTTGTTGGTATGACTTGTACTACTAGTAGCTGTGATTCTGGCTTAGTCGACTGCTGACTTATGATCGTGATGGCTGTGCGTATGTAGGATGTGATCCCTGATCACGGCAGGGCTCCCCAGTGAGGTGAAGTCACTTAGCTTGTGGCTCTGCTTGGTAACAGTGATGACTGCAACCCAGTTTGCATGCAAGAGATTGTCCGAGTCGTAACCTGGATTCTCTTGAAATCAAATATGCTCGATAACACATTGCTGTCAGAGTGGAGTGCCACTGGCATATGAGGTTGGATGAATCGTGCTGATGGCATGACTATAGGCATCAATGCTCACAGCGGTCGAGGGTTCTGTGGCCATCTTGAGTCCTGGCCTTTTTCCAAGTCCTGAGACACGACAGATACTTCGGTCCAGCCCTGTGAGTCTTCGTCCTCTGACTCTCCAAATGTACGGAACCCCTCACGTTGATGGGCTCTAGACAACGGGAGTCCCTTAAGCTGAATGTCTGGTACCATTGAAGGTGTCTTTCTGCCTCCACGACTGTTCTGCGAAGCTGAGACCGACTTTGCGCCTTCAAGGCACTTCTTGAACAGCGGTCGGAGGGTTGCAAAGCAAACAGCCGTGATACCAAGACCAGGCTCAATGGTACTGTAGAGAGCGAACTTGGCGCTCTGCTTGAAGAAGTTCTTTCCTGGACGAAGACCCTCAACGTAGCCGAAACGGATGAGTGAGACGATACTTCCTGCTGCTCCCAGCGCGAGTAAGAGGTATGCCCAGAATTTGGTGATGCGAGGCATATTGAGATTCCAGATGGTGACGATGGGGAGAAGAGCCATGATCCAGTCGGTAGCCGCGTTCAAAGCTGTATGCACATAGCTGGCAGGAATGGTGACATCGGCAATCGAAATGCACTTGTGTTGTACTGTGCGTAAGAGGAACTTCTGGGGATCTCCGCAACCAAATGTGACGATGCCAAAGTAGATGAATCCATAGATGGTGCTGATAGCCATGCAGATGTAGATGACCATTCTTTGCCACGGCTCGACTATAATGCGAAGAAAGAAGAACCCTAGTGAGATTTTCAGAAAGACTCCAGTAATGGCATATGATCCACTAAAGGCGATGATGTCCTACAGATTCGGAAATTAGGGTATGCATAACGTATAAAGACTATTCTGCTTACTGTTACAAGAGTTGAGAGACCCTCAACGTTGTTGTACTTTTGTGGTTGCATCTCCATCTGAGAGGCTTTTATAATGTATGTACATTGTACTGTGAAAGCCGCCTGTTGATTGTATTAGCCGGACCCAAATTGATTGATCAATGCATCGAAAACCTACAATGGCTAACATGATGGTCCAATCGTCCCATCCAAAAGATCTCATCATGACACTCCGAACATAGACACGCAGGACTACTGAGAACCATGCAACTGCCAGGATGGCTACAGTCCCACTAAACAATGATTGGGGAACAGAGCCCAGATGTGCCAATGAAGGAAATTCGCTTGCCATGATTATGGAAACCCGGGCAGAGCTAGCTGCGTTGTTGGTGGTTGTAGTGATATGATGTTTCCTTGTCGAATGCAGTCCAGAAGAAATGTTACAATCAAGTCTTTCGATCTATCATTTCCAGCTCCTCTTGTGTTGAAGGATGGCAGGTGCTCTGCACTTGGGTTACAGTCAAGAGGAAATGGCGATAGCGAGAAGTATTGAAAGTCGAAACAAGGGAAATAGGCAAAGCTGGGTCGTGCCTTCCCTACATATGTACAGCTATTTGCGCAGCATATCCACAGAGTTTGAACTTTCAGGCCCTGCTCAGCAGATGTAACAAGGGATCGACATGACAATGCCATGACTTGGGACAAGTTAGTCGGAACTCTACGGTGTTGACGCAGCGCCACGAGTCGCGGGTACTGGTGGACCTGAGCGCCACTCGAGTGGAAGTGAGGTTAACTCTAAATTTTGTTGGAGCATGAAACTCAGCTAGCATCGGCGCAGCGAACCTCGTATGGGCGGATCAGATGAGACAGCAGCTTCGAGGGGCCCCCTGGTTTGTGTCTCGCCTATGTTCATCTACCTGATGCACTCTGATCCCGAAGGTAACAGAAGCGTGAGAATTAGGCGATCACAGGACAAGGCAGAATCATATTCGAACTCTGAGGCTCTGCTGCAGCAGAAACATCTTCGAAACTTTTCCGAAGGGTTCACGTCCACCGGCCAAACAGCGAGACTTCCGTATTGGATTCGTAACGGCTTCCCTGACAGCAAACTGCCTGACTCTTGGGCAGATCTTATCCGAGTCAAGCAACACCGCACTTGAGTAACATTCCGCGAGGCTTCGACACCGTCAAGGACTTTGTACACGATTGAGCACGTAAGCATGTCGACGGCAGATGCCTTGTAACCCTGGTCTAGTCTGGGGGCGGGCGGCAGGTCAAGATACAGCTCCGTGCAGTTTAGTCAACAATGACTTATTGGCAGTCCATCTCATGAGCCCTGTGCGAATGCGACTTATGTGGGCACTTCTTACCAAACTCCACTCGATCCAATCTTGGTATCCTATGGATTCGGCATGGCGATTTCTTTTTAGACCCGGCCGTGGGTCAATAATGACATACCGAGACGTTTGCACTCCCAAAAGCGCTTGAAGGATCTTCTCGCCTTGTCATGGTCCTGCAGCAGCGCAATCATATCTCGGAGCGGCAAGTGAGCCACATGGTTCTGGTGAGATGGTTGAACTCTTGCCCTGGTCATTGATCGCCCACAGCAAGAACCCTTTTGGGAGATGATCTTCGTGCGTAAGGGCAGACCACACGCAAATCTGGAGACGAGCGACGATCATGCCCATGGCGCCGACCCGGGAGTTGGGTTACGAGCTGCATAGAAACAACAGAGAAGGAAGGATTCTGGAGGCTTGCGGTGCATGTGGATTGCAATCTTATGATGCGGAAGTGGATATCTTGAGCGATTGGCTCAAGATGAGAATACGAGGCCTCCGAACAAACAACACCACATCAGATGATATCCCAATTCAGATAGAGCTTGCAAGAGAGTTCAGATGTTTCAACAAGGTCTGAGCAGCATTCCACATCTGTCGTCTCAGCTTGGTCGTCAAAACTTGCTTGATATATGCTTGAGAAGTTTCGATTCTCTATCCTATGTGAACAACTCCTATGGTGGAGCGACTATCTCCGAACGAATCAACCCCTTTGACGGATTTAGACCCTCGAGTCAGCTCAGTTCCGATCCCAAGACCCAGCGCCATGATCAAAACTCCGGCAATGCAACATCAAAGACATTCACACGGTACTCAAAGCTTAGCCTTGACACTCTCGGAGCTCAGTGCCGAAGCCTCCTTGTTCAACTCCACTTTACCTGACCGTTCTGGTCCGCCTTCGCCGAAGAAAATGACTTCGATGGTCAGATCATCACGGTATCTGCGCGAGTATGGGCTGGGGAGAGTGAGCAGGGCAGACAGGGTGTCTTGATCCTTTCCGCCAAGAGCATTACGGGCGAGATGGGTTGCGGCGTTCTTGTCTTCAACAACGAAGCGCTGGAACTCAGGGTCATTGACACCCCACTGCTGTTGACGAATAGGGGCACGCTGACCAGTGGCATCCTCTCCATGAGCGGCGCCCTCGACATTGAGGGCGGATGCAGCCTTGTTAGAACTAAACCATGACTTGAGCCATGACTGGTTCTGCTGAGGAGCAGTGTGGGCTTGTTGGTCAAGCCACATACCGACAAGACCGATGACCTCCTCATTGGTGAGCATCTCCCAAAGCCCGTCTGTAGCCATAACGACAAAGTCGCCCTTTTCGGGCTGTACCTTTGTCGTGGTAACCACAGGCTCGGCAGTGACATAGGGAGGTGTCTTCAAATGCTTTGAGTATGAGCGGGTGAAGAAGTTCTTTCTTAAAAGGTCTTGAGTCTCTTTAGACCACTTGTAGACGGCGTCTCCAAAAGCACGGCTGGGTTCGAGACCGCCGAGAATACGGCCGTTGTGGGTAACATACGGCTCGTTGGGGTGTTCCTTACGCAGACGGGCGTTCTCAGACTCTGTTCCTCCAGTCTGATCGACGGAAAGGGCAGTTGCAGTCCACTTGCCACTGGCGGCACGACGGCCTAGAACAGCACGCGAGTCACCAGTACATGCGACACGGAGCTCCTTGGAACGACTGTCGTAGAAGGAGAGCAGAGCGCATGAGCCAGAAAGAGCGGGAGCGAGCAGTTCGGCGGCCAGCGATCTCGACTTTGCGTTCTGAACCTTCTTGACACTCTCGTTCGTGATCTCGTGGTCGAGCAATGTAAAGGCCTTCTTGATTGCAGCGTCGACGGCGTCAGAGGGAGGAGGCTTCAGAGACGAGTTTGCGGAGGCGGCAGAGTAAGTCGTGTTCAGCTCGCGAGCGACGTAAGAGATGAGGGTCTGGCGGAGTTTAGCAGACGTGGTCCAGCCACTATAGGTTGAGTATTAGCGGATTGCAGCACTATGGGAGATTGGGCAAATGTACGCGTGACCATCGAAGACACCCCAGAACATCCAGTCGCTACCTTCGCTCTGACCAGACACAGACTCGGGTACGTGGATGATCTTCTCAGCATGGTCGTCCTCGATGGGGTCGTTGCTGGGAATCTGGACAACGTCGTAGCGAACGACACCAGAGCCGCGGCCAACCAGGTAGGACTCCTGGTTAGTCCTCAGCTTCTGAGTGGCTTGGTCGGCCGTCAACATCTCAAGGACCTTACGACCGTAGTCGTCGGTCTCCTTGTGTAGAGGCTGGTTATCGGGGATGACGCTGGTGTAGAGAGCGCCTTGCTCGACGATCAAGGCGCGACGGACAGCATCGGCGACTTCTTCCGACACGGGACCAGTAGTAGCACCAGGAGCCGAGGGAGAAGCGTAGTTTGTAGGAGAGGCAGATTGGGCGGAGGCAGCAGTGGAGTTTGAGGACTGGCGATACTGGTAGATGGCAGCACCTCCAGCAGCAACGGCACCGACAGCCAGGGAAACGCGGCGGAGGCGCATAGACGAAGGGGCGGTAGAGGAGCGGGTGGCTAGCGAGCGGTGGAAGAGGACATTGCCAGAGACCTTTGATCTTGCTGCGTTCGGCCGGCGGACTGCACGCAAGTTCTGAACTACAGCACGACGCATCTGAACGAGAGAGCTGGTGTCGTAACGAGGGTCGATCGATATCTATCAATGCTCAGCACTCCGTACTTTGTTATCCCGGACATCGGGGGTGACCTGGACCGCCAAGCAATTCGATCGGCCGTTTGCGACTACGTCACCGATCTCTCTCTCGTCGGATAATCTTTGTCCAATCGTCATCTGATTGCAGACAAGAAATAGTTCCATACACACCACCATGTCGTCGAGAGCACTCAGGAAGGCCCAGCGCGAGCGCGAAGAGCAGGAGCAATTGCGAAAGCTCGAGGAAGAGCAGGAGGAAGATGAGGAGTCCGAAGAGGAAGCTGCTCCTGCTGCTCCTGCCAAACAGAGTCTCTTTGCTATGTTGAACGAGGATGGTGCCGACGAAGAAGACGATGCTGCTGAAGACGACGATATCGAGCAGGAGGCATCCGAAGACGAGCCCGAGAAACCCACGCAACCCATGCAACCTACCCAGCAAGCACCCAAACCGTCTAGCAAGTCTAAAAAGAAGAAGAAGAAGGCAAAGAAGGCCCAGTCTACCGCTGCCAAAGCCGACCCATCGCTCGACGATATCGACCTCGCCCTGAAGTCTCTCAGTACGAAAGGCTCTGGTACTGCCACACCCACCAACACTGCAGACCCTACTACTAGCGAGATTTGTCGACTACTTTCCGTTGACACATCCTCATTGCATGCTGCCAACGAGATGCGCAGACTGTTTGGTCGCGCTGCTTTGGAAGGTGACAACGACGATGATAACAACGCCGGTGGACGTAGGAGAAACCGAGGCGGCGGTCAACAGGCTGGCCTGGCTGCCGCTCTGGGTAGACGACCGGGGGGAAGAAGCGATGGTCTGGCCGCTCTCAGCCGTCGTCGTAACATCTTCATCCAGGGTAAGGAAGAGTGGCCTGTGGCTACGAGCGGCGGTCTTGGTATGGAAGTCATCGAGAAGAGATCAGACGGCACCGTCGAGTACGCCTTTGTCCACAGTCGCATCTACCAGGACGTTCAGTCTCAATTCGAGACTTGTGTGGCCTCGATGGATCCTCAGCGTATGGTGCTTTTGCTGCAACACAACCCTTACCACATCAGCACTCTGCTGCAGGTCTCGGAAATCGCAAAGCAAGAGCGTGACCATACCACTTCTGGTGATCTGTTGGAGCGCGCTCTCTTCTCTTTCGGTCGCGCTGTCCACTCGACTTTCTCAGCCAATCTCCAGCAAGGTAAAGCTCGTCTTGACTTCCGCCGGCCTGAGAATCGTGAGTTCTGGCTAGCTGCCTGCCGGTACATCTCCAATTTGGGTATGCGTTCGACCTGGCGAACTGTCTATGAGTGGTCGAAGCTGCTGCTGAGTCTCGATCCTGAGAACGATCCCTACTGCATCAGCCTCGTCATTGACCAGTATGCTCTGCGTGGACGTCAAGCTCAGAACTTCCTCGACCTTGTCAACAACCCCATCTTCACATCAAAGTGGAAGCACCTGCCTAATGTCCAACTCAGTCGTGCTCTAGCACTCGTCCGGGTCGGCGATGCAGCCAAGGGCAAGCAATCTCTCTATACTGCTGTCAGTCGCTTCCCCTGGGTCGCGGCTCGCCTTTTCCAAGAGCTCAACATCGATCCTCCACCTGGTGTCTGGGGCAAGTCTCCACGCACAGACAGCGAGAAGTTGCACTCTGAGGTCTATGCTACTCGTGCAAAGGACCTATGGAACACTCCAGAGGCTAGCGATTTGCTCGTCGAAGTCAGCTCGGCACTCAGTAGTGATATCGCCGAGCCTGGTGTCGTGGATCGAGATATTACTCTGAACGAAGGCAGACATATCTTGATGAGTGACCTACCACCCCTCATCGCATTGCTACCTCGCTCCATCACAGCAAAGGTCACATCAGCTTCCGACCCTCTGCCTCCACAAGATAACATTGCCTCGTACGCACCATCTGGTACCTCTCGAAATGCCACACAGCCTACATCAGGTGCATTGGGCGGGGCAGCTGAGAGCCTTCGCGAGCTCCAGGGCCTTTACCGCTTCTTCTCGGAGCTGTTCCCGTGGTTCAACCCTACTGGCGAAGGCGAGGAAAGACCTCAGCCGAACGAGGAGGAAATCGAGAGGCGGATTGCCGAGAGTGGTGTGTCTGAGGAAGTCATTGTTCAGCGCACGCAACGTCTCATGGAGCTGCAGCAGCGATTGATCTCCATTGGCCAGCCTGAAGCACAGGGCGAAGCTCCTGCAATCGAAGAAGAAGACGACGAGTAATGTACTATAGACTAGATGTTCCCAGAACCATGATTGAATGATCAAAAGTTTCTTTCAATGTCTCTTACATGCTCACATCGAGGAAATTAGAAGCTGACAAGATGCACAATATCTTTCACGACAGGGAGGCTTGCTTACGGAGAGTTATCACGGAGCACACTCTCCTAGGTACGGATCCGATCCGAAGATTGACTGTGCATCTTCACAGTGGTACCGGTGTGCAGCACGCTTGGAGACACGACCTTCTCGACACGGGTTTACAAGCTTCATAGACCTTTCCAGCAAATGAATGACTGTCACGATTATTCTGTCGAGAGATTTATCAGCACCGACCGGGCCATGATAACTGCCGCATCTTCAAAATCGGTTCCCGATTCCGACGTGATCCACATTACTCAGTGATTTGAGGCAGTGTTCTTCGGTCGGATAGCGCGTGGATGTTCACCGAGAGTACGCGGACGCGACCGGTCCCGATAGATTGATCAGCAAACAGGGCATACAGCGCACCGCAGCGGGTTTTTCAACCTCTTCGATCATGATGCTCGGCTAATATAAGCGTTTTTATACGAGTTGAAGTCGATCATTTTGCATCGCGAAAATCGACTGGAGTCTCCACTGAAAGTGTTTAGGCGTTCTCCACAACGCGCCCCATGGTTGTAGCAAGGCCAGTACCTGCTTGAATTGTGTTTGCAGACATAGCTTTACGAATTCGAATTGCTTGCTCTGTAGCATTACTGGAAGAAGAATTGTACCAAGACCTGTATAAGCAATGATGATGACGCAGACTGGACGTTGATTGAAAGCATGCCGAACATGCAGCCCTGCAAGCCACGGCCGTGGATCCGATCGTTTCACACTTGGCCGACCAATGGGATACATCCGGGCTCTCGTGCCGTCCACGAGGTCTCTTCAAAACTTTCCTGCAATGACGTTGTCTGCTATGAAAATGACATCGTTTATTGTTTGTACAGCACAGTCCGCGGCGAGAGACGGCACGCCCTTGCTCGTTCAGTGCTCGGCCGACGGTAAAACTGATCATGGGTCGCGTGGGAGGATTCTTGGATGATCGGTTTGGTTGCATTCCGGAGGGTTCGTGTCGTTGTCCCTGAGACGATATGACCTCAGTCGCGGGTCCTGGCGAGCTGATGGATGAGCCATCGCAAAAAAACAAGAAGAAGGATCGTCGGACTGATCTATATATCATCATCTCCATACTCGCTCCACCTCCTCCGCAACATCTCTTCGGTCCTTCTCCCACGTTTTCCGTTATCCCACAGCTTCAAACCCCAAACTTCTCCACGTTGGCCATAGCCCTGTAGTCGCCGACATGGGCATGTTCAGCAAGAAAGACAAAGAGGATGATGCCTCTTTCCGAAGTGGTGCGACGACACCGCCGACGAGTGCTCAACGAACTATGGACACTACAGAAAAAGGAATGGAAGATGATGGACCTACACACATTTACAATTTCAGAGTCATCGCCATGGTTCTGATCGTCTCTCTGGGCGGCCTGATTTTTGGTTACGACACAGGACAAATCTCTGGCTTCTTGGCCATGGATGACTTCTTGAACAGATTTGGTCAAGATGGAGCTTTCACTGCTGTCAGAGAAGGTACCATCGTCGGTCTGCTGTCTATTGGTACTCTGCTCGGTGCTCTCATCGCCGCACCCATCGCCGACAAGTTTGGACGTCGCATGTGTATTCTCGTCGGAAATGTCGTATTTTGGGTCGGTATGATTGTTCAAATGTCAGCAACGACGCATTGGTACCAGGTCGCCATTGGCCGTTGGGTTGCTGGTCTTGGTGTTGGAGCTCTCTCCGTTCTAACTCCTATGTACATGAGCGTAAGTGCCTCTTTTCGTCGTCTTGTAACCCAGAGTACTGATTTGGCGTGTAGGAAACCGCTCCCAAGAACATTCGTGGATCCATGGTTTCGTGTTACCAACTTTTCATTACCCTCGGTATCCTGCTCGCCGACGTCATCAACCTCGGAACTAAGACGATCAATGGACCTGCTTCATGGCGCATCACCATGGGTATCGGTTTCGTCTGGTCCGGCATCATGGCTGGCGGCATCTGGCTCCTTCCAGAGAGTCCTCGTTGGGACTACCGCAGGGGTAAGATCGAGCAGGCCAGACACACCATCGCCAACGTCTACGGAACTTCGCAGAATCACTCTGCTGTCAACCGCGAAATCCGTGAGATCAAGGCCAAATTCGACGTTGAGCAGGCAGGTGGTGATCATCCCTTCTGGGAAGTCTTCACTGGACCTCGTATGGCATATCGTATCTGCTTGGGTGCTGGTCTTCAAATGCTCCAGCAGTTGACTGGTGCCAACTTCTTCTTCTACTATGGTACGACCATTTTCGACTCGGTCGGTATCAGCGACAGTTTCGTCACGGCTACTATCTTGGGTGCTGTCAACTTCGTCTGCACCTTTGGTGGTCTCTGGGTCGTCGAGAATGTTGGTCGTCGCAAGGCTCTTATTTTCGGTGGCTTCTGGATGTTTGCAATGTTCATGGTCTTCGCCTCTGTCGGTCACTTCCAATTGAACGAGGGAGTCAACGAGAAGCAAGCTGGAACTGTCATGATTGTCTTCGCCTGTCTGTTCATTGCCGGATATGCAACCACTTGGGCACCCATCGTTTGGTGTATCGTTGGTGAGCTCTATCCTACTCGTTACCGTGCCAAGGCCATGGGTATCGCTACTTCGAGCAACTGGATCTGGAACTTCCTGATCGTGAGTTATCCTTTGTGACCTCACACAATAGTCACGAAAGCTAACCTTACTAGGCCTTCTTCACACGTTTCATCACAAACGATATTGACTACCGCTACGGCTATATCTTCGCTGCTTGCAACTTCGCCGGCGCCTTCGTGGCGTACTTCTTCCTCTGCGAACACCAAGGCCGTACCCTCGAGGAGATTGACACCATGTACATTCTCCACGTCAAGCCATGGAAGAGCTCAAGCTGGACACCCCCAGAGAACGAAGAGCTTGTTACTGCCGACGCTCTAGCTCTCACAGGTGGTGCTCGTGGTATCAAGAAGGCCGACGCTGCTGGTATGGAGAGTGAGCGCCGTGTTGAGAATATGCAGGTTCCTGCTGCTACCTCCACCCACGGTATCCATGATGTCTCGGGTACTGACTTTGTACCTGAGAGCACAAGGGCTGCTGACGGTCGTCCACCAAACATTGGACAGTAGATTCATTTATGCTGATTTGAAAGAAGAGAGACCTGGAGTTTCTTTCACTTTTCAAAGTTGTATTTATTATCATAATATTCCATGTATAAATATTTTGAACTATTCACATATCCCTACATCATCTGATCGTTACCTGCCATCTATCAGCTTGCCATTGCTGCACAAAGAGCTAGTACACTCACCCCCTTACTTCCCCTGCTCAGTGACAAGTTCAATATCCTCATTTTCACTCTGACTCATTCTCTTGAACAACCCCTTCGCAGTCTGTGCAAATGAAGAACTTGATTTCCTCTCCTTGTTCCGTGCCAAAGCTTGGTTTTTGCGATCGGCTGCTTGTCGTTGTCTTTCGGGGTCATTGGGGTATTGGTCTGCAAAGTCTTCGGGCAGATATGGTGTTTCTCCCTTGAACTCTGGGTAGACGCCGTTGATTGCGAAACCCGACATGGCGAGAAAGGGTTTATGGTGGATCTGAAGTTTTGGGTGGTAGGTATTGGTTATCCAGGAAACAAAAGTATGCGGTCAATATTAGTAACAAGGTCGGGTATTGGAAATGGTGGCTATATACGCAAATCAAGTCAAGCTTACGATCTGCATGGCCGTATGACGCTTGAGGCTATGTCAGAAATTGATCGAAGAATCCATTTGTTATGTTCCTAATAGTGGTTGATCTTCGTTGTGTTCGAATCCTTCGGCCGTAAGTTTATGTTCGTCACACGTCCACAGGATGCGTGTTGTTGATCATACCTCGGATGCTCCTTTCGTGTTACTACCACTACCACAACAAGTCGACATGTCAGTGAACTGTGATTGACGTGTCATCGGCCACAGGCTTCATGAAGTCAAGAACATAGAGAAGGAGCCATGTTGCAGTAAGTGACCTAATTTCGAGATGCTGCGCAGGACACCCTGACTCGATTGGCAGCGATCTACTCTGGACGTATTTGCATCAATATCGAGCTCATACTGCGATGATGCACGACTTAAAAGCTGTAGTTTTGATTGGGAAGTTCACTCAGTGTTGCGATTGCTCAAAGTTTTGTTGCGAGTGTCTAATTGGTGCACCTTTGTTAAAGTCGATACCACTTGGACAAGTGTCGCGCCTGGCTACAGCAGCAGTAAGATAGACCCTGACTCGGTGGAGTAGGCTATCTCTGCTTCTGTTACATATACTATCTGTAAAGCATTACATATCAGCAATCTCAAGCATAGACGTGGTACTTGTCAAACACAGGGCGCGACTCATCAAAAGCCAAGACCGCCCATTTATTGGCAAGTACGAGACGAATATATTCATCTTCACCAACCAGGAGTGCACCAAGTACATACATCACACTCGCTCGTCTTACTTGCTCATAGTCGTCTCTGCCATCCCGAGTTCATCCTTCAAGCCCACACATTGACAATGTCAGATCAAAATGATCAAGATTTGACAATCGTCATCGGTGCAGGCATAGTAGGCTCATCACTTGCATACTTCCTCTCGGAGTCCTCGCCCGAAGCCAACATCCTGGTCCTAGACCGCTCTCTCAGCACCATCGCTGGCTCAACTGGCTATGCTCCTGGCTTCATTGGCCAATACAACGAAAAGTCAGCCCTCACAAAGCTTGCCATTCAATCTGTAGCCGAGTACGCTAAACTCGACACTGGTTTCGCTCGCACAGGAGGCTTAGAATTAGCATCCACAGATTCAGGCATAAAGACTCTGCATTCTAGACTCGAGGCTAGCAAGAAGGCAGGACTTCTGGCAAAATTGCTTGATCAAGCAGAAATCGAGGCCCTCAAGTTTCCGATCACCACTCCTATCCCAGAGACCAAAGCGCTATTCTTTCCGGATGATGGCGTCGCAGAACCTAAGATATTGTGTTCAACATACCGTAGCAAGGCAGCGAAGAACGGTGTATGCTTCCGTGAAGCTTCCGTCTCAGAGCTTATCGTAGAGCACGGCGCTATCTCAAAAGTTCGTCTCGAAACAGGAGAGACCGTCTCATGCCGAAAAGTCGTTCTCGCGACTGGTATCTGGACTGCTTCCCTCCTTCGTGGCTCGTCTGCCATACCGTCTGTCCCCGTGGTTCCGGTCAGTCACCCCTACGTCTACTCGACAGATAGACAGCATGAAGTCCCAACCACGCCATTCATGAGGTGGCCAGAATCGCACGTCTACTCACGAGACCATGGATCTCGCTACGGGGTGGGAACCTACGACCACGCACCACAAAGAGTCGATTTCCCAGGGTCTACAGCCACAGTTCCTTGGTCGAACGAGCTTTTCGATCCTGCGATGACGCGAGCAGTTTCTGGTAGATTTGCAGCAGAAGCAGGATTTCGTGAGAAATACCCATTCGGTGTAGAGCAAATCGGAGGCGTGTTTTCTGTGACACCTGATAACATGCCTTTGCTTGGTCCTGTCGCTGAGATCGATGGACTGTGGATGGCGGTAGCGATATGGGTGACCCATGCCGCTGGATGTGCGAGATTGCTAGAAAATATGATACTAGGGAGTGGTTACGATAAGGGGGTTGCAGAAGCTCTAGATCCAGACAGATTCGTTGGAAGGAGTGCTGATGAGCTTGAGCACACTGCTTTGAGGCAGTATAACGATATCTATAGCACGGACAACTAGGCAGATATGAGGAAGAAAAACGATGCGAAAGAAGCATCTGTATTGAAGTGGATGTGTCTGGTTGGTGTGTGGCTATCTAAGTGAGACCGTTGGGACATGTCTGTCATGGCGTGCTGGCCCGAGTCCCTCATGAGATTGCAATATCTATGCTCATTATGAGAGCGAACGCGTGGCGAGTCCTGGCGCCCTCGCGTTGAGGACCTTGAGAAGGCAGTTATCTCAGCCTCTGCTATGTTTCCTCGTCGCAGCTGCTGCTTCTGCACAGCGTCCTGAGTCTACCAGGGGCCAGAGGAGTAGAGGCAGAGAGATCGAGGTTGAGAAGACGATGCTCTGACCAAAAGCCTCGAATCGGCCATAGAGTCAACTCATTCTCAACCTTTTTGCAGGTTTGGAATTCGGCTAAAGTTCAGTGCGTTCCGACACAGCTCATCGAACGCGAGTGTCGAGTGAAAGCCTCTCGGGTACCTTCATGTCGACAGAGCCTTTCATTAGATCTCTGAACGCGTTCAACTCATCCGAGGCAGCAGAAACTAAGTTGGGTTTTGTGCGATCGTCGATGCGAATACAGGCCTCGAGTACGAACGTACCACTCGTATCTAGAGGCTTGAGAGAATCCAATGTAGGTAGCGTAGGAAGAGGAGCCTGTTGAGGCACATCGCTTGCTCGCAGCAGACGGAACAGTGTCAACACCATGTTTTTGTGCACGAATCTGTGACCTTCGACAAGAAACTCATTCACAAACCTACGCTTATTAGAGACCAGACTAAGCATTAGACAAGAAGAAACTAGTTACCCGTTGTTCGCAGGATCGAGAAAGCTGCGCAGCGAATCGTTGTCTAACACGGTCTCGGTGGCCTGTCGTAGAACAAGCGTCTTGGTCTCTGGCTCTGGTGTCTCTTGAATCTTGATTCTCCAGGCGTTTACAGGTTGGACAACATTCTCATTGCTTCCAGGCTCGAGCAGGATTGGAGAGTCTTTTCCGAATTCGGACAGATCAAGCTGACGAATGAGATGTTGGAAAGTGAGAGTCTGAGGCTTGACAGGCTTATTAGGGAACTTCTTGTTAGGTTTGCTGTCCTGAGGCAAGCGCAGGGGTCTGTAGATCAGATGTCTCTCAAAGAGAGTCTGCGGCTGCATTGCAGCAATGCCGGCGAGGATCTTGAGAACTTGCTCATGGCGCTCGAGCGGCACCTGGCCGTACAACAGGAACTCATGCATTGCACGTGAGATGGGTCCTAGTGCAGGGGACAATTAAGCGAGCCAAGGTTTACACTCAGGAAAGAAGAGAATGCCTCCGGTCAAACTGACGGAGCTAGCCTGCGCGTCTGCTCAATCACCGTGTCACACTGATGTTGGAGCAGGTGTGACGAAGGTGGAAAGAAGACCGGGAGTCCGGCAAATCAGATTTTCTTCTTCAGAGGATGGCAGACTGTTCGTGGGCGGAATTAGTGATCCGATCCAGACGACAACAGGCACCAACGGATGAAGTGATGAGAGCTCGGCTTACCCCGTGGAGGAAACAACGGAGCTGGTGGAGAGGAAAGTCGGCCGAAGAGCAGACCGAGGAGAAAAACAATGGCGTGCTGGCGGGGGAGAGCGACCGAAGGTTCGGAGATAGTCGAGATAAGGGATGAATGTTGATGCTTTGTCAGAGGCGCTTGTCAAAGGCAGCACCTTCAGGCGGAAAAGACAGGCGTGGGTGGACAACGACTGGTTGAAAGTCAGGCCGGCGGGCATCGGGTATTCACAGCGGCCGATGTCGTCCTTTGTGCGGCGTGATACCAAGGCCATCTCACACCACCTAGGCACGCTCAACTCCGGATACATCATCAATTCTAGCAGCCCCGCTCTCGCTAGCACTTGTACAAATTTCTTCTCTTCCTTGTGAATTCGTGCCTGCCCATCTCTCTGCCACCACCTACCTTCCCTCGACGTTTCGACTCAATTTCACCAAATCCAACCACCACCACCAAAGTCCGACTCGTCAGTCTCGGCACGCCCAGCTCCACCCGCAGCTTCCAACTTCCGGCTTCACTCGACCACTTCCTTCCGCACCCGACGCGAAACTATACACGATCAACTTCATACACTTTCAAACACCACAACCACCAAAATGCAGGCTACCCGTATCCTCTTTGGCCGTCAGCCCATGATCCGCTTCCTCGGCAAGAGATCAATCCCTTCCAGTATGCAGCCCCGCGCCCATAGCTCCAGTCATGCCCTCTAACATGCAAGCAGAGATTGACCACACTCCTCACGCTCACCCCGCCGCACCCACCTCTGAGCTCCCCGACTCTTTCGCCTCATACAGACAGAAAGCCCAGCAGCACGGCCCTCTGGCCCGTCGCAACGCGGCTAGCCAATACGGCGGCTTCGTTGGCGGCAAGCCTGGAAAGTCCCTTGGTCCCGTCGAGCCCGCGTCCGGCGAGTTCTTCGACCGTAGCGACCTGCCCTCCCGTTTCGCCAGAACCTCCTGGAGTGCAGCCGAGATCGAGGCCATCGAGTCAGGCGGCGCCAGCATGTTCGCATAAGCGATCAATCTTCTCCCTTCGATGATGAACAAAAAGTCTTTTTAGCGATGTGCAAATGGGAAAAGGCGAGCGTCTGCAGGCAAGCGCTGGATATTCCCCTGCCTACCCGATCTATACCACTTTATCACGACTGATTACCACGGATGAGATACGATTTCGGCCAAACACCCAAGAGCTTGACAAAGCACATGAGCAGATACGCCACGGCGTGCTGGATATACCCGCGCCGATTGCTTGCTGGCGTTTCGCTGGTGAAGACCAGCGCCACGAGAAGTCCAGGAGACCATCAAGACATGTCGAGTCTTTGTTGTGTCAGCTATGTAGATAACCTGCCTGCATCTTGCAAGCTGCTTGGCCATGTTGGCTTGACCGATCGGAATCAGAGTAGCATCCGTTATGCAATCTTAAACCTGTCAATGACCCATTCAACAACGTGTTGACAAGCATGTGAAAGTGCTTCATGCCTAACTCTAGAATGTGTGATAATCAAGTAAATTCCCAAAACGTCCAAAATTAAGCACGTGCGACAGACGCGACGCAAACACGTCTTCCTGAGATGCCTCGCCTAGAATTATTTACGACCAGGCAGTGTCATGCTTTTTGCGCGAGTAGAAGCGTGCAGACCTCGATCACCAAACCGTAACTTCGCTCTGCCATACGCAACAATGCCGCCAACACTCAAACGCCTTGCTACAGAGGACGCAAGTGTTTCGCCTCCACCACTAAAACGCACAGCGCCTTCCGCTCCTACAACTACAAGTAATCATCAGAATCACTTCTCCACTATCCAATGAGGACTGACCAGCCGCCTCAGATTCGGCTGTAGCCAACTTCTTCAAACCAGCTTCCCAAAAGGCTCCGGAAATGCTGACCTGGAAAGTTATTGACAATACACTGCTGCACTGCAAGTACGACAAGGCCGATAACTTTTCCGCAGACAGGCCACGTAAAATTGCAGCCTTTGACTTCGTATGTCAAATCTTACATCAACCGCAGGACGAATTCTGACTCTCTTCAGGACTCGACTCTGGTCGATGCCAAATCTGGCAATCGCTTTGCTAGAGATGGTGATGATTGGAAGTGGTGGCACAGACAGGTACCTGCAAAGCTAAAGCAACTAGCTGAAGATGGGTAAGCATGTCGGTCACGTACAACCAAGTTCCTGGCTGACGAGAAACAGATATCTATTAGCAATCCTCAGCAATCAAGCTGGTATCAGCATGAACAGTGCTTCCAAAACAGTCAACTCGGACAAGAAGCGGCTGGCCGATTTCAAGCAGAGAGTCAAGGGCGTTCTCACCCAACTGGATCTGCCCATCGTCCTCTATGCAGCTACTGACAAGGACAAGTTTCGTAAACCACGTACGGGGATGTGGGACAAGCTGCTGGAAGCACAAGGACTTACTCCAGAAGGCGATGTGGACCTCGAGGCCTGTTACTTTGTTGGCGATGCAGGAGGTCGGACCGCTGGTGCGAGAGGCATCAAGGCAGACTTCTCTTGCTCCGACAGGTCTGTCTTGCTGCTTAATTCACATATACGTGCTGACCCTGTGGCAGAGATCTGGCCAGCAACATTGGCATCAAGTTCATGACTCCTGAGGAGTTCTTCCTTGGAGAGGATCCTCGTCCTTTCACGCGCACGTTTGATCCAACCGCGCACGTCTCACCAGCCTTGACAAGCAAGACGGAAGCGAGTAGGTCTTCAAGAATATCACGAATACGACGGCACTTGTGTTAACGACTCGCAGGTCCAGTCGTTTTCACCAGAAAGAATGACCTCGAGCTTGTGATCTTTTGTGGGAGCCCAGGAGCGGGAAAATCGACGTGGTATCAGAAACACTTGAACCCACTTGGGTATGAGCGTGTAAACCAGGACCTGCTCAAGTCGGTATGTTCGCTCTCCCACATGTTCTCCTGGGACTCGCGTTGACCAGACTCGCAGAGAGACAGGTGTCTTAAGGTGGCAAGAGAGTTTCTAGAGGATGGCAAGTCGGTGGCAGTTGGTACGTTCTTACTCCGTCGTGTCTACTACAAGCTTCGTACTGATAATACTATATCTAGACAACACCAATGCCGATGTGAAGGCTCGCGAATACTGGACCGATCTCGCAACATCGCTCGGAGTCCCAATCCGATGCGTACACTTCACAGCCCCCTCCAAGCTGTGCGAGCACAACGACGCGCTTAGGTCGATCGGTGGACAGCAAGTAGGGGTACGTACGCACGCTTTGTGAACTGCAAGATACCGCGAAGATCATGCAGCGCTTACTGACACTTCGGATCTGTGAGCAGATGAACCCAGAATCGAGGACCATGCTACCCAGACAAGCTTTCACAGGATTCGCTGGTAGATATCAGCCGCCTGGCCTAAACGAAGGCTTCGTCGATATAACGAATGTCGATTTCGAGGTGCGTTTGTATATCACTCGGTAGAAACATGAGAGGCACAACGAGCATCACTTGCTGACTACATGTAAACTGAACAGTTCTCTGGTACCGAGGAGCAGAAGACCGCATGGTCGAAGTTCTGGGTTTGAGACATTGCGGAGAATCTCAACCGGTCTTCGCGTCTGTGGCCAGAACATCCCGCTCGAACGACGAACACGACGAGGCGTTGATGGAAAGTCTGGGCGAACTATAGCCATCCACAAAGTGGTATGGTCTAGAGAGGAAGGTCAGAAATGGCTATCGTCTCGAGATGCCATATCTTCAGCTCGCTGTGGAATTTGCGTTTCTCCGGGCTGTTATCATCAATTGCAAGGACTACCCTGATGTGCTTTTTATGGGCGTCGTTCGATGGTGGAAATTGATGCGCCTGAGGCATTCAACCCTATTCCAGACCGATTCGAAAAGGCCGACATGGCGTTATTCCGTAGCGGACACGACAGAGTTCAACCCCACGAATGAGACGGCTTGGACAGGACCCTCCAAATCAGTAAATAGATTTTCGAGATGCAGAAAGGATGGGAGGAAGATAATAAGGGCAAGGCGCGAAGGTTTGTCTGTTGGGGATGCGGCTTACGGTTGGCGAAAGATAATCTGATGATGAGCGAGAGCGGCTCGAGATGCTCTTGTGCCCAGTAAACCGGAACCGAGGGCCGATTAGATATTCAACTCCCTCCATATGTCTATCGAGAATCGGAACTCTGTTCGTGTATACAATGATACAAAGGTCCCTTGCCTTTTGGCCGGCAAAAGACGAGAAACATGGGTGAGGAGAGAGACCTGCATTGGTTCATGTTTTGCGGCAAGGCAAGACAGCCTCGGCAAGGAACATGGACAGGGTTACCCCTTGCAGTTTTGCAAAGTGAGAGAAACGGCACGACACCCGTGCATTCATCCGCCATTTATCCCGTTGAACTATTGCATACTCTATCACGACAAGGATGCACAAAGTCTGGGACCTCGAGAAGGCTCTTGTCTGGTTCAATCTCTCCCGGGTTGAACGGGAGAAAAAGCGAAGAGGAGAGGCCACCTCAGCTGCTGCGCCTGCTGCCTCGCTTACCTAGCTCTAGTCCTTGTTCAACAACGCTGGTGAGGAGTTTGTCTGCGGATGGTGGAATCCTCTGGCACTATGCGTCTAGTGAGCACCTTCTTCTTTGGAGACTCGTGCCGAATTCGCAAGCAATAGTCGGCTTCCTGGCAATGCTTGAAAAGCTGAAGGATGATCGTAACGCGAACGGCTTGCAGTCCCACGGTCAATAGTGGATTCTTGAAAAAGTTCCGAGGGCTGAACAATTGTACTGACGAACGCCGCAGAGGACGGACAGCAAGAAGCGAGGGGAGAGAGGCAGTCGAGTCTGTCGACCGCTTCCGAGCCCCCACCCACAGCAGAGACAAGCTGGACCTAACTCGCACGAATTAATTGCGTACTTCTTTGCGCATTTTTGTCTTGGCTCTTCTCATCGGCTATTTGCGCCCTTTGTGCTGCGTCCTTTCTTCTTTGTTCTACAGATTGCGATCAAACAGTTTGTGCAGTTTGCTTGTCACTTCTCGATACCAGCAAGTAGATAGTCGATTTGAGTTGTCCCTTCTGTCACCATGCATATGCTTTCTACTGGTACCTGATGTACATTTGAAGCGCGCACAAATCCACACGATCGGGTTGAGCTTGCTGCCCTCGCACGTTGCAGAGAGTTTAGTCCTCAACGGATCGTTAATGATGGTTCACGCCGGCGAAGAACCGACGTTGGTTCGCGTGGGTCATAGGAATCGTGATGCTTCTCACCTTGCCGCATTCATGCCCTTCTGCCGGCGCGAATATTCCCCGTGACCGCGGCTTCAAAGCGACATGTCGGTCCTTGGACATGCCTTGTTAGCGCCAGTAGACACCCATGTCGCTGGCTGTCAAGAAGGCGGTTCGGCTGCGGACCTGCGGCTTTTCCACCTTCCGTCGGAGGCTTCACCTCTTACGTTCTTCATGACTCGGATAAAAACTTCGCAACCATGTTAGGAGGTCTGCTGGCTGTTGATTTCAGGCTTTGCTGTGTTTTCAATTTCATCTTGGGCCGATACAGTACTCTGCATGCGTCGTCAGCAACTTACTGCGTCTATCGGTGTTTCATCAATCGGTCTGCTGGGCGGTGTTGGGCGTCACCTCCCAGGTTGCTGGGTGCTGTCGTGAAGGTTCCTCGCTTCCCGTGCCTGATCAGTACAGATGCACTACTTTCTCTGGTTCCAGTGGAGTGCCGCAAGGTCGGCCGCCCCGCCCGAGGTAGAAATGCCCACGCGACTATGCTAGCTGCTCTCGAAGAACAAAAACCGACCTTAGGACACAGCGGCCGCTCAGATGTGAAACAGGAGAGGAAAAAGAACAGTTCTGCGACCTCAGTCTATGAAATGACGTCGAGGTACAATGCAGCTAGAGCCGCTGTATCTGCAAGGACGAACAATCAAGAGCTGGGTGGGTATCACAAACAAGCAGACGACAAGGGCAGAAAGGCGGGAGAAGGCGCGCTTGCAGCGGGAAGCCGCCCCGACCTGCGTCAAAGCCAGGTTGACTTTGTTCGGGTGCCAAAGAAGTGTCTCTACGTTATCCACTGCCGAAGCACTTTTGCGTGCGACGTGACTGGTTAGAAATATTCATTTTTTGACCCGACTTTCTGCCAAATGGTTTGGTGCCTGTTCCCTTCGATTGCTCCACCGAGCGTCTGTCGGATTTGTAACGCTGTACCTTTTGGCACACGAGCCTGGACGTGCATGCCTTCGTCATGAGCGGTCCCAGCTCATAGTGGCCGTCGGTCTGGCCGTTTATGCGTGCATGTTTGGCTTGCAAACGAAGAAAAATGACGGAATACCAGGACTTTTGTGTGTTTGGTCGAAGCAACAGAGCGAAGCGGAGAGAGGCAGGGCGAGGATGCTATGCCAGACCCTGCAATGAAAGCTGTTTACAGGCAGAGGAGCAGCCGACAGCTCAGAGCAAGGGTCTACAGATATTTAGTGAATGACTGAGAGAACGACCTGCTACCAACACCTGACATAGGGCATTCGCGCGTGACTACTGGTGGCCACAACTCCAAAGCGGCAGTTGTGGAAGGTCGTTGAATGATGGGGCGTACAACAATCTATTCCGAAGGATTTGACGGTTCTCGAGCAGCGAGGTTGTACCTGTGTGTCGCCTGTAGTGCCGTTACATGACAGGCAGAGGGCACACACAAACTATAGACAAGGGACCTTTGTCTTGTGTATCTCGTGCACCAGGAAGAGCAGGTGGAAAGTTTCGACCACAGTATGCAAGCAATTGACAGTGAACTCGACAGCATCGGCTACAGCTGCAGGTGGCTGGGTTGCTTGCAACAAGGGTGGTGGTTTTCCCGCTAGGCGCTTGTCTGGTGGAGGATGAGGAGGGGCCACATGTCTGCTCCGCGCTCTAGGGCCTAAACAGTCATGGTGACTGCAGCGAAGGTTCAAGCATCAAAATGCCATGGGACCCGCACGCTAGGCCCCAATCTCTATTTTGCAGTTCCGACTGATCTTGATCGCCTGCCTCTGTCTCGCTCTCGTCTCCAGGCCACTGCACTGCGCTTGTCGCCGTTTTAGTTTGAGACATCCTCTTCACGAACACCTTTCGCACATCTCTCTCCCTCCTCCATCTCCTCCCTCTGCTCCAACAACTATCCAAGTGGACGGTTGAGGTGTCAGTTTTGACGTGCAGCCAACGCTCCGGCTTTTCTGCATCCGCCCTCTGCTCCATCGAACGTGGCTGCTTGACTCTGCCATCACTTTCTGGATCTTTTCCGGCTCCTCACTCAGACATTCAATCATCTCACACAACACACCATTATGCCATTTGAATCCGGTTTATAGTCAGGACGCCGTCGTCCAAATTTTCCGATAAAAAATCATGCAACGCGTCAATATGCGACCATCTATGTTGCCCAAGTTGATCGTCGCTCAAACGCCTACAGCCGCAACGATCGGCGAAATGACAGACTCTCCCTACTCAACTATCTCAATGCACTCTCGCAACTCATCTGGCGCATCTGACAACTACTCACCACTGACACAAACTTTCTCATTCCATGAACACACGCACAATTCAAGTTCCAGCTCCTCATCCTTGGGCACGACTCCTCCCAAATATGAACCAAGCATCGAATCACTCAACAACCGCATTTCCAGGACAACTCTGCATGATCTGGTGGAGGATCCTCACGAGAGAGAAGACGAGTTCGACCTCTGTGATGATGCATTCGAGGTCAACTGCCAATGTGGTCTCGAGAAGTCCCGTTCTAACACTGATATGTACTATCTGAGCGAAGCCGAGATGGACCCTCGCCTCTACCAATCTGCATCCGCGTTAGAGCGCCCCAGTCTGGATTACTCTCTGGCAGACGGACCGAGCGAATTCAGCAGCGATAATGAAGCTCCTCTGAAGGTGTTCAAATCGAGGTCCAGGCAGAATTCTGGGGACTCCCCCGTCACTGGTCTGGCATCCCGTATGGGCAGTCGTTTATCATCTTTTTCGTCGAAACGCCGTGACAGGACTCCTACCTCTCCTCCGACTACTGCTGTGCATCGTCTTAGCACGAAGAGCGCTCCCGTGTCTCGTGTGCCGTCACGTGCTCCATCCTTTCACATGTCTTCGGTCGCGAAGCCCGTTCTCACTCCTCTTGACGTTGAGGCGGAGACCACTCCGACACCAACCCCTACACAGATTGCCATCGAGACATCAAATCCTCTGGACATTTGCGCGCCCCGTCCGGACGAGCCTATTGATCGCAAAGCTCTGGCTTCTACACCTCTCCTGCCCGTTCCAATCCAGGAACCTGAACAGAGCGATGAAGATGTCATTCAGTCACCACTTCAGTGCCCCACCGTGGTTGACAACGCTCAGCTCGCTCGCCTGTCTATGATCGGCCCCTCGTTGTCGAGTCCAGTCTTGCCGGAGATGTCGATGGTTTTACCTGCTCTCTCTGCACATGCTTCCACTACTTCGCTTGGTGCCATGCACTCCAGCCAAGTCATGTCCACTCCAGATATATCTTCCATGCACATAGTCAGTCCTCAAGACAAGTGGGCAAATAAGCTTGGACATGCCAACTTCAGCGTCTTCCCTGAACCGTATCTGCCAGCAACCTACAACATTCATGCTTGCAGAAAACTTTTCGAGGACTGGGAATCGGCTCGCAGACAATTTATGCATCAAGCAGCACGAACCAGTGAGCACTATGGACCCACTTCGCAGGTGTATAAGTACACTGAGAAGAAATGGGCAGAGATCGACGCAGAATGGAAGCGAAACCACGAGTTGGTGGTTGCCAAAACAGCTGCGAACGGGGAAACACCTGTCTTCCAGCCTCTTGCAGAACCAGCGCCTCTGACTGATCTGCCTGCCTTGGACGACCCCCTCAAGTTTCCAAGACTTGATGGATCTGACATTGTCGGACCTATGGTCAAGTACGCAAAAATCAAGCAAAAGTCCTCCTCGAAGAAGTCTGCCTTTCTCAAATTCTTCAACAACGTACGAACACCAAGCAACACACTCGGTCGCACACCAACCGGCCTCAGCGTGTGATGACAACAACAACATCACACGAACAATTCTCATGTAACATATTCACCATACGTTTTTATCACGAATTTTACGACGCAACATGACGACGCCATCTATCTTGCATCTCGGCGCGTTCTTTCGGCGCCACGTCATTCCTTCTATCGAAGGCACAACGATTTTCTTTTGTCACCAAAAGTGCAACGATTGCAGCAGGGGAAGAAGTTTCCATTGAAGAGGTGCAGAGAGCTGGGAAGTTAGGAGGAGAAGCATAGAGGGTGATCCCAGAGTAGAGCAGAGGACACCTGCTGATCTTAGAGTTGTCTCTGCTGACCAGCATTTGCGGCGGCTCATCAGCCATGTTATCACGATAGTGTTTTCGTTGATCTCTTTTCCTCTGTCATCGCTCTCAGCGACAAAATCGGCGGCTACACCCTGCATCCGAAATGGACAACAGGGATAAGCGCAGTCATTCTTTGGAGGTAGTTTAGCAGCTCTTATTTAGCTCATGCCATCCAAGATCTTCAACAAAAAGCACCAGTTCCGTCAACTCAGTCGTGGTAGCGTTCATCGCATGTGGTAGTGGACAAGAAAGGAGGTGCAAGATTTGGTGGAGAAGGACAGAGAAGGTGTTGGAAACAAAGGCGGCAAGTGATTACGCATGCGGGAACGAGAAGGGGAAGCGGGATGGTGGGAAAGACGCAATCGTCAACAGCCTCATGATGGAAGCGTCGAAACATGTCCTCGATGCTTCTTGCATATCTTGCCGTCACGAGTGAGTCCAGCAGTCGGTGTATTATTGATCACATGCAGGGCTTCAGCGGCTTCGATAAACGTCATTCGTGGTAAAGAAGCGAGCGTCAGCGGGCCATCTGAGGGGTCCTTTCGCTATCTAATCGTTGCCAAACCCGAGCGCTCTACACACGCACTCCACCCTCTCGTTGTCGCGCACACTTTGAAGCGGTTCCTGCCTGGATTGTGCTATTGTTCAACATTCATATTGGCTCCAAAGCCTTCGTCAAGTCCGCATGCGACAAGGTCACGGCGCAACCCGTCGCCATCACCAGCAACCACTCAACACTTGAGACCATCATGAGCCTTCTCGACGACATGGCCATCGAGACGCCCGAGATCACAGTAGACAACATGTCCGAAGACGAAGCACTCAGCAGCGACCTGCCCGACTTCGACGTTGACGGCCAAGGCACCATTCCCGAGGAAGACGACTTCGACTCGACCTCGATGGTCATCATGTCTGATGATGCTGGACAAGTCTACGCTCCACCTGACCGCATTGCCGCTCGCTTCTACCGCGACCCCAAACCTCGTCACTTCAAGTCGTCAGCCGCCTCGTCCCGTCGCAACTCGTTGTCCTCGATCCAATCGCATACCTCGACTCGTTCGTTACGCCGCACTTCGTCATGCCAGAGCAACTACATCGCACAACATTTGCGCAGAGCATCCATCATTGAGGCTCGCAAAGCACGCCTTGCCGACCGCGCCGCTCATGCCGAAAAGGTCCGTCTACGAGCCGCCATGGCCAAGGCAGCTCCCAGGGGCGACGCCAGTGCGAGCGAAGGGCGAGCACTAGCTGCTCAGCTGGCTCGTGAGAAGAAGCTAGCAAAGGTCGCTGCTGCATGTGCAGAAGAGGTCCAGAGAGCAAAACAGAAGGCTCAGGAAATCAAGACCAAGAAACTCGAGGAAGAGAAGCAGGCTCGCTTGGACATGGAAGAGAAAATGGCCGATGCCGATAGGAGAAGGGCAGAGTACAAACGCAACATGACCTCTCGCAAATCCCGTAGGGCCAGCGAGCAAGAAAAGAAGCTGGCAGACGTATCTGAAGGCGATGACGACACAAGTCCAGCGCTGAATCAAGAGGAGATGGCTGCAAGGAGGATACAACGGGCATGGCGTGTGCGCCAGCGAAGGTTGATTGTGAGGGCTTATACCGACTTTCATCTCAGTCTGGAAGGCATCCGGCATCATTCGTTCGAGCACGTTGGCTCTTTGCTTTCCGGCATGCCCATCATCCAGGCCACCACAAAAGTCCTTCGTCTCCTCAACCTGCAAGACAAAGAAGATTCGCCATCCCCGCAAGCTACCCGCACATTCCTTAGTGCCTATCTAGTCATCCTCCATCCTGCCTCTGTCTTGAGCAAAAATGGCGCCCAAGAGCAGCATCTCAACCTCAAGGCCCGTGACTTGATCACCTTATTCGAGTCCGTCATGTCTACGCTTTCTCTATCAAATCGCTTTCAAGCTCCTGTCGCCATGCTTCAAGATTTGTCGCAGGCTTACACAACTTATGTGTCTGCTTTTGATGCCTGGAGAGCTCAAGACTCTTCCGCCCTGGTCGAGACTATGATCGCTTCGTTCGTCGAGTTGGACGCCATTTGGCAGACGGTCAAAGACGACACTCGAGGTGCAGTTGCTGAGGATTACCGCCAAGGTATTCGTGACAACCAGGTCATGTTCCTCAGCAAGATCAGAAAGTTGGCTGGTCCTGAACGTGCCGATCTCCTCATCAAGAAAGCTATTAGAGAGAGCCGGAGAAGGCGCGTCAAGAGGAGGTCTGCCGCTGAGGTCCGTCCTCGTGCGGCCGCCGATATCGAAGATGCCGAACCTGATTCCTCGGAGACTCTCCCTATAGTTGCTCCACCTCTACCGCAGAACTCCGTTCAGACTGGAACTGCTTCTCAAGACGATGTTCGTTCGAATCTTGCCCGCTTGTTCTCGCCGATTCCAAGCAATCGCATCTTGACACACGAACTCGCTATCGACAAAGACTTCCGCATCTCCTCGGGGGCTCATTCTGGTATTCGCGACGCTATCAATCGTGAGCTTTGTAATGGCATGCGCGAAGGTGTTGAGCGCGGCATGGGCACTCCATGGACCGTAGCTATGGCCCAGGAGATCAGGGCCAAGCTCGTCCATATTGTGAAGCCAGGTAACTCCATGCACAACTTCATCATTGAAGCCCTGGATACCGATTTGATTTATCGCCAATGCGAGCAAGGCATCTTCTCATATGCCAACTTTTTCTCCTTTATGGCTAACATCCTGCCCAAATTGTGTGCACCATTCCGTGATGCGCAGATAAAGACTTTGGCAGATGATCTTGTATCCAATAACGATGAGGACATGGGTACCATGATCGAAAAGCTCTTCCGCCTTTTGCACTTCATCGACCTGCTGTCACTCGATTACTCCAACTTCCTCTTGATGAATGCAGCTCCGGTCCTTATTCGAGAGTCGGCCGGATACGAGTCGCGTATGTTCGCAGCGGATCTGGCTTCAGGGGCAATCACATTAGCTTGCACAGATCGCTGGTGGCGCAACGCAAGTGTGAATCTGCTGACTGAAGCTGATCGCCGGGACCCAGAGCAGGTTCGTAACCCTGCAGACAGACCTACCGCTCATCATGTTTACACCCGCGGGCTGGTCGATATCGCCTTTGGACAGGGTCCGCTTAACATGACCGACGTACCCGAAACTCTTGCCCTCGATGTAGAGCGACTGTGTGCTATTCGACAGAAGGCTCTACACATGACCACGATTGGTTCCGTTCTGTTAGTAGCCAAGAACATGCTCAAGCGAGATGTACGCAGCCCCTGGAAAGCCGAAGCGTCTCGTCTCTGGGATCTCCTCAGCAAAGAGCCGCCCTCCGAGAATACTTCTGAGGATGCTCTTGCAAGCCTCTCCTCTCGCGCTTTTGGCGTGCTCGAGAGCGCACACAACTTGCCGCCATCAACCAAATCTGCATTGCAATCTGCCGCCTCCCGTGTCATCACGCAAGCCTCCTCCCAACGTTTCACAGACCCCGTGGCCAAAGTTTTGTATTCTAGGCTACGTAGTCATGTCCTCTCACGCGTCGTCGCTAGAACTTCTAGCGAGAGGGTGCGAACAGCCAGTGGTGCTTCAGAGGCATTAGCAACGGCCGGACTGCCAGAGTTTGTGACCCAAGTTGGTGAGATGGTCGAGACACTGAGGAAAGTGGCCGAAGTCGACTGGGCATCTCACAGTGTCTGGTATGAGCAAGTGGCCAGAGAAGTTAGTGAAGCCGGCGATGCATGATGTCCGCATAGACTGATCGCATCTCCTTCTTCCTTGTTTTGGTGCTTTCCCTTTTCTGTCTATCTCTGGGTGCTTAGGGTCAACGATGTACCTTCTCTTTCTTATGGTTGGTATAGGTGTGTCATTGGGAGATACACATCATGGCGTTTGGTTTTCCGGGACAGAGGTTTCCTTGGCACTTTACGAAGATTGATACCACATTCGCGCTGTTTTTGGCATTTCCATTCATCACTCTTGCAAATTATCAACGTTGCAATCATTTTTTCGGAACCATTCATTTCCACTATATCACTTTTCTCGACGTGAGTTCTTGATGTTTTGGAACATTGTGCGATTCTTTCACTCTTTCATCTGACCATTTTCGCCTTGTTCAGCTGATTGCAGCTTCTGTGTATGCTTCCTCGGTGGGATTTCCTTTCCTCTAATCCATCGATGGAAGATATCGATCGAGAGCGAGAGTAACATTGAAGAGGCGATTGAGTGTTGTAATATTGACAGTGATGGTAATGGATATACTGGAGCCTACGAGGCTTGCTAAGCATGCATGTTACAAGACTGCCGGCAGCTTGACATGCATGATGAAGGGCTTGTAGTCAGGGCTCTTTTACCTGATACGTACAGCTATGTATGATTAGTGTAGGGTGTTTATGCAGATATATGCCGCTTTCTATGCAGTTGCCAAGCACATCCACCTGGAGCTCTGCCCCCAAAAACTGAGAAGGCGTTTTGAATCGTTCATCAAACCTCGAACCTGAACACTGTTCAGCATCGTCACTGAAGACAGAGAGTGTATCGCGAATTAATACGAAGGTCTCTATCACAACGCGCCAGCATCTATACAGCAATTTTGTGTCACTCGACCTCATAAATCTTGACTTTGCTCTTGGTATACACACATGAAGAGGAACACATTCCTCAATTAGGTAGGTATGTGTCTCAGGATGCTATCAATACGAGAAAAATGGCCTTGATGTCCGGATTTCTGTCATCGACCTGCTCTATTCAGTAAAAGCGATTTTCGCAAAACGGAAAACACCTTTCTCGAGCCAGGATATTTTTCAATCACTAGTAAGAGAGTGGCATGGAACTCTCTTGATTCTGTGAGTGAAACGAGCCAAAGATTCTCAAATCCGTCTCAACCAAAGTGTGGTGTCACTCAGTATACCCCTTGCTTCACAGCATACAGATTCCGGCCCACCCTCGTCCATTCTTCGAGCAGCCATTCCTCCAGCCAGTACGCAAGGTCACGTCAAGATGTAATCGCTATACACGTCTTCTCGCGTCAAGGGCGTGTACGGTGGCTGAACAGGTAGTTGATGGAGGGATGCATGTTTTTCCTCGCTCGTGCGGTCACCTTTTACACAACAGCGTCAATTTGCGACCGACTTCAGAGTTGCAGACAAGTGCAGACTGTCACCGTCCCAAGCGATACGCTGAACTGTGAGAGATGATGCACGGCTTACTCTTCTCGGTACTTTTCAGCACTCTGGCGTCGGCGCTTCCGCAGGTTGCGTTCCCGTTCAATTCGCAAGTTCCAGCTGTCGCACGAGCAAATGAAGCATACGACTTCCAACTCGCCACTACGACGTTCGTCTCCAGTGATGGCAGCACATTGGTCTATAGCTTATCGGGTGCGCCTGCTTGGTTAAATCTGGAGAGCGTCACACGGACATTATATGGCAAGCCTGGCCAAGGAAACACTGGACCGAATGTCTTCAAGATCGTTGCGACAGACAATGGAGGGTCGGCGGAGATGGATTGCACCTTAGTGGTTGCGAGCAACAATGTACCGGTTCTGAAGGGTAACATCTCAACGGACCTCGCGAGGTCAGGACCTCTATCAGGGCCATCAACCTTGATTCTACAGCCCTCAACAGCCTTCGCGATCACATTCTCGAACGATACTTTTGGCAACTCCGGCGCCATCAATTCCTACTACGCTACAATGGCCGATCGAACACCGCTCCCATCCTGGCTCAAATTCGATAGCGGTACTCTCACATTCTGGGGCATGACGCCTCTGTTGGTGACTGGCTCTCAGACTTATGGTGTGGACTTCATCGCATCAGATGTGGCTGGATTTGCGGGTGCAGCGACAACCTTCAGCCTGCTCATCAGCAGTAATCAGCTAGCGTTTAGTCCACAGACAGAGAACGTTACTGTTACACCAGGAAAGATAATGATCCTGGGGCCCTTCGTGGACCAACTACTCATCAACGGCGTCAAGATCACAGGCAGCCAAACGCAACACGCGGTTGCAAAGGCGCCCGACTGGCTTACTTTTAACAACATCACGCTTGAATTGACAGGAACACCGCCCCAAGGTTTCGAGCCGCAAAGCATAGCTATCACCGTGACAGATACATACGGGGATACAGCAGTGAAGAACGTCTTTCTCCGCACAGCGAATACCTCGCTATTTGACGACGAGGTCGGAAACTTGACAGCAACAGCTGGAGAATCGTTCCAATACACATTCTCTTCGTTATTAGTAACGAGGAATGACATTGACATTGACTTCACTGTCGACGTCGGCTCTGCCTCCTCGTGGTTGAAATATGACGAGGTCAAACAAGAGCTGCAGGGCACTCCCCCTACTGCGACCAAAGCTTCAGCAAGCAAAGTCACTGTAATCGCCTCGTCTCTATCTGCGACAGAGTCTCAGATCTTCTACGTCAATGTGAATGCAGCAACGGTCGTGATCACCAGTCGCACAACATCGAGTACGACGCCGAGCCCTACTTCAGCTCCTTCTTCGTCTGCCACTTCTTCGCCTGCCAAATCTGAAAGGAGGAGCATGACAGCAGGTATCATAGTGGGTATCGTGATTGGCTGTCTAGCGGTATTGGCTCTATTCTTCGCCATTGCCATGTTGTGCTCTCGACGTAAAAGGAAGCAACCTCGCAAAAAGATAGAGAAAGGCGATATCAGGCCAATTTTACCATATGGTGATCAAGAACCTATGGTAACAGACAACAATCAAGATGAGGAAAAATACATCGGATCACCTGTCAAACACTCTCCGGACGAACCACCACAATTAGATGTCGATCTACCGACAGCACTTCAACCACCAATGAAGCCGAGATACTTCCTTGGCGGGAGAGACGCTCGTCAGAGCAAGTTGTCCGTAGTCAGTTCACTTGGAGATGGGGAAGCAGCGATACAAGCAGATTCAAACATTCCTGTCTGGGGAAGAGAGTCGGGCGCAACACATACACCGCATCACAGTTATTCTGCAGCTACGGAATTGGCCAGACAAAATAGTCGTGACTCTCGTCAACGATTATCAGAATTTGGCAGACTATCTCCTAGCAAACGAGCTTCGAGGTTGATCAAGAGCTGGCATCCAGGCTTGGGTATCAACACACGGGGAACAGTGATACACCGCCCAAACAGAAGGAGCCGGTTGAGTAGCACCTTCTCCATCACGAGAGATCGAAGCAGCCGAGGCTCGTTCAATACACATGGAACTAGCATCCTGTCCACCAAGCCATCAGATTACCCTGGGTCGACGTCAAACAGAAACTCGTTGTTCATGCCTGCTGTACTACTCACGGATACGGATAAGCGACGATCTTTGACGGAAGCCGAGAAGCGACGTAGTATCCGCATAGTCAGTCGAAGCGAAAGTGCCGTAGACCGCAGACCTCTCGCCGAGAAGCGACAATCATTCATCCGCAATCGAGCGAGCAGCGGTGTGATGAGCCCAGTATTATTCGCTTCCTCACGACGCTCCTCAAACATGGGTCTCTACAGCAATCTTGGCTCTATAAAAGGTAGTCCCAGCCTGCGCCGCCAAACGACATCCTCATCCTTCCTCAAACCTCCAGCTCGAAATCCACGCCGCTTGGTCTCTGGTCCACATGTCTTCCCTCCAGGTCTTCCCCGAGCCATCACGCCATCTCCAATACGAGGCGCTAACAACAATAGTCCTACTTTGCCTCCAGCGACCACAGCAGATAATTGGGCAACCACGGATAGCAGTAGCGATATCTCTCGCTCCAACTCTGACGCAAAAGCAGCAGCCCAATACGCTTCGTACGCAGTAGAAATGGAACTTCCACGTCATGAACGCACCTGGGTACGACCAGGCGAGGCATCACCCACCCCACCACCATCCAGTGTTCTCCGCGCCCCGAGCAACACTCGAGAAGCCGCAAGAAGAAAATGGGCAGAAAGACTGAACCGAAACAGTTCTGGAAATCTGGCTTCGCGCTCGCCATCGCCTTTACGGATCACATTGAGTGGTGTTAGTGCGTCAGGTATCAAGGGACGCAAACAGCGACTAAAGGAGAAATTCGACGATGACAAGGAGAACAAGGGCGAAGACCGTCTGAGTAAATTGGTCAGTAATGACAGTTTTAGCGATGCTAGACAAATGCGAGGAAGGAAGAGCTTGGTACAGGTAGAAGTTGGGAGTAGGATACGTAGCTCTCGAGCTGATTTAGAAGAGGTGGTTGGGAAAGATAAGGTGAACACTGCTGGGGATGGAGAGTGGGAAGATGAGACCACTGAGGATGCTGCACAGTCTAGCAGTAAACCTGCCGGTGTGCTGGTAAATTCGGTGTCTAATGCTAGTGTAAGGTTCTTGTAGTGAGTGTGATGGAAGTATACATCCATACCTTCCAACTAATCAAGAGTGGTCTATGCCTGTTTTACACAAAGCAGACGATGCAAACTTCTAATATTCTTCCTCGCAGATGCTTGTCAATTCTTTCTCTTCTCTAAACTACAACCGAAGAGATAATAAAGCATCTCAAGTCACATCTCATGCTCTGCACTTCACTCACTTGTCCAGTTGACGGGTGCAAGGCATCAAGGTCACAGGTACCTGTCCTGTGGTACCTCATACATCGTCTCTCTGATCAATGTATGCCTCCGGCAAGCGACTCTACCTCCCATCCGTGAATATCTGCTAGTCGTCCTCCTCGTTGAGATACTCGACTACTCCTGGTTTCGACATCGACCGGATGCGCGCTGTGGTCGTCGCGTACACTGCATTTGAGCAAACGACATCGAATCCATCTTGTTCCTATAGCTCTTTCTAGAACAAGCAGTGTCTTTCTGTGCAGAATGTAGCTGTGTGAACTTCTGTCTGATGAGGGTCGCTCTTCCTGTTGGAACGGATTGACTGGTCGATCATGTGATAGTGAGGTAGAGTGAGAACATCTGCGCTTTGTGGTCACTTGGAGGATGATGATGATGTAGTCTGTGGGAAGTGCAGTACATTTTATTTTGGTATAGGTTTTGTATGATTATGTAAATGAGAAGAGTGTTTAATATATGGATGCCAAATGATTGTCGATGCTGTCGATGAAGCGTTGTAGCTGAGATGTATTAAATGAGATGAGATGTATCATGCCAGGTTGCTTTCTTATGGGAGGAGTTTTTCGTCGTCGTCCTTCTTGTCATGTTCGCCTTCGTTTTCTGTCTCTTGCCCCTCATCACCATCCTTTTCTTGCTTTGTCTTGTCCTTCTTGTTGTCTTCAGGATCAGTACTGTCAGGTGCAGCTGGAGCACGAGTAGTCTCTGACACACTGCCAGTTTGCGTCGGCAACTCTGTACCGCTGGGGAAAGTGATGTATGGAAGATCGGGGTCCGATGACATACTAACGGCATACTTGGAGAGACTTGCAGCATAGGATGCCAGACCGGAAGCATACAGTGCCTTGCCAGAAGCGGCAATATGTCTGTGTTCCTTGGTGGAAGTCATAACATGTGTGACGGTCCTTGATGATTGTCCAGTACCTTCTGCCTCCTTGGTGGTTCTGGAGATGCCCTTGGCGATGTCTATTGAGCTGGTCGGCTCGACGTCTGTAGTCGATTCGTGGTGTCTGGTTCCGGTAGACTCAGAATCTGTGATCGATTTGTGGTGTTTGAATTTGGAGGTTCCATCTTCATCGTGATGGGAACGACTGGATGAAGTCTCTTCAACATCTTTGGCCGATTCGGTGGTGGTGTGATCTTTGTATGAGTGCAAACCAGTAGCAGAGGCAGAGGAAAATGTCGCATATTCACCATCATGGCCACCCTCGTCCTCAGATTCAGGCTCAGATACGTCAGGATCTCCCTTCTTCGTACTGTTCGATGCTGTTTCTGAGTCATACCCGGTGTCGCTTTCTAAGCATGTGACCATGACACTGTTGTAATCCCCTTTCTTGTGCGGGTGCTTTCCTTTTCCTTTTCCTTTTCCTTTTCCTTTTTCTGGCCCGCCGGCACTTTTTGCCAAATCTCTGCGGTGCAGATATCCGGTGTTGCCGTGGTCGTTGTTGACGTTCGTACAATTGCCAAGCTCAACTGCTGAGGCGAAGACTTCCGTGTTGCAATGTTTGTCTGTATAGACGTGCAGCGTACAATTCACACCGACATCGGATTCATCTCCGCTGTCTGAATCATCATCCTTGTTCTTCTTGTGGATCTTGTGCTTGTGGTGGCTTTTCGGCTTCAGCCTGTAAGAATGGAAATTTCTGTGGAGCTTCTGGCAATGGTCCTGCGTGAATGTCTTGTGGCCTGTTCTGTGTCTTTTACAGCCGTCTTTTTTTTAAAGCGATAGAAGCTTATCTTGACCTGATCTTCCTTGTCTTTCTTTTTCTCTTTTTTGCTCTTCTTACCGCCTTCATCATCGATGGCCTGTCCCTCATCATCATCTGGGAGCGGTTTCTTCCCATCGGCATTACCCATGGCGACGTTATCATTGTCGAAATCGATTTCACTCTCGAAAGTGTCCAGCGGGTTGTGTTCACCGTCATTGTCATCAGAGTCGGATGTTGCGACGTGCTCGGGATCGTTCTCATCAAAGTCGGTGGCGGTATCAGAATCGACGAGGTCGTTGTCAAGTGTGACATTGCCGGGGGTAAAATTGAGCTTGTTGATTACAGAGGTCTGGAGAGTGGTGGACTCCAATGCCTTTGGAGGGACTGCTGGAGATGGAGTGCCAGGGTCCTGTGAGATCTGTGCAAGAGCACGATGTAATGCCAAGCATCCGAACAACGATGGGAGTAACTTCATGACTGAATGTTTCTCCTTGAAAGTTCCTTCGTTGTGCAAGAAAAGAGATGAGGAAGGAGGTGAAGAGAAAAAGTAGTACTCATGCTCGGAGTATCCTCGAGCTTTTAACATCAAGCAGACTAAGAACTTCCAGCATTCCATCGTAGCCTACATGGCCAAATCATGGGTATACAGATGTCGCATTATGGCATGATCCAGTATTGTCAAAGTCAATTGCCAAAGTCAACATCGTGGTTGTCGAGGACCTACAAGTTCAAAACCATCACACCCAGAGGACGACTCCGCACCCTCAAGATCACCACGACCTACCTGTTGACGATTCGCGTACAATGATGATCAGACAACCGTGCGATTTGCGTACCTGTACGATTATTCCATGTAGAAATCCCAAAAAAGAAAAAAAGAAATGTCAAAGAATTGGATGTTTTGAGCATCGCATTCTTCTGGATCATCTGTTTCCCGAGGAACGGATGGATGCAGTGCTGGTCAGGCTTCTCTTGCTCGAGACGCGAAAATTGGAATGTGCAGCAAGACAGTAAGTCAAGCAAGGACGTCGGAGCACGAACATCAAACGCATGCATACCTCAGATGAAGTGAGGTTTGAGTAACGCTTCCAAGAGTCTTGTCAGTTACGGCCAAGAACTTCCCCTCGCCCGCCATACCAACCTCTCCGCCTTTCCAACGGAGTCTGCAAAATACATAGGGTGCGAGTGGAGGCTGGTTGCGACATACGTCTCATTGTTCGTCTCGCATGTTGATGCACAAGAAATCGCATCACGGGCCTTTGCGGAGAAAGAGAGGTTGGGGATGCGGGTTGCTATGGTCTAGGCGATACATTGGCGTACACTCGCATGCGGAAACAACACCAGCGCCCAGCCAAGAGATTTGCGATACGAACCCATGAACTTTTTTATGCCCGGGGAAGAGAGCAAGACACCAAAGTCAAAAAGATGCAAGCCAAGTCGTGATGGTTGGGGCTCTCAGAGTTCCTGGGCGTCGGCCCGTGTTTTGGTATGACCATTCTTTGCAGTAGTGCTCCCGCGCGCCTCTGCGTCCGTAAAAAAAGGTCTCGGCATTGAAAAAGAGGTCAAGCCATTGATACCAAGACTTTTGGTCAGAAAATACCTCGTCTCGGAACAGCATAGAAGCCAAGGCATGGCGAAAGGACGATTGCAACGAACAAGGCTGACAAGCAATCAAATGATCTGGAGGGTTTGCTTGGAACGAGAAAGAGTCGGTCCGGGGATTTGTCTGCTATTGCTTGTAATCGAGGTGTCTTGTACACTTCGCGGCTGCCGATGTTTGAAGTTCAATCAATCATTTGGCTTTTGGTGCTGCTTAATCTGGTTAAACGACTTAGAGTTGTGTGAATGTGATGAGAAGAGCGGTTTTGTTGGATCATCTGGGACATACCACCAAATACAGACCGTACCTATGTATCACAAACCGTTCGGTCTGGCCGACGTGTTGCAAAGTGCTCGGTGCTCTCTAGACGTATCGTCTGCAAGAGACCCATCGTGTCATGTTTCGGGTGCCTCTTGGTGGTTCGTGTGTCGAGCGATCAACACTTTGCTGACCATCGAGCATGAAACTACGAAGTAAGGCCGCGAGCAGCCCGCAAATAACTCCACGGGGCCCATGTCGTTCTAGCTGCCCTCTCCACGGGGCCCATCCACACTTCTATCGACTTGCGGGACAAGTCAATTCTTTTCGTAACACAAAGTCCTTCGCGGAGAGACAAGTTCGGTCGGCTCGTTCAGCACTGGTCAGCTTGCGAGACGCCGACTCGCCGTCGCCGATAAAGGGACGGCGAAAATTTTTCGTGATGTTTCATTTTTCCTGGTCGATACGATGTCCAATCGGCAAAGGATCAAGGGCTACTCGTCACGTTTTGCTGATCTCAATTGGATCAAGTGGGCACTTGGGCGTTGCTGACCACAGTTTTGGCTGTTTTTTTTTAATCAGGGCTGCTTTTGTTTATCGAAAAGGAAATTGTTAGAAAAACTGCCGAAACAATCACAAGACACAGGCGCAATCACAAAGCATGCTGGAACAGATGTAGTTTTTTGAAATATTTTTGTTTGGGGGTATTACTCTGCGAATCTACAGGGCAGAGGGGTGTGTTATAGACACTTTGTATGTAGAAGAAAAAGGAAAAGTAAGATTAATAAAAACTCCGGCGCATGAATTGAGCATCAAAGCATGATCTAATCCTCCTCTTCATCCTCGATCTTAGCGGCAAGGGTCCAGCGGTCACCACCAGTGGCATCATCCTTCTCGTGAACGAGAGCGACCTTGGAAAGGGCGGCGATGATGTTCTCCATCTTGGTGTCGTGCATGTTGCGGTTCTTGCGACCGAGGTTGTTGAGCCAGGTGATCTGGTTAAGAAGGAAGTAGACAATGGCGATGATGATGGTAACACCAATGGAGTAAGCCCAGACGACAACGACAGTGACAATGTCGGTCCAGCCATCGAGACGCTCGTTGGGGTAGAAAGCGGAAGGAGGGGAGGTGTTGTGAGGGTCACCGGACATCCAACCGAAGAGACAGAAGATAGTGGCAAGGGCGTCGACACCGAGGATAGCGAGGATGAGCTGCCAGTTGGGGAAAGTCTTGCCACCACGGGTGACGAAGATGAGCCAGTTCTCAGTAAGGGCAATTTCGAGGAAGAGGATCTCCTGGACGGAACCGAAGTTCTGGACGATACCACCCTCACGGAGGAAGAGGGTACCGCGAACGATCCAAGTACCGGTGGCGAGAAGGACACCGAGGATGACGGAGATGATCCAGATCTTGGGAAGCTGCCACTCGACGGGACGCTGCTCAGAGTGAGCGTTATCGTAGGCAATGGCGACGGTGGCCAAATCAGCGAAGAGAGCGAGGAAGACAATAAGATCGGTGCGGATAGTCTCGTTGATGATGATCATAGAGAGAGTAAGGTAAAGCTCCAAGTGCAAGCAGAGAGCGATACGGTACTGAATGTAGGACTTCATACGCTGGAAAATCTGGCGGGCAGTCTTGATGGCGTAGACGATGGTGGAGAGACCGGGAGCAAGGAAGACGATATCGGCGGCAGCCTGGGCAGCCTCAGTGGAACCCTCGACAGCGATACCACAGTCAGACTTCTTGAGCGAAGGAGCGTCGTTGACACCGTCACCAGTCATGGCAGTCAAATGACCACGCTGTTGGAGCATCTCGACGACCTGGTACTTGTGCTCGGGGAAGACCTCAGCGAAACCATCAGCCTTCTCGACGAGATCGTGCTGGGCAGTACCGGAGAGACCACCGTGGATAAGCTTGGTAGAGTTGTAAACCTTGGTACCGAGGGCAAGCATCTTGCAAGTCTCCTTGGCAATAGCGATAGCGTCACCAGTAAGCATCTTGACGGGAACACCGAGTTGCTGGGCCTCAATGATGGTCTGGGCAGTGTCCTCACGGGGAGGGTCGAACATAGAAAGCATACCAAGAAGGATCCAGGGCTCGTCGTTCTTCTTGTAAGCAACACCGAGAGAGCGGAAACCACGGCGAGCAAACTCGGTGGCCTTGTCCTTGAAGAGGTCGGAGGTCTCCTTGTCGCAGTCGGTCAGGTTGAGAACAGCCTTGGGGGCACCCTTGGCGCAAGTGTAGGTGTCACCACGGAGAGTGCAGATAGCAGTAATACGCTTGGAGACGGGGTCGAAGGGAGTGAATTTCTCGGTCTTCCACTCATCCTTGAGGATCTCACGAGCCTTGGGGTAACGCTTGAGGGTAAGAATGGTAACCTTGTCGATGGGGTCGAGGGACTTGATGTTGTGGGAAGAAGCGAGAGCGGCGACAGCCATCATCCAGTTGACGTCCTGGCCCTCGGCGACGAAAGGCTCACGAATGGAAAGCTGGTTGGCAGTAAGAGTACCGGTCTTGTCGGAGCAGAGAATATCAACACCGGCAAGGGACTCAATAGCGGTAAGCTTCTGGACAATAGCCTGCTGCTCAGCGAGGTAGGCAGCACCGACGGCGAGAGTGGTGGTGGTAACGACGGGAAGACCGACGGGGACACCAACAATCAGGAGGATAAGAGCGTAACGGAGAAGGGTGTTCTCAGACCATTCGGGGGTAGCGATGCCAAGGTTGCGGAAGAAACCACCGATCCAGGCAAGCATGATGAAGAACATGACGAGGACGAGAAGAGCCGTACCAATGGAGTCCATGATGGCCTTGAAGTGACCTTGGTCCTTGGCGCCAGCGACGAGAGTAGCAGTGCGACCGACGAAAGAGTGCTTGGCAGAAGCGACGATGACAGCGTAAGCCTTTCCGCGCTTGCAACCAGTGGTGTAGTAGACGACATCGCCCATGTACTTGTCGACAGCGAGAGATTCACCGGTAATGGCAGACTGATCGGTGGCGACGATGGGGTGGCCTTGGTGAGCAATGCCGGTACCCTCACCCTCCTCACCTTCCTCAGAGCCAGCGGGGTCCTCCTCGGGGTTCAAGGCGTGCTGCTCGCGGAGCTCCTTGTACTTGGCGAAGTCTTCGGGTTGATCGTATTCACAGATAAGACGGGCGTCACCGGGGCAGGTCATACCCTCCTCGATGATGACGATATCACCGGGGACGAGCTCACGGGCGAGGATGTTTTGCTCTTGACCGTTGCGGATAGCGGTACATCTCATGGCGATATCACCCTTGAGAGAGGCGACGACATCGGCAGCCTGCTTCTCCTGGTACCAACCGACAATGGCGTTGAGCACAAGAATACCGATGATGACACCGAAATCGATCCAATCACGCAGACCTGCTGCGAGAAGGACAGCAAGTTCCATAACTGCACGCTATTGGTTAGCCATTGTGTTTTGATTTTTGTGGATTTGGCTTGCGGAATTTGCGGGGGAAGTGGCCTCGGGTGGAGCTAGTGCAAGCCGCACCCAAGCCAGATCGACAGGCAAAAGCAAAAGCCAAGGCGAGAAAGCAAGACGTACCATAAAGAATAGGGCCAGTAAAGAATGACAAGAATTTAATAAACATGTTCTCCTTATCGGAGGAGATTTCGTTGAAGCCAAAGCGCTTGCGACGAGCCTCGACGTCGTGGTTCGAGATACCTTGTCTGATGTCGGCCTCAAGCCAGTCATCGGGGACGACGGTGTCGTTGCCGGCGGCGCCAGAGCTGCTCTTCTTCCAGAATTGCCAGCTCTTCTTGCCCTTGCCGGCAGCGGCAGCATCGCCGTTGGCGGCAGCCTCCTCGGCTGCGCGCTCCTTGGGGTCACGGTAGGTGGAGATGTACTTTTGGAGAGCAGTGTACTCGTCGAGGTCCTCGATGGCACCGGGGGCGGTCGACCACTTGCGAGAGGCGGCGCGGTCGTTGTTGGGAGCACCGTTCTCGAGGTCCTTGTCGCTGAAGGACACACGAGGGGGGTTGGTTTCCGACATGTTGCTGATGCTGCACTGGCAGACCGCGGTCGATGGGTGAAGGAGTGGGGTTGGTCGACTGGGTGAGCACCTGCGTGAGCGGAAGAAAGAATCTGGGATGAGGACGGGCGAGCTCTTTTGAAGGAAGGCTGAACAGCGTCCGCTTGTATTTTCCGTCGTGGCCGATTCTGCCGCTGGTGGTCAAAGCTCGCAATTCGCTGGGTGGGCTGGACGGCGTGCCTCAGTGAAGGTAATTTGGCGATTCACTGGAGCGTTGGCCGACTTGGTTTGGTGAGGCATTTTTGGCCCGAACATCAACAAGCTCCCAAGACCAAGCGCACGCTCGCTCCAACAAGCTCCACCCCAATCCCAGGCCGATCCAAGCGCACCGACGTAATCCCACCCAGCCGTGCTAACCGGACCCTCGTTAGCTGTGCGACTGGCCCGCCTTATGCCCAAACCGCCCTACTGCCTCGTCAATACCGTTGACTGTGCCCGCATCGGGCAAGGCGCACCGCTGTGTCTGTCAAATTGTTCAATTTGCTACATCCTGCCTCGAACATCCATCGCATTCACGCACACGACAAGCTACCTAGTCCATCATCACCATGCTGCGAGACGTCGCCTATCGTCTTCTGTGCATATTCCGTGACATAATTATGCCGCCCTCTCCCCCAACCTCTCCATTTGCTCACCATCTTGATTCGCTGTCACGTCTGCCGTGACTAGCCATGCTGCATGCAACTTCCAGTCAAAGGCGTCTCTGCCCCTGCTCTGCGACCATCATGACGTCCCCACCAAAAAGCAGTTCGCCGACGGTTTGTCCCCCAATTTGCTCTCTACGCTTCAACTCTCCTTCTTTGGGGTAAGATAATACCATTGCCGGTCATTCACCCGTTTATCGAACGGCCATCAAATCGTTACTCATATCACATATCTATCTCAATCCGATGGCCCCCAGGAGGTAATTGCTGAGCCTGGCTCGCCTTACGTCGGCCACGTTCCTGTCACGCATCTCCAAACCATCTCTATCTCGCTACTGACCGCTCTGTGACAATTGATGTTTGCAACTGGTAAGCTAGAACATCTTCCATACATTCAGCGTCGTGTTCGAAGTGTCGGGCCCTATCACCGGCTGCTCCCGCAGGCGGAAATTAGCTTTTTGCTGCCAAACCCGAACTGGACGCAAGGCTGTCATGGCAACCGGCTCGTCCTGCAAGTGCCCTTCTCTCTCTCCAACCTTTGCGTGGGCCGACAAGACTGGGCCCCCAACATTATTCTGACGCTAGCACTTCTTTGAAACAGATCTCTCGACAACGAACAGCTTCAAACTCTCGCACCCATGGCAAGCAAGCCATGTGCTGAGAGCTGAGGGCCCAGCCGAGTCTGTCATACCCTCCCAAGCTCGCCAAATTCACAACATTCTACGTTTGCCTCATTCTTCGTTGGCCGTTGCTAGACACTTCCGACGGACCTTCCGATACGTGCAAGACAGCCATCCCCAAAACCATTCCGCTTTAGCCATCGCTGCCCGTCTATGCCCGGCCAAAGCCTTTTCGTCATGCTTGTAGAGTAGTACCCTTGGCCGCGGATATCCTCCGTTCGTGTCTTTGGAAACTAGCGAAAAATGTCGCACATGAGCGCATTTTCCTGTCTGCCACCTGTCGGCTTTCGGCATCGTGAGAACGACAAAGATGCCGGCTTTCGTGCAAAGCTCGCAAGCCAGTCGGGCGGGATGTGCCCTTCTCGCACCAAATCCTTCTTCGGGTTCTCCATCGAGTCTTCTAACGGGCCGAATGCATGCTTCCGACCAATCAGAGACAAACAGTAGTAAATCTGGACCTCACCTCCTCTAGAGTGACCATCGAAGCTCATTGCTATCGAAATCGAGTCAGACGTTGAACCCTACTTTCTGCCAATCGCTTGACATGAGTTCTCATCCATACAGATCCCTCACCGTAATGTAGAATTTCCCAGGTCGTTCGTTTGGTAGAGAGTCAACTCAAGTAGCAGAGTCGCAATTTGCAACGTCCGCACAGACTATCGGCATGGCACCTGCGTATCATCAACGCCCAGCTATGTCCAATTCGCACTCGTGACGGACATTCAAAACAATCAGACCAACATGGAACTCTTTACTCCACGACCGTTGGTTAGGAGAGATAATCGAAATGGTACTCAGTATCACGATGGTATAGCTCGACGTTTACAAGCTCATGACCTGCCCCCCTGGATGCTTCCCCTGGTGAGATCTGAAATGACAGGTGGATGCTTCTCCGGAGATCTTGAGTGGAGTCACTCATCAAACAACTCATCTAGCGAAAGGAAGATCATCGAAGACCTGAGTCGCATCGCAACAGACTCGACTTGGTATTGAATCTCGTGTTTGTTTACCGCTCTTGTGAGAGGCTCATCGCATGACGTCTTCGTTGACCGTGTCCTCCAGGTTGATTCCTCGCTTCTCCATGTTCTTGTCTCTGGGGTCGGTGCCAGGACTCGCTCACCGTCTTTGGTTGAAATAAGATTAAAGCCCGCCAAGGGCAGAGGCCTACAGCGCACGATCTTCTCATGTCAGTCAAAGGACACGCGAGCCAGAGCAACAATGTTTTGTTTACTTGGACTTGCAAGACACAATAATGCGAGAACGTTGGTTGTCCCCTTGGCCACGAGGAGCTGATGTGTCGAAGGCTTTCTTCTGGTCTTCCAGAAATATCAAACGCGGGACACGTATAAAGCCTCGTACATCTCCTCCTAACAATGGGTCAGTCATCCACCTCCTTCTACATATCTTGCATGAAACCGTACCCCGCTCCCCATAATGATCTTCTTACGCACAGTTGTCGTTCATTGTGGTTATGCTTGCTCAAGAAACGTGCACCTGTCATACACTTCGACCTCGTTTCTCTGGTGGTGCATGGGGGACATTACTGTACTCCGCATGCCGCAATCACAATTCCTTCTCCGTGCTGGGTTTCCTCTCCACAGAGTGCAACCACGATATCATATCGACATTGACCATGCGCTGTTTTGACCATCTGATCTTATCTGCTGTGCCCAAGACCCTGACAAGTATCATAAGTACTGCTTTAGTTTTTGACTAACAGGGTCATTCATATGTTACTGCTACCGACATGTCACTGCCATATATATCACACCTGCATGACACTGCTGAGCACACTCATATTTTCATATTACTATTGATCGATGCCCTTCTGTACCTGCATAAGGCGCTCATATCCATCAATCGCCCTTACGGAAGGCGCTCTTAGCCCATCAACGATCGCGCACAAGAGATGGTCCTGGTAGGAAGCGGAACACAGAATAAAACTGCGTCATGCTGGAGCTCCAAAGAGAGGGCAACAATCCTTCGGTTGAGGTCCCACTCACAAAATCCTGGAGGCAGCCCCGTATACAGCCAATAGTTCGTCAAACGAATTTGGTTTGGGAACATCGGGCGAGATTCTGCCCCGTTCTCGCATCCGATGAAAGTCAGGCCCAAAAATGCGAGCGAGCCAATGGGACAAGAAAACTGTCAGCTGTGCCCTTTCTATTGATCGTCGGACGCATCGCCAGCCACCAAATTGGAATCAACAAGAAAATCGATGTTCTGCTTTTCGCTTGGCTTCCATCGCCCACTTATAGCACTTTAACGAAAACTTAACTATTCTTGTAAGAGACAGACTATTGAGTGATTAGCCGCGTTGAACCGATGGTTCCGCCGGTCCAACGCCGGGATTAAAACCGTGTGGTCGTTTTGTTGTTGTTTTTGCTTTTCGCAGGGAAGGCGACATTTGGCGGCCAATGTGTGACAAGAACAACAACCGATGAGTCCGAACTTCCGACCATACCAAGGACACGAAAGAGGCCTTGCCACTGATGATGATAATAATCGCTCGGGCCGGCGCATCCTTCGGGCCCTCTTCTTTCCACTTGGTGTTTATTGCGAGATTCGGGTTTTGGCCGACTACTCGCAACGTCTCGCATTTCTGTTTGTGCTTGCCGAAAGTCACCGAGAAATCACCCGTATCTTCAGTATCAAGATGTCGTCTGCTGAGGCAAGATGCAAGTCCATTTTTGGGAAAGCTGTCCCTATTGGATTTCGACGTCTTGCCTCTTCCCAAATGAAGGTAGGTGGTCTGACTCTCTGTGCTTGTTGTCGCTACTGTCCTTGTTTATTGTAAACACAACATCGTCAAAGGCAGTGCAATGATCTTCTCGAATGGACGCTGTTATTGACTCATCTGAATGATGCGACCGGACTCTGGATGTAGCAGTGCCTCCGTTTTGCCGAGACATATACCACTTGCGAATGTCCAACTCTACGACGATCGATTTGGCAGTCACAGCATGGCTTCATGCCTTTGCTGACTTCAGTAGCGACAAACGATGACAGAGTGTCAATGCTTGCTTGCTGTCAGTCACATCGCTTGGATGTATTGCCTTGAGATATGCTATCTTCGAGATGCCCTTGTTCAACCATCTGAACATCCATCGTAGCTCTGGGCCGGACTACAAAGCGGCATCGACAGCTGCAATAACAAGCAGCTGGAGTGCTTGCGTCGCGTCAAAATCTACTATACCATCACAAGTCTCACTGACGGTAGTGGACACAACCAAATAGCAGGTAAGACGGCGGGGCTTTTCGAGGCATTATGTCTCTCGATGGCCAGATGCTGGTGCTTTGCAAGGCGTTGGACTGTATGCAAGAAATGCTCATACCAAGTACAACTGCGTCGTTGACCAATTTCGAGCGGTATTCGGGAAGGTCAACTGAAGGTAAGTCAACTGCGAAGCCTCGTTTCCTTCCAGGACAGGAGCAGGTGCCACTTATATAGTGCTGGCAAAACAAGCCCTTCACCACATCCACACTGTTTGTTGTGACACCTCCAAGACGATTTCACAACAACAAAATACGTACCTTTTACACCTACTTAGATGATACAGCAGGTCTTGGAACTATGATAACCCACCCTTACCAGAACAGCCATTCGGGTAGATGGGGGGACGGCTCGTATGGAACATGCACCTTCCTTCGACTGTCGATCACGCCATGGATTTCGACATCCTTTGCTCCCGCAACCGTTTCCGTCAGAACCAACAAGACGCCATCTGAGATACACGAGTTCCAGCCATGCGGCGAATCGGAAATGCGCAAAAGGAAAGACGATGATGCTTTTTGGACAGTGCAGCTTTGCTCGAAAAGTAAGGTGAATCAAACAGCCAACCAACCCCGCCCTGGGGAAGCCCAAAGATCCGCGGCATACCCCTCATGTGGGCATGTTTTTTTCGTGAGGAGAAAAGATATACGCATCATCATCTTTTGCATCCTGGTTTCTCGTTTCCTTCTTTTTGTATCCTATCACGAATAGTGTCTTATCTACGCTAGCAACTCGCGACGTTCCTGTGGGAAAAAAAGAAAAAGCCATCATTAAAGCTGGTCAAAAGATAGCAGAAAGCCTGTTATAGTCATGGCGTCGGAGCTACCCTTCAAGGTGCGATCGCAAGCTACAAGCCCGATGCTGACTAGTTGTTGACTGTTGGTTAGTTGAACAACAAGGATATATTCCGCGAAAACTCTTTGGTTAATGGAGAGTGGCTCGAAGCACAATCTAAGAAGCGCTTTGATGTCGTCGGTATGTTGATGCAGCTACCAGGGTGATGCCCTCAACCATGATAATTGAGAGACTGAGATAGAACGACAGATCCTGGCACTGGTGAGACGTGGGCTACTGCTCCCGATAATGGTCCAGAGGACGTAGACAACACTGTCAAAGCTGCTCATGCTGCCTTCGAGTCCTACCGTAAAGTCAACCCTAGAACCAGAGCTCAATGGCTACTGAAGTGGGACGGCCTCATCAGAGAACACCGAGACGACATTGCAAAGATCGTGACCTACGAGACTGGTAAGCCTATTGCTGAGAGCCAGGCTGAGCTCGACTATGCCTTGGGTTTCACTTGGTGGTTTGCAGGCGAAGCCGAAAGAATTCAAGGAACCGTCTCTGTGCCTGCAGCACCTGGTCGTCGTGTGTTCACCATCAAGCAACCTATCGGTGTTGCTGTGGCACTGACACCATGGAACTTTCCAATCGCCATGATTCTCCGTAAAGCTGGAGCGGCTCTTGCAGCAGGTTGCACTATGATCGTCAAGCCATCACCCGAGACTCCTTTCTCGGTCTTGACTCTGGGCTACCTTGCCCTTCAAGCAGGCTTCCCACCCGGTGTCTTCAACGTCTTGACTACTAGTCTTGACAACACTCCGTCACTGTCTGAGGCTTTGTGTCGACACGAGCTCGTCAAGAAGGTCACATTCACAGGTAGCACCCGTGTAGGCAAACTAGTCGCCAAAATCTGCGCCGACGGACTCAAAAAAGTCACCCTAGAGCTAGGAGGAAACTGCCCATTCATCGTCTTTGAAGACGCCGACCTCGAACAAGCCACCAATGGTATGTTTGCTCCACAACCTCACACGACACCCCCCAAAACAGAACACACTAACCAAATTTTCAAATAAACAGCACTCATGGCACTAAAATGGCGCCACGCAGGTCAAGCCTGCATAACAGCAAATCGCGTCTACGTCCACAAACCAATCTACGGAAAATTCTCCCAACTCATGCTCACAAAGACAAAATCCCTCATCATGGGGCACGGCAGCTCCCCCACCACAACCCTCGGCCCCGTAACCACCTCCCGCGCCCTCGATAAAGCAGAATCCCAAGTCACCGACGCCTTATCCCATGGCGGTAAACTGTTACTCGGCAGCGGAGAGCGTAAAAAGAACTCTGGGGGTTACTTTTTCGAGCCGGCGATTATTGGGGATGCTAATGCTGAGATGTTGATTGCGGAGGAAGAAACTTTTGCTCCTGTGTTGGCGCTTTTCCCTTTTGAGACGGAGGAAGAGGTTGTGAAGAGGGCTAACGATACCTCGATGGGATTGGCGAGTTATTACTTTACGAAGAATGTGGATAGGACTTGGAGGTTGTTTGAGAATCTGGAGGCTGGCATGATTGGTATCAATACTGGTGAGTACTCTGAATGTCTGGAGAAACACAAAGAGTGTATTGCTGACTTGAGACAGGTAACTCTTCCGCTGCCGAGAGTCCGTTTGGAGGTATCAAGGAGAGTGGTTATGGAAAGGAGTCCGGTAAGGATGTCGCAGTCAATGAGTATTTGATTACGAAGACGGGCACCTTTACTCTGGACGGCCAGTACTAGGAATACATTGATAGGTTACTATACATTATCCTTGGCGATGCTTCTTCTGGAAGGTGCGATTTTACTCGCGACTGTGACCGTGATGTGGGTCAGATGTTGTGGCGGCAGAGAGCGCTCATGAGATCGTGACTGTTCTCGCGTCTCCAATGTTCAGAAGATTGTGCACTTCCTTAGCTCACTTCACTAATTGTTCCATTCATGCTCTTCACGGCCTTGCAACTCCCCTATGTTTCATTGAAGTAGTGCAGAATATCAAACTCTAACGCTATCGCCGAGAGAGCAGAACAGTAAGAGGAGGAAAGTGGTTACTGACCTGATGTCTTTCTCTTGCTCGAAGAAGTCCTCAAATTGCTTGAAGACGATCCCAACAGCCTTGCGAGTCTCGCAAAAGATGAGAACTTTTGAGCGCTGAAAGCCATCGGGAAGGGGATGATCAATCAACCACTTGGGGATGTTGTTCATCTCCTCTGCGGCGACATTCTTCCAGTCTCCGTCTGAAGTGAGGAACTGGTCGCGAGACTTGCCCATGCGAACAAGATTAAAAATGACGGAAGTCTGCCTGAGCAGCATCTTCACATAAGGGACGAGACACAGGGTCAAGTGGCTTGTGATAGTCTGTTGAGCTCCGTTTCGAGAGTGCTCTGAGAATGTCCAGGCCTCGTCTGTCATTGGACGCTTTACGAGACAGATGTCGTATCTGACAAGGACCACTCGTCATCACCGGAATTCCTTTTCCAACCTTGTAGCGACACGTCTCTGGCGGTCTGCTTGGCCGTTTGACGATCGGCGAGCATCTCGCTCGCTTTGATATCAGCGTACGACTGCGTCTTCAGAACAGCGACAAGCGCAGGTTGAGCTAGCAAGGTAGCGACCTTCAGGGCCAGAGACCACATGGATCGTCTGGACATGACAGAAGCACCTTTGGGATCGCCTTGCTTCCTTCCTTGAAGCGTACCGTTGATGAGCGTCTCTTGCTTAGGACCATATGTCAGAGACGAGATGTTTGAGGGTACGATCGAGGTCGTCGAAGCATCAGCGATGCGACGACTGAACATGAACTCGCGCGTGGTTGGCCGGACTGCGAAGGGATGGAACGCAAATTGGCCAAACGATGTATCCTGCAATGCCGCAAGACGTCCATTACGTCCGAATGCTCTATCGCAGGCTTCAGGCACCAACTGACTCTGTGGCATGACAAGGGTATGGATGTAAGCATTTTCTGAGCGTATCAACAACGAGCTGACAGCAGAGAGAACCGAAGTGTACTGCTTGAGAGCCAGCTTGTCAGAGCAAGATTTGGATAAGGTCGGAGGTGCATCAGGACGAGCAGGCTTTCGCCTCACCACACCTAGAGTACCAAAGTAGCCTCTTCCAAAGAGTTCATCAGGTTCAGCTTCAGATGTAGAGGTCCAAGGTGACTGGTCGTCTTGCTGAGCCATGGTGAGCTCCATGCTGGCATCTCCGCATGGCGCTTCGCTGCAGTACATGTGGATGGTAACACTTGGGTCAATTGTGAATGGTTGTTGTGTGGAAGAGGATTGGAGGACGTTGTCAGCAGCAGGGTCAGCACATAGCAAGACAGACTGATCGAGCAGGAAGCGATTGAAGGCTCGCAAAGCCAAAATCTCGGCGTGACTATCGTGCACGACATTGCCGTTCAGACCTTGGATCTTATCACGAGGCAGACACTTCATGCCAGTAGCCAACGCAGCGCATGTTAGGGCACCATGTCTGCTCTCAAGCACGATGCCGGCCAAGGGTACCCATTCTCTGCGGCCAGCTTTCAGTCCCGAAGACGGCAGTCGCGGCTTGCGATGTGCTGGCAGAGCATCAAAGGCAGCAAGGACACAGTCTGCTATTGCGTCTGCATGGACAAAGTCATTCCCAGCCATTTGAATTATGTCGTCAATGTGAAAGAATTATTGAATTTCCTTTTTCGAAATCCATTTGGAAGTCGCGTCTCCTCGTGTTGCGAACGTGTCAGTGATGTCATGAGCTGCAGGTACAAGCACCAAAGTGGAAGTAATTATTGATCTCCATCTGCAAAGCCCCATCACGCTCTTTATCTCACACACCTGATGCGATAGATGCCTCCGTTCGTCCCGCGCAAAAGGCGCTCGCCTTCGCCCGAAGCTCCTCCTGCCAAACGAAGAGAAACTGCCCGTGGCAAGAAGGCTCCAGTCGACAAGAAGCCACCAGTTGACAAGAAAGCGCAACTCGAAAAGAAGCCAGCCAAAGCGAAGAGCAGCGTCTTCGAGGCCGTCGACACCCTCACTACCAAAGCGACTGCTGAAGAGGCGAAGAACTTCTTTGCGAGCGTTGGCCAAGGCGATAGCGACGATGATGAAGAAGACGCTTCATCATCTGAGGATGACGACGACTTTGAAGATGTGCCCATGAAGGAAGCACCGAAAGAGCAGGACGAAGATGAGGACATGGACTGGGAGAACGCTATCCCAGCTCAGGAAGACACCGTCAACGACGACAGCGCCATCCAAGACGTCAACATTTCCATCAACGAGGACGGCAGTGTCCAAGCCGTTGCTGCTGCTGAGCAACAAGCAAAGGCCAAGAAGGGCCCCTCTAAAAGAGAACGCCAGGCTCGCATCCGAGCACATTGCATACACGTCCAGACGCTACTCTTCCACAACGCCGTCCGTAACTCATGGCTCAACGATGCCGAGCTTCACAAGATCCTGCTTGACAGTCTCAGCCAAGGCCTCAAGGATGAGATCGATCGCTGGAAGATCAACATGGGCTTGAAGGAACCACCTCCGAAGAAGAAGCAAAAGGGCAAAGCCAAGGGAAACAGCAAAGCCAGAGACTGGGGACAAGACGCCGATAGACTCGAGCCCGGCGTGCCCAACCTCAGCAGTGGAGACCCTCTACTTAGACTGCTCAAGGTCTTGACCGCCTACTGGAGGAAGCGTTTCAACGTCACAGCTCCTGGTATCCGCAAGCAAGGCTATCTACCTCAAAGACTCATCACCTACGAGATCAAAGCCTGGGACAAGAACAAGTCCAACTTCGAACGACATGGTGAGCGTATTGAGAACATCGACGAGTTCCGCAAGTGTGCAAAGGCATGTCGAGGTTCGCGAGATGTCGGTGCTCAACTCTTTACCGCTCTGATTAGAGCTATTGGCATCGAGTCCAGGATGGTGGCCAGCTTGCAGCCTGCAGGTTTTGGCTGGACAAAAGTCGAGGATGGCGAGATTAAGAAGCCGCCTCCAACTTCCTCCCAGAATCCTGTCGAGATCTCTGACGACGACAGTGTGACCGCCGAATCTCCCAAAGCCAAAGCAAAGCCGAAGCCGAGGAAGCCGCTCAAGATTGAGAAGCCTGCTCGAAAGTCCACTCGCAAAGCGGAAAATGAAACGGTCAAAGATGAGTCTAGTTCACTCTCTAGCGCTGCATCAGACGCCGCCGACGACGACGATGATGATGATGCATCAGTGATTGACATCACACCCGGAATTCCGCCAAAGAACACCAAAAAGTATGATCGCGACCTTGCATACCCTCATTACTGGACAGAAGTTCTCTCGCCTGTGTCAAATACCTACATCCCTGTCGACTCCATTGTCTTGTCGACTGTTGCTAGTACGCAAGAGTTACTTTCTACTTTCGAGCCTCGAGGCAAGCGTGCCGACCAAGCCAGACAGGTCATCTGCTATGTTATCGCACACAATCCTGACACCACTGCGAAAGATGTCACAATCCGCTACTTGAAAAAGCATCAACTACCTGGCCGTACGAAGGGCTTCCGAATGCCTGTGGAAAAGATCCCAGTGTTGAACAAGCGCGGTAAAGTCATCAAGACCGAAGACTACGACTTCTTCAAGCGCATCATGTCACCATTCGTTCGTCCACAAAATAAGCGTACGGCAGCAGACGATGTTGAAGAGTCCACTGATCTCAAGCCCTTCAAGCCAGCGACCGAGAAGGCCAAAGTTGCCACCGAGTCTTTGCAGTGGTACAAGCAGAGCGCCGAATTTGTGCTCGAGCGTCATCTGCGTCGTGAAGAAGCTATTCTGCCAGATTCAAAGCAAGTCAGAACTTTCACTTTTGGCAAGGGCGACAAGGAAAAGACAGAGCCCGTCTACAGGCGAGCAGATGTCGTGAATTGCAAGACCGTTGAATCATGGCACAAAGAAGGTCGCCAGATCCAGATGGGTGAACAGCCACTCAAGATGGTTCCTGTTCGCGCAGTGACTCTCATGCGTAAGCGTGAGATGGAAGAGGCTGAACGTGAGACGGGCGAAAAGCTCAAGCAAGGTCTCTACGGCATTGACCAGACTGAATGGATCATCCCACCTCCCATCAAAGATGGTGTCATTCCTAAGAACGCATACAACAACATTGATGTGTATGTGCCTTCCATGGTACCCAAAGGCGCTGTTCACATTCCTCTTCGAAGTACCGCCAGAATCTGCAGAAAACTCAACATCGACTACGCCGAAGCTTGTACAGGTTTCGAGTTCGGCAAGCAGCGTGCGGTTCCTGTAATCACTGGCGTAGTCGTGGCTGCTGAAAACGAAGATGCTGTCATCGATGCCTGGGAGATTGAGGAAGCAGAACGTAAACGTAAAGAGGACGTCAAGAGACAGGCTACTAACCTGCATCTGTGGCGGAAGTTCCTCATGGGCTTGCGTATTGTTGAACGTATAAGAACAGATTACGCTGGTCGATCGAATGAAGCTGAAGAAATCAATCCCTTCGTCAACCGCGACAAGCAAAAGAAGAAGAAGGCACCCAGAGATGAGATGACTATGGGTGGCGGCTTCGTGGTCTCCGGCGATGAGGACGAGGACGAGAAAGTCGAAGAGACGAAGGAAGAAGACACCAATCTCAGTCTTGGTGGCGGTGGTGGTTTCATGCCCGAAGACGAAGACGAAGATGAAGACGACACCAAAGCAGAAGACATCGAGATGGGCGGTGGTTTTCTGCTCGACGACGACGAAGCAGAGGAAGAAAAGAAGCCAGTCACCAGCTCGCACTTTGCACCAATGTCTCTCGCGTCAGCAGCTCACCGTCAAGCTCAATCCTCAGACGCAGAACCTGTAAAGGAGGAGAATGAAAGCGAGGAAGAACTAGAGGACGACGAACCTCCACCTCAACGTCGTAAACCTCGTACATCTGCCGCTGCCAAACCCACTACCAAATCAAAAGCAGCCCCAAAACCCAAGGCCAAAGCAGCACCAAAAGCAAAATCTGCACCCAAGCGTCCAGCAAGAAGATCGAAAGCCATCATCTCTGAATCGGAAGACGAAGCCGAAGACGAAGAAGACGAAGCAGCACAATCCTCAGACCTCTCGGATCTCACCGATGCATCTGAAGATGACGCCGCCCCTGTCATCAAGGAACGTAACTCATCACCCAAAGTCATCATCTCCCCACGCAAACCCATCAAGAAAGAGATTAAGAGTCCTTATTTCTCACATACCGAGGATGATGGCGAGGGTGAGGAGATGGAAGAGGATGAGAGTGAGGAAGAGGTTGTGAAGCCGAGAGCGACTACTAGACGTACCAGAGGGATGAATTAGTGTACAAGGAAAGTTTTAGGGATGTGGGAAGGAGGGAATAAAAGGAGGGAGGAGATACTTGCTTTTTTTCTGTCACGAGGTCATGAGGATGAGATACCCATGCTTATGCTTCTCTTTTTCTATATAATTAATGTGGAGCTGTCTTGCTGCCGGGTCGGTGAATCCCACAACACGCCCAACCTGGCATGGAAAGATGCCGGCAGAATGCAGTTCCTTTGGATGGTCGCCGATTGATGCATGTGTCCAGAGATCTGACAATCTGCAGTTGGCAGGCAGAACTCTCTTACAAGTAGGCAACGGACAAGTGTAGCAAGCTGTCCCGTCCATCGCACTTCTTTTGTACCAGCCCAGAAGTTCCTTGGTCGTAGCTTCTCTTAACTGTCTGGCGTTCCGGGTGATATTTATGATATCGCATAACGGGGCCCGGCTAGTCGATACAGCGGCGGTCTGGTCTGCAAGCGGTGGTAAGATGCTACTATACCAAGAACTGACGACAACTGGACTGTCTTTGCCAGTTTGGTAGTCGAGGTCGAAATCTGAACTAGAAGATACGGAAGCGTTACCGAAGTCTAACTCGATTATTTGTCTCCTTACTCTTTTTGCATATTTACTCCCTGCCGTAGATACTGCATCGTAATGCACAAGGTCGTATTCTACCATCCGGACGTGTTTCTCTAGCCGGTAGCCTAGAGATATACCTAGTTCCTAATGTGTACGTTTCCGGGCTAACCGGTACATGGATAGTATGTGAAGGATGGTATGCTCATGTGACAGCAGCAACCCAGAAAGTGATTCCTCACCAGCCAAATCCGCAATATCTCATAGCTATAAAAAACCAACCCCAACCACCACTCCAAGGACTCTTTTTCTACCAGACAAGCAGCAAGTACCTGCCAGTGGAGAAAAGGTCACATTTGGCTTTCAGAGATATCACTCAAGATTTATGAACGCCAACCATGTTGATATGCTTTGTGTGAGAGGCGGCGGAAAAAGTTGATCTTTGAGCGGAAGAGGCAAGGAGAGGAGAAACATCAGGTCCCTTACCACTTCCTTCCTCCCTCTCAAAAGTTCTGCTCTTTTCAACAAGAGTATCTGAAAACTGACACTCATGCACCACTTCAATGATATTCCATGGGGGTTAATTCAGACACTTGGGGAGCTTGGAAATAAGGAGTAAGTGATCCGATATCTCCTCACCAGTGTACGAAAAGTAAGTTGCTTTCCATCACACTCCTGCAACTAAAAGTCACGACAGTGGAGAGGAAGAGAGAAGGAGAGAAATAATCAGAGTGAAAAGAAAATGTAACACCTATGCCACAAAAGATGAAAATTTGTACATCTATAGAAAAAAATCCCGGGTATCGGAATAGAGAGAGAGAGAAACCCCTTCTTTTGTTAAAAACCAAAATAACGCCTTGCCGTTTATGTGTTCGTCATTTATGCATCAGCAGACTTCTTGGCCATCTCGAGGACACCCTCGAAAGTCTTGTTGCCACCGATGAAGCCGGAAGCGTGGACAAAGACACCACCAGGGACGCCGGAAACCTTGCTCAACTCCTCATCTCTGACACCCTTCCAGGCATCGGGCATATCCTTGCGGTTCTCGAAGCTGCCAGACTCGCGGCTGACGGAGCGAATGCGCCATTTGCTGTCGGCCTCGCCGTTTTCGGCAAACAAGACGTAAAGAACAGAGCCCTCGGTGGAGGTCTCCTTCTCGAGAGCGTAGAGGTGGTCGGCCCAGGGGCAGCCCTCGGGACGGTGGGGAACGACCATGATGCGGCCCTTGTCGTCGTACTTGAAGCGGTCGCCAAAGGCTTGCTTGACGACAGCGCGGGCGGGCAACCACGAGTGGAACTTATCCATGACCTCAGAGATGAACTGATCACCGCAGAACTGGGAGGCCTTGAGGAAGCGCTCGTCTTCTTCGGCTTGTGCGGCAGAAGGGTCCTTTGTGGCAGTGTCGGAGGTGAGGGGAACGGAGACGCCGCCCTCGAGGGTGACGCCCTCTGTGCTGAGGGAGTGCTTTGCTACGGCGACGGGCGAAGGATGTGAGTAGTTGAGGCGGTTGACGACGGAAGCGATGCTGAAACCACGGTCGGAGAACTTCTTCTCAATACCAGCCTTGCGGAGGGCGTTGGGGTCGTAGGCAGAGACACCGTTGTCGTTGGCGTCAAAGGCCTCGACAAAGTCGTCGTACAGCTTCTGGTAGAGGAGCTCGGCATCGGCAGAGTCCTTGGTGAGACCGGTGCAAGTGCAGATGATGTCCTTGCCGTAGTGCATGTAGACGAGACCGGCGGACGAGAGCTTGGTAGAATGGTCGGGGAAAGTGGTGGTGAACTCGCGCTGGTGGTGATCGTAGCGCTTGGCTGCGTCATCGTAGACACCACCGACATCAACAACAGTGTGGCAGGGAGCGAGCTTTTCGGGGTCGCGGGTGCGGACGAGGGTGCTGTTGGAGTACTCGGGGAGGAGGCGCAACAGGTAGACGGCGAGGGCCTCGTCGGCGTGGAAGTGGCCACTGTGGGTTCCGATAACAGGGCCTGACATCTTGACTCTTTTGGCTGCTGACATGTATTGACGGGAGAGATTGGAGGTGAATGCGATTGACGGCTTGTGGATTGATGTGATTGCTCGAAGGGAGGATGAAAAAGTCACTTGTGGCAGGAACATCAACAGTGGAGCTTGAACATTTTCAAATTGCGGAGCTCGCTGACCACCGCCGCCCTTGCCTCCATCATGCGGCTCTGCGGGTATGGCCGCTCTGTTTTATCAAGGCACTTTGATCCACTTGCTCAACCTCTTCTTTTCTCATGAGCTTGTGAGGTGCATTCTAGCTTGACCGCTGATACATCTCTCATCATGTGTTGAGCGACCGACAACTGTCTGACAGGAGTTGGGCTTCAGGATCATGTCTCGGCTTCGTGAGTAATGTGATCCGGTCTCAGTCGCTGTCCTGGAGACCCTGATCGTTGTCATAGCTCGACACGTGCTGTTCCCACGACGTCGCAGATCCCGGATCCGACCCACCTCTCTAATCTACTCTTCTATGTCCTCTCTATCCAATCGGCTTCAAGAGAAATGTCTGTAGACCCTGAGCCTGACGCTGTGTAGACGTACACCCTGAGGACTTCTTTTCCGTGAATTCTCCAAATGTCAATGTGTTGCGGGGAAGCTTCTTGGGAGTCTCAACAATCGATTCCGTCCCTTTAGTGAGCTGCTCGTCTCAGGTGGTTGGGACTGGAGGCTGGTGACGCGGTAAGAGATACTTGATCTCGAAACATGCTTTTACTAGTACTGCTGATTATCGCTGCTTACGGTGCTTTCTGCGAGCATTTCTTGGACGTGTTCAGGGTGCTTTTTGCACCTGCAGACCCTGATGTTTTGGCACCAGGAGGTACTACACTGTACACAAATCACAATATGACGTGCGCCGTGTCGCGTTGGTCGTGTCAAGTAGAGGTTTCCTTTTGCACACATCAAGTGTGGGCTTCATTTCAGAACATGAGGAGGTTGGACATCCGGGATAGCACGGCATCCGCTTTGCTTTTGATACAAGGTCCTGGTAGGAATCTGCTCTCTCTGACGTCTTCCATTATGCATGTTGCTATCCAATAGACACTTCCGGAGCTGATATGCAAGCTATGCAAGAGGGCCATGCATTTCCCCAAATTGTCTAGGTAAGCAGTAGGTGGGAATCGATATCTCCCAGTCAGGTTATCCAAGCCGAACAGGCGTCGTATGTTGTCGAGACACGAACGCCTGTCTGAACCTTCTCCTGCATGAGTTTGACCGACTGCAACAACACAATCGCAGACGTATCAATTCACCGAGTCTCCAGCGCTGTCAGCGCCATGTGGCTGTCGATGCTTCTCGACAAACTTCAGCTTGCATCTCAGCCAGCCGCTGTACCTCAGCATGCTGTCGTCCAGACTTTGCGAACCACTGGCCGTTGACCTAGATGCGCACCACGGGCCGGTTGTTGCCAAGAATCACAGTCCTCCGGAAAAGCACCCGTCTCTCGATTCCGCTCTGCTCCGTTTAACCATTTGAATTATTGCTCAACAACAATATTGGACCTGAATATTGGAACGACCAGAAGAAAATGGAATCTGTGCGAAGTCTTGACACAGAACACGGCCGTTGAGCACAGAGTGGTTGGCTGCTTCCTTCGTGCAATGATCACCCAACCTCCTGAGAAAGTTCTCTCAAGGAAAGTGTCCGAATTTCTCTTCGTCAGTCGTGATCAGAGCTTCACCAATCACTATTCGTTTGCTGTCAAAACAACACTCGAAGTCTCAGGTCTTGGGTCCGCCTGTGGCCACGTTGTGAATATTGAACTCAAATTCAAGGACCGCTTTGAATCTCGAGACGACCAATGTTTCCCAACCATCAATCTAGAGCATTGGGTGTCAACTCCGCCCTGCAAGTGAGATAAATATCGTTTGACAGCAGTACGGCGGCAACTCCTGCGCGGCTGCGCCTAATAGAATGACATGCTACCGCTCATTCTGAACAAGGCAAACACATGAAACGAATTCCGACTCTTTCCGACTTATATCTATGGATAGCGAGACCAAGAAACGGCAGGCCAATTGGAAGTCTTGATGCCCAGCGTGAGGTTGATATTAGTAAACAGATGCAACGTCGTGTTGAAACTTGCATGTGGTGCGAATACGATCATACGGCGTTTTCACCTCGTCTCGTGCCTTGTAGGCGCAGTAGACAACAGTTGTCACTTGATTTGGGGCAAAGGCAGGTAGCTCTACGGCGCTCAGACCGGTGTGATAGCCGTGGTATTGCTCCTTCACGTGCAGCGATGCCCGGCTAAATCGCGAGTCGACAAAGAGATCTCTCGGGATGTCAAGTCGGCAGCGCGCTCGCCTTGTGCTGTAACCCCGTGGCGGCAAGCTTGGGCATCAAGCGCCGGCCATACAGCGGAGGACACTGGCATACATTGCACTAAAGGAGAAACATTGCTTCCCTGATGTGTGGTTTAGCGACTTTTGTCGCCATGGAGGGCAGTTCTAGGAGAGACGGCAGGGTGCAAGCTCTCGGGAATATCTCGAGGGCACGGAGATGGCGCACATAAGAAGCGGGCTAACTAGTTATGCTTGTTCTGGCGCAAGGACGACGGCCGCCGGCGCGGCACCACGAATTCTGTCGTGCAAACTGATGGGCTCATGCGAGTCAAGGGCAGATATCAAGGGCTTGTCGCAGCGCTGATCTACAACGAAGCCACAAGTATGCCCTTGCGACTTCGTTATTGGCCGCTTCTTGGATTTTGTCATTTCTTTGATCCTGCAGACCTGAGTTCGAGATCCTTTAGTCAGGCAGCTCATGGTGGCAGGGACCGTGTTGGGGACCATGAGTCAAAGGTCCAGGATTTGCTGTCCGGCGCACTTGCTTTTCGCTTAAGCATTCGATGCAGGTCATCCCTTTAGGTTCAAACTGACTGACAAAGTTGAACGGATCGCTTGGTCTTGCTCAGGGCTGGGACATGGCTGGACGATGATCCATTCGATGAGAGATCTCACCAGCAGGTAGGACATGACTCTCCTTACCCACGGGCAGGATTGTGACTGCGACGGATTCTGTCACCATCGAGCGCTCGAGCAAGCGACATCTACATCGAAGAATCGGTACCAGACCGACTTGTAGGCGGATGCGGTCGGATAGACGAGTTGCTCGTGCCGAACTGCTTCGGACGTTGTCGCAAGAAAATCGCGCGGTCGCTTTATCCGGAGCCAAGCGCGGCTCAACTTGACCTACTGCAAGCGCAGTCACGCAAAGCGATCACAGAGGTCTTTCAGTTTACATCCCTGCGGCGAAGAAAGTGCATCTGCACAAAGCGAAAAGGATCGAAGTACATGGGTTTCCTGCAAAGCGGGACAAGGGTGTATCGAAGGACAAGATCTGCTTCCAATCTGCTCAAGGTAGGAACAAAAACAGCAAGACGACAAGAGCAAATAGTGGCAGAGCCAAAGTCAAAGCAGAGACGCAGCGACACGGGCACTCGTTTGGGAAAGGCGTGAGGGAGCATGAGGGCTTGGTCGTATGACGTTGTCGTAAGCCGCCGACTAGGCAAATCGCTATGGCGCGCTTCCGGAAGCCGTGCTTTGGACGTTGAATTCCCTCGAGCTCATCCTTCGATTAGTGAAAGGTTCCCATTCGAAGGCAGAGCGCGAGGGTCAATCGCGAGTTCTTGTGTAGTTTGTCATCAGCAGCAGAGGCCTCGAATTCTTCTTTTTCCGCCCACTCTAGAGCAACAGTTGGACGTCAACAAGCGACCCGCTTTCTCTCCTTGTACAGCACTGCTAGAACAAGACCCTTCGTGTGCTTGACAGATTTTCGATCCACACTCCATCCGCTCGGGTTCCTGGTCCACACGGATCTAATCCATCAGCCCGTGCACCGATCACAGTGCTATCGGCATCATCATCAGTAGTGAGCAACGGCAGCATCAATCGCGCCAGAGCGACTTCTCACAGAGGCAGAGATAACCCTTGAACATCCTTGAACGCGCCTCAGCTGCAGGAAACAGTACCTGGTCAATTGCAAGCTTTTCACCTTTTGCGACACGCTTGGCAGTTTGCATCTGGCAGCGAAAGGAAACGGACTTTTCGGCGTTGAACAGATTTTTCGGCCGGCCGTTTGTTCCTCGACGCACCGCAGCATTGGAGTAACGCATTGCCCTCGAGCTGCCCACTTCCAATACTCGACCTTTGATTGCACTGGCCTGCTCTTTCCGCTTCGGAAGCTCGGTCTGGCTTGAGACCTAACATCCAGTCGCTCTTGCCTACTCAATCTTGCTGTTGTCTGCAACTGTCCTGCTCCACAACCGCGTCCTCGTGCCCGCCAAATGCTCTCGCGGTGAGCCCCATTATTTCCCCAAACCACGACATCATTGAGACGTCTTTTACCATGGAGAACCAATACCCCTCCACCACCTACATGCCTCCGCCCACGAGCTTTGCGCCCTTCCCGAGCTACTCGTCGCATCACCAGCAGCAGTCGCAACACCCTCAGCAACACTCGCAGCACCCTCAACACCCTCAACCCCAGCAGCACCAGGCTCAACAGCACCAGCAACATCAACAGCAGCAGCAGGGTCCGCCGCAGCAAGAGCCATCGCGCGACAACCACAACAACCATGGCCAGACTCTGCCCCCCTTGCACACCCAAACCGCAAATTTTGGTCAGCTGCCATCCTTGTACAACGGCTCTGCTAGTCACCCTCAGACTCCCACTTCCGTCCACACGCCTACCACTTCCTCAATGGGCGCCAGCAGTCTCCATGCCTTCTCGCAGCAACAGCAGCAGCACCAATCGTCGCCGGCGACGACTGGTTCCATGCTGCCTCCGACGTCAACCTACATCCCTTACACGACTTCCCAATCGACTCTGCCTCCTGCTTCAACCGTGACAAGTGCTGCACAAACTCCGGCTCAAGCTCGTCTGCCCGACTTGCGTCCCCTTCAGCCTCAGGCTTCGTACAATGGTCTGTCAACCCTGCCTAGCTTTGGCGCATCTGGTTTGGTAGCTGCGCAACCGTATATGCAGAACCACGAGTCGGAACCTACCCACGTCGTTGGATCACAGGGAAGACGTGGTATCCTGCCAAGTGCACCCGGTCGTGCGGCTGCTCCCACACCAGGCACCGCTGCTGCTGCTACGAGCAAGTCGATGATCCCAGCCAAGGATGCTGATGGAAAGTTCCCTTGCCCACACTGCACAAAGACATACCTTCACGCAAAGCATCTGAAGAGACATCTTTTGCGCCGTAAGTTGTCGCGTCCATTTGCCGAGAAACAGAAGATTGACCATAGACAGATACTGGAGACCGACCTTACATGTGCCATCTTTGCAAAGACACTTTCTCTCGTAGTGACATCCTGAAGCGTCATTTCCAGAAGTGCTCGATCCGCCGCGGTAACCCTACAGGAGCCAACCACCTCGCCCATCAGCGCAGAAACACAAACGGCTCTAACCGCATGTCCATCAGCAGCACCGAGCCAGTCGCCCTCGCAGGCCTCGCCGAGGCAGCTGGGGCTCCCTACGCTAACGGAACCGTCATGAACGGCGTCACCAATAGTCCTACAGTCAATGGCGAGGGTTCCTCGTACGCATCCAGCGTGGCTTCCATTTCCAACCGCTCATCTCGTGCTAACAGCCTGATTCATCCGGGCGCCATGACCAGTGATGGCAGAGGTAGCATCGTAGGTACGTATAAGCATGGTAAGCTTGGTCGTGCCCAATACTTAACCACATTCGCAGGTTACCCCAACGGTGTCCCCTACAGCGGCATGCGCCCTCATTCGGCCTCGAACCCCATGCCCCCAAGCTACAACTTCCAGATGGCCAATGGCGGCCAGTTCTACCCCTCGAACGTCAAGACCGAAGAGCAGGCTCCCAGCGGCTACACTCACCAGCCCCCTCCGATCCCCGAAAACCGCCAACCCAACGGCGTCCCTGATTGGTCCATGTTCGCACCTCAGCATGCTCACGATGGCTTCATGACACAGTCTCATCCAAGCCAACCACAGATGCCCGTCAAGACTGAGGGCGGCATGGAGGGTCACAGCTACAACTCGTCGAACGAGCATAGCAGCGAGCAGCAGTTCTTTGGTGGACTCTACTCACATCCGTCGGGCTTCGGCGAAGATTCAGGTGCGCACCACCTGTCTGGTTTCCCAAACTGGAATATGGATCTCGTGCAAAGCGATCCATTGCAGGCCAAGGCCAATGCATTGCTGACGTACGTCCTTTCAAACAGAACATCCTCAAGCGATGACGCTTGCGACGAGATGAAGAAGTGCTTGACTGTCGACAACATCAAGCACTTCATAGAGAAGTTCACAAGCTTCCAGGGTCATTGGCCTATCATCCACATGCCTACTTTCGAAATCCTCAAAGCCAACCATGGCCTCATCCTGACCATCATCTGTATTGGTGCTGTCTACTCCGAAAAACGCGACCTATACCAAGTGCGAAGAATGATGGAGCTCGTCAAAGACGCCGTCAAGAACGGTTCAAGAATTCACAATATTATCACGGGCGTCGTTCAAGAAGGTAGCCAACCTCTAGGCTCTCTCGAGTCCGATATTGAAGAGCTCCAGGCTTTGTACATGCTCAAGGTATTGTTTTGCTGGCATGGAACTCCAAGCCAACGCGCGAATGCCAGAAAAGACTTTGACAGTGTTGTTGAAATTGCTCGAAGAATGGTCATCTCCCCTGCGGGACCCGGTCAACCTGCATTCAGCATCCTTCACCAACCCGGGCCCATCTCTAACGAAGCTCTTTCTACGTGGAACTGGTCTTCCTGGATCGCCCAAGAAAGACGAAGCAGAGTCGCCTTCACCCTTTTCTTGCTGGACGCCGCCCTTGTCATGTATTTCAACAACGAGCCAAAGTTTGATCCATTTGAGTTCCGTCTGCCGCTCCCTTGCGATGATGCTGCTTGGGAAGCAAAAACTGAACAAGAGTGTCGTGACGCACTTGGTTTGAACGGTCCTGCAAGACAGGCTCATAACGTTTGCGGTAGTCAGCGACCTCGCCAGCCAGACATGAGAAGTGCTATGCGAGGATTGATGGAGGCGAACTACACATTCTCATCGCGATCGACCAACGTCTACTCCAAGTTCATTCTCATACATGCGCTCCTCGTGCAGATCTGCAAATCTCAGCGCTCAAGCTTTTTGCAGAACATCACAGGGCAGTTTGGACACGGTGCTACAACAAGTGGACCCGGCACGCCACTTGGACAGAATGAGTGGATTGCCTCAGACGGCAGCAGCAATGTTGGCACCCCAAGTGACACACCACAGATCCAGAACGCCCAGATCCAGCCTATTCTCAAGTCTATTCAGCTTGCCATGAGCAAGTGGAAGACAATCTGGGACATGGATATAGCTGTGCAGTATCCACACAATGGTATTGGAAATCGTCGCTTCGGTTTCTCCCGAGATGGCATTCACTTCTTCTATCTTGGTCAATCGCTTTTGCGCTCGACAAAGGCCTCGGAGTGGACAGCGCCGCCTGATCTTCGATTCTTACAGATCATGGGCTTGCTCAAGAAGATCAAAGGCTTTGTCTCAAACGAAAACTCTCAAGGTGGTCTGGATACTGGCTCTGTTGGCGACATTGACGACACTTACGGTGTGGGTGACCTGACCCTTGATATGAAACTGCTATTCAAGCCTATGGGAGAGGCAGACAGCCCTATAGCTGGCGTTCGCACGGATATGATACGATGAAACCTCAACGATGCATCTCTGGAATAAGCATATTTTCACTGGATTGTGAAAGCCAGTGACCATGGAACATACCTTTCTCTTCTTCTCTATGAAGTTTGCACGATGTACAACAACAGTCAAACAGCTTTCTCATCTCGACTCAACAACGCGGTCGACGATTTTATCTCATGCACAAAAGTTCGGGAGTAGGACAGCAGCCTGTCTCTACGTCCCAATTCACGCATTCCTTACGCTTTTCATTTCGGTAACCTCGGCGTTGGTGCATGGAAGGACATCGGACGTCCCAAACAAAACACAAATAAACTAGATAGACAGATCGGTGAAGGAGACTTGACACATTGACTGACACGAAAGGTTTTATGAGACTCGGATTCTTGCTCTTTTCCTTTCATTTTCTCTCCTCGCTATGATCGGACTCTCGATCATCCCACGCATTTACAACGGAGTCGAGGTTATTCTCATTGCGAGCAAACACGAACGGTACGACGATGGGGTGCAAAGATTTGGCAAAAGACTCTTCTTCTAAAAGCAAGGTTGGAGTCGGTGCCCCTCTGGGAAGACTTTCTTCTTAAACAGACTTGCTGTCTCCTCCCTTTTATACATGTAGATTTCAATTAAGAACGTCCAAGGTCCCACGACCGGCTTCTTTTACAAAAATGCAAAGACATTACCCAAAAAAAAAGAATATTTATTAGATGACTTCTTTCGAATGGGGCCATTGACTGAAAGCTTTACACTTTCAGCAGAAGGTCTAGCTCTGGAAAACAACCTTGCATCTCTACATGATCGTTCTGCTGTTGGAGTTTTCGTTTGGACAAGGTGAGGAAGGCAAGTGTTTTCTTCACGTCCTTCTCTCTCATCTTTGTATTTCTCCTTCAACTGCTGGATCTTAGAACCCCTAATCCTGTTTAAATTCTCTATTTACTCTCCACAACTTCTAACAATCCCTTGAGATAATCACTGGAGTAAGTGTAGAGTACCAATCTCATCTACTGCTGTGGGGGAACTGTAGAATTGGTGGAGAATTTGGAAGAAAAGTTGTTGATCTGGTGGCTTCATCTCCCTGGTCTCTCAGGCCTTCAGGACGGAAAAATTTGGGGGGTCGCCAAGTCTTTTCCAAATCTACCAGGTGGTACTTGCTGCGTGAGTGTCGATTGTTAGAGAGTGCTTGCAGTGGTGAGGTGTAAAATTTTATAGATGTCAAAGATTGCAGGTATGGCTTGTGATATTCGTGCCGTCACCTGGATAGGAACGTTCTCCACGTATGGGAGGTGATCGAGGTGCACATCTTTCCACTGAGGTGGTTTGATTCTTTTGGTTGATAGAGCTATTCCGAAAAAGAACAAAACAAAGAGGGTAAAACAAGAAGAGAGAGAGCCCAGGAACTTAGGAAAGAAGCATCAGAAACATAAAGCCTCCAGTCGACACCCTCAAAGGACAACGGCATAGAGGAATCCATCATGACTGCCCTCTCCTACAGTCTGCAGCACCGTAGCACTAACCCTCTCATCCTTACCCGCGTTCTCGATAACAGTCTTTGCTCCCTCCACATGATGCTGTTTATCAGTCGCCTCGTCCTGACTAGCAATCAAGCCCCCCTGGACAACATTATCCACAATAACCACAGCACCTCTTCTACATCCCTTCACAGCAGCATCAAAGTAATTCCAGTTGTTTTCTTTATCAGCATCCACATATACCATGTCGAATTTGTCCAGCTTGCCGGCTTCAATGTCCGCGAGTACGGTGGGAAGGGTTTCGATGGCTGGACCTTCGATGACAGTGATACGACCCGCCATGCCGGCATTATCGATATTCTCTCTCGCAACCTCTGCATGCTTATGATCAAACTCCAACGTCGTGATCTTCAACTCCTCATTCACACTCGCCAACCAAATACTCGCAAAAGCACCCAGCGTACCCACTTCAAGACAATGTCTCGCATTAACCGCTTTTGCCTGTAAAGCCAGAAACTTTGCAAAAGCTCGAGAAGAGTAAATGGGGGGTAGGTCTTGGTTGTTGGAGTTTTCGAGGGTGGAGTGGAGGATGGAGTGGTTTGGGGCCGAAGGGGGTTGGAGGTGGGAGAGGGTGTAGATGTCTGTGGCTAGCCATTTTGGTCCGGGGGCTGGACGGCGGGTTCCTCGTGGTGGGACGGAGGCTTGTTGTTGGAGTTTGTCTGTCATGTTTCTTTGGATTGATGAATGTGATTGATGGTGACGGTAGAGTATATCGAATATGGTTGCAGGGTTTGACAGTGTAGGTCAGGTTGAGAGTATGGAAGAACGTGAGAGAGACAGAGCTGACTGGTTACAGAAAGAGCTCGATGACTTTAAAGATCAACCGTGCCTTCCCTACATTCTTTTATATCCCAACCGACCTCAATCACATGGAAGTAGCAAGGCAGCATAGTCAGATTATCTTACGATAGCCTACGAGTGATGCCCAAGATTTCGTGTTGAAGGCATGCATGTGAAACTCGTATGCTAACTCCGAATATCTCGGCCGAATCTTACGATGATCTGACAACTATTTCTAGTATGATCGATTCCGCCCAACGTATCAGAATCAGAAACAACCTTTCTGCTCCCAGAGGATACGATATTAGCCTACGAGTGATGCCTAAAATTTCGTGTTGAAGGCATGCATGTGAAACTCGTACGATGGAGCTCTGCTAACTCCGAATATCTCGGCCTATGAGGTCCGAGATACTGAGTTGACCACCAACTCAATTCTGTGTGCACTCGATATTAAACGAGATTAAAATCGTGGAAAGGCGTGTGACATCGCTAGCTCTGGTGCGCCTGGTTTGTTCAATAGAGAGAGGTGGGGTGGAGTAGTCGTCGAGGCAAGCAAAGCCAATAGATCTGACTGCTGATGATTGAGGAAGAGAAGACAGGACGAGCTTTACAGAACTATGCACTTTGTGATTTAGCGCCTTTGATTGGTCCCGTTATAATTGCTGAATTGTTCGAAAGTAACCCCCTCTGATGTACAGCAAGTATTCGTGTTTCTGTTCGTGGTATCCGGTATCGTACCTGACGTCTCGTATCATGCATGTCGTATCTACATATCCCACTCCACAAACTTCTTGGTGATCTTCTTGATCTCCTTCTCGATGTTTGTCTTCTTTTCAGGCAGCAGACCCACGCCGCCCTCATCATCTTCATTCTTCTTTGCAGCCTTGTCCTTCAAGCCCTTGATGCAGCAGCCGATCATGGCATGCACGGTGTATACTGCATCATTGCCAGCGTTGTGAGTGTTCCAAGACTCAAGATCGAGTGCATACATGATGTGAGAAAGGCCACGAGCGTTAGGCTCACCAGTCAATGCGCGCCACATCAGAGCAGTGTCCTGAGTGGCCTGCAGGTTCGCCAAGTTGCTGGGATCGTAGCCGAGCTTGCGAAGGTACGCAATGTCCTGCTTGGTATCGTGGCCGACGAAGATGATGTTACGCCTCTCCTCTTCTTCCTCGTTGGTGTCCTGTGCGCTGTAAGGGTGCTTAAAACAAGAAGCGATTGCGCGAGGGACGTCCTTGAGGTCGACGAACTCGCTGTCGCCGAATTCGAACTTGTCGGGGCAACCACGAACAAACTCGGAGTTGGTGTAGTGCTTGTACTCGCTGACACGGAAGTGACGGGCACGAATGAATTTGTGCCAGTCCTTGCCAGCTTCGCCATGAGACAGACCCTTCAGGTCACGAGTGTCCAGTGTAGCAAAACCGATCTCGGTGATGATATTGTGGTTCTTCTCGTACGACTCGACATCTACAGCAATGTAGATGACATCAGAGTCAGGAATGGCCTCCGAAGGAAGGGAAAGACCGAGTGAGACTTGAGTGCGTTCGACCTGACGGTACATGTTATGCTGTTGGATGACACGAGCTTCCTGCTTTGCTTCCTTTCCCGCCTTGCTCTTGCCTTTGTTCTTGCCTGCATCCACAGCGGCCTCCATGTCGCGTCTGAAGTAGGAGAGGTGCTCTGGTTCGGTTTCGCCGGCCTTGAGAGCGCCGAAGTGAGGAACAGAGCTGTTGAGACGCTCAAAGTCATCCTTACTTGAAGATTGGCCTAGGAAGTGAGGTCTGAGCAGCTTGTGGTCACTGTACTCGAAGGGAAAGACCAGGCTACCTTCGGCATTGTTGGGCATGCGAACGAGGTAGCTAGGGAAAGCGCCGTCAATCTCCTTGAGAAGCTGGTTGAATTGCTCCAGAGGAACAAAGATGATGGGTCTCTCCGAATGGTAGAAAGGTGAGTAGATGTACCACCTAAACAGATGTTAGTCTTTGATCGGCGGGCGATCGTGATGTATGTTTTCGTCACACAACATAAAGACCAGTGTAGTTGATGAATATCGGCCGGTTTGAAGAAGACGAGCACTCGAGTGGCAGGAACCATGAGTGATTCGTGGTAGGAAGCTTGCTATTCGAACAACAAAAGGTTCGTGTTGAGTGAGGGATAGTCGGGGGGGTCATGGTAGCAAAAGAAGAAAAGAAGTGCACTTACAAGTCCCAGTCGCGATCCCAGAATTTACCACCAGCAAAGAATTGGATGGAAACAGGCTCGCCTTGTGATTTCTTCATGAACTTGTAGGGAAACTTCAATACGGCGTTGATAGGCACGAATTTCATGCCCAAGGGCGAAGTGTCACAGAAGTTGTGCTTGTGTGCTGCGCCGATGGCAGACCCGAGGGTGTCAGGCGAAGTGCCTAGCAATGTGGCAAAGCGCTCTGCTTTGGAAGTCATTTTGATGGTGTAAGCGTGGTTGTGTGATGAAGAGAGTTGGAGAGGGACAAACACGCCTGGTTGAAGCTGCGTGTTGTGGAAGGCTCGCGCGGTAGATGAAGCGCGTGAGCCAACGGGGATTTGAAAGTCTACAAAGCGGGCTCGGAGTGAGGACAATTCTACTATTCGTCAAGTTCGTGAAAAAGTGCGCTTGTTGTGACAGGTTCGTAAGGTGGGACTTGGAAGTGAAGACGAAGCGCGACGCCTCCACCGAATCCAAGCACAGCCAAACAACCACTAGACATGAAATCTTTGTGTGTTTGATGCATGCTTGACGTTAATGCCGCGGTTAATCTGTGTTTGCAAATTACGATGTCATCTTGTCACGCGGTTTCTGGCCTTGAGGTGGTATAATTTGGTGATGCAATGATGGGTATATACAATATGCGGCTGAACGCAACAAAAAGACAAGTGAAATGCGCCTTGAGAAACATGTACAGTGGTTTACTCGAAGAAGCCTCCCTCGCTGTCCTCGTCCTCGTCTTGTTCCCGCATGACTTGGTCCTCGTCGACCTTCTTCGCAGGCTTCTGTGCTTTCTTTTCCTTCTCTTTTTGAGCCTTCTTGTCTTTCTTGGCTCTGGCATTCGAGGCCTTCTGGCCGATTGTGTCGTCGTTGTTGAGTTGTGCGGGTGCAGATTTGAGCAGCTTGCCGTTTCTCAGTGCGTCGAGTTTGCCCTCTTCCATGCACTTCTCGACAACCAGCCACATGTCCGGGTCTCCTTGCTTCTCAACTTCGATCTCATTGCCATCAGCGTCCTTCTTTCCCTTTGTCGGCCACAATGCTGAGTAGACCATGTCCAGAGGGTGGTACATGGAATAATTCAAGTCGACCTTGGCTTCGTGTATTTGCTCTTCGAGATCGGCCTCGCCTTCCTTTGCTCTTCTTTCCAGCTTCTTGAGGCGACGCTCTGCTTTCCGTCGCTCAAAGAAGCGAACCATGTGATATTTGCCAATCAGGTCTTTCTTGCGCTGCTGGTTCTCGGCTTGAGCGAGCTCCCACTCGCATGACTTCAGCTCTCGCTCGTGGTTGAGGCGAACATCGGCAGGCAAGTTCTCCTTGTGTTGTAGTAGACGATTCAAACTGCGGATTCGCGACTTGATAGGGTTGACGGGGTTGGCCTTGGGTTCGAGTTTACGGTGAGGATGCGGGTTGACCTTGCGCTTCTTCTCCTGGCCAGGGACTTGCTCTCGGCGGGAGGGATGTACTTCGCTATGAGGACGCTTGGTTGCCATGTTTGCTGTGTACGGGTGGAAAGCAGGATGATGATGGAGATTATTTTTTCGGACGATCAAGAAAGTCCCTTTGGACGGAAATGGCAAAGTCTAGCCGGCTCCATTTTGTGGGGTAGCCCAAGCCATCTTGGCAATCACCTTCCATCCCCCCTCCATCCCTCCTTCTACCACGAACCGCTGCTGGTCCATCTTTGTCTGGATGCAGAATATTCGTGTCAGATCTATCATTTAGTACGGACAACGCGGCCAGATCATGCCGTCTCACAGCTTGAATGCCCACATGCTTGAGAAGGGCGGTCTATACCTTGTGCTTTAGGTACCTGGAGTACTCATCACTGCTTTGACCTGTAAGGTGATATGTAGCAATGGAGTATTTCAAGATAACAGGTGATTGCTACTACGTATGTGGTAGAATTCATTGGCTCATTACAAGGTAAGTCTATGCATATGCACATCAAAAATGATCAACAATCGTCAAACACCACGCAATCCATCTGCGTGGGTGATATGGATCTTCCAGGAACAGATGAGAGGCATTAGAACCTTCTACTCTTCTCCGTGTCACGGGGCTGTATGGTTTTGTCGATACACGCGTCTTGTGATATCTTGACCAGCACACGGAACAGTCGCTTCGATGGTTCACAATCCCTGCTTCTGTATGAACCGCATCCTGGTCTGGTTCTGTGAAATGGTCAGCTCTCCAGTTCCTACATCTAACAGTTGGCGTCGATCATCTGGTCAAGGCTGCTCTGTTGACCGTACGCTAGCCAGCAAATTCGTCGAAGTTTTTGACGACGAGGACGACGAGTCGGTGCCACCTTCGCCAGAGTCACTCTTATCAACGCTCTCTCCGCAACATGTTCATAATCCTGATGATCCTCTACCTATTGCAGACATGTTCTCTGTCATGACTCTGGAGGAAGGGCCATTAGAGGACCAGAAGCCGAAAGAAACTCACGAAAACAATCTGCAAAGTCTAGGAGTTGAGCCACCATCGCTAGAAGCACCGAATGAAGTCGACAACCACAACGAATTCATACACGAAGAGGCTATAGGTAAGAATATCTGGTATGAATGGGGTATCACGTTCTGACGCTCCACGTCAAGAACATGAATTCCTCTGCAGCTCACATACCTCGCTGAGGACAGCATCTGAGATCTAAATCAACATGATCTAGGCTGATAATGTATACAGATGCTAGTCACCACGACCCGTCTCACTCACCTCAAGACACAGCTAAAGATCGGATTCGGTTGCTACATGAGCGCAACATGTCTCCAGAAGAGTATCAAAAGGCCAATAAGCACCTCGAGGCCAGCTTCGGGAACCTCACACTAATCATGAATCGCTTTGAAAAGGGTCGCAAAGTCACCAGTTCACAATTCAACACCTGCTTCAATATACACGGAGAGAGCAATGATATGTTGCCCAAGAATTGTCCAAATTGTCTGGGATTCCTCGAAGATCAGGAGCGGTGGTACCTCGAGGCCTGCTTCGAGATCAGAGCCGTGATGAAGGAGCTAGAGCAGCACGTGAGAGACTATGTTACCAAGCCTGAGCTCATCCAGGAGCATGCATCCGATGGCACAAGACATTTCAATCCCGATGGCATTGCTTTCTGTGAGCTCAATATACAGAGGCTAGATATTGCTCAAGGTATGCTACAGACATTGTATGTCGATGCTGAGCTGGGCGAGGGTTGGCCACGAACAGGCAAGTCTGGAGACATTAGTCATGACTTTAGTCAAGTAAAGAAGACCGAGCCAGACGAAGTAAAGAATAAAGCGCCAGGCGACCCGAAGACGTCAAAAGACGGCCAAGATAACGAGGCCGACGAGACCACCTCTCATCGGGCTCAAGGGAAGACGAAAAAGAGCAAGACGAAAAAGACCAGGAAGTCGAAGAAGCCAAAACGCTGAAAGTGTTGATCAGCTCAAGCGCTGACGCCACCACATAGAGTATCACAATCAATCCAAGAAGATACGTATCAGTGGACACGCGTGCGAGCGACGGAAAAGGAGTGTCAACCATGCTGGGGAAGAACGCAAGTCGAACCTGCCCAGACCTCGAAACAATCATGCATGCATAACAAGGCAACAGACAGCCACATGACCTGAGATGGTCGATATTTGTAACCACTATCCCGAACAGCCGGTAAAATAATCAAAATTCCTTTCGTTGCGAGTGCAAGAAGTCTGGTCAGTAACGAGAATGTCGGAGTTTCGTAGCGATTTACTGTCGAAAGGGGAGATCTTGTCTCACGGCCGAAGGATTCATGGAAGCATATAAAGTGAATCGCTGAAGTGCAAACAAGGCTTCCAGCGTATGTGCACGCGTGCCTGTGAAATTGTAGAGTATCCGATTGAAAGACCGCAATTTTGGCCGAGAACCTCGCGAACATCGCAATGTTGCGCATGCCACAAGGCTCTTTCAGCTCTACGCGTCTGGTCTTGACAGGGCGACGATCGATGTTATAGCACGATCGAACGCAGAGGCTGACAACGGCGTCGTTATAGTTTTGGACACAGGGGCCACTCACAAACCCCTTTGGTTTACGCTGTCTAAAACGAGTCAAACTGCCGAACACCGTTGGGCGCGTCGGAGCTGGAAAGGATTGATAATTTGAGTACACTAACAGGTGGGCGTGAGATCTGAAGTCCTCTCGACACAGCAAGGATATGAGAGATGGCTTGCATTTGTTGACTGAATTGGGCAAAGAGTGTAGTCAAGTCGAGACGGACATTTTACTGAGTTGGTTGCAGCAGGGCTGGAGGTCGAGAAGCAGGAGGTGGAGGACCAGACGCCACAGGCGGGACCGAATGACGAGCTATCGGAGTTTTGACAATCACCGTCAATCAAATGCATCGACATGCTTCCCGCAACCTTCACGACTCGACTGTGAGTGCAACCAAATTGGCCATGTTAGAGGCTTCACACTGGAACACTGACTGTCAGAAAAAGAATGAGAGGTTGTAGAATATCGAGGCTCAATTTGGCAAGCGAAATAGAAGGCGATCACCCCGTGCCCGCGACATGGAAGGAGCAGCAAGCTGTCGGACTAGAGGAAGTGGCGCGCCAGAGTTCAAGCCAGGCGGAAGTACTGTTAGGTAGGCTTTGGCCTTCATTGGACTCTCTACAGTCGCACTTTCCAGTCGGCCTCAACAAAATAGCACGAGAGCGTGAGGAAGCACGATTGAGGAATTGGAAAGTCGTATATGCTCGGCGACGGGTGTGTAGAGAAATAGAAAGAGGCGTTCTTTGATCTTGTCGTAGCAATTGTCTTGCAGCAGGTCAGAGGACCCCTGCAGACATCAGTCTAGTATTTTGGGGCGGGCGCACAGACTCGCAGCCGCAAGTAAACGTTCTCACGAAGACAGAGACGTGAACCTGACGAAGAGAGCGGTGGGCCTCTCTGTAGCTCCAACCTGTCTCGCTCGCCTCAGCGAAGCCGTCGCCATCGTCATTCCTTCACGTACACACGGCAAAGTCGACTTCTGTATTCTTCTGCGACGACGGTCCAGCGACGATCGACAAAAGGCAGCCTCTCCGGGACGCATCCACCCATCGTACATGCTTGGATTTTGCGCCAGTAAGACAGCACAGTCAGCACCCCCTCGACACTCGACACGACACGACGAGCACAGCGATTCGCATTCTTTCATTCCATCTATTTACCGGACCTTAATCTTGGATAGCTCCTGGCCAATAGACCTAAATCCGGCTACTCACCTAGCGTCATCTGCCTACTGTCGACCTGGTGTTACTCCACCACCCTCGTGACACGCGCCGTCCCAAGACCACTCGCCCACGCCCCTCTTCGACTATCACAGCTCCGACTCTGCAAACTTCCCATCCGTGTATGCTCGACAACACGACCTTCCCCATCTTTGTTCCCGGCCCTCGTGCCGTCGCTGCCATCTACGACTCGGCTTGATCCACAGAAACCGCCGCCATGGATCCCAATGCCTTCATGATGGGAGGTGGTATGCAGATGCAGCAGCAAAGACCACAGCCCCTGAACGACCACAACCCCAACGAGCTCTTGGCCAGGATCGTGCAGGAACTGAGCAAGAACCCCATACAAACCGGCTGGCAGGCCGGCCTTGATCTTCGCACTCGTGCTGCCTGTATCTTGAATCTGTGAGTCCTATACGACCTTGGCTTGTGCCCGATGGACATGTGACTGACTCGTACACAACCAGGGTGAAAGCACTGCGCGTGCTGAACAACCAAGAGAATGTAAATGGCGCCGTCAACATCGCCATGCGCTTCGAGCGGCAGATCATCACCAACAGCCCCTCAGAGGTACGCCGTTGCTTCTTGTTACGCTTTTCCAACTTGCAAACGCTAAAACATGATGCAGGAAGAATGGATGGCCGGCATCAAGTCGAAGTTGGGCGAGATCAGCGTTGCCCATCAAGCACACAGAGAAAAGATCCGAATTTTGCAGCAGCAACAGCAGCAGCAGCAACAAGCCATGGCCATGCAAATGCAACCTAGCCGTTCACAGCAAGGTGAATTGGCTCCTCAAGTGCCCATGGCGCCACAGATGATGGGTCAGATGAACATGCAACCACAGATGCAACAGCAGCAACAAATGCAGCAAGGGCAGCAACAACAACAAATGCAACAACAGCAGCAGCAGCAGCAGCAAGGACAGGGCTTCTCTGCCGAGGAACAAAAGCAAATCTCGAATCTGGCCCGCAACATGATCAATCAAGTACCGGAAGATCAACGGAACATGATGCGTCAGCGTTTGATGTCGGCCATTCCCCCTCAGCAGAGAGAGCATTACCAGCGCCAAGGTGTTGATCCTGTCGTCAAACACTTCCAGAGTATCGCCATCAAGAAGTTTGTCCAAGAGAAGCAAAGGAGGGCACAACAAGCTGGTGGTCCGATCGACTTTTCATCCTTTGCTGGTCAGCAGGCAGACGCCATGAAGATGGCCGATCAAGGCCAACTTGTCGTCCCAGCCAGTAACAACAACATGGGCATGGATCCGGCACCTGCTAACATGGCCAATATGGGCCAGATGAACATGCAGCCGGCCTTGCAGAACAATCAACAGCAAATTCAGAACATGATGGCTCAGCGACAACAACAAACTCATGCTCAGATGCGCAATAATCAGATGCAGCAACAGGCGCATGCTCAAGCCCAGGCTCGTAATGCTGCACAGCAACAAGCGCAGCAACAGATGCTCAGAGGACAACCCGGCGGTCTCAACACCACCCAACCCCCTCAACAGAGTCCTGCCATGTCAATGCTCAATCGACCCATGGCTCCACCTGGCCAACCCGCTCAAACACCTTCACAACCCCGCGCCCAGGCTGCTCCTCAGCTCAACCAGCAGATGAATCCTCAGATGATGGCTCAATTCAGCCAGCAGATTGCGAACAATCCCAATCCTTTCCCCACATCAAAACCAGATCTACAACTACCAGCAAATATGCAGTTCCCGCCAGGCGTACGAGAGAAGATTCAAGGCATGCCCCCTGAAAAACAGCTTGAGATTATCCAGAAGATCCGCAATACACAGCAGCAGCAACAACAACAGTCTGCAAACCAAGTCCACGCCGCGCAGCAGATGATGATGAACAATATGACTCCTGGAGTACCTATGACTCAACAAGGCTTGCAAACTGGCGCCATGGGTATGCCTTCGCAAGCGCCTCTAAACCCTCAGCAACAAATGGCTATGGGCATGTCTGGAGCCACCAACCATCAACAAGTTCAGCAGAGGCTCATGATGCAGCGGCAACGCGAGATGGATGCTAAAGACTTCCCACCGAAATTGATGAATGACACTTGCGCAGTGCCACCAAACGTCAAGACCTGGGGTCAGCTGAAAGAGTTCGTGCAACAAAACCAGCAAAGCCTTCCTCCAGGCGTCATGGACAAGGTCCGTAAAATGCAGTTGTTCGTCATTCAAAAGCAACAAGAGGTTGCGGCGAACAACGCAAACGGAATGCCTGGAAATCAGATGCCCGGCCAGCCTCCTACCGCTCCTGGTCTCAATCAAGCCCCTCCCGCTCAAATGGTTCCTCAAGCACCCCAGATGGGCGCGAATCCGGGAATGCCTAACATGAACCAGCATCCCCAGAACACTTTCAACCTGGACAACATGCCTCTGCCTCCAGTCACGGACCAAGAGTTGCAAGTTTTCAAGGCGAGGTACACCAATACACAGGGATGGTCAACTGAGCAGCTGCGAGTTACTATTGGGAAGATGAAGTTACAGTCACAGTTAGCCAAGCAGCAGCAGCAGCAGCAGAATCCTGCTATGGTCCAGCAACAACAACAGATGATTGCAATGCGACAAATGCAGCAGCAGTCGGGCACACCAGGTATGCCGGCCCAGAAACCTATGGCTCCTACAGTGCCTCAAATGGGTCCTCAGTCAGCCCCCATGCAGCCTCAGCGATCTCAACAGCAGATGGCGATGATGCAGCAGCAGCAGAACATGCCCACCAATCAGAAGGGACAGAAGCGACCAGGAGCTAACGACGATGTTATCGAGATCCCTAATCCAAACCAGTCACCTCAAAGGCCTGCAGCAGTCAACGGGCAGCAGCAGAAGAACCAGAAGCCAACTATGCAGCTTGATCCCGAACAGCTCAAGAACTTGCACCCTGATAAGATCAAGAACATGCCTCCGGAGCAGCGTGCTGTCATGCAGCAGTCAATGCAACAACTGCAACAGAAGATGCAAATGGAGGCCTTGAAGAGGGCTCAATCTTCCACAAGCCAGCCTCAGAAGGTGGTAGATGGTCAACAGCAGGGCGAACAAGCTCAACAAGTCCCTTCGGTACCGCAGACTCAGCAAGCCAAGATCCAAGGCGGTCCATCATCTGCGCAAGCTTCGAATATGAAGGTACAGCAACAAAGAGCCAGGTTGGCTGCTATAACACAAGAGACACAAGCGAATTACCGCAAAGGTCCTCCTCAGGAAGTCACCGAAGCCAGCTTGAACGAGGTGGTTACGAAACTGCGCGGCTGTCGAGACATGATTGTAAAGCTGGATAAGATGCTGCCTACTGCCATGACATTCGTCAACGACCGAATCGTTCACACGATCTGCCTCGAGAGAGCCAAGCTCCTCGGAGAGATGAGCTTGGATGGTAGTATCAACTCGTACATCTCACTGTCGACACAGCAGATCGGCGAGGCCGAAGGCAGAATTCGTGCCTTCATCATGCAATGTTTGACGCACATACAGAAGTTGAAGACGACCTCTTCGCCTGAGCAATTGCAGCAAAACGTGGATCAAGCGAAGCCTCCGCAAGCGCACATGGCAGCTACAGCAGCCATGGCACAAGCGGGATCAAAAGGTGGTGATCGATCGAAACCACCTCCAGCGCCCACATCAGCCGTGCCTCCCCCATTTCCTGCCAGCCACGCATCGCCACACGGTCTTCCCGTCTATGATGGTAGCTTCCAAGGACTCACACCCGACAAGCTCCAGCTTCCAGCCAACAAACGCAGAAAGACCGGTCAACCTGGCAGCTCAGCTTCTACACCTGCGAATGCAGGTACGACTCCTGGTAGCATGCCCAGCCCGAACATCAAGATGCAAAGCCCCGATGACAAGAGGCGTCAAGTTCAACCCAAGGTTGAGCCACCGAGAGGTCCGGAGAAGAAGTACAAGTGCGCTGATGAGTACTGTGAATTCTATGTCATTGGGTTCGAGAAGGAAGAAGAGCTCCAGATGCACACGGCGGAAGCACACAAGGGGATCGAGAACCCTCTTGAATACCTCCTTGAGAACGCGGCTGCTGCATTCGAGCTCGACGTGTACGGTAATGAGAGGGCAATGCCGAACGACAACAACGCATTGCCTGTCACCGCTAAGCTCTCTACACTTGGTCCGAACACAGTCAAGCGGGAGACGCTCAAGGTTGATGGACAAACGCCTGGCAAGAACATCAAGGCAGGCACGCCCTCTCCATTTATCAAGCCAGGAACACCTCCGACCATTGCTCGTACACCGCAAGGCTTGAAGAGAGCTACGGAAGATCACGAGCCAGCTTCGTCATCGCCCAAGAAAAAGACCATGCTCGACACTATGATGGAGAAGGCTGGTGTCACAATGCCGCCAACTGAGAAGCGAGCGGTTCGAGATGAGAACCGCAGGCAGACTTCGACACCTCCAAACATGTGGAGCAGCAATGATGCAGATGATAACTTTATGAGATCGGTCCGCGAGACCCTCAATGGTCTCGACGAAGTTGCACAATACCCAGATATGGACTGGACCATGGATCACTCGCCTGACATGACACCTTCAAGTTCCAACTCTGGAACCTCGGCCGCGACTTCCAACTTCACAGATATCAGCGAGCACGACCGTGTTAAGATCATGTTCGAGAGCGATCCTTTCGGACTTGGCTCTGGCATACAATTTGATCTCAGCGACGATCTCGGCATGGGTATCATGGGCATCCAATCTACATTCGACAATAAAAAGGATGATCAAAACAAGGCCACACCACCACCTAACTGCAGTTGGGATGCCATGTTTGGCGCCAACGCAGGTATGGACAGAAACGATACAAACTGGGACAAGGATCCCATGGGCAACAGCATCTTCGAAGGCGTTACCTTTTTCGACGTTTAGAATATTCTGGAAGAGGAGATTGGGAGGAAGAAGGACACACCCACACGCTCACAACACATTGATGCATTTTCAAGCGCGGAGTTTTGGCTGCCTGGCCCAAAAGAAGGAACAGTGCCAGGCAGGGGATCTGTCGTTTCTTGATTTATTTTTCTTATTCGTTTTGGCTTATTATACCTTTTTGCAAGGCTCTCATTTGCTTTTTTCCTCGAAGAATACGATGTGCAGTGGTTTTTGACTAGGTATATACCCCCAATGAAGCGTGCTTTCTTCTTTGCTACTTATGGTGCTTGTTCTTTTCTCCCCGGGCTTCTTCCTGGATTTCTGCCGTAGAGATGCACAGTACTTTTCGCAGTAGAGCGTTGTCCATCTGGAGCAACCATGCCTGTCCGCTCCCATGGAGGAAGCTTCTCGTTTGAGAATATGATTGTGACTACCCATAGCCTCAGTCTGCTGTCTCAACACTCGCAATGATCTGATATATATTCTCAGGGGTAATGAGCCTTGTACTCCTTCTCCGATATGCCCTCTCTGCTAACCTTTTCCACGATCGTCGACCTCCTGGTTAAACTGTAGAGGTGCACAGTGCTTTTTGTAGTGCTACATCTTCAGTCTGGAGCAGTCTATTCTGTTCGTTCTTATGGATATGCTTGTTGCTGGAAAAATGTTTGCGCCTTTTCATAGTTTCGTAATGTGGCCTCGACCCTCGCAGAAGTTGTGTCATATATTGGTGGGGGCACTGTGCCTAGTGATCGTTCTTGGGTGTGCCCTTGACGGTTACTCCAATGTACTGTGTTTTCCTGAGATCTCTCTGTTGCGAAGTTATTGCTGTCGAGAAGCAAGGTCTTTCCTTGCAAAGGGGAAGTGTCCTTTGAGAGCACCGCGCTATGAGACTCAAGCATCCCGACGGCAAGAAGCAATAGCAGGAAAGATGGTCACGGCTTGGATCGTCCCAGAAACGTGAACTTTCCGGTGGACGATGTTTCTTTGAGCCTGTGCAAGGCGCTTCCCTCCTTCCTTGTTTGTTTGTTCCATCGAGAACTTTCCCGTTCTGTCAACAACAGCATCGAATTGGTGTCATTTTACGCGGCCAGCCTTTCAAGCTGTCATCGTAAGCCTTTCCAAATTTATGTACACACCGACCACGCAACTGACAACATCGAGACGTTGGTCATCATGGCAGACTCCCACAACACCATCGACCCGATCGGTGATGTCGATTACAAGACTCCCTCCTGTGCTCTCCTCGCCAAACTCATCACCATTAAAGAAGAGTTCACCCAAGAGCACGCCTATCAAGCCGCCTACGAGACCGATGTAACTACACACCCCACGAGAAGTAGTCACCAAACACACGCTGACCTGCGCAGACCTTATGGCCCGATCTCGAGTTCGACCATCATGATATCTACGACGTAGCTCAAATTCTTCGCCAGGACGGTATTGTTCTCGAACTTCGATTGCTTCGCCTATTCTTCGTCGCTTGGGACTACTTCCCCCTTGGTCAGGCAAAGCTGATCCGCGACATGGTACTCGATCAGCTTGGTCCCGTCCAGAAGCCAGATGTGACCGTCAATAACAATGAGCTCGCCATTGCTGCACGCGCAAAGCCAGATGCTGTTGAGAAGAAGTCCGACTGTGCCAACGACGAGACCTGGAGCACCCCAAAACAGACACCATGCACAAAGACAGTAGAGTCCGGTACCGCTTCTTTTACCGCGAAGAAGAATGGCAGTCCCAACAAGCAAAAACTCACGCCTACCCGTCACAACCGCTCTCAAGCCCTCTCACCCAGAAGCCCCTTCAAACTCCTCTTCAAGACTCAGAAGAAGTGGGCTCGTCAGCGCCAACTCAAGGCACTAGTCTCGCAGTCCAAGAAGCCGAAGGATAAGCAAGTCAGGCGCGAAAGCATGAAGATCAAGTTGTCAAAGGACGATCGTCTTGAGGAGGAATTGAAGATGGAGCCTGTTACGGTGTCTGCGGCTGAGAAGAAAGCACTTACACGTCAGAAGCTCGAACGTAAGCGTAAGCTCGAAGCACTTACCTTCAAGGCGAAAAAGCGTACTTAGTGAGTAGTTGAGTGTCGGCCTACACGGGGTGTATTGGTTGTAGTTGTACAAGCTTAGCGTTGAGGTCAGCATATCCCTCTTCTCCTTGAGTACAGCATAGCATAGCCTCAGAGTACAGGACATACTGGCAGGAAAACGCACAGATGACAGTAATCTGAAATCTTCACCTCCTCTTCCATACATTTACACCAGTACCCTTTGTAGTGCATCGAGACCATTCACATCGCTACCCAGTGTTTCCAGAATGCAAGCTCGTAGTAATAAGAGACGTGATTCATAAGTTTGACTACATACCTATAGCTCTCACCTTCTGAAGTCACCATTGGTCATGACATCCTCGTACTCGAGATCAGGCTGGAACTCCTCGTAAAGAGCGTCAGGGTCGCTGGCCATCTTGTAGGTGTAAGCAGCAGACTCATCAGGTACGATGACCTTCTCGATGCCACTTGCACAAGCTGCCTCTGCAAGCAATTGCACCTCGCAACTCCTCTCCATGAGTGTGTAGAGGTATGCGGCCTCGTCAACAGTGTTGCCCACGGTCAACAAACCATGATTTCTCAAGATCATGCCCTTGCCTTTTGGTCCCAAAGCATTGGCAAGCTTAAGACCTTCCTCCTCGTTGAACACAATCCCGCCAAACTCCTTGTAGACAGCCTGAGCCTCTCCATAGAAGTAGCAAACATCCTGATTCAACATCTCCAACGGCCTAGCAAAAGTGCTCCATGCCTTTCCATACGGCGAATGCGTATGACACGCAGCAACAACATCAGGCCTAGCCTTATGCACCGCGCTATGAATCAAAANCCCCGCCGCATTAGCCGGCCTAGACATATTGCCTCCAATCGCCACACCCTCATAATCCACCAAAATCATATCTGACGCCTTTAGCAGACCAAAATGCTTTCCCAAAGGGTTTGTCCAAAAGGTGTGGATGTTTTCGGGATCGCGTACGGAAATGTGGCCACTCATGCCTTCGGTGTAGCCTTTTCTGGCAAAGACGCGGAAGGCGCCGGCCATGTGTTGAAGCATGTCGCGACGGTGGGCGTCGAAGGAGATGTATTTGGGGATTCCGGGGAGGCAGACGCCTTGGGAGATTGCTTCCAAGGGTGTCTTTTCTTTCTTTTCGACTTCGAGGCCGGGGTTTGTGGGTTTGGTGGGCTTGATTGCCATGGTTGTTGTGGGCTCGGGAGCAGAGACGGCGGAGGGTGCCATTGTTGCGATTGTATGGTGTGGTATGCTTGTACTTGTAGCAGAAGATGTGCAGAAGATGTCTAGCAGTCTGTAGTGTGGAATGACTTGTAGGATATGGAGGGCAGAAGATGGAAATTGAAAGAGTCGGGGGAATTGCGAGGTGTGTCGCGCCTACCTCTAGATATGCCTACTGTTGTCGGTCGTGGCTCACCTTCTCGGCCATCGCTTTCCTCTTTGTCTGCGAAACCGCTGGCCTATCGATGCCCCGCCCACCGAGGGCCGATCAGGGTGCTTATCCTTATCCGCCACTTGGCTTCGCATGTGGTTGACTTATTGGGTATCTGTACCCCCCTTGTAGAATATCGAGTATGGATACCCCTCCAGCGACACTTGCATAAGGCACAGTATCTTCCAAGATTCAGTTCAATGTCATTCGGACTCAAAGGTTCAACTGATATGCCATTGTAAATAAGGATTTCAAGACTTGATTACACAGAACCATAGTCGGATGTGTACGTTCTCACAAATAGGCTGTTCCTTCCACCAACGGTATGGTACAATATCTGGGATGCACGAAATTTCTTGACCTCGGGTCTCTCTCCCACGCAGCCTACGACATGCGAGCAATGAAGTTTTGAGATGCTCATCTCATACTGTAAAGGTGCCCAGCAAGATTGGACTGTAAAAAATGCAGCATGATTTTGGTTTTTTGATGTGCTATGACGAGAGACGCTGTGCTCGATGTCTCTCCGTAGACACGGCGTGTACGTGAGAGTTGATCCTGCCTTTTTCATGGCTCTGTACACGTCCACCATCGATGAGGAGAGTAGAGCAGCCTTTCTGCCAGCAAACAGCCCCGCGACTGCAAGGTCGAGGTGCCCAAGTCAAGTGCTTTCACCCTTACTCATCCCCCTTTCCTTCTTCTGACCCTGATACAAAACACTAATCTTCTCCTTGCCCGCCCTAATGACCTCGAGATGGATGTCACCATCTTTCTTGACAGTGACCCCATCTTCCTTCTTCCCCTTAATACTAGCAGTCTTCTTTATAGTATTAAATTTATCACACGCCGAGAATCTGACTAGACATGGTGCAGATCGCCTAATATCCTGCAAGGTCGAGGTAAGAGTAAGAGACACGGAGAATTCGCATCCTAAGTGCACATACCTAAGCTACATAACCATGTGCCTAACTTCACACTTAACCATACATTCAGCCTAGAGCATCTAATTACTTGTTATGGTCCTCAAGACCGTCAACTGCATCGTTCCTGCCTCCGAACGCGTCCTTAGTAGACAGGAACCTTAAAAGCAGGAAAAGTGTAAGTCCAGCTGTCAATAGATGCCTGATCATTGATACAGTCGAAAGTGCTGTTGCCATGCCAGATAGGACGGGTAGGCCATTGACAAAGCATCTGAGTCTCACCCGCGTAATCGCCCGACGAAACAGTAGCGTTCAAGCGCGAAGGCTTGTTGCCATTCTCGACCCAGTCAATCATGACGTGCATGTTGTTTTCAGGGTAAGGGCCAGGTTGGAGACTGTTGGTTCCGCAGTGGGCAGCACCAGGAATGAGGTAGAATTGGTACCAGTCCTCAAGCTCCTTTTGGGCTTCCTCTTGCGAGAGTTGGCCGTACATGATGGAGCGCACGGATTGCCAGTAGTGGACGGAAGAAGCGGCGGGGATGCTAGGATCAGATTCGCCGTGGTAGTGAAGAAGCTTACCGCCGGATTCTCTGAAGTTGGTGAGGTCGGGAACAGTGGTTTGCAGACTGTCCAGGTAGCGCACCATACCAATGTTCATCCACTCAACAAGAGTATCATAGGTGACGCCATCAAGGTCGGAAAGGTTGTCAAGATCCAGAAGCTGAACAAACTTGGTCACGTATTCACCACCAGTAGACGGGATGCTCAGCTCATAGGAGCTTGTGTTGGAGTTGTAAGTCGGATCAGCATCAGACAACTCAGAGCCGATTTGCCAAGAGAGATAAGCACGCTCTCCCTTCGAGTCGTGAAGACCGTCGTAAACAGCTTGAGCAACAGCAACATCCTGAGCAGTGACAGTGCCGTTCTGGGCAGGTGTAGTGCTACTCTGGCTATTCTCTTGACGCTTAGCCTTTGCACCACTAAAGCCAAAACCCAGGGAGGAGCTGGTCTCAGCAGCGCAGTAGTAAGACTCGCCAATGATAGAAGTCAGGTTAAAGTTCAGCTTGCAGAGATCGGTACGAGAGATGACACCATCAGTCCTGCCATCGAGAGGGTCACAGGCCGCGATGGTAGCATTGACGATCTTCGCGAGCGCACATGGAGGAGGGTAGTAATCCATGGTGTGCTCCACGGTTGCGGGAAAGACGTGATGGACCTGTTGCTGAGCGAAGCGGAAGGCGGGAGCACCGGTAATGGCTCCGTCGTACTCGTCTCCGAAGCGTTGGACCTGGCTCATACCCTCACGTCCACCATCAGAGCAACCTTCGTAGTAGGTGTAGATCTTGGTGTTGTTCATGCCGTAGAAGCCCTCGGTAATGTATTTGCCGACCTTGGTCATCTCGCCGAGCGCTTGGTAGGAGAACATGTATGTAGCATCCCAATTGATAGAGCCGTTACCAGCAAGAGCGACCTCGTCGTAGCTGTAATCAAAGGCATCGTAGCCAGCGGAAGTGGCAGCACCGACAGCACCGTATTCGAGACCTCCAGTAGCGGTACTTGAGAGCGAGAAACCACCTGATACAAGTCAGTGTATGAATTCTCGTGTCGGCTCGACGTACTTACCTCCACCGGCGACGTAGAAGCGCTTCTTGAAGTCCGAGGGCTGAGGGAAAGCATACTTGACAACAACCTCATCGTTCTTGCCAGTATGGGTGTAAGTAATGGTGACATTACAGTAGCTGTACGTGGTACCGCTGCCCGAAGTAGATCCCATACCGCCCATGCTGGTGGAAGCATTGTAGACGGCACTTGCGGTCACAGTCGATGGGATCAAGTCGATGCCTAAGAGGGTACCGTTGGCAGGAAGAGCAGCCTGAACGTTGGAGACAGTGCAAACATCAGCAAGAGACGAAGCATTTGCGACTGTAAGGCTGGCAGCTACTGCTGCACGAGTGAGGTGGCTCATGGTCGAATGGGGTTGTTGGGTATGGAGAAGCTTGAGGCCTAGGATGAAGACTGTTTTAGTGAGTTTGTTCCTGAGGTAATCTCCTGGCTACGAGCTCTACTTATACGGCTTGTGGACTTCTGAATCTCAGACCATACGACAGTGGAGAAGGCGTAGCAATGGCCGCGTAAGATGGTCCGCACGCATTTATTTCCGAAAGCCCTATATGCGAGGGATATACTGGAAACACAAAGTCTTGATCAGCGGTATGATGCGTTGCTCCAGGAATGCCATCTTGTCGCAAGAGGTGGTGGCTGATGGCACGTCGGTTGTGGCTTGTAAGTTTGACATGTCCTTTTTCCTGCTTGTCTTCTGTCAGTGACGCATATGGGACGCGTTTCTGTCTATTCTGAGATCTTCAAGCCTGTCGGGCCTCGTCCCAGTAATTGCTTGTGACACCACGCGTGTATCTACCTCTGGTGAATCGATTTTTGCATAGCAGTGTCAACGCTGGTTGTGGTGGGGAGTGGGGATTTGCAAGTCGCATGATTCTGCGAAATTGGCAAGACCATCTGAGACGAGACCAGCAGTGTCGCAAGGCCCATCGAAATGCTCGTTCTCAGAGACCAGGACAGAAGAGGCGACTTGAGTTTTCTCGACGAGCAAAGCTCGACTCTCTTTGCTCGTCTCCTTCTCCCTCCGTCACGAAGCGGAGCAATAACGAGCTGTAAGAATGCAAAGTCATTTTCAGGAAACAAGAAGCGTGCGCAGAGAGCCAAACACCGACGAATCTCCTGTAGACGCGTCAACATCGAGAATACATCATGCCTTGATGCAGCTATTAAAGTGATGTACTCTTGACGAGGGAGAGGAGGAAACGCGGCTACTCAAAGTTTCGCTGGAGAGACGTCATCTCAGCATAACAATCACCTGGCAACTCGCGCGTTCTCATCTACGCCTTCACGAGCCACCATGTGTATGGCTGGAAGGATGAACATCGTTGAATTGATTGTCTACACATCGAGCCCTATTTCCCATATGGTTCGTCGAGTGAGATTTATTTGAAGGGCCTGGTATTGGAGCATCAATGGTCACTGGAATCTCGTGGCATTTTAGACATCGAATTCACGACATCGTAAAATACTCCGTAAATGATACTGTCCGCCAACAACATGGCCTGTTCAGTCGAAGAGTATACATTGCTGCGAGAGCGCATGCTATGTCAGAGATAAACGCAATTCCAGCCAGGTATGGTTGAGACTTGGTGCATTGTAATTTGTGCCAGGGTGATACTGCTCGCATGCAGGCCTCAGCAGCCAAAGAGAGTGCTCAAAAGTTTGACGAGGACCAAGGGCATTATCAACTGCAGCGGCCTCTTTCGATTGCCATAGCAAAGTCATGATGCTGCGAGCAAGGAAGACAGATGATGGCAGCAATAGGAAGAATGATCATCAAGGTGATCGAGAGCCACCTTCCTTCAGCGGCAAAACCCAATGACTTGCATGAACCTGGAGGCAGGGAAGGAATGCACGACACGTCACACAGAATCACGGAAGAGACAAAGAGGGAAAGCATAGATGGGGTGCAATCAACAATGAGTTTTGAATTGCTGCTGCAAACTAATAATCTAAGCCATAAACCCAGATCCCTCGAAGCAACTGCCTCGCCATCATGTTTCATGCAAGGTCGTGACAAGAGAAAAGGTGGTATCGTTAGTAAAATGCTAAACTCATGTGACCTTGAGTAGAACACCGAAGCAAAGAAAAGACGAGCTTTTGGAGACCAAAGTGTCGATTCGTTTACTTCTTGCCAGCCTTCTGGGCAGCTGTGAGGGTGCGTTAGCAATGTGTATAGATACAAGAGGCAAACATGAATCTTACCCTTGGTGACCTTGCCAGCGCCCTGCTTGTCGGACTTGACAACGGACTTGATGACACCGACCTAGAATATGAGAGTCAGTATGGATGAATTGGGGAGACTTATATTCAGTGGAACGTACAGCAACTGGAAGAAGACATGTTAGCGTTGGCAAGAGTGGGAAGGGATCGGATGAGTAACATACCAGTCTGTCTCATGTCACGGACGGCGAAGCGGCCGAGAGGAGGGTAGTCGGTGAAGGCCTCAACACACATGGGCTTGGAGGGAACCATCTTGACGATGGCGGCGTCACCAGACTTGATGAACTTGGGGGAAGCCTCCATGGACTTGCCGGTTCTGCGGTCAATCTTCTCGAGAAGCTCAGAGAACTTGCAGGCAATGTGGGCAGTGTGGCAATCGAGGACGGGTGCGTAACCAGCACCGACCTGACCAGGGTGGTTGAGGACGATAACCTGGGCGTTGAAGCTGTCGCAACCCTTGGGGGGGTCGTTCTTGCTGTCACCGGCAACGTTACCACGACGGATCTCCTTGACGGAGACGTTCTTGACGTTGAAGCCGACGTTGTCACCGGGGAGACCCTCGGTGAGCTGCTCGTGGTGCATCTCGACGGACTTGACCTCAGTGGTGACACCAGCGGGGGCGAAGGTAACAACCATACCACCGAAGATACGGCCAGTCTCGACACGACCGACGGGCACCGTGCCAATACCACCGATCTTGTAGACATCCTGGAGGGGGAGACGGAGGGGCTTGTCGGTAGGACGGGAAGGAGTGTCGATGGCGTCAATAGCCTCAAGAAGAGTCTTACCAGTAGACTTGGTCTTGGTCTCCTTCTCCCAACCCTTGTACCAGGGGCAGTTGGTGGAAACGTCGATCATGTTGTCACCGTTGAAACCCGAGATGGGGACAAAGGGAACGTGCTTGGGGTTGTAGCCGACCTTCTTGATGAAACCGGAGGTCTCCTTGATGATCTCCTGGTAACGGGCCTCGGACCACTTGGTGGTGTCCATCTTGTTGATGGCAACGATGAGCTGCTTGACACCAAGGGTGTAGGCGAGAAGGGCGTGCTCGCGGGTCTGGCCATCCTTGGAGATACCAGCCTCGAACTCACCAGTACCGGCGGCAATGATGAGAATGGCGCAATCAGCCTGGGAAGTACCAGTGATCATGTTCTTGATGAAATCGCGGTGACCGGGAGCATCAATGACAGTGACCATGTACTTGGGGGTCTCGAACTTCCAGAGGGCGATATCGATAGTGATACCACGCTCACGCTCGGACTTCAGCTTGTCAAGGACCCAGGCGTACTTGAAGGAACCCTTACCGAGCTCGGCGGCTTCCTGTAGGTGTTGTTAGACATTGTTGGTGTTGAATGGTTGATATGAGTGGCGAATTGTAGGCGTGAAAATTTTGCGAGTCGGGCGTTGGGTGAAGTCGAGTCCAAGCGCGAAGCTCAGCTCAGCTCGACCCCACCAAACAGCCTGCTCCAGGTGGAAAAGGTGGAAAACGCGGACGATCTTGTCGGAAAAGAAAGCGCTTGATGCTGGATACGAAGGAAGAGGATGGCTTACCTTCTCGAACTTCTCGATGGTACGCTTGTCGATACCACCGCACTTGTAGATCAAGTGACCGGTGGTGGTCGACTTACCGGAGTCGACGTGGCCGATAACGACGACGTTGATGTGAGACTTTTCCTTACTGCACGCAAAGGTTAGATCGTTGCTCCAGCAAGTTAGAGAAGGCAAGAGCGCAACACATACCCCATGTTGATTGATGTGTATGGAGATTGTTTGAAGTTTCTGAAGAGAAGTTAGAAAAAGAAGAGAAGAAAAGGACGAGCAAGTCCAAGAAATAGCGAAGTGGAGCCAGCTCGGGGGGTCAAAGCTTACCAGATACGATTGCTTGATGAACCGTGGTATGAAGACAGTGTTGAGAAGAAGGGCGCGGGAGGGGTGGCCTTTTTGAGTGTGTGTGTGGAAAACGCACTGACTAAGCGAAGAATAGGGCCTAGCTTCAGTTGCCCCGCCAAGCTAGTTTTTTTTCTTTCTCACTTTTTCTGCGGTTGGGAGCCCAAGCGGAGTCGGAAAAAAAAAGTGATGTAACGGATGAGCCTTTGATCGAGCGGTCTATCGTTTTCTTGCTTGCTGTGAACCGCGGTGGCAAAGGTAAACTGCTTTAATCGAGAATTGCTACGTGTATCTTTCACTGCGGTGTCTCAACAAGGCCACAGCCATCCACTCTCACGTGATGAAATGCTCAATGATGCTTCGTAGCTCCATCTGCTGTTCGTGCAGGTGCCTACTTTGGTGGCCTGTAGAGCCGGCCACTACGTAGTGCTCGGTGTACTATCGATAACGCTTGGGCAGCAGTGAGCGCGCAACAGAGCCGCTGCATTTTCCACCCTCATTTTTCCGGCACACCGCTCGTCCCAGTTCACATCTGTATCTGCATCTGCATCTGCACACTTGGGTCATCCCGTTGCTCACGATTTGCCGCTGTGGATAATTAGTCGCGCGTCTAGCCTGGCCTGTTGCTGATTCGCATCTCGTTTCCCATCCCACTCCTATCCACTTTCCTACCCCGCTGTCACCAATGTCTTCCGCAGAAGCTCTCCCCGCCTACAAGCGCGACCTCATCTCGCTCACCCTCTCGTCAAACATCTTGACCTTTGGCTCCTTCACCCTCAAGTCCGGCCGTATCTCGCCTTACTTCTTCAACTGTGGTCTGTTCTCAAAAGGCAAGCTCATCCGCGGCATTAGCGAAGCCTACGCCCGTACTGTCGCCGAGTACTGCTCCGCCCACCCCGAGTTCGAGTTCGACGTCCTCTTCGGTCCCGCCTACAAGGGCATTCCCCTCTGCGCCACCACTGCTGAGAAGCTTGCCGGTATCGACGAGGCCAAGTATGGCGACCTCGGTTTCGTTTACAACCGCAAGGAGGTCAAGGACCATGGCGAGGGTGGTCTGATGGTTGGCGAGAGCCTCAAGGGCAAGAAGGTTGTTGTCATTGACGATGTCATGACCGCCGGCACTGCCATCAGAGAAGCCATCAGTATCATCAAGAGCCAGGGTGGTGAGCTTGTCGGCATCATCGTTGCCCTGGACAGACAAGAGAAGACCCCCAGCGAGGGCGAGAAGCAGGGCAAGCCCGACGACGGCTCCGACAGACCAAGCACCATTGGTCAGGTTCGTCAAGAGACTGGTGTGCCTGTCCTTGCTGTCTTGACTCTTGACGACGTCATTGAGGGTGTCAAGGGTCAGGCTACCGAGGAACAGCTCAAGGCTATGGAGGATTACAAGAAGAAGTACGGCGCAAGCAGCTAGACAATTGAGATGAAGCATATGATGTCGGATACGGCAACCCAAAATAGATACCCATGATGACCGAGAAAGGGAAATGAATGATACTCTCAAAGACTGCTTCGCTCGAATGGCAGACCGCTGCTGGCATAATCTTTGTCGCAATCGTGAAATTATTACCAACATTTCGGATAGTCTCCTCAGATGGAACTGCACATCAACGTCTGCCATGCTTCAGGCTGCAGAAAAGTATACACTGTAAGATGACAGCCTAGGCTGTGACAAGGAAAACACACATGCCATCCGACTTGCGGTGGCCTTGGTCTGGCGGCTTTTTGATTTGTTACGAAGCTGATCTTGCTGGATTACGTGGTGTCGTGTCTAAGTTTTGGTCCCCGTCTTCTAGAAAGCGGGTAGGAGAAGAAAGCGGCGTTCGATAGGAGAAGGGTGTCATGGGCGGCGACGACGGCGTTGTCGTACGCTCAGTAAAATCTGCGGAGCTCGTCGGTGTCCTTGACTGCCGTGTCCCTGCTGACGCTGGCTGAGCACCGTCATCCAAGCCATCACCAGTATTCATAAGCACTGGAGCCAGAGTCTGCGGCGAGCGTGTTGGTGGGCAATCATGGTCGATGGTCTCGATCATGTACTCGTCAAAGCCAGAATCCTGATGTACCGGCGGCCCGAAAAGGACACGCTGATGCCTTGGAGGATCTGGAGATTCTCTTTCACTATCCCGATCTCGCCTCGGCGCTCGTCCATGATTATTGTCAGCTCTCTCGTGTATGGGTGATTGGAACGGCGGGACGTCAGGTACAGAAGGCCTCTCATGTGTCGTATCTATTTGAGGACGATCCCGTGAGCCCTCAGCGTATCCATGGCCTGGAAGCTCTTCATCGCAAACGTATTCACAGGCTGGCAAGCCTTGACTGAGAGATAGGCTAGTGGTGCTGCTAGCTGCAGATCTCTGGCGGTAGCCATGCAGACTCCTTCCTCTATGGGGCATGACATAACTACCGGTGCTGTCAACTCTGTACTCGGTGGATGTCGCTGCGTTGATGAACTGATACGGGTCCGTGGTAGGATACGAAGGAGCAAAGTCGGCTGGCTTTCGTTGTTCTCTTTTAAACTCTTCGACAGCATTCCAGTCAACGGCGGTCGACGGGTCGTTCAATTCCTTGTGAGAATGATGGCTCAAGAGACTGTGTTCAGAACTTCTTGAGTCGATTCGCCGCTTCTCACAGTCTCGCGGGTGAAGCGGAAACATCCTCAATAGCTCCTTCGCGCTTGGTCGATTTCGAGCTTGGTCGTTCAAGCACGCATCGATTATGTCTTCGAACCAATTAGGGACGTCCTGTGCTGTGATACGAGGCAGTCCTCCGGAGCCTGTTCTTGCGACATGTTCGGGCTCATCATCTTGCTGCGCGAGCGCCCACAGAACCATACCTAGCTGGAATATGTCGCTCTTCACGCCGATGAAAATGCTCACCCTTCGACCTCTTCGAACAAGACGAAGAATCTCTGGTGGTTCCCAACCAATCGGACAGCCGCGACGGTTGATGTCAATGATCTTAGCATCGTCTTCGTGGTTGATGACGATATTGGACAAGGTGAAGTCACCTTGGACAAAACCACCTTCATGAATCTCGGCAAGGCCTTGGATGATTTGATGAGCCCATCTCTCCCGACGATTCCATGGCAGAGAACTGCTCGATTTATCATCATAGATGACGTCTACGAGAGCACCAAGCGACGCGAAGGATATTAACAGCCCCTTGACTACCTTCTCATCATCATCGACCACCAGACCATGGAAATCGATTACGTTCTTCGAACCTCGAAGCTCGTTGAGCACCTCAATCTCGTACAAGAACTCTTCGACTGTATCTGGACCTGGTATCTCTTTTTTGATCAAGACTTGATTGTCGACCCTAACCTTGTACACGAACCCGGATATGTGTGACTGGAAGTCAAGCTCGCTTTCGCGATACATGCGGCAGTTTTCGACAGAGTCCAGCGCCGGATAAGGAATGATCTCATTGGTGTCCTCCGTGACGTGAACATGCAGTTGTCCGCCTTCTGTCTCCAGCTTCAGGTTTGTGACGGTGTCGTAAAATTCAATGTCAGGAAGAGACTCCCTGATAGCCTCATAGATGCGTTGATTCTTGTCTCGCTGAAACTTGAGGGACTTTAGGTCTGATTCAAGAGATGATGGTGGTGCATCTCTGTAATCACAGGACACAGTCACTCTGCACCATCGGTTCGGTTGTTGGGCGTATGTGACGAAGAATTTTTCACGATCAGATTTATCCCGAAAGTGCATGCTCAAGTTGAGAATCCACGTCGTCTCGAGTTCAGCTTGTAGATCACGATCATCCAGGAACATAGGCTCAACAGCTTCTTTTAGCCCTGGCGGTATGGTTCTGGAGAGGGGCGACTTGGACAAGTGGTCAGGCCGTCGTTCCCCGGGCACGATCTTTTTGGTATCGAAGTAGCTCTCTGCATGATTATCGGCAAATGGCAAGCGCATATGACTTGGGGTACTGATATCCGGAGCCGAATGAGATGGTGAGATAGCTGAAAGAGATGATTGACAGCATCCGAAGCTCGTTGCTCGAGGCCTCCGTTCTGCGCTCACCGCTCTTCTTTCTGTATCACTGGGTTTGACTGCTAAAAGCCTTTCTCTTCTCCCAGAATTTTGCCTTTTCGAGGTAAATTGTCTTGACAATTCGGGAACAACCTTCTTAGTTTTTGACAAGGTACGGCCGAGCAAGCTGTCTTCCCGCGACCGTGATGGTGCCAGCGTAGTGTCAGGTCGTGCCGAATCATTTCCTGCTTCTTGTGTTGGCGCAAGATGCTCGTTTAAGACTTGCTTTTCGGAGTCTTGGTGTGACGATTCATCAGGCAAAGCAAGATCGATTTCGTCCCTCTTCAGCCAACCGCCAATCCCATGAAACGGCCGGAGAACAGAAGAAGAGCGTTTCCGTGTGGGTAGGTCGCGTCGAGAGTCTGATATATCTTGCTGGAGCGCATGGCTGCTACTGCTGGCAAATGGAAAGAGCTGTGGCATAATGATCGAGCTGACCATTCACAGTTTGCGGCACACTCGTTCATGTATCCGTCATTCAAAAAGCGAAACAGGGTAGGCTAGACTCGGACTAGCAACTATTCTCGGAGACATGCAACGCAAGTCGTGTAACCGCGCGGGTTCATGGTTTATTCAAGTTCCAGGCAATGCGGGGCAGAGGTCGGGTGGTGATGGGGAAGGCAGTGCAGCCTCACACCAGAGAAACAGTCGGTCAGGTTACACAGGGACTGGGAGGCTGAAATACCTCCAGCATACCTTGGCCCGGCCATCTGCAAGACTGCAACTGATGCCTCTTGCAGAAGGTTCACCGGAAAGCGATGTGGTGTGTGTGGAGACAAGATGATCTCCCGACCGGGTGGAATCGAAATTGCCAGCGACGCCAACATCATGAATCGTGAGGCTGGTCAATCATGTTGCTTCTCGATTAATCCTGCCAGCCACCTCGACCGCCATTGTTCTCAATTTCTCGTAAAGTGCAGTCAGACGCTGTCAGAATATGACATGATGCTGAATTCCCAACTCCAATCGGTCATATACACCTGTTGGTCAGTGCCGCAAGCCGTAAGGCGCCTTGAGTGATCTCAATTCACGGCCTTGCATTTTTGCATCTTTCCTGCAGGCATGCGCACATCATGGTCGGTTTGCCATCTCGGTTATGGTTACTCCCCAATCATGCCTTTCTACTGGTCGGAGTCTTGTGTTTCGTCCTCGTTCTACCTGCGACAAAGTGGGGTTGCGCTGGTCTGACACCATAGGAAAATGTATCGAATGCCTGGGTCCAATGCGAAACCGGAACGAATACTCTAGGAGAATACAACATCGCGATCTACTTTGGCGAGATAGTCCGTCGACAACTCTAAGCATGCCACGACAGCAGTGTTGCCCGAGGCGGAGTTGACCATCCGGGGAACAACAGGCGTGCAGCCATAGCGCTGCTTCTATCGTGAGGGACAAAAGCTAGCTCTGCAGTCTTTCTTTTGACACATGCAACTTAACTGCAGTTCCAGACACTGAGAGAAAATCTTCATCGTGATTGCACGACTCCTTTGATGTCCCAGCTAGCCGCCGCAACAATTCATCGCATCAGAACCAAGCCTCAAGTGCAGCTACGCTGCATCAGGATTCAACAAAAAGCACATTCTCGGCCGAAACATTGCGGCTCTAGTCTTTGTTCTCGAATTGAGCCTTCGCGTCCTGTAAGCTCGACTAATGACAGGCAAATCCGTCACAAGATTTTTGTTTTCCAATCAGAGACAACAAGTGGTTTATCTAGACTACTCAGGTCACAAGATTTTCGACCTTGCGATCAAGGCGACATTGAGAAGCATATATCACGGGCAGCCAGCATCTTTGAGCTCTTGCTGGGACGCTGTGAGCTGTCTCTTGCTGGCTCTTAGCCTCGATATGGATACAAAACAATGAGCTACACCGTAATCCCCGGACCGTATAGATTTGAGGTCGGTTTGTAGATGTAAACACACAAGGAGGTCTTCTGACTCCATTTGCAACACCCCAGACGATCAGCGAGACAAACTTACGTGCTTTCAATTCCCTCCAATTCTACTTCTCCCCAACATTCGAAAGCTCTTCCTTGATCTGCTTGCGGCCTTTTTCGAGCATCCTCCAAGTTGCAGACCGGGAGCTTTACCTCGTTCACATAGTCGTAGAATCATCTCGAAGACCCTCAACTCACTACTCTCAGCTCAACGAGACGGCTTTCCTCGACTGACTGAGACTCTCACTCAGCCCGAGGATCACCTCTACTTCTATGCTCAGTCAAACCACTTTACTTTTCCTACAATCGACCTCTTCAACACTTCCATCTCTTTCACAACCCCTTCCAACACTTCTATCTCTTTCACAACCCCTCCCAACAATTTCCTCTCTACCACACGCCCTATCACTTTCCACGCACCCTGGCTATGCGATCACCAACAACAGATTCTAAAGTCGACACAACTGGCAGTAGCAGCCCGATGCCTCATTGTCAACTTCGCAGCATCGACCCTGGCAAGCCACACCATCAGTTCACTCACAAACCTTCTGCACTTGCCTTCTTCTCAACTTCGAACCACAACCACTCGAACATCTCTTACATCACCACGAACCCTACCTCTATCACTCCCAGCCCTTTCACAAACAACCAATCGTTCACACCAGGCAAAAACTTCGCTTCTTACAGCGACATGGCGTCTCAACCTCCTGGGAACAACTACTTTGAGTCCCTCACTCAAGCTCAGCGACAAAGAGAACTTACCTACTGCTACGGAACAGGACAAGCTCCCTTCGCAACTCTCACTGCACAATCAAACATGGCAGATCAATATCCGACCAACCCACTTGGGGACCAGTTGCATGAAACTGGAGGTATGGCTCAGCAACCACTGGCAACATCAATGTATGCAGTTGGTCATCACAACCAGATGTCGGTCAACCCACGAAACACTGAAGTCGCTACGAGAAGTCAACTCGAAAGCCGCGTCGCCAATCTCGAACAACAGAGATTTCAAGAAGACTTGAATGCTCAATTCAGAGATATGCAAGTTTCTCAGTCGCTGCAATATCTTCAGTACGAGTTACTGCAGATGAAGCGAGCCTTTGAGCGCCACATCCCTGAACTTCGCCGCGATCTCTGTGTTCTCGGAGCCAAGCATGAAATCGAGCAGAATATTGAAGCAACAAGAAATGTTCACATTGAGCCGCGTACCCAAGAGCAGAAGCTTGAGTCAGCGATGCGCAATGCCAACTTGATTCGTATTTCTGCTGCTGTGTCTCTACCAGGCAAGCTCACTGTTGAGCAAGCCTCTATTCGTGGAGCAGAACAGATGGAGTCGTTGGCGAAGACGCTTCGCTCCAGAGTTCACCGCGGCGGTGCAGCTTATGTGCTTGAGGCCGAGGACGCAGAAGTGTGGGCGGCCAAGTTGAGAGGGGATGCGACTCCCACTGAGAATTCGACTTCGCAGCCACAAGGCAAGAAAGATCTGTCTTCGGGAAATATGCCTGTGGCGCACGATCTTGATGACAGCTGGGGCGAGGTCCGCGTACCTTCTCCGAGCGACGAAGCTGAGGCGTTCAAGAATGCCAGCGACAGCGAAGCAGCTAGGGATGATTCAAATCAACTCGTCGAAGCCGATCATGGAGTGGAGATCTCTCTCGAGGTAGTTACAGACTACCGAAGCATAATAGCCGTGTCCATGATTTCGAGAAGTTCTTCGTCAGTGATGATCAGAGCATCGTTTCTTTCAGATTCCGACTCTCCCTCCACCACAACCGACAAAAGAGCTCCTGCTCATGGGTCCCCCATCAGAATTACTAGTCCTGGGCCTCGCCGCAGACACGCCTCCGCACGTAGCGGCAGATCGAAGACTCCTTCATCCGCAGTGTCGGTCAAGCTTGAAGAGACGGCCGCCAGTGACTATAGCTCTCCCAAATCTTCTGGCAGATCAGACACACGTCTGTCGATGTCTAGAGGACGCAAGCTTGCACCTCATCAGAAGTATGGCACTCACAAAGCCGGAGCTACACAGATCATGGCTCTCGAGCCAGGTTTCTCTGCCAAAGTGGAAGCGTCTCTCAGCCGCACTGACAGCACTCGTGCAGTTGCAGAAGAAGTTACGGAGGCACAAGTGCCAGCCAACAGAGTAAGAAAGCTTACACCTCATCAAAGACTCACTCCTCAGCAAGCTGAAACATCCGAGACTCCAGCCAAAAAGGAGACAACAATCGACATGGCTACCAGCACTTACGAAATTGCTGAAAGTGCAGAGGCACAAGTACCAGTCATCATAGAAAGGGGGCGTGCTCCTCACCAAAGACACGCTGTTCAGCAGGCCGAAAGCTTAAAGACTCGATCTCCTACGATCAAGACTCCGGCTGAGAGCGAGAAATCAACCATCAGCGCCGTCAACACTCACGAGGTTGCTCAAGCTACAGAGGCACAAGTGCCAACCACCAGAGCCAAGAAACTACCACCCCATCGTAAACACATTACACGACAAGTCGAAGCTCCCAAATTACCAAGAGCCGAGCTTAAGAAAACTGATGAGGAGAAGGCGTCTTCCTCTGAGACAGTAGGACCGGAGTCTAGCTCATTTGAGAGATTTGGATCGAGAAAGATGAAGGAGCATATGGACCGCAGGGCGGCCGAAGCTAAGATTATACAGATCGCTCTTCGTGATGAGCAGGTCGTAAATCAAGAACTGCAGGAGTCAATCTCTCCTCTGGACATTGCCACTCAGGTTGACGGGAAGGATGCCGCTGCAGACCAAACTTGGCAACCTGCCTACCTCAACGAGCTTTCTTCACTGTCTGCCGAAGAACTTGAAGGCATCCCATCAGTCGAGAAGATGCATCACTTCGATCGCTCATTCATCCTCAACCACCTCGGCGGATCAAGATGGCTACCGTCTTTCTATAGCATCCCTGAAGATGAAATCACCCTTCTCCCAGGCCGTGGCTTCTATCTCCTCGAAGACTCTACAGAGCCCCTTGCACCTGCCACTCCCGGCTCCCACGGTAGTCTCCTCACACCAGTCCTCCGCCTCCCAGACGCCGATAACCCAGACGCTCCAAACCCATCAACCATGGAGAACGCCCCTCTATTCCTAAGGCAAGGAGACGGCTACATCTACTACGGCATGTACACCTACCTCCGCGCCGACCGCCTCGACATCGAACGCTGCAACCTCACAATCCCTGCATCCGTAAAATCCTTCTGGGCCGACCAACTAACAACCTCCCAACGACCAAAATGGGTAACCGAAGCCCTACAGAAACATCTCCTACCTCAACCCCTCTACACAGGCCCCCTCCCCCACAACGCAGACGACGATAAAATCTCCCTCGCCCTCTCCACTCATCTCTCCGCCATTACAACATGGCACAAAGACACTCATCTGAAAACCTCCTTTTTACGTCCCGAACACATTCTGGCTGCCTTTGAAGCTTCAGATATCGGGGCCGAGATGCCAGGGATTAGGTTTTGGGGCTTGGGGTTGAGGTGTGAGGGGTGGGATGAGGCGTTTTATAACATGATGGTTAGGGAAGAGGGGATTTGGGAAAAGGAAGGGAAGAGGGATGGGGAGGGGGAGAGGGGGAGGAAGAGGGATATGTTGTGGACGTTGAGGGCGAGGAGTAAGAGGCCTAAGAAGTGGTAAGGGAAGAGACTATTCTGCCTCTGAGACTTTCAGTTGCTGACATGACATTGGGAAGGCATTGGGGATGGAGCATGCTCATTTGACAATGAGATGATGCGGACGCTGATGAGATCTGGATCCTTTACCGACATGTCATTATCGACTTGACATCACCTACAACATAACAACCACCACCATGGAGATCAACAAGGCTGTTCACGAAAGAGCCACAGCATGATTTCTTACTCAACGAGGCTTCTCAAAGGCCTCGTCATCTGTACAACATCTCACAGACACATTATGCATTTCTTTGGGCATCAGCAGAAAGCGACATCTCAACTCAACGAAAAGATACACCAGGCAAAGGGGAAGGATAATTTATCAGTTCATTTCATAATTACAAAGATCAACGAAGGAGAAAGCAGCGTGAGCTCACCAAAAAAAAACAAGTCCCACGAGATCCGAGAGTGACAGAACGCCCAAGAAAAACATCTACAACCAAAGGGCGAGAAAAAATGCTGCCATGACAGGACGAGAGAAATGTGGCCGTTCCCATTTCCTTCTCTTCGTTTTCCAGAAAAGAGAGCCTGCCTTGTAAAGTAAAACGCCAAAATATGTATACCCCATCCACAACTCTTGCATTCCATCATCCTGCCATTACATTCCCATTCTCCTGGGACCAAAGTAGAGCAACCCACCAATACCAGTAAATGTCAAACCCATCCACCACCAGCGATCGGGGTTCATGACCTGACTTTGCACGCCCATCTTGAAATTCGTAGGTACCTCTCTAGTCATGTCGCGCTTTACTTTCGAGGTGGGTGCGCCGGCCGCGACGGTAGGGTTGAGGGTTTGCGTGGGCAGCATTTGAGGGGGAGAGTAGACGAGGTACATTGGCTGCATGATCTTGCCGTCGAATTCTGTGAGGTCGAGGCGGCCGATGCCGTGGTAGGGGTCTGTATAAACGCGGTATGCCTTTTGTCTTTCGTTAGCATTTGCTCTTGAGGATGATCGATCAAGGTGTGGTCGCATACCTTCATCTTTTCGGTCGTGTTGTAGCGAGTGTAGATGGAGTTTTTGTTTAAGCAGGGTTGCGACAGCAGTTGGCGACCGTCAACGGCGATGGGTGTCATGGTAAGGGAACCGTCGCTGCCAATCACGTAGCTGCCGTGCTGCCATTGCATAATAGCTCCAGGGCATGAAGGGTCGGCAGGGTTCGAAATAGCGCGGTAGTAGGCTTCCTCGTAGAAGCCATCTGATGTGAAGGAGTATGAGATGCCCGGTCGCGAGGGCTCGATCATGTTGTCGCCGACGGGGTCGTAGAAGCCCTGAATGCTTCGTTAGTGTCTTGTTTGGCCATGCTGTATAAAGACGGTGAATCGTACTGGACCAGTCAAGGTCTTGTTGGCCTTTGTTGCCCATGTGCCCACCAAAGTGGCATCGACCAGCTGCGCCGAGCCGACATGGGCAAAGGCGAGCGTCGCCGTGAGGGCATAAGCCGAAGGAAGTCTCATTTCTGTGGCGCTATTCGTCTTGGGGTGTCTGTGTAGTTGGCGGGTGTGTATAAGTGGACAAGGGTATCGTTTGGTCGTGTGTTCTTGAACAAGGTGCGGGCAAACAGAATAATTGATTTGGAAACCTTGTTGAGAGAGATGTTAATACAATCAAAGGACGACGACGCGCTTGGCAAGTTGGCAAGCCTCAAAACACGGAGAAGGGAGAGCCCCTTCCCGAAATAGCTTCCCACATGAAACACCCAACTTGACTCTTGCAGCTTCTTGTCAAAACGTCGTCGATCATTTATCAGAGATCACATGTTATACCAGTCTCTGAGACCATCCGCCACTGCTCGTGCTGTTCAGACCATCAAGACTGCTAGAAGAAGTCTCTCGTCTCAAATGTCGTCAACGAATCTAGACCTGGGAGCTGAGTCTCAATTGTCGGAAAAGAAAGCCGTGAGAAAGCAATTGCACAGCCTCTTGTCTTCGCTGCCGTCTGATTACGTCCAACGTCAATGTCTGTTTTTGCCGTAGTTGTATTACTCTCTCATGGTCAAACTGACATCCCGTAAGCCATCAATGCCACAAAACTTTTGCTCTCATTGCCTGAGTACAGAAATGCTCGTTCAATCAGCATCTTCATGTCTATGCCTTCTGGAGAGATCAACACCGAAGCTCTTACCAAAGATGCCTTGACTGCGGGCAAGCATGTGTTTGTGCCGTATATATACAAGCCCAAGCAGCCTCGTCAAGATGATTTGCCTACCTCTATTATGGACATGCTGCAGCTTGCTTCCGAGGATGACTATGCCTCGCTTCAGCCCGACAAATGGGGCATTCCATCTATACCGAAGGAAACTGTTTCCGATCGCGTGAGTTCGTTCGGGGGGAAGGGCCTGAGTGATGGAGCTGTGCCAGCGTCAGATGCTGCAGGTCTAGATGTGATCCTCATGCCATGCATGGCTTTTGACCAAGACTTGAATCGCCTTGGACATGGCAAAGGTTACTACGACAACTTTCTCACAAGATATTGCTCTGGTAAAACGACGGATGGACAGAACAGAAAGAAACCGTTTTTGGGTATGTACCGACGCCTTTTTAGCATTTTTCAATAGTGATCCCTCCTGACCTCTTGGAACTCTAGTTGGATTCGCGCTTGCTGAGCAGATGCTTCCTTCTCAATATCGTCTGCCGGTTGATTCATGGGACTGGAAGGTAGATGCGGTGGTGCTCGGAGATGGCGGGTCAGAGGCCAGATTGGTGAGGGCTTGATTTCGTGGTTGGCCGCTCAGATTCAATGGCGGAGATGCAGAGCGGCTCCCATCGCTCTAGACATTCGTGATGATGAGAGAATCGGTCAAGCTCATAGAGTCTGGATGAGAGCAACGTTGTCGCCCTTGAGGAGGATTTGGCCTAGCAGTACAAGTCAGTGGATGAAGTAATGCGTGTCACGCTTAAGGGTGAGCATACCGAGAAGTCTTCTCGACTCTTCCGGGTCAGTCTTTGTGGGCTGCTTGACCTCAATGGCATCGTCGACGACCAGGTTCATGAACTCGTCAAAACCCTGTGATGTTCATCAGTATGCGCCCCAGTAGATTGGTGTGACAGCATGACGCACTCTGATGGTTCCCTCGATGCGGATGCCCAGCTGTTCAAACAGCCATATCGAGACCTTTGCGCGAGTCTGAAGGAGCTTGAAAATGTAGTTGATTGGTGGCAGCAGCACCTTTCCACCACCTCCGCGTCCGCGTCTCTCCATCTTGTTTGAGGTCTGGTGTTGGGTGTGAGGTCGAGATATCGGGTCGCAACGGCTTTGGCTGAGTCGTACAATGAGACTGGGTCGAGGTGAGCAGTGGGCGAGGTAAGATTGTGGTGATGAAGTGGATGCGACACGGTCTCGTCGCAGCGCTGCCTGCACGAAGGCCGACCAGGCGCATGAGCTTTCCCTACAAACGCCCGCCAAGAACTCGATGCTTCCTGACGCTTTCCGTCTTCAACTTGTCCTTGTGAAATGCACAATCACGTTCAATTTTATAGCTTCGCAAAGACAGTCGTCAATTGCCAGGCTCTCAAGGAGCAGTCCGAATGACAAGACTTGACTTTCCACTTCTATAGCCCACAGGACGGCCAGTTGATTGTTACAGAGCATTCACTGAAGGCTTGATAGAAGGCTCCGCGATGAAGCAGACGCACGGACTGCTTGTGATTCTGCGTCAGTGTCAAGTCCAAAGAAAGATGGATCAACCAGATCAAATCAACAAACTCGCTCCTTTTGTCCATTAATTTGCCTCTGCTCTACTTGTTATCTCTTCCCCTTGTTTGACAGCAGCAGAGAGTGCTCTTCATCGATCCTTCTACCGTAACACGCGCTTCTACCGGCCTGCACACCAAAACACATCCCACCATGGCCGCCAACGGCACCCAGGCCTTTGCGCCAGTATTGGCTGCCCTTCAGACCATGCAGTCAAACGTAGATCGTGCGCAAAAGGGCCAAGCACACGAGTTCCTCGAACAATTCCAGAAATCTGTACGCTGCCCAGACTAGCACATGGCTCTTCCAAGCGCCCCCACTGACAAGAGCAATGCAGAATGAAGCATGGAACACAACCTTCATGATCCTGAACTCCTCCGAAGCTACTACCGAATCGAAGCTGTTTGCCGCCACAACCCTCAAGGGCAAGATCGTCTTCGACTTCCACCAGCTGCCTCGCGAATCGCTGCCCGAATTGCGCAACACCCTTCTCTCGCTACTCGCCCAATTCAGCCAAGGGCCCAAGCCTATCCGCACACAACTATGTGTCTGTCTCGCCAACCTCGCCATTCAGATGCTCGAATGGAAGGATGTACTACAACTTGTTGTTTCTACCCTGGGCAACGACCCCAATGGCATCGCCTGCGTTCTCGAGTTCCTGCACGTCCTGCCTGAGGAGGTCACAGAGGGAAGAAAGATCAACCTTACCGAGGACGAACTCAGAGACAGAACCGTCGAGTTGCTAGAAGAGAACGGTAACCAGGTCCTTACACTGCTCAACCAATACGCACAGTCCTCTGAGGCAGCCTCAAAGAACCCTCAGCTCATGGAGTGCATCACATCATGGATCAGAGAAGTTCCGCTAAACGACATTGTCAACTCGCCTCTACTGGATGTGGTCATGAACGCTCTAGAAACCGAGTCGTCTTTCGACTCCAGTGTTGACACTCTTTGCGCAATCTTCAGAGAGACAAGAGACGTCGACGAATGCATGGCCGTCATCAAGACCATGTACCCTAGAGTCATGTCCATCCGCCCGAAAATCGCTCAAGCTGCAGAGGCAGAGGACTTTGACATGTTCAAGGGTCTGACGCGCATCTTCTCAGAGGCTGGTGAAGCTTGGGTTGTTCTCATCGCTCGCATGCCTGAAGACTTCCGCGGCTTGGTCGAGGCAGTGCTTGAGTGTGCTGCCAGAGATACTGAGAAAGAGGCCATCTCCAGCACTTTCATCTTCTGGTACGAACTCAAGCAATACATCACCCTGGAACGCTACATGCAGGCTCGCATGCAATTTGTAGACATCTATCTGAACTTGGTCGACATCATGATTGGCCACCTTGAGTTCCCCAAGCCCGAAAGCGGCAACGACAACGACCTCTTCGACGGCGATCGTGAGCAGGAGGAGAGATTCCGTGGCTTCCGTCATCAAATGGGCGATGTCTTGAAAGATTGTTGCGAGGTCATTGGTGTCACCGAGTGTCTGCAAAAATCGTACGTCAAAATTGAGGAATGGGTCAACACATACGGTCCGCAAGCAAGCACAGGAAATGTCCCCGAATGGCAGAAGCTCGAGGCTCCTCTATTCAGTATGCGCGCCATGGGCCGTATGGTTCCTCCGGATGAGAACATTATGCTGCCTAGACTGGTACCTCTGATCGTGCAGATTCCTGATCAAGAAAAGGTTCGCTTCCAGGCTGTTATGGCCCTCGGAAGATACACCGAGTGGACTGCTCAACATCCCGACACTCTCGAGGCACAGCTCAACTTCATCATGGCCGCTTTTGATCATCCATCGAAGGAAGTCGTCACTGCGGCAGCTCTCTCGTTCAGATTCTTCTGTAACGACTGTGCTGAGCTGCTCAAGGGCTTCACAAACCAACTCCAGACCTTCTATGAAACAGTCATCAACAGACTACCACCTACCAGTCAAGACGAGATCACAGAGGGCATGGCAGCAGTACTCTCGAGACAACCTGTCGACCAAGTCTACGCCTCCTTCAAAATGTGCTGCGACCCTGTTGTCAAGCGTCTGATGGACATGGCACAGTCTGCTAGCACAGAAAAGGAGAAGCTCGCCCTTGCTGACCATCTCAATCTCATCACAATCTTCGTTCAATGGATTCAACCCGAAGTCAGACCCGGCGAGCCGCATCCTGCTGTGCAATACTGTCAAGAGATCTTCCCCGTCTTGGCTGCTATTGCAGAAAACTTCTCAAACTTCACACCCGTCCTTGAGCGCGTCTGTAGATGCTGGCGTTACATTGTGCTCTCGTACCGCACACATACTGCACCGCTTCTTCCTGTCCTGGCCGAAAAACTGGCATCTGGTTTCGCTGCATCAAGACAAGGCTGCTTCCTTTGGGCGACCGACTCAATCGTCAGAGAATACACCGACGAATCAGAAGGCATCACCCCCGAGACAACACAAGCAATCTTCAACTTCTATGTACAACAAGCGACTACCTTCTTGCGCGCGCTCAACGATCTGCCGCCAGAGCAACTTCCCGACGTCATTGAGGACTTCTTCCGCCTTTGCAACGACGTACAGGCATACCACTCACGCTCGTTTATCGCGAATGAGCTGACCCCTACCATTCTATCTGCCGCTTCCACATCGCTCACCCTCCTCAAAGACGAGCCTATCCTGGCAACGCTCCACTTCTTACGCGACTTCCTCGCATATGGAGGTGAAAACGCACCCACTTCTACTTTCAGCGAAGACCCCAACCGTCGCATCAACCCGCCAGAAATTCAGACTGCCGTCAAGACGCTTATCTCCCAACAAGGTGAGGTGCTTGTTCAACGTCTCATGACAGGTATGATGTACACCTTCCCTGCCGACTGTTTCCCAGATGCATCAGGAGTGCTGCTAGCCATGTTCCAATTACTGCCAGAGGCCACTGCAACATGGACAGCCAACACAGTCTCGATGCTTCCCACGGGATCCATCAGCCCACAAGAACAAGAGAGACTTTTGCGCAATATCGAGCAACGCATTCAATCTGGAGATACACGTAAGATCCGCACACTGTTGCAAGATTTCACAAACTCGTATAGGAGAAGGAATGTTGCGCCTAGAGAGGGTCTTGGTAGATTGGAAGCTGCCAGATTCCGCTTTGCTGGTTAAGTGCCTTTGCTTGTTAGGGGTATGCTTTCCTGCTTGGGGTGACCTTGCTGTTTTTTTCTACGTATATAGATTCTTGGGGGTTCCTTGCCTTTTATGCCCATGGACAAGGAAAAGAGACCGATGGTAAAAAGCTTTAGCGTATGATGGGTTTTGTTTTTTTCCATACCTTCTGTTCTTGGCTTGGTAGGAAAAAATGAAGATCAATTATTTATACACATTACTTCCCCTTTCGTTTTCTTCGTGCAATTTTGTTCTCTCCTTTTTTTCGAATTTACTGTGATATTTTCTACTTGCTTGCTCATGTTGCTCCTGGACTTTTGTTATCTTGTAAAGGACGCGTACACGATTAAAGGTTTTACAATCCTTCTCGATGCTCAGTATCGATGACCAACAAGGTTAAGAAAGAGTCTGTGGAAATGCAGGAATGCAAATGTGCAAGATCTGACTTTTTTCTGTGTGTTGGGATATAACAGTGGTGAGGCTCTCAAGAGATGTCTTTGCATTGTTGAAATACTTTCTGCATCTCGACAGCTGTGGACGGTGCTTTGATGAAGAGATCTCGGGAGTAATGGGAGAGGGAGGGAGAAGGGGTTACTCTATCTGTAACGTCTCTACACTCTCTTGAGACGTGAGCGAAAGTTGAAGTGGTGCACGATTCTTCCGGTAGCGTGGTGATGATCAATGAGAGAAGGGCTTGAGGTATGTTGGTTGTGAACCTGGGTTAAGTATACATGGGAGTGGTGAATGTGTATAATATTCTCACCGGTAGTCTATCCTTCTGTTATTCTTTTCTCAACCATGCCATCTCTTCATTGTCCCCTCACTCTCCTTCTCCTATCCGTCTTCCTCACTCCTCCTTTGGAATTCGCTTTCTCCCTCGGTAGCTCTTCTTCCAATCACTTCTCATTGTCCAGTCTCACAACACAGCCATATAAGCTTCCCAACAAAGCCAATCTTCAATAATCCCGGCACAGTGGTCTAGTGGTTTGAAGACGCTTTACACGAGATCAGAACAGACCGCTGTTCTCCGACGTGGAAGAGTGGGCCTGTGCTGCGTTGACACCATGATGATGGGCAGTGAACTGATGAGGAAATCGGGGGTCCTTCTGTTTCGGCTGGAGAGATGATGCGTCGCTCCTGCCTTTTAAGTAGTGTGGTTGTGGTCGCTTCTTGCTGTCGAAGAGGTCGTAGCTGTCCTTTTTCGTAGATGGCGCTTTCCTTTCCACCTACTCGTGCCTTGGTGGTAAGGCAGAGAGGTTAAACTATCGATGTCGCAGTATCGATGACCACGTCAATCTCAGATCAACAGACTCGAGCCCCAGTATCTCGATAGGATGTCGTTCATTCAAAAAGGCCAATTCCCATCTCTTTTTCAAGTTCGAAACTCTTTATACATCATCGTAGTCCCCATACCCTTTTCCACATCCCTACCCTTCAAACTCAAATAATCCATCTCGATCCCATTCATCGTCTCCCCCTCCTCCACTGTAGGCGTCGGATCCGGCAACGCCTGATACAACCTAACACTCCCACTCCCACTCCCACTCCCACTCCCCTTTGGCAGATCTATCCTCTCCGGCGCCTGCTGTCTCGATTTCCTCCCACTCGAACGCGAGCGTGAATCAGAAGACAGAGCAATCTTTGCCCTTTCCCGGATTTTGGAAATCAAAGGTCGCATCACACTCATCGAAGCTACGATTATACCGATTGCAGATTCTATGAGAGAGGTATAGGCGATGATGTCGTTTTGTTGCGAGTAGTAGCTTTTGTCCAGGCGGAGGCCGGGGATGTAGGGGATGCGGACTATGCTTACTATGCTGCCTGCTGAAGCTAGTAGGATAATGCCGTATACGGAGATTTTGCTGCGTGTATCCATCATTAAGCCTTGCACTACGTAAATGGCTAGGATGGCAAAGACCCAGTCGACTGCGGCGTTTAGAGAGGCGCAGAAATAGTTCAAGGGGCCTTGAATGTTCCAGGATAGACAGTGGGGGTGATTGAGGTCGATTGTGGCGATGTTGCCGCATTGGCCGATTGAGATGCCGAGGAGGACCAGGTTGAAGATTATGGAGATTGTGACGCTGATGATGATGATCCAGCGATGAATGCGTTTGTTGGGAATCCGGAGAAAGAAAAAGGCCATGGAGAGCTTGAAGAAACATTGGTTTAGTAGATAGAGCGAGATGCCCAGTATGCTCAGCTGCGTCGCACGGTCAGTCTGGCGCAAGACTTGATGTACAGAACCGACCACATACCTCGGCGAGCTTGACAATGGGAGCGAGACCTTCATAGTATTCAGTCACACCAATGCCAATAAATACTCCACAAGCAGCGAGGAAGCAGATCTAGGACTCAAAATTAGTGCTCGACTTCGGATTGATCAAGAACATATCCTCACATGAGCGATGATCAAGCAAACATCATCACGACCAAACGACCGCGCCATAAAGCATCGTATCCATATCCGTATCGAGATCGCAATACTCGACAATATGGCAAGAGGGATTGGCAACACAATAATCGCATACGGATGCAAATTATATGTCGCAACATCTGGCGAAACCATTCTTTCTTGGTCCCGTCAAGTAACTCCAAGCATGTGAGATAGGTGTAAAAAGGCAGAGATAGACAAACAAAATAGGAAGAGGAAAAAGGCAACAAGGAGATTAAAGCAAGATAAAGAATACAACCAAGGTTTACCTTCCGAAACCCAACAACCGCAGCTTGCCCAATGGTTCGTGGCTTTCGAGGGCTTCAGGGCTTTATTACTGAGCAGCCGCAAAATAAAAGTACAGAACATGCTGTCATACAACAGTAGGCTTCGGCCTATCTGCCAAAGTCGTTGTAGACGAATGAGTAAAGTTGTGGTGGTCTTCTCGCTCTCATCGCGTTCTGGGCGTTCGATAGGGTTTAGATTCATCCCAGCCGTTGTGGAAAACGACGTTTGATGCCAAATCCCATATTTCGGTGTCTCAAAAGTCTGGGGTTCGTCCCTTTTCTTGAAGGATGAGGATGGGAGCGGCTCGCTTTGCAAGGAAATAAATGACGGCAATCAGCTCCGGGGTGGAATACACTTCATCGCTACCATTCTTTCGATGCTGGCATGCATGGATAGGAAATCAATGCGAGAATCTCATCCATGTTCACTCGCCTAAGCCTCAACGCTTGCAGACATGCTTCAATACAGAGGATAAACGGGGCTGCTTGTGTCAATGGTCACTTGTCGTTTGATGTCTTGGCTCTTTTGCGACCCGTCATACAAGACAACTAAAACGTTCTCCGAGAACGCATCTTTTTGTATCTGCCAGAAAAGTCCGTATATCATTCATTGGCTGGTCCAATGTGCTCGTGATTGTACTCCTTCCGAGCCGAACTTATCCGTCGTGGAGGTTATGACCGATGAATGGCGCCATAGCAGATCGGTCTCTACTTGCCCTGAGGAGTGTAGCTGGAGTAGCCAGGGCCGGAGCTGTAGTAGGTCGAGCCATTGGGGTTGCTGTAGTAGTACGAGCCGTCGCTGTTGACTGTGGTCGGCATTCTTCTTCCAGAACAATGTTGATGATACTTGCTTGTTGGAATAGTGGTAGGAATTGTCATTCGAAGCACTAGAGCCATAGTCGCGGGCATCGTAGTGGTTGCCCTGACTGTTGGTGCCGCTGGAGGTAACTTCGTAGGAGCCGCTTGCCGCTAGAAGTGGAGCCGGCTCCGGAAAGACAATGCACGAGCAAACGCAGATGCCATGATTCTGGTGTTGAGCAATCAGGCCGCAAAGGAGCTTAGATCACCAATTGAGATTGGTGATTGATAGGCACCACTTTTGTCAGTGTCGGCGATATATACCATGTCATACGGCCTACACATTCCTATGACAGTGTAGAAACATCATGGCCAGAGCCATTGACGGCCTGCGCATACCACTATCCAGGAATGCGAGGTTCTTCAATCAGTCGGCTCTGCGCCATGAGTCTCTGTGCGGATCTTGCTCGATGATCATGCTCTTTATCATGCGAACGCTGGCTTTAGATTGAGAAACCATGGTCCACGTGTTGATGCTCGCAATTGAGACTTTGAAGCAGTGGAAGACTTCGCGTAAACCAAGACGCGACGGTGACGTCTTTGGCATCGCGAATCTTCAAACAACACCAATCCACCCAATCCTCCACAACACTCTCTCACAAGAGATCTAAATGTGCTCTGAAAACCAGGCAGAAATGCCACCATCAACACTAAGCAAAGCTATCCACTTCGGCCCTTTCGCCGTAACATCCCAAGTAAAAGTCCCCCCCCCCCCCCCCCCCCACCCTCAACTCACTAACACACACACACCCAGGTCTTCTACAAAACACCCCTCTCCTTCTGCCTCGTAAACCTCAAACCCTTATTACCAGGCCACATCCTCGTTTGCCCTCTCCGCCGCGTCCAACACATCGATCAGCTCAGCGCAAACGAAGTCACGGATCTCTTCAGCACAGTACAATTGGCGTCGCGGACATTGAAGCGTGTGTACAATGCTTCGGCGTGCAATATAGCGATACAGGATGGCGAGGCTGCTGGACAGAGTGTGCCGCATGTGCATGCGCATTTGATCCCTAGAAAGGGTGGTGATATGGATGCGCAGGGTGGTGGAGACAAACTCTATGAGCAATTGGAGGGTGAGGAGGGGGACGTTGGTAGACATCAGAGAGATGAGGAAGGGATGAGGAAGGGTAAATTCCCCAAAGTTGAGGATGACAAGAGAAAGCCTAGAAGTATGGAAGAGATGGAAAAGGAGGCTCGCTGGCTTGCTGAGGAGATACAGAAGGATGCACAGAGCTTCACCAACGAGTCGTTCTTGTAGCACAGCTTATTCCACGGCCGTCTGATACAAAGTGACGGAAAGAAAGAGATGGCACATATAATAGACGGGTATGTTTTGATAAGCCCAATAGAGGTAGAATTTCCGCTGTACAGATTTCGGTTGCGTTCTTTCAAAGAGTCGCGATATAATTCATTCTCGTTCCCGAATTAAACAGAGTAAAAGAGAGAGAAACGCCATCCATGCTTCATATCTCGTGCCAAAGCACCAAGATTGTTTTGTTTCAAGAAAGAAAAAAGGTGGGTATCGGTGGGAAAGGGCGTTTAGTTTGCGAGGACGGTCTTGACAAGGTCTGGATATGTGTTAGTCAATGCGACTCGGCTTGGTGGCCTTGAGGGTTGAACGTACCAACGTAGTTAATCTCGCCGCTGCTGGTGTCAACAGCCTTGAGCAGCTCGTCAACTTCGTCATCACTCATCTTCTCGCCCAAGTTGGTCAGAACTGTGTATGGGTTAGTGTGTTGACTCGGCCAGGAGTAGTATTTGAACGCGAATCATACTGTATCTTAGCTGACCGACGCCGATGAAGCCAGTCATCTCCTTGTCAAAGACTTGGAAACCACGGCAGTACTCCTCGGGCTCGCCGGGGTCGCGGAAACCGCCAGCGCGGTTGAGAACTTTTGAGAACGAGTCAAAGTCGACTGGTTAAGGGAGGTTGTGTCAGCCGCTGTATTCCTCCTCATCGTTTTTGATGGTATAGACTCACAGTCTCCGCCGATGCTCTTCTCGAGGTCGCCAATCTCAGCGAGGGTAGGGTTCTGACCGCATGCGCGCAGAAGGTCGCCCAGGGAGTCGATTTGGACACGACCGTTGCCGCGCTTGTCGAAGAGAGCGAAAGCCTCCTTGTAGTTTGTTGTGTTGGCCTGATCCATTGTCTTAGTCTTGAACGGTATGCGATTATGCGCTGTGTGATGGTCGTGCTGCAGGAGAAAGTGTGGTGAAAGAAAGTGGGATGGTCGTTGTTGTGGTGTGTTGTTCAAAGTCGGGACTTATCGACGGACACAAAACAGGGCGGTTGGCGAGTTTTGGTTGGTTGCGTCTTGACTTTCGGGTCTCCATGCAGGGTCTGGCCCGCAAATAAACATGTCAACTCACCATTTTGGTTGTGTGTCTGTCGTCCTTTATTCCTTCTCGAGCTTCAAACGATAGAGTTCTGCGACAAGGTGGATTTTCTGCGGATTGAGGGGATATACGTGAAGATGTCTGCGTCTCCTAGGGTCCCCACCAGTATAAAGGAGTCGTTTGATGTGTTTGTATCAAATCTGCGCTGCGACCGTCAGGCGGCCCAGGGGGGGCTTCAGGCCCGTTGTCATGGCCGAATTATCAACACATTTCCCAATCCGGTAATCATGACTGCCATCTATCTTCCTATCTCCATCTCAGCTTTTGCTTCTTGTGATGACATTGTAGCTGTCTGAAACAGCTTTCTGTGCTCGAAACACTCAACAACCGACGTTTGTTGATTATTGCGTGAACTCTTGGAGGATGAGAGCTGTGGTGAACAAGTGCTTCATCTTCGTCCGATGATGAAAACGACAGTTTCAAGTGACCAGCGTCATTACACTTACTCAAACTCGTCTCTACAATAACTCTAGCAGTATAGCATCTATCCAGAGCGCCGAAGCCAAAGACTGCGACTTTGGCAGCGCTCAGATATTGGGAAAATATTGCTTAGACAGGGTTATCCCGCGTGCAGCACGACTTGGTCATGCTCACGCTGGACAAAGCCATACCTCGGCTCAACCTTATCTCCAAACTCCGCCAACACGCAATTCATCTCACTTTCCGATCATCTCACCTCGACACTTCTCGGACACTGCAACAATGACCGACCAAGACATGAACGTCGCAGTCAAGAACTTCCTCGGCAGCCCTCGCTTTGCTGTTGCAGGCGCAAGCAGCGACCCCTCTAAGTTCGGCCACAGAGGTGAAGTTGCCGGGTCTTCTACTCATTGCAATCCCACTGACGCATAGCAGTGTTCGCATGGTACCTCCAGCGCTCTCTACCCGTCACACCACTCAACCCATCTCGACCAAGTGTCTCCGTGTCGTCTAAGGACTACGATACCGTACCTTCGCCATCAGCTTTACAACAGCCAAAGGAAACGGCACTGAGCGTCATTACACCTCCCAGCGTCACCAAGAAGCTCTTACAAGAGGCCAAAGAGGCCGGCGTCAGAGCCGTCTGGCTTCAGCCAGGTAGCTTCAACGACGAGATTCTCGAGTACGCCATGAAGGAGTTCCCAGGCGCAGCAGTGGGTGGAGATGGAGGCAGGGGTGGAGAAGGATGGTGTGTACTGGTGGACGGAGACAGTGGACTCAGAGCTGCTGCAAAAGAGCAAGGCCGTCTGTAGAAAGAGCAAGTCATATGATATCTTGATACTTTCATTTCACGTCATGCATGACTGCCCATCGCTCAATGCTGATTTCACCATCACCAGCGCCTGTCAGGCTCCCTGAATTTCATGTGGCCTCTACCCTTGAACTTGACGGTGCTCTCTTCGCCTGCTCCAGCTCCGGCACTGCCGTACGTGTCTCCACCTAAGCGTCCCTCTTCTTGCCTGGGCGGTGGACGGTATGAGTTTCGTCCACCCCTTCTTCCACCGCCGCCTCTGTCGTACTGTCTGCCGTCGTTGCCAGGTCTGTACCGATCATTGTCTCTGGGTCGTCTACGATCGTTATCGTTGGGTCGAGCCGGTGCGTCCTGATCGTAGTACTGATTTGGCAGGCTTCTTCTCCTCCGACGTGAGTCCACTGGGCTTCGACTTGACTCGCGGCTAGCCTTCTTCCTTTCGTATCCGCGCGACGGACTAGGACTGCGCTTCCTCTTGTATCTGCTGTCCGGACTTTGCGAATCTGACTCAATCGCTCGCTCTCGAGCAGGAGAGTCTTCTACTTCTTCCTTGGACCTTGCGCGTACTCTGCCACGCAGGTTCTCGTCGATTATGTGATCACTCTTTCTTCGTACGCGTTGGTTCTTTTCTGGACGTGGGGATGGCGAGCGGGAGACAGATGCAGAGCTCCCGCGTCTGTTTCTTCGGCCTCTGTCTTTGCTGACGGGTTCGGGTTCGGGTGATGCGATTGGTGCTTTCTGCTTGCGCTCAAGCTCTCCGCAGCGAGCGATCAGGACGGGCTCCAGAGGCTTGTCGTCCTTGTCCACCTGGACTTTGGCCATGCGAGCAAGTGTGTCTTCTCCACCGACCAGACGCCCAAAGATGGTGTGTTTGTTGTTCAGATGCGGGCACGAGTCGAGAGTGACGAAGAACCTAAAGAATTGGTTACTGCTTGTTAGCAAGAAGGGGTTGGGTGTGCTTACTGACTGCTGTTGGTGGCCTTTCCACGATTGGCCATGCACACCAACCCAGCAGCGTCCATGTCACGCCATCCCAAGTTCTCATCCTCAAAGTCTCCACCGTAGATACTGTCACCTCCAGTTCCGTCGCCGCGGGTTATGTCTCCGCCTTGTACCATGAACTCATCAATGATACGGTGGAACGGACTGAGTGCATAGTTGAGATTCAAGTGCGATCCTGCGCATAGAGCACGGAAGCTGTCATGGAATCAGCACAAACGTACACAGAGAGAGAAGATTGAGAGGATTACCTACTTCTCACATGTCTTTGGAGTCTTGTCAGCAAACAGCTCGATGGTCAATCGTCCTGCTGGTTCGTTTCCGATGCTGATCTCCAAGAATACGCGGGGACGATGCGGCGCCGCCATGATGTTGATTTGAGTTGTGCTGACGGACGACGGCGGTCTACTGCAGCTCGAATGGTCACAGCATCGTGTTAGCCCTGCCAGCTCTGCAATTTGGTTGCTCCACCTTCCCCCGCAATCAATCCGCCAAGCTTTTCTGTATAACTCAGCAGGAAGGCATCACCTCGGACGGACATCTTTCGCGCTTGTTGTGCGGTGCTCTTTCCTCCTCCCTTGAGTCAATCCCCCTCGGAATGAGAAGCAGCTCATCGTACCGCTGTAGCCCTGGATCATGGTCTCGAAGGTTCAAGAGTCATGGTCAACTCTATCCCGCCATACCTGCTGGTGCTATTATCTCTTTCGATCTGCCGACTCGAGGTCTGCTTAGGGCAATCCCGATACACCGACGCTTTGCTCATTTCTGCAAACATCCCGTCCGCAACTTCCAGATCATGTGGTGATGTCTTACCGCTGCTTTCATACTAGAACCGTTGCTCAAAACCGCAATCGCATCATCTCATACAGGTGCAGTCTCCAAGTGCCGGACAATCGTCGAGAAGTCAATCGGCGTCTTGTTATCTCGGTTACAGATTTGCCTTTGCTGTCATTCTGTCTTTCGCGTCCTGCCGCCGACTGTCCAATTCGTCGAACTTTCTGCCGTTGCTTCTAGCTCCTTGGCCCTCGCTAAAAACAGGTGCCATCTTGTGTGGTCGGTATGTCTCTTTGATCATACCCAAGAAAACTCCACGATGCGCTAGCTATACATCTTGATCCAGCTTGTGTCAAAATGAGATCCATGATCCATGGCTTGCGAAGTGACGAATGAGATCGACGTCTGATCTACCCGTTGATAAAATAGCACGTCAAATAGCAAGCATAGGAAGATCCGATTGTCTGGATCCTTCTTACCGTTTGGCCGGCAACGCTCTACAGCGGTTGTGGCCGGACCCTCGGCTTCAACCTGCTTTTCAAAATCGCTTCTTCGCTCCCAAATCGTCCACCGGACATCTGAGATGCCGCTTCTCACCCACGCCTCATCTTGTATCCACACGCCTCGTTCCGGATCTCGTCCCACACAGACGAGATGATTCCTTCTAGTGCCCAATCAGGGACCTCAAGGCAACCGACACCCTGGTGCTCGGGAGTTGACATCTGTTTCAGCGGCTTCGCATTCGCAACTGCTCCACGTGCAAAGCCGAAGTCGATGCCTCGATATCGATTCAATCCTTAAGATGTATGAGTTCGTCTATCATGGCCACGTGGATACTTCCCACTCATTGGGTAGCACCGAGATGATGTTTCTGTACGGCGAGTCATTTTTGACAGACGTCCGTCTACTTTTGCTTCTAGAAGAGTTGAGCTGACAGATCTCGTCTTTCCAAACGGGCAATGGCCAACCGTTTCAGCTTCAAAGCCAACTAGATTATCGCTTAATTGACTCGCGGCTATTGTTAGTGCTCGACTACCTTACTGAGACCTTTTGTACCGCCGTTGGTCAGCGTCATAATTTTCCGCTTTGACTATAGCTCAAGCCTTCGCATCGCTATCTTTACCCTCCTATCTCGAATTTGTCCTTCTTCTCGTTGCACCACCTCTCTGCATCGTGGAGAAGTGTTGGGCTGTTGTCGTCCATCGAAGTCAATAACAGCACTTGTCGAAGCCCTACTTTGAGCCCTCGCTGGGGTAGACTACCATGGCTCTCGATGCTATCTTGAAAGAAGTCTGGGTGAGCATCGACTTGAGACTTGTTCATGTATGAGCTGGACTGACAGAGCTCTAGGCTTTATACGCCATAGCTACATTCATCATTTTGGCTCGTTATGCAGTGCGTCTACGGACTGTCGGTATCAAGGGTCTTTACTGGGATGATTTGCTCTGTTTCGGTGTATTGATCTTCAATACATCAGACGCTGTTCTCGTTCATATTGTCCACTATACTGGCGAAAGCTCAGAGGTCAATGCGAAATGGCTAGAAACTGCTACGCAAGCAGACATCGACCGCGTAACATATGGGTCCAAGCTGGAATATGCTGCATGGTGTAGCTACCCTGCGCTGATCTGGTGCATGAAGTTCACCATGTTGTTCTTCTACAAGCGTCTCACTCTTGGATCGTTCCACAACAGGCTCATTAGATATCTGTTCTGGTTCACCGGTGTCTGCTACATTATTGTCTGGTTTGTGCTCATTTTCGGCTGCTTCCCGTAAGTCTCTCCGATCTCAGTAACCTGAACGTCATGTCTGACCTCGAACAGCACCCAGATGAACTGGCAAGTGACACCACAGCCTCCGTGGAAGTGCGCTTTCCGACCTCAAAACTTCCTTGCTGTTGCCATCCCTAATATCTTGACCGACGCCGCTATCCTTATGGTCCCAATTCCCATGCTTTGGCAGCTGAAGATGCCTTTGAAGAAGAAGATCACCATCGGAGCTGTCTTGTCGTCAGGATTGTTCGTCATTGCCGCCGCGATCATTCGTGTCGTTCTCTCCCTGGACGCAGCACCATCTGCTGCTAATATCAACGGCTGGGGCGTGCGAGAAACCTTCATTGGTATCTTCACCATCAACATACCTATTCTCCGTCCAGTCTTCAGCAGAGCCTTCTGGCTGCCAGGCCCCTATGATCCGAACGCTCCCGGCAGGGGATCGGGATACGCTGGTCACAACCTACACTCAACCCCAAACAAGTCCTTCAAGGGCACGAAGCTCGGCAGCGAGATTGACAAGTTAGCCGGAGCCAACGAATACGAACTTCACTCCAGGACCCCAGTGTCAGACAACTTCGATCTTGAAAGCAATGCATCAACAGAAAAGATGGTTCACACAAGGAGTAATCGTAGTCAAGACTACAGATACGACGTAGAAGATGGCGTCCGGGTAGAGACTTCGTACGCTATCCGCACGACACATCGCGATGAGGAGACAGGATCGATGGGCGGTACTTGGAATCACATTGGCTTGCCGAAATGAGGTCGATGAACATGCCTCTGTTTATGCTTGGGCCAAAAAGTTTCTACGTAATAATCGCTTTGTCTTCGGACTGACCCCACCTAAAGACATGATATCCGGGGTCATGCAGCACGAATCTCATTTAATCTTTTCTCTTACTTCTGATAAGCCTCTGTTTTCGGTGCGGTCGTCACTATGCTCTACTGACGCGGGTCCTACCATATATCCTCGTCGTGTGCAAGATACTGTCACACCCTCTCTCTCCCTAATGATCAAAGCAGGCAACGACGAGCTGTAGAAAGGCACAGTCATATCTCATGTTAGAGAACCTAGTGCAGGGAGTCGATGACACGAAGTAACTCGATGACGTCGTTGCAAGTCGAGAAACTATTGTGCTTTGAGGCAGCTCTAAGGGTGACAGTATCTCGCACACAGGGAGGATGGAATGTTCGTGCAAAGTCATGTTCGTGCAAGACCGCCAATGCTCGACCATAACGCTCGAGGAGAAGTTGAGAATCAGTGTCTAACAAGACTTGTTTGGAACACCTTGATGACCCTCACACCGACGTCATCATCATGAGCTCCATTTTCCAGCAACAACTCACAACGCCTTTTCTTGAGGGCACCTTCTCTGAGCTTCTGTGAACACGATTGCATTCAATGACGTTAGCCTCTCGTTCTACTGTGCTCCTTCGTCCTGCCTTGACGTCTTTTCCTGCAAGAACATCTCACATCTCCAAAGCGACCTTCATAACCTCAAACCACCACTTCACCTACTCTTCAAACAGCTCCATTAACCAGAAGAACTCTTTCCAACCCAAACGCGCAACCTTCACACAGTCGATTAGAAAAATGTCGCAAAAGTCAATGACTTCAAGGATCGCCATTCTGGGATCTGGTGAAGTCGGGTCTACGATTGCTTATTCGTTGATCTTGAACCCTGTGGCTGGCGAGATCCTTCTTGTCGATCCCAAGGAGGAGGTGCGTGATGCTCAGGTTCAGGACTTGTCGGATGCTACGTTCCATGGTGATACTACTACGCAAGTACGTGCTGGTACGCACAAGGAAGCCGGACAATGCGACATCATCGTCATCACCGCTGGAGCAGCACAGAAGAAGGGTAAGTCCGAGCATGAAGTGTCGAGGGTCTGAGAGCTGCATACTGATAATGTGACAGGAGAGAGCCGTACCGATCTCGTTGGTCGCAACCTCAAGATTCTGGGATCAGCAATTGAGGATATGAAGCCCTTCCGCAAGGACAGTATTATTGTCCTCGTCTCCAACCCCGTCGATATCTTGACCTACTTTGCGCAAAAGATGTCTGGACTTCCCAAGGATCAAGTCATTGGCAGTGGTACATTCCTCGACAGCGCCCGTCTACGTGGTATCCTTGCGCAAAAGTGTGGTGTCGCAGCTAGCTCCATCGAAGCCTATGTACTAGGCGAGCATGGTGATTCACAGATGGTAAGTCCTGCTCCCATTCGCAAACTTCACACTTATTGACACAATCACAGGTCGCATGGTCCCATGCCTCCGTCGGCGGCGTACCCCTCGAACTCGCCCTCCCAGACACCTCCATCAACAAATCCGCCATTGCAGAAGAAACCAAGAAAAAGGCCGCCGCCATCATGGAAAACAAAGGTGCTACAGCGTACGGTATCGGTGGTGTCACCGCGTCCATTTGCAAGTCTATTCTCTTTGACGAGGGCAGTGTCAGACCCCTCAGTCATTATCAAGATGACATGAAGGTGTGCTTGTCCATGCCGGTTGTGCTGGGTAGAAAGGGTGTTGTGAGACAGATCCCTATGAAATTGAGTGAGAGTGAGAAGAATGAGGTTGAGGAGAGCGCGAAAAGCTTGAGGGAGATTATTGAGGATGTGGAGAAGGAGCAGGAGAAGGAGTAAATTATTCATACGAGGAAGGGCATGTTAGCCATTGGGTGGTTGCTACGAACATACGCCAGATACGAAAGCTATACGTAATGTATCAACATTGAAGCCAAAGTAACATTTCAAAGGTGTACGAAGACTACGAGCAGATCGCCACCTCTATCTGAGTAAACCGACACTTTCAATGACCCTTGCCTTTGTCCAAGGTCACTAGTCACGGAACACATGTGAACAAGGAGGAGACACCAACCTCCATACCGACTCTCCCAACCACAGCACAAGAAGGATCACGATATACCGTCCTCTCCAACTCTCCCATTTCGTGATCTCCAAATACATGAAAGATTACGTGTTGATGCAACTTACCAGCCTGTCTTTCCTTTTTGATCATCTCCCACACATCTCTAGTACCCCCTTGAGACCTTATTGGAAAGTAGTGCAAAATGTCAATCTCAGATACTGGTGTGGCGAGAGAGCAGAACAGTCAAGGAGAGCAAGGGGTAAGGGACGTGCTGTCTTTCTCTGCTTGCCTCTGGCCATCCAGTTACGAAACAATCCATCATCTGGGTGAACTAAATTAAAACCAGGATCTGTATACGGCATTGCTTCCCTGACAGAGCTGCAAATTGGCAATCTAGCATTGGAGTTAAAGGCAGGGATAGCTTGGGACGAACAACGAATTGCTCACGTCCATCTGCACAGAAGATCCGGGATGCTGCTTTTGTAGTTGCTGCTCGCTGTATGGTCGCCTGGTGATAGTCCACTCTGAAGTTTCCTATTGTTATGTGAGATTTATTATCCACAAAGTGAATCTGAAAGCATGCTTTGGCCAGATTCAAATGTCAGAATGACTACTTACTCCAATGACTTGCTACTTCTGTGCATAGTATCAAGTAAATCAAGATCCTGTCAACATAGCCTCCCCGTATGCAGAATACTGTCATATCTACTTTTCCTCCATCGTCAAAGCGAGAGTAACGACGAGGTGTAGAAAGGCACAGTCATATCTTCGTAGCAATGAACCTCGCGCAGGGAGTCGAGTGACTTCAAGTATCTCGATCACAGTGCTGCAAGTTGAGAAAGTATCGTGCCTTGAGACAGCTCCCATGTGACAGTTTTCTGCATACGGGGAGGAGGCGATGTCTATCCCGCGGTATAAGGTATGTGCAAGACGTGATGATGCAATATCAGCATGTTGATGTCATGGTCGATAAACAGCAGACAGAACGCAGAGGCATGAAGATGCCTCGTCGAACACAAAAGGAACAAAGGCAACATGGATTCATGAAGTGCAGTCACCATCCTTGGAGTGCCGGGAAAGAGAGTGCTTGCCAGATATGCTCATTGATTGGGCTTCTTACCTGTGAAAGCACAGATATGCTATCTCGAAAGTACAGCGCACTAACCTCTACCCACGAGATAGAGGAAGTGTTGAACAGCCGACTCATGCATCGCTCGTTGTTCATGTGAAAGACAACACAGATAACAATAGCGATCAGGAGTCGACCCGGCGTTTGCTTATTTTGCATCATTATCGCCTTGAGAAACGACACAGAGAGCTGCAAGAGTCTGATGACGTTCAAGGATAGTAGAAGTCAGACCGATCAGGTTGCCTGGTTGAGATAGTGAGTGTGTATTTCGGTGAGCAACCCCAGCCTACTAGCTCTTGAATGGGGAAGCGCTGATAAACCGTCTTGCATGTAGGTTGGAGAGCAGTCAACGGTAGATGTACATGAGCTGGCTGTACGATAAGAGTGGCACATGGAGGGTTGCATCTCGTTGAAAGGATCGATGACCAATACAAGAATCGTATGTCGGACGTGGGTCAATCTGGCAATGATTGTTGGGCAGGTTGCATGATCAGTCATTGGTATTTTGTGCGTTGAACTCTTGTTGCATGACACAAAGTCTTGGGAAGGACCATGGACATGGATAGCAGCGGCGGGTGGAACACAAGGCAGCTCGATAGCAACGGTGGTCATTGGCTCGCAACCACTACTGCTTTTGGAATAAGACTTGGTTTCAAAAGTCCCGGGAGTAACCGCGTAGACCCTCGATATCCGGGAACAGGTGGATCAACACAACACAGGGCTGAATCGCGCACCAACATGACGACGAGGAGGAGAGCAGAAAGCAAAAGAGACGTAGGTCTGCATGAGACGCGCCAGAGGGGGCAGGTCAAGACAGACGTCAAGCGCGTGAGTGCGGTCATCAACGGGCATCTGCTGGGAAAGAAAGTATGAGGTGACACGCCCTTTGTTCAACTGACGCTAGCCTCCGCACGAGATGCAAAGCTTGGCAGGTCAGCACCACCAAATTTGACCAGATCTCAGACAGAGTTGGCAATTAGATTTGGAACAGGACGCGGTGACATGGGAAGCAGGCTAAAGTTGGATGAAGGAAACAGATGTTCATCCCTTGATCGGCTGGGATGTCGAGAATTGGAAGAAGCAAACAGAGATGGACAGCATCTGGAGGGTTCCATGGGAGTTGTCTTTACGTGTTTGCAACGATGGACCTCGGGATTAGCGCGCGGGCTTTCGGGTACGGCTTTCTAGAAGTGGTGAATAGATCGGCAAGAAAGGCCGGGTGTTTCGCGTGCCATCCATAAAGTCAAAAAGGTCGGTGGCAAAATTGGCCAGCTGTCTGTGGAATGTGACTGCTTCAGGGTCCTTTGTGAAATGAGTTGGTCGCTGATGGATGATTTGTGATGATAAGAACAACGGAGGAATTAGATAGTGATACAAGCAGGACGATGCAGGTACAGCAGGGATTGTGCAGCAGTACAGAAATCCCAATGGAGTGGCAAGGTGATGCAATCCAGCGAATGAATTGGTTGGGGGGCAGCCCAACAGTCGAGCTTCGGACGGTGAATTCTGGCCAGAGGCAGTCGTAGGTTTCCCCCACAGTATTTGCCTCGTCTATCAGGCCATGGCACATTTGACCCGAGCTCGCGTTGGTTCAAAAACTTGAGCCCGCCAGCACAGTTTCCTTCCTCTCTTCCAGCGCCCTCCACTAACACCAATCCTACCCCTCGACACTCATTTGTTCGAAGGAGGCTCTCGCATCTACTGCACTTGTAACTTGTGCAATATGCCTTCCCACCAGCCCGCCGCCGGCATGATGGCTGTCGACCCTGCCTACGTGTCGCAGCCTTCGCCCATGGCTTCCAAGGACGAGCCCAACCGTAGCAAGTCCTACGACCCCAAGAAGTCAGTCCTCGATCCCTGCAACCGTCAATTGACTAGACACTAACCATCTCTCAGGCCTCACATCACCGACACGCCTTTGACCAAGGCCAACTGGTATAAGCACGTCAACTGGCTGAATGTCTTCCTCATTGGTGGCATTCCCCTCATGGGTCTGATCCAGGCTTTCTGGACCCCTCTCCGTCTTTACACGGCCATCTGGGCAATTGCCTACTACTTCGCAACCGGTCTCGGTATCACCGCTGGCTACCATCGTCTCTGGGCCCACACTTCGTACCAGGCCACCACTCCTCTCAAGATCTTCCTCGCCGCTGTTGGTGGCGGTGCCGTTGAGGGTTCCATCAGATGGTGGGCCCGCGACCACCGCGCTCACCACCGTTACACCGACACCGACAAGGACCCTTACTCGGTTCGTAAGGGTCTTCTCTACTCCCATCTCGGCTGGATGATCATGAAGCAGAACCCCAAGAGAATCGGCCGTACCGACATCTCCGACCTCAACGACGATCCCGTTGTCGTCTGGCAGCACAAGAACTATCTTAAGGTCGTCTTCGGCATGGGTCTCATCTTCCCCACTCTCGTTGCCGGTCTCGGCTGGGGTGACTGGCTCGGTGGCTTCATCTACGCTGGTATCCTCCGTATCTTCTTCGTCCAGCAGGCCACCTTCTGTGTCAACTCCCTTGCCCACTGGCTCGGTGACCAGCCTTTCGATGACCGTAACTCCCCTCGTGATCACGTCATCACTGCCATCGTCACTCTCGGTGAGGGTTACCACAACTTCCACCACGAGTTCCCCTCCGACTACCGCAACGCTATCGAATGGCACCAGTACGACCCTACCAAGTGGTCCATCTGGACTTGGAAGCAGCTCGGTCTCGCTTACGACCTCAAGCAGTTCCGTTCCAACGAGATTGAGAAGGGTCGCGTCCAGCAGCTCCAGAAGAAGATTGACCGCAGGCGTGCTGAGCTCGACTGGGGAACTCCTCTTGAGACCCTCCCTGTCATGGAGTGGGATGACTACGTTGAGCAGTGCAAGAACGGTCGTCAACTCATCTCTGTCGCTGGTATCGTCCACGACTTGGGCGAGTCTAACTTCGTCAACGACCACCCTGGTGGTAAGGCCATGATCCGCTCTGGTATTGGCAAGGATGCCACCGCCATGTTCAACGGTGGTGTCTACTTCCACTCTAACGCTGCCCACAACCTTCTCTCGACCATGAGAGTCGGTGTCATCCGTGGTGGTATGGAGGTCGAGATCTGGAAGAAGGCTCAGCAGGAGAACAAGGACGCATACATCGCCAAGGACTCCAACGGCTCTCGTGTCGTCCGCGCTGGCTTCCAGCCCACCAAGGTCTTCGAGCCTTCCGCCACCGCTGGCGCTGCATGAAGAGATACCCCGTCGAGGCCCACTGCTTAGACCATTTTGTTTACGTCCTTCCCATTCCTCGCCCTTTCAGCGATCATCATTGTACATTCGGTAGCAATTGCGTCTCACCTCCACGGCTTCTAGTTTGAGCTCATTACGATCGCTATAGACGCGTCTTGTTGCACACTTAGATATGACTCTACCTAGTAAGCACCTACGCCCGACCATGGGTCGTCTATCTTAGATAGACATAATGTCATTTACGTCTCAATTCATTTCATCCCATTTTTCAGTGACCACTTCTACGAGCATGTCTTATTCTAACGATAGCCACCTCAAACTCTCCGTCGGTAAGCGCTCTCAGCTATTACGACTCTCACCATGAGGACACTTGTATCTCTACAGATATTGCATTACGAGATGAGGCTCACCAGAGCACCGACCTCGATCTCAACATCGAGTTGATGACGAAAGCCAAAACGACTGAGCATCGTAAAGGAAAGTCTCGACCCAACTGTTTGCTCCTACCAAAGCCAACTGTTCTTTGAAAGAAGACAACAGCGAAAGGAAACACGCAAACATCTCATCAAAGTGTTCAACAAACTGCTGTCAAATACATCTGGCAACAAGCCACAAATGACAGATATTGACCACGTGCCTGGGCTGCCTGAAGTTCGCCCATCTCGCATGAGATCTTCTATTCCCCGGTGTCCACCTCCACAACCTTATCGGATGAGCTTGTGTTTTTCTTCGAAATTCTCCGACTTTTTCTTCTTTTTTTTCTCTCCTTTTATTTCTCTCTCACCGCCTGAATAGCATGAAAATGTCATGTTATCCGATATTGCGATATTGCTGTTTTGGCCGTTCTTCTCATCGGAAAGAGTAGGAAATGCACTTTGTAATTTCCCAATTTCTTCACCGCTGGATGCTCACGTGGAGAGGATGTCTTAATTTCATCTTGGGGGTCAAACACCGGTGTGGAGGTTCTTTTTTTTTTGGTGGTTGGACCTCGGTACCACTTTTTCTCATTGCAACGCCAGGCTTGATGGGTTCGCTCCTCACGACTGTCGTTGAGTCTTCGCCTGCGTATGTCTGTCTATGAGTCAAAGGCATATGGGTTGATGGCTCATGTATGAATAGCGATCCTCCTTATTGATGTCGAGATTGACCCGTGCCTCCATCATGGACATAGGTTAGAAGTAAGGTAAGCAGTATATCTTTGGTGATGCTACAGAAAGACATCTCGATGGTATCGTTTTAGCAAGTGTTTTAAGCACATACAGCCTTCAACAAGGGTTTCCTTCTCTACAAGCCATCGAAAGCTCTCTCACAGAGCACGTCGCGAATGCCGAGTCATTGGATGTTGGGCGGCCCCTTTCTTGCTTCGAAGAAATTACCTCGATGTACCTGACGACGTATGCCCGGTCAATACACGTCATGTTCTTTACGTGGTGCTCGCCGATATAAGATGGCTGGCAGGGAGCTTGCATGAAGTCATGATATTGCCTTGTTCTCGAGGTCGTGAGACGGAGTGGTAAGTCAGTTCGTGGACCTGAGATGTTTGGCGAGCGGCACCGTCCTCAGATTCTCATCAAAGACAATCTTGTTATGTGCGAAATAGTCTTTTCGATGCAGTGCAGTGTTGAAGAGGGAGCGACTCACCTGGGTCACTCTCCAAGAGCCCAACTATCTTGGAGCAGTCTCTCTGGATCCCTTGGAACTACCCACTCTGTTTTGACGACCTTGCCTTCCATGGGCTTTGTTCCCATCACGATATGATACAATGTCTCGTGAACCATCATGTTCACTTTTCCTGGGTAGGGGAGGTGAGTGGTATATTATCAGAAGATGATGAAATGCATATAACCACTCTTTCGATCAACAAGTCTCGAACGCAGCGTCTCTTGACACAAGGTTCTAGAAAATGAGTCGTATACTGCGTTCTCGCAGCACAACCTTGCAACTAATATCATATCGAGAGGGCATCTTTTGTAATAACATGACTGGGCACTTTCCGAGAGAGTTTTTGGCACTCCACCCGATGATCCCCTGCATATGTGTATACATATTCACAAGGTATGACAAGTTGTTTTCTGTTGAGATCTCTCATAATCGTGCTTGGTGATGAGAACGAGAAAGCCGAAAGTTGACACTCCATGAATTACACTAGCACGGAACTTTTCCGCGTTGCTTACAACAAGCATATATCCCAATGTGGTAAATATCCCTCCGTGGACACGACGAGGTCTTTTCATGCACTGGTATATATATCATCGCATCGCCAGAGAACAAAATCATTCTAACAAGTATATCGGTCCTTTCTCTCGGATACTCAAGCAGTCTCCATCGCTCTTTCACATCATCTTTGAATTTGACCATCATGACACTTTACGACAAGATTGCCATTATTGGACATAATGGATGGGCTGCACAAGCAATTGTGAAGGCTCTAGCAGCTCAAGCATTTGAACAACCTATCAGAATCATTGCTCGTGAGCAGTCTAGTATCGATACTCTTCCTAACAACGTCGAAGTTGTACGTTACTCGTGGGATAATCCCTCTTCCATCACATCTGCATTGGACGGTGTCGACATTCTTCTGTAAGTACAACAGAAGGTAATCATTCCACTACGATCTAGATGACTGACCTTTCACAGCTCATTTATTGGTCATGCAGGCCTCAAAGATCAGGAAAAGATGGTGCCATATATGCGTGATGCAGGTGTAAAGCTTTTTGCACCTTCAGATCTTGCACTGCCTTATACGGCTGAAGAGAGGGAACATGTTACTGTCCCTCGCGAGAAAGAAGAGCTCGAGCATAAGTTACATGCTGCAGGTGTGCCGTTCGTCACTATCGTGATTGGTAACTTTACTTCTTTTGCTCTGGATTCGCCGTAAGTTTTGACATCTGGAGCTTCTAAAGCTGTAATTCCTGCTTCCAAGGCTAACTTCTATGTAACAGTTACATGGGTATCGATCTTGTCAATAACCGTATCTTGCATACTGGAGAAAGCAGAACTAATCCTGTATATCTATGGTATGTCCCGATATCGAAACTTCGAGATCAACAACCAGCTAACACACCACCATAGTTCTCGTGACTACGTCGCCGCAGGCTATGCCTCCATCTTCACCCAATCCACCATCCCCTTCCTCTCCGACCGCACAATAGGCCTCAACGAACTCCACCCAACAACCGCAGACATAGAAGCGGCCATGCACAAAAAGTCCGGCGTGCCACCGAGTACCGCATTCGACAGCCTCAAAAACGCTGCTGAATTGGCAAAGCAAGACAGATTAGACGCTTTGGTACGTAAGAAGATGGGCGATGGTACCCATAATGTTGGTAATGACATTTGGGAAGTTGAGGGATATGAGAAGAAGACACTGGAGGATTTCATCATTGGGGATGCGCTTGACGACCCACCGTATATTAGGGGTGATGAGCAGACTCGTCGTTTCTTGGATGAGTACTTTGATTAGATCTATTTCTATGGTATGAGTCCAGGTTAGTGTATAGCAATCTACCGAATGGCAATCCGAAACATGACACCTTTCAGGTCGTATATGAGCCCAGAACCGTCAACACAAAACTGTACAGAGTCAAAGTTGCGTCCATGTAGTTCGAAATGGTAGTATAAGGACTAGCACCAATTACCGCAGTACATAGTTTTCCCACTGTTTTCAGATGGCTGATTTCTTCGCATACAAGCAAATTGTGCTTTCGGAGCAGCACCCTAGCTGACACCAAGCACCATTGATATGCTCCCGTCAGCTGGTCACCTTTTTGACTTACTGTCGATTCTGTACCTTGGCTCAATTATCGCGGCATATGAGCTGGAGCTTGGAGTCGGATTCAGTCTCGAAATTATATTGTGGGTATGACTTCTAACTATAAAGACACGAAGCAGACTATTGATACAGTGCGAACGGTGTCGCAAGCATACAATTTGCGAATGGTTCGGTTCACGACGTAGCAAAGATTGGAGGGGGGGAGCCTCCTACAAAGAGACCACACGCTTGTTGTCTATGCCCGAAAGGCCACAGTTCTCGGCTACTCTGCGAACAAGTCCACAACCATGGTTGGCTCCGTACAAAGACTCGGACCTAACACACGACATATCCCGGTTTCTGTCCTCGCTCTGGCCATGGAGCTCACCTCCACGTCCACCAAACGCACAAGCTCAAGCTCTTCTGTACATGCTCAAAGCTCTGGAAGCAGCAATAGAGACATATCTCGAAGAATCCGTTCGGCATATCAAAATCACAAACCCCGTACTTATCGAATATCCACGCTTCTACAATCACACGATAACTTTAGCCAGCTCAGCCCCCGGAATGATACTAGGCAAGTACAATCTTCTTGCAGCTGAAGCCGCGGCAACAGCCTACGATATCAGAGGGAGTTGCAACATGCATGACTACGTCCCCTCTGGAGCAGAAGACAAATCATCACCTTTATTCGTGGCTGTAAGCCATGACCGCGCTGCACTCACCGCTGTCCTGATGGTCGAAGATTGCGACATCTACGAAGATCTTCGCACCTTCCATAATACCACACTTGGCAGCGATAATAGTATCAGTGCGGAAGAACAATATACCATGATGAGAAGCGGTCTAGAAGCGGTCATGAAACCACCTTATCCAAAGAGCATGTACACGTCCACGAAAATCTGGGATGTCATTCTCCTCGGCGAGTCGACGGATGATCCAGTATTGCATTCTGTACTTGAGGATGTCCTGGCATACGCGCTTATTGACCATAAATTTGCTATTGAGATCAAAGACGCAAAGGCAGTCAGTCCTCTGTTTGCTGCTGCTCGTGGTGCAGCTAAAGGATGTTTAGGCTAGGAGATTGAGTAAGACATATGTTGGCTTGTTTGGTGAGCGGATGATACGAACGAGCGTCTATAAGAGAGAGGCAGTTGGGAAGTGGACATTGGAGGGATATCAGACGGATGTGGGTGGTGATGGACAAAGCAAGCGGTGCTCATCTCAACGTCAAGCTCCTCGCAGACATAGATGTTCGGATACCAGAGACCTTGGATTCATACAGCCGCAAGTCCACCAAGCTCTTGTCAGCGAGAGGACACGGTGTTCGGCGAGCCAAGTAAGCACGGTCTTGTCAGTGACATTCGTGTAAGGACGATGCGAGATTCAGGGAATATCTTAGCACTCGAAATACGGAAATGAAGAGAGTAGTGGGTGGTCAAGATGTGATTCGGATCGGACCTAAGGACAGATATATCCTTCCTATATAGCAGCAGTACCCTCAGTCCTGAACTCAGGCATGAACTGGTTCACAAAAGCATCAGCTTCATTCGTCACGCCATCCACATCCATCTTTGCCAAAACCTCATTCATAGCCTCCACCACGTCTCTCTCCTCAAGAACCTCGTGCATAATGTCTCCTTCTTGTCTCCAGTAGTCGCTGACCCTGTTTCTGAAACCAGCTTCCCTCATGACGACATTTCTGACAGCAGACAGAGAGCGGAACTTTGCAAGAGACTTTTCGAAAGCCTTTGTTTGAGCTTCAAGGATAAGGGCGGGCGAGGGTGGAATGACAAAGGCGCGGTTTGTGGCGGAAGCCCAAATGGCGAGGCCGAGGACTGCATCTACGACACAAATGGAGAGATGTGACACCAAGTAGCGTGTCCAGAAAAAGTTCTCGACCTCGCCGAAAGTAGCAGCACGAGCATTACGCTGGTGCTCGTATGTAGCGACAGAAGAAACATCTGCGATCATGACGGCAATGGCGGATAGAATGGCAGCGGTTCTCCAGCGTGCGGCGGATGATCCTCCGATGATGGTAGAGGTAGCGAGGCCGAGGAAGAGCAGGTGCATGAGATGTGTCTTGAGCAGCGAAGGCAGAGCGCAAATCAGGTAGTTTGTGCCGACATCATGAGCTTTTGGGTCATCGACCAAAGGGCAATTACACAGGACTTCAGGGCCGAAACGGAGGTATTGTAATCTTGCTTCCAGTCCTCCTGTCGAAAAGACATTGCGTAGTGCCTCGTCCTGAGGTGTCAGAGCCGACAGTCTGTTGAAGAGAACATTCGTCGGTGTTTGTAGTCGCGAACCAGTCTTGCTGAAGATGTTGTTCGGCGTGAAATACGGAAGGGTGAAGATCAGCGAGACGACAGCGCTCGCGAAGATGAGGTTCAGGGCGCGAGACGCTTCGGGCGACACGGGCACTCGTTGTGCATTTGTGGGCGCGCGAAGACTACGGTAGAATGCTATGACTCGAGGAAGGAGCATGGGTCCAAAGAAGAGGAGAGCCGACTGGATGCTGTATGACAGTTGTTAGCTTGATCATCTCCCTATGCAGCTGTTGATGCAACGTACGTGCTCCAGGACACCATGGTGGCTATTGTGCCTTGTCGATATCGCAATGAGCGCGTATGAGATCACACTGGAAGGTTGACAGCGGTCAGCGCGTAAAAACAAGACGTAGCTGGTCAGTCGTGAAATGTACAATGATGGTGGAATTGGGAAGCTGCCGTCCAAACGCCGGCCTCTTCTCCGCACCTGTCGTCGTTGAACACTTTCCACCTTCGAGGTCCATTTCTTTGTCCAACTGACCTTCAGCACCTTGATTTGCTTATAATCAATTGTTTTCTAATTGATAAAACCATGGCTGTCTCTGTCTACTTTGAAGCCTATGTTTTGTGTCGCGTGTGCGGGGCGAGCCATGCATTAGGGATGTCTTACCAACCAGGGGAAGACTGAACTAAGGCACATAGCGGGACGAGATACAGAAGAGCTTTGCGACAGCATCTCTAAAGATATTGATCCACTCAGAGGAGAGGAAGATGGGTATCGTTATATTTGGTCATCTCTCAAAGCTATGTCCTGCTGGACCCGACTGCAAGCAGAAGCTCCCCAAATACGCTGGTCAATTCTCTAGTCCCAGCCTGGTGAGCCAGTAGCCCAACCGGCCTCATCATACTCATAGTCGAACTCGCTGGGGCTGTCGCAGTCCTCGGCTCTGTCTTGCACAGGCAGTCCGTGTTCTACATGATCAAATACCACCTCCTCACCATGGTACATAAAAGAACCTTCCGTCGGACGACGCCATTCGGGGAGTACCGTGAACATCGAGTAGCCCCATTCCGGAAGGCCAGCCAAGGGTGCAACTCCTTGTATGAGATGTCTGCGACGAGGCCAGTGGAACTTCTTGTTCATCTCGAAAAGTGTGGTGTACATGCTGCAGTCGGCACGAGTGTCGAACACACGGTCTTGTTCCTCCTGGATGTCGAGCAAAGCAAATTCCTCCTGGAAGATGTTTTCCACAAAAATCTGGAACCACATGTCTCGCTCTTGGTCAGGACCACGGTCAACAATAGTCATGTCAATCTCGGACCATATGCCCATCCGCTTGAGGCTGAGGAGTTCCGATGTGCAGTCAGCGATACCAGAGAACGGGTCTATGGATAGTCAGAAAGGATCTTTCAAGCGGTTAGCTTACGGATGGAGAAAGACTTACTGAATTTTGGCAGCTTGAACCTCGCTCCGAACTTGAAGACGACATAAGGCATTTTGGCCAAGACTACTTTCGAGAGTTTCAACCACTCTGACAGGGGGGGTAGAGTTGGCTCGTCTTCTTCATCCATGTCTTCCTCGGGTCCAGAACGCGTGAATTCGGGAAACCCGTAAATGATCCATAGAGTGGCTGTGCGGAGACACAGAGGCCAGTATTCTTCTCGGATCAGCTTGTTGATCTCGAGCAATCTTGGGTAGTGCATCTCATCGATGTAAACGTCTTCAACTTCGAGTCCCTTGGGTGAAGTGAATGTGACTCGATTCTTGTCGTTGTCCATGAGCTCCTCGTAAACCATCATGCGTAGTTCTTTCGGTAGATCGAGGAAGCGGAATGGCTGCTGTGCGCCTGCCATCATGGGAGCGTCCGTACTGGGAACGCGGTCATGGATCGTGGGAGTGTCTGGAACAGGATGATCGTCTTCCTTTGAGGGAGTGTCCAGACTTGAGGTAAGAACATTCGTGATAGAGACGTCCGAAAGCAATGATTCACCCTCCATGGTTGGAGCGTCTAGGTCTGAAGGATTGTTCTCCATGTATGAGTTGTACGATAGATGAAAAGTCCGAGGGAGACTCCGACGCGAAGGAAATGTGGTGCGGAAGGCACAAGTGACCGCTGGACAGTGAGCGTCGACAATAGAAGCGTCAGATCCGGCGCTCGCACGGACTTTTGCCGGTCGTCGTTGCCTTGGGAGTGATCTCTTCGGATTGATAGTGCTGCGGGCGAGTGAACACCGTACCTTTCTAACCGTCAGAATAGATCGTTTTCTGTGGGACAAAAGAGCGAGATGCACTTTGACAACACGATACTGGAGACAAGCGACCACAAATGATCAAAACGAAGAAAAACCAGTTAAACATATCTAGAGAGACTTTAGAAGTATTCTTTGCCAGCACCACCATTGGGACCATGAGGCGAGTTACGCTTGTACTCGGCCAACTCTTGCATATCCTTCTCCCACTGCGCATCGGCTGCATCACGTTCACGGCGGCCAGCACGTCTCGACTTGATGCAGCAGAAGATGAAGGCTACCAAAGCAATGGCGAAGACTGCTACCGAACCAGCGGCAATTGCAGCTTGTGCCCATTTGGGGAGAGCCTTGTAGTGTGCCTCAGCGCCATGGGGTTTGGAGAGGCGTTGAGCGACGGTGCTGTTGCCAGCTGCTATCTTGATGGACTCCCAGGAGCCGGTTTGATCGCCGTAAGTGTAGGTGCTGCCAGTGCTGTAGTCGGCTACGTAGACACGCTCCATAGTCATGGTGAAGGGCGTTTGATGGTAGTCCACAATACCTCCAGCCCATTCGATAGTGCCGTTGGAGTTCGAGTCTGGGTCACCTCCTGCCCAGATACCAATCTTGAGTTTCATAGGAGTCTGGGGGTAGTTCTCGCCATTGAGAGCATCTGCGTACTTCAGCGTACGCAGCACTTTGTCGTCGACGATCCATTGCAATTGCTCTTTCGTCCAGTCGAGGGTGTAGTTGTGGATGGTGCCTGTGACATCGTCGACATCGTAGTAGATGGCGCGATCGTATGAGGTCGTGTTGCCCTTGCCGAAGTAGTTTGTCTCGACGCTTGTGTTGTTTCCACCCAGCCACTCCCAATCAATCTCGTCAAGGTCGTCAGATTCGAGGACGACTGATGATACGATGCCGACACCTGGTGCGGCCTTCATTATGACGCTGACTTGTCCGAAGAACATGTAGAAGTTGGACTCGAGAGTCGGGCTGTCGCCTTTGCCGTTGATCTGCGTCTGGTCAGTGTCTAGATTCTGAATGCCTTGGTGCGAAACAAGCACATACTGTGAATTGAGCGCCAACATCGGTATAGTCTGGAGTACCACCAGTTGTGTTCCAGATCTTGGTATCTGCAATGACCGAGTCTGTAAAGTTCCAGTCATGCCATGTACCAAAGGCAGGGTTCGGTGTGCAAGTGGTGTTGAACAATGGGTTGCAGTCTGAGAAAGTCTGAGCCGAGACCTTTGAGACAGCGGTCGCGGCCAGCACGAATGCTGCTGTCTTCATAAAGCCTGCCATTTTATATAGTCCTGTAGGCTGAGATCGTGTCTGAGATCTGTCGTATAGCTGGGATGCTAAAGTCGTGGTCGTTCTGATATGATCGAGTCGAAAGAATGGACGCGTGCCTGTATTGCACGTCTGGTATAAGGAGTGGATGCTGGGCGAATGGCCTCAAGCAAGGGGTAGTTGAAGGAAAGGACGAATCACTGCTCACACGCAAGACAACAGAGAGGAGGGAGAGGATAAAGAGAAAAGTGATGTGCCCAACCTTCTTGAGACCTTCAATCTAAGCCTACCGTGCCATTAGATCCTTATCGACCACTTGCAATCGCCGTAGACGGGCGAGGGGCGTTTCAGAAGGCGGCCCCGACTGCTCAGGGGTTGTTCCTTGCATGTCCGGGAGTGGTGGAAAAGGTTAGTGGCATGCTCCCCGCATTCTTGGTGCTCGTGCAAAATCTGGTTGAAGAACCCCCCCCGAGTTTCACAGGCGCCTGTTTGCTTGTCGCAAGTCAAACTCCCTGATGATATAGTGTGACAACTATGAGATCACCACATATTGGCCAAGATGCTCAGGCCCTCATCCACTCGAGGCGCCGTCTCATCAGTTATCTGACTTGCGGTGCTGTTCAATAAATGTCGCGATGCGCTTTGGACAGCCGTGGGCATATCTACCCGGCTCGTACAGCATGGACCCAACCCAATTTGGACAGCTTCTTGGCGCTCGTCTCAGGAATTATGATCTGCTTCGATGCTTCTGACACGACTCGCAGTAACATTTTGGTCATGGTCAAGAACATTGAATGAGTGCTCGAGTTTGAACAGACGAATTTACGGCGATACTCATGTCTAGATGATTGATGATGAGAAACGATCTACACATATGACCGCGCACTTCTAATTCCTGGACATTATTTCACAATGATAGAGCTTGGTCTGGCTCGAGTCTTCCGCCTGCTGGCACGCACACCTTTGCCATGGCGAGCAATACACGTTGCAGGTACCAATGGCAAAGGCTCAATATGTGCCTACATATCTGCCATGCTTACAGCCTACAACGCCTCACAACTGCGGACTGAAACTGGAAAGTCGCCGATCAAGCACGGTCGCTTCACTTCACCACATCTGATAGATCGATGGGATTGTATCACAATCGATGAGAAGACCATCTCAGAGGCCATATTCAGGCAAGTCGAAACCAAGGTCCTGGCACGCAACATATCCGAGAACATCCAGGCAACGGAGTTCGAATTGCTCACTGCGACTGCCTTCGAGATCTTCACCTTGGAGAATGTCGATATTGGCGTTATTGAAGTTGGCATGGGTGGTCGCCTTGACTCGACCAACATCTTGGGTCAGACATCCGAATTCGACGAGCTTGAGCAAGGCAAACAGTCCAGACCAAAGCCGTTGGTGACAGCCATCTCGACCATCGCACTAGATCATCAAGGCTTCCTCGGAAATACACTAGTCGAGATCGCTACACAGAAAGCTGGAATCGTAAAGCCAGGGGTATCGCTGGTTCTGGCGATGAACGACGATGCCGTCACCCAACACATCCAACAATTAGCCACAAAAGCGGGTGTCACACAAATTCTACACTCGAAAGACACAGCAGGATTTGATGTAACACGCGCCTCCAGTACGACTGATGCTGTACATGCCCGTCAACAGAACGGCGCTATGGCCTTCACAATCACTTGGCTTGCTCTCAAGCAGTTGAATCGTCTTCCTTCTCCTCCTACTACACAAGGCGCTTGCGGATCATCCACATTGCGCAACGAGATACGTACATCGCCTCTCACCACCCTGGCTTCTACGTTACGCGCTGTACCGGAGCAGGTTGTTTGGCCGGGTCGTCTTCAAGACATTGATCTCGCGCCTCTCACCAACTACAAACCTACAGCCCTACTCGATGGCGCTCACAACGCCGAGTCCGCAACTGTTCTTGCCAACACTGTTCGCGCTCGTGTCGGTTCACACCCGGTAGTCTGGGTCCTCGCCGCTTCCAAAGGAAAAGACTTGGCATCCATGTTCGAGCTACTGCTTGCCGGAAGACTAGATGATGGTGTTGTCGCTACTGAGTTCGGAGCCGTAGATGGGATGCCATGGATTTCAGCAACATCAGCTGCAGATGTCAAGGCGGCTGCTGGAAGTATACTGACCGCTGAAAACGTGGTTGTTGAGAAGGACATCAGCGCCGCTCTAGAGAAGGCATCGAGACTGGCAGAAGAGAAGGATGCCCTGCTCGTTATTGCCGGCAGTCTGTATCTCGTTGGCGATGTTCTTCGCTTGGTCCGCGATAAAGGTGGGAAGATCAATTGATTGATCAATCTTTTACAGATTGAGTAGGAGCGACACTCAGCTCAGTAGCAATCTCTCAATCGCACATTTGCAGAAGCATACCTCCCAATTGCACAGCATCCTTCCAGTTGTCACAGTTCCATCGCAGAAGATTCACGGACTCTTCCCATTGTGACAAGGAAACCATCATTTGCACAATATCGCACGATATCGCCTAGCTCCGTATCTTGGATGCCTTGCTGACTGATCAACACTCACCACTCTCATCCAATCGCGGACTTGCCCGTTCCCTAGTCCCCTAACCCATGTCCCCATGACCATCCTTGACCTTAAACACTAAAAACAATCTGCTCAATGTAAAGAAAGATAGCGCAGTCCAGTCATTGTCACCCACGCAAAGACTCCTATTGCCATCAAAAGTCACCGAGCCTCACCCCCTGGAAACTTCGAGACGGGACTCTTTTTTTGGTGGGCCTGACAGGCGGCCAGGGTCAGTGTTGGAAAGACTGGTACAATCTGCACGTCTTCGAGGTTATCGAGACAAGAAAATGACCGCTCTCTTGAATGGATCCAACAGAATCATCGAGCTGTGGAAATGCAGAAATACTTTTGTTTCCCCTCGTCGTTGAGAGTCGGAAAGTTTTGGATCTCTATGGACAGTGAGCGGTTCCTAGGAAACATTGTGCATTGGAACGACTGGTTCCAGTGATACAGGTAGTTGCAAGGAGAGATAAGAAAGCGAGGTCGATACCACAGGCTCATATCAGGGACATGCACTCTCCCGGACATGATCAAGTGCTTCACAAGACGTCAGAAGGCACAGTACTTTTCCTACCCCTGAAGCTGTGCGTGAGATATTCCAAAGGCATTCAACTTCCTGACTCTGCTCGACGAGATCACTGTATCACAAAAAACCTTGCATACAATCAGTCACAATGAGCAGGTGACACGGAATAGCAGAGTCAGACAGAAAACAGAGCAGTAGACATTAAACCCAGATATCTGAACGGGAAGAAGAAATAAATAGAACCAATTCTCGCAGAAACACTCCTCTCACCTCGCTAAAAATCCCCTTGCAATTGATGAACAAAAGGGACAAAAAGAGTTACATAATTCGCGTGCATAACAAAAAAACCATATCACAGAGCAGGAGTATACCTTTCAACCCTGCATAAGCCTCACGAGGACTCTCCGTATCATCACGAGTGAAACCATCATACTGTTGGAGAAGGTCAGAGTACCTTGTTGAGGGGCGGAAGAGAACTTCTATTTGGAGGAGGCAGGCAGAGAACCTGTGAGAAAAAGTGCTCGTCAGCGTATTGGGGGAGACAGGTCAGCGTACCTGTGTAAAGGGGGCGACAGAGAAAGAAGGAACGAGGCTTAGTAGGGGCCGAATTGTCGCCAGGGTGCGTTCCTGATGGCCCAGTACACATTCCGACTTGGTGCAGGAAGTGCTATTGTCGACTCGGCCGAGCGTTTGCGCTTGATGCTTGGAGGTACGTAGACCTCCGACACAGTAGCGACGGGCGCGATGGTGACGACTGAGGGGGTAGGAGCAGGGGCGACAACCACTGGATCGGTAGCGATGGCCGAAATAGGGGCGGCGTCGACGACGGGGTTGGCGAGAGATGGTGGGGCCCTGTATTGGTGCGCATGAGGCTTCCATGGGGCTTCCCTATCGTGTTCAGGGTGATTGACGTACCCCATAACCGTGATAATGCTCTCCTTTGACATATAAGGAGCAGTCGTGGCCTGGGGTCCTGCAGTTGAGTTGCTGAAGATGGACCCAGGGTACAGTATAAATACAGTAGACGTTTAAACTGCTTGGTCGGTTCAAATCACCCGAGCCAGGAACGAGAGGGATCGGTTCCCTGAAGGGATGAACCTGGTCGCCGAGGGGCACAAAGTTGCAGGCCCATTCTTTCTTCATGGTGCACCGCACCACGTCTTTGGTGGTGACGAATAGGACATCCACAAGAAGAAGGGGGTTCAGTATGGTGTGCGATGTGACGGGCGGAAGGACCAACACCGGGTGGTTACCTGGTTCACCGCGGTTCTCCTTTGTGTGTGCCAAGATAAGAGTGGTCTTTGGCATGAACATGATGGTACCGTCCTGGGGTCTCTGAGGGATGGGGAGTGATGGTGGAGAAGGAGCCGGAGGAGGTGCTGAGGCATGGGCTCCGCACAGTAAGGGTGCCATAATGAAAGCCATCTTGATGGGATTGGTATAATATGAAGTTGATGAAAGGCAGAGGGATTTCTTGAGCGATTCAGTGGAAGATGGGATGAGATGAAAAGAAAGGAAACAGGGATCAATTCACACGATCAGCTTTTATACCAGGTCACTAAACCACGAGCACGTTGTTTCGCTGCCGCCTACGATGACTGCAAATGCGAACCAAATAACTCATGGACCTCTTCTCCATGCTTGAAGGTGCCTCTACGAGTCCTTGATCGATTGAATCGGGCTGTTTTCCTCTGGACAGCTGCTTGTTTCTGGATAGCACTCTGCATTTTCACAGCCGTGTTTTGAGTATCGAGGCATCAGGGAGAGCCCTCGCAGTGCATTGATCGATGGCATCGCAGCAGTGTTCCAGATGGCAATGCGTGGGATTTTACGTAGACAGACTTGGCGTGGGATGCAAACTCGTGCATTGTGAGTCGAAACAACGTGCTCGAGGTTCCATTGGAGTCGATTGTGGGGGCAATAGCTGGAGAAAGCGGATGGAGGACGAGCCAATGGGTGGGCTTCCCCGCGGAGGGATGTAAGTTGCTAGCCACGGTAGCTTGGAGAACGATTCAGGGTCAGTGAGCAAGAGCTTCCGCAGCAAGACAGTTCAGAGGATTGAATACTCAGCGACGGCGACGTGTTACATCGCAGCGATAACGACATCGAGAATGCAGGCGACATCAACAACCGGATGCGTAGGAGTAACAGGGCATTCCAAAATCGAAAGTATCGGTGACAGATAGACGGATCCAGACGGGACTTTAGGCCTGAACAGCGGCCACGAATTCTGGCTTTTGGTCAAATGGAAAAGGGGGTCCAGACGACGTTATAAGTCGAGTTGACTGCAAGAACAACAAGCGTATTTGATCGGGACTTTGAAAGTATAGACACAAAGGAAAGTACAACTCGACGGCGACAACCACCAGATCTAGCAACGCTGCGAAGGACCAAGCCTGATAAGCGGAGGATCGACGGCGAGGTTTGACGACTTGCGGAAGGACCCAGTGGTACAGCCAAGCAGAAAGAACGATCGAGCCACGACCAGGCAAGCAGAGATATTACAAGAAGTATTGGCACCCACCTACAGAATAGGAAGATTTTGCAATAAAGCGTCCGTGGAGGTTTACAACCTGTCGTGAACGTCAGTCTTTGGATCTTTGAGGAATGAGAAGTGTCTGTATCACAACGTCATGAATTATACCACAATCTTCTGATTCATGGGTAGTATGAGTCTACATCGTATCTTTCGTATTAAATGTGGTATAAATATTCCGCCGTCATTATGTTCTTCATACTCGACATGACGCATTATCATCTGCGATACAGAATGACAGGGATCATCACGAGGTCCTCGCGACGAGGCCTCTACTACATGTTCGATGCAATCCTGACACAAAAATTGTCTTTCGCACGATTTTTGTAAAGTGAAGTTGAAGATTCGGGAGAGAGTGAGGTCAGATTAGTGCCTCTCCACCGTCTTGGCGAGTCATCGAGGTGCCTCGACTCGGTGTCATTCGAGAAGATGCGCGGATTGTGTACATAGGGCTCACCCTTTCGTCGAAGCTCAACTCCGATGCCATCAGCAAGTACTACCTAAGCAGCGATTATGGTCCCCCTAGACTTCAGCAGGTACCTTCTTCTAACAACACGCACTACTCGTCAAACACGGCTTCGATGTTCTCTCTCCTCACGATGATGTCCCGAAAACTGCAGCCGAGTATACAGCGTCCCCTCGTACGCTCGTTCTTCTGCTTTGGTCGTACAGACGATCCTGTTCGGACTCAGGCCCAGATTGATAGACGGCGACTCTGGGGGAGAATTCCAGAAAACAGAGCCAGGATCAAGGCAGAGGCGACGAAATACAACGCAGCAAGATCTTCCCAACTAAGGGAACAGACGTTCCGACGGTACCAAGCGGATCTCCCAACTAGACGCGCGCTCGAGCTGAGAAATCGGGACCTTCGGCGGTACACTTGGAAATCCCATGAGCCCGTGACATTCTCTGACAGGGTGGATCTTCGCTGCACCGCTTGTGACAGCAGTCGCTATCTCAAGTTCTGGTGGAGGGAAAAGACTTTAGGGAAGAGCGTAAAAGGGAACACAACTACGGATCGCTACATGTGCAATCGATGCTTTGCCAACGACTGGCCGCGGATGGTACCAGAGACATATCCTGGGGATCTACCCCCTGTCTTTCGATCACCTGATCTACCCCAACCGAGAGAAAAGAGAGCGGCGAAGGGAGACAGCACTGGAACAGAACAGTCAGAAAAAGCTGGACATGCAGGAGATACAGAAGAGAAGGCGAACAGGCGTGACCACTCTGCCGAGTCACAGGATCCACCTGAAGCTGCTCATGGTTGAGCGCTTCCACGTCGTGATACCAAGATGAGGCGCCGCGCTCATACTCCGTCGTGAGCTTCCATGTCTTGTAAAGCTAACCTGGCTTGTGGAAAAACACACGACCGGAACTTATACACCACCGAGATTGTCCTTATTATACGACTAGGCTTGCGTTGTTCGGTATTATAGCCATGATCATATTGGCATTGTCGTTATTGATGCCAAGCCATTAATAGGCTTCGAGATTCCCACGCCAACAAGCCGCTACGTCATCGGGAAAACGCGATCACGGATTCGGCGTGCTATCAGCTGGTGGTGGATGGTGGATGTCCTCTAAGGAAAAAAGCAGGGCACGATCTTGGCCGGATGGTGAGGGTGGACAGCTGACCTGAGGCCGCACTTTTGCTTGTTGCAGTAGCAAATAGATTAGTGGATCAGGATCGCATGTAAAAATAGGTCTTTGTTTATTCAATCTTCAATCTGAGCCTCATCCTTCTACAAAGCATACACCACATCTTCACGCCTCAATTGCACATACTCACAATCATGGATGAACAAGTAGATAGACTGGTCAAGAAGACATGGACAAAGTTTCAAAAAGTCCCTAGGTCGAAGAGACTGATGATTGCCGTGTCTGGCATTCCTGGTTCAGGTGAGACGATCAAAGGTGTCGCGTTACGCAGGCTGACACCTTGCAGGCAAGACGACTCTCGCATCCGTTGTCGCAAACCGATTGAATGAGCTTCACCACGAACAAACGCCTGCTCTCGCACAGAATGACGAGCTCGCTGCTTTCATCCCAATGGACGGCTACCACCTATCGCGAGCGCAACTAGATGCCATGCCCGATCCAAACACAGCTCACGCAAGACGAGGCGCTGCCTTCACCTTTGACGCGGCTGCTTTTTTGGATCTCGTCAAGAACCTCCGCAAGCCAATCTCGCCAGAATCGAGAACTTTGTACGCACCATCTTTTGACCACGCTCAGAAAGACCCTGTCAACGACGATATCCCCATCCATCCGGAAGCGCGCATCTTGATCTTCGAAGGCAACTATCTCAGTTTGGGTACGGGTGCGCCCGAATGGAAAGAAGCAGCGGAGCTCATGGATGAGTTGTGGTTCGTCGAGGTGGAGGAGCATGTCGCAAGAGAACGATTGGTGAAGCGTCACGTCGAAGCCGGCGTTGCCAAAGATGAGGAAGAAGCGCGCAAAAGAGCAGACGAGAATGATCTCGTCAATGGTCGCGAGATTGTACAACACAGACTCAATGTGCACGAAGTGATCAAGTCAAAGCACGACGGCAGCTGGAAGCCAGAGAATCAAGGCATGGATGTCGCAGACGTGAGCAAAGAACAAAAGGCATAGAAAGCAGTCTTTACGGGCGTGACAGCACATTATGCATTTCATGATCTAGACGAGGACACAATTGTAATTACCGGTTTAGATGAGCAAGACAAGTGTGGCTTAACGGTTCTCTCGCTTTCTGTGGTCGTACTCGGTCTGCACTTCCATGTTTTTCTGGCGACGTTTGGAAGCATCACGATCTCGCAATTGGTTTGGTGGGTAATGACGCCCGGTTGTGGAGAAGGCTTGCGAAGGTATATCGCGCGCTTTTGTGGACCGGGCTCGCGTGAGGCTCATGTTTCCCCTCACCAGCCGTGAATGCTATGAAGCTATGTTTCCATACTGCACTGTCAGTATCTAGAAGTGTCGCATAGTCTATAAGCTCGGCGGAAAGGGTGTTTGTGGGAGTCTCTTTGGCAGGGCAGGAACAAGATTGTCGTGGAGAAGCGGGACAAAGTTGGCCATAGCTTCAAGAAGTTCCAGCCACACAGACAATGACGCTTGCGGGCGTGATACGTCACTTCCAAAGCTGGCATGAGCGTGGAGCGAGGCGTAGCACGACTTACATTTAACCTCGTCCCCTGCTCCTCTTCCATTCGTCTCTCCCATATCCATCTCCAAACCCATCAAATCTTCACCTCTCAACCTCCAAAACCTCACACTACCATCACAATGGCCTCCCTCCACTGTACGTATCACTCACTCTCGCTTTCACTGCAGCTTTCCGCACCTTCCGCAGCCTCTTCTGCGCCATGCGTGTGTAAATCGCTCAGGGGGAGAGGTGGTCTCATAGTCAATCACCACAGCGACTGACCTCACATGTACAGACCTTCCCCCCGTCAAGCCTTCGGCCATCGCTGTCGGCACTGCCTTCAACCACCTCGCCTCCCTCGCCATCCTCGGCCCCGTCTTCGGTGACACTTACCGTCAGGCCCAGGCCGCCAACTCCAAGGAGGAGTTCTTCAAGTCCAAGGAGACTGCTTCGGCCGCCGCTGCCTGGGGTACTTCCCTTGCCGGCTCTGCCCTCCAGTCCTACGGTGTTGGTGCTCTGCTCAACGCCACCGGTACCCTCTCCTACAAGGGCGCCGCCTACCTCGGTGGTCTGATCTTCGCTGCCTCTTCCGCTCCCTCCGTAAGTTTTGATCTATATCAATGTCCATCAACAAACCAATACTAACATCTTTCCCTAGTTCATTGCCCAGATCTTCACCGAGAAGCGCCCTCTTGACACCGTCGCCGTTGGTGCTCTTGCCCGCGTCTTCGAGACTGTCGGTCTCTCCATGTTCCTCACCTACTGGGGCACCCGCACCAACCCCTTCTCATAAGTTAATCGCTTAGAGAGAGGTTGAGTGTCGATTTGTTTCATGCCATGACGATTAAGGAGGATGACTTTTAATCAATTCACACATCCATGGGCGTTTTACCAGAGAACAATTGCCCTGCTGTACCATTAGCTTAGTTCAGAATGAAGAACTTTACTACATCAATTCTTGTCCAACCTGTGTGCCTGTTTCTGACTATTTACATGAACGTATGCCATAATCGTCCCCGAGTCTAGTTTCAGTTAGCTATTGTTTCGTATGTGCGACAGTCTGGCGTGGGAGAGAGATATACACGGTCGACAGCGCTGTAAACATCAGAAATGGCCATAATTACATACATGTATCACTATTGCATGGTCATTCCACCACATGAGTCGCGTGAGGATGGCCGGGCAAAGTCACTTTGGTTACATTGATGGCCGTCCTCGGCCGCATCTCTCAGCCCCGCCATTTTTCCTTCCTAATAATTCTTTTTTTTCCTTCCTGGAACTCCAAACCACCAACTTTTCCCCCCCTTCGAACCCAACCCGCACAGTCACACATGTTTACGACTTTCACGACACATACACCTTGCCGCAATCATGTCTACCTCAACCGCACCATCACTCGCCCTCGACGTTCCCATCGACAACTACGCGACAACAGCAGCGCAAGACCAAAAAGCCGGCGTTGATGCCACACTCACTGCTGTAGCGCAAGAAGCAGAAGCAGAAGCAGAAGACGACAGCGATGCCGAGAGAGAAAAAGCAGGTGCGGCGAGGGCTGCGAGGATGAGATATACAGAAGAGGATTTCCTTGCGCAGAAGGAAAGTTATAGTGCTAGGATTGACGAGGGGAGTGTGAGTAATTCATTCCTGTCGTCTCAAAGAGTGGTGTGATAAGGGACAGCTGGGGTTAGTAGGTCATGGCGAATATACTAATGCTGTAATACACAGATATGGAAACAACTCGTCGTCTTTACGCCGCCATTTATGCCTTCTGCCACCTTTCTCTCGACCGTGAACGCCGCACCCTCGACTCCCACATCCACCACGACTGCAGAACAAAACCCAAGAGGTACAAAGACCAAACTAGACAAAAAGCACCATCAAACCATCCAAGCCGCCGTTTCTGAACTCTACTTTCTCGAAAAATACACAGCGGTACAAGAGATTATCACATGGGCAAAAGAGCATTTTGAAAAGGATAAGAAATGGGATAAACAAGTGCAGAAATGGGAGGAGAGGGTGATGGAGAAGATGAAGGTGCAGCAGGCTTGAGGATACAGTTCTGGAAGAGAAAGAAGATGTGGCTTGGATTGTATGCTTGTGGGAGGAGAGGCTGCCCACGAGCCAGTTTGCTTGGATGCGACTGTGCAGAGGGAGAAGACGTGCTGTCTCTCTCATACAGCAAGATGTGCCACTCAGCATCAACTTTGAGAGCAGAGCTGATCAAGACGCCGCTTCTCAAAAATCAATGCCTCGCAGACTCACAAGAACCGATGCATCCTTTTTTTCCCGACCAATCTCTCACCTCAACACCTCCTCGGAAAGACCGGTATCCCGTTACAAAAAGCTTCCGATCTGCTTTCGACACTTTAAACCCTCGAAATAGCAAGGCTGCATCACACAAAATCGTGCACCCCCCAGCGCAGATAAGAAAGACTCGCACTTTTCAAGCACGCTGCATTATCCCACACACACCTATCACAATCAGGAAGGGGGGTTGAAGTTTCACAGTTGTTCTCATCTGTTGAAAACACTTGCACTTCAAAAAAGTGTCAAAAAATGAAAGAAAGCACGGGTATCAGAAGAAGAAGCATTTTACACGAATTTCCGCCATCCTGCTTTTTTTCCTCCTGCCCGCCCGCCGCCCCGCTGCCTCCGTGGATCCCCTGAGCACAATGATATGCCTTTTAGTCATCTGCTCTGGTTGGGAAAAAAGAGAGCATCAGATGCCCCCCTGATGGCAGGAGGAAAACCGGAGATGGATGACGGAAAGAGTCAGTTCAACAAGGGGGGGGGGGGGGGGGTTTCTTTTCTAAGCGAAGCATGGATAGTGCTTTACTCATGGAGCACAATGTTTTTTTTTTCTTTTCTTCGAGACTGTGCCTTTTCTTGTGCTATACCAGTGTTTTTTTTTGGAGATCAGTCTCTTGGCTGAGAATGGCAGTGAGTGCATAATCTTCTCGCCGGCATAAAGACATCTCTAGAGAAATCAAGATACGATGGGCATTAACCTATAGAGACATATTTCCCGTTGGCACCCGGAATAACATCATACACTCTCTATAGTCTGAAAAGCCTGTCCGCAGCGATTGTTCTCATACAGCAATTGCCTACTACCATATCTCAAATACCTCTCTACTTCTTACCCCTCCACTCCCTATACCTCTCCCCAAACCCTGCTTCCTCAACCTCTTCCCCTCCACCAAACCCACCATCCTCACCTCCCTCACCATCAAGATAAACCAACGGCACCATACTATTCCTCCCATGTGCACAAATAAATGGAAATGCTGTTCCCGCCACTCTATCCACCAGCTCTTGACATTGCTCCCGCGTCAATTTATCATTAAACATGACTGCGCTTCTACAAGCACGTGAGTTCAACAACTGCAAAATGTCTTTCGGACAAGAGCCTATACGTTTAAGCCATCCGTGTTTTGTGATCGTGGTTGTAGAAGTGGGAGGGAGAGTGCGCGTGTTATTCTCAGCGAGGGTATGAATTTCAGTGCGCAGGAGTTCGATGAGGAGGTTTGGAGAGGCTTTGCAGCGTTCTGAGATACCTGGTGGCAAGGTCAAGATGCGTAGACGAGGTGTATCTGGTCTGTGTAGAGTGATGTCGTAGAGGATACCCCACGCTGCGAAGTGGGCTGCGTGGGTTTTGAACATAGCCTCTTCTTGCTCTGGGACCTGGAAGTGCAGTGGCTTGTCGAGGGGATGAGTGAGGATGGTTGATGTGTGTCCAAGACTTGACTTTACGACCAGGTTACCCAGAGTAGGTGTACAGAGCTCTTCCAACAACGTCTCAAGAATGCAACGCTCAGAGGCTGCGTGTTGATCGACAAGCACCAGTAACTGCCTGGCGTGATTCAGCTCCTGTGACTTTGGTCCAGTTAGGCTCGGTAGTCTCAACAAGATGAACTTTTCGTCAACTTGTGAGATGACTTGTGCATGTTGCAATGCAGACTTAGACACCCGGCTTGAATCAATCGCGCCAGCATGCGAGAATGCGTCAGCCACGTCACATCGACTGTGGCAATTGTGAGATTGCAGTGTGTCTCGCTCTAAACCGCTAAAGCCAAGTGTCGCTATAGGCTTTTCAGGCTGAGGTGCAAAGGTTGGATTCTTCCAGTTTTGCAGAAAGCCTTCCAGCCATGGCGAGGGAGAGCTAGCGTTAAAGGGTGCATCGATTGTGGACTTTGGTTTGTCCCCTCTTCGCTGTAGTACTAAAGGCTTGCCAAACGAAGACAGACGCGAGTCTGACGCAGCTGCTGTCCTACCACTGGGCGCAGGATTGGAGGAAGGCTGACGTGCCTCTTCTGGCATCACGACGCCGGTACGCGCATTGATACGATACTTCTGGCCTGTTTTGGAGTCAAGCCAGACAATGTAGGCTTCTTCATCTTGATCTCGGAGACGAGTCGGTTCCACGTGTTCGTACTCTTGTCCTGTAATCGTGCCGTTCAAAGATTCAGGGCCAAGTTCACATTGACCAGTTCCATGGTTGTCGACCTCGAGGGAACTCGGCGTCGAAGAGATACAGACATTGTCATCTATTGTCGACTTCTCGATGACAGGTGGTCTATTTTGTGGTGTCTTGCCTTTCCATATGTGTTCGTACATCTGCGGACGAGCACTCTTGATCCGACTCCAATCTGTAAAAGGCATTGTTTGTGTAGCAGTGTCTACGGCAAGACCTGACCGAGCCCTCTTAGAGGCTCGGGAGTCTTTGCAAGAAATATCAGACTGGCTTGCTGAGCGTATAAGACCAGTGGAGTGTCGCAAAGAAGCAGATGGTGATCGGGGTTTCGTGCTCGGCAATCGCGGACTGTGTTGATGCTCCGCTGATATCTGGTTGTTACCATCTCTTGCTTGCTTTCGCTGTCTCTGCTTCCTCGGCCGAAAGTTGTTCGCTTCCAGCCAATGTATGGTCAAGCTCTCCAAGACGTTTGTGATGCCCTTGAGGTATACGTCGCTGAGCTTGCTGAAAGACTGTACACCCTCGTCAGGGTTTAAATCGATGCGGAAGTAAAATCTTGGCCAGCGATCGACCCCTTTCCTGCCTCCTTCCAGCTGCTTTTTTGTAAGGCCGTCTCTTTTGTACCGTCGGTCATTCCCCCGACGTTTCAACTCTGTCTCGCCGGGCTCAGCTTCTTCTTCGATTTGACCGAAGCTTGATTGGCTGAAGATCCGGTTAACCGTCTCATAGAGCTCGTTATGGCGATTCCCATCCAAGCAGGGTATGATACCAATAGAGATGAATTGAGCAATTCTGTTGGGAGCTGGCTCCAGCGAAACGATTCCGCTTACCGTGACCGAGCGGGTAGATGCAGAAACTGGAATCCAGGGAAATTTGGAACCGGTTGAGATGATGCCTGACTGAGACAATATATTCAACACAGTGCTTTGGTCAAAGCCTGTCGTCCTCCTATTCAAGGTGTTCAGATTTCTCTCGCTCAAGGCATTGGGAGTAAAGTGTGATGCGGTGTTTACAGAGAGTGATCTGCTTGAATTTCCAGCATCCGTCACCTTGACAGTAACACGACGATGCCATGGTAAGAGCAAGCCCACCAGACCAACTTTCAGAGCTTGCCATTCTATTTCCGATGCATTGCCTCCTTCTTCTGTGTTGAGAGCACGTTGTTTCACTCTCACAGGCATGTTACCAAACAGATCTCTGACAGACACATGTGTGCCGTGGCCAGCAGTATTGCGTATCTCGTGCTGAGGCAGTGTGGGTGTCAACCTGGACAGCATCTTTCCTCGATGCAAAACAAGAGTGTTGTGAGAGTAATGATTCACATGTCGTGACGTGACCGTAAGCAGCGAGAGTGCTCCCAAAGAAGCCAGAAATGTCCCTTGGCCACCATGAGTATCAAGCTGCGCATTGTGCTTGGAAGTGTGGTACATGCGACCCAGCCCGCCAGTCTCGCGAAACTCTGAGGGTGTTATGCCGATGCCATTGTCCTCGATGGTACATCCGCCTCGGCGAAAGTCAATAGAGACGTCTATTTTGGTTGCTTGTGCGTCCAAGGAGTTTTCGAATAAGCCAAGTATGACAGCGTTGAGACTGGTGATTGTGGTGGAGGACCTGATTTGTGCGATAACATCTTCGGGAAGCGGAAGTATGGCAGATGAGTTTTGTGTTTCCAATCCAGATGTATTATTCATATCGGTGTTCATGCTTCTTTATGCCAAGCGAGCTTTTCGCTCAAGGTGGCCGCCACTTGAGTTTCGAGCAGTCGCGATTATCCAAAGATGCCGACATTTGTGTGTCAGTCGGCGATGGTCCCAGTACAAGACGGCCAATTCAGATATTGCATCGATGCCTGTAGGAAGGAGTGAAGGAGTGAATTGTAAGAGGCCGAAAATAGACAGAGAACACGACGTCACAGCTCTTGGCGTTTCAAGGCTTCTTCGTGCTGGCGACTTGCACCACACTTCTGCAACAACCTTGTGATCTTCGCTATTTGGCACAAGGATTCAGAGCACCCGAATCGATTCAGTCGTGATTGGACTGTGTTCATGACCTTCAGTCATGGCAGTGTACAGGGTTTCTCCGTTATGTGTACTGCCCTGCCAGGCGCAGCGATGGTCTTCAAGCTCTTGACTAAATATTTGATTGAAGACTGACTCGTTGCGTAATTTGAATCAGGAGGAGAAATCCTGTGCATCAGATCGCGATGGTACTTGCGTTCAGGCACCCATGTCAGAGCCCTGTAGTAACCCTTTACATGTTTCGATTCTCCTCTCCAAAAACTCATACCACTCACGAATACTGAAAGACAGGATAACAATCATGTCCAACGTAACCTCATGGATCCAGCATCTTGGATGCCTTTACGCTTGCTGGATCACTCAATTCCCAACAATGGTCTTCCTCACTGGTCTGGTCTTCGCAGCGTGGGCGCTAAATGGATTCACTCCATTTGAAGCACAGTAAGTTTGAACACCTGAGATTCCATCTACTAATGCTGACAATCTGTTGTAGTGGGAAATTTGTGCTTAGTCTATGCACTATCATGGTACATGTGTGGATCTATCAAGTGTTCTTCTTCTTCATCCACGGATTAACAGCCACATGCATGTTGTGTATGCAAGTGTTTGAGAGCGTCTTGATTACATATCTGGGATGGATGTTTTGGCCTTTTCTCAAAGAAGCCCGTTTGAGTCCGCCAAAGGTATGGCATCCTCTCGCGAAGGCAGTCTGGATTGGACTGCCAGTGACATAGTAAGGTCAATTTCTTGATACATGGGTGCTGGCGTTCGACTGACACGATATTCAGTGCAAGCTTCTATATCCTACTCATCAGGAGTTTTCTCGTCTGGCAAAGGGTGAAAAACGAGGAACGAGGAGTTACCCTGATAGGGAAAGACGAACACGAAATGGAGAGCCTGATTAACGGTGATGAGTATGTCTGAGGAAGCTGTCTCTGAACGTGTATGTATTATTGGGACTTCAAAGTCGGATAATATAAAGCGTTTGAACATTTCATGGGATATATCAACAAAAATGGAAAAAGAAAAAAAAGAAAAGAACAAGCTCATGACACAGAAAACTCAACTCTAAGCATTTTCTCCAAAAGCCCACACTTTTGTTCAGAGGGAGAAAGAAAGAAAACATCTATGCAACACTCTTTCCAGCCTGAGCAGCAAGTAAATTCAATGCAGATCCAGCAAGAACGAAAGCGCATTGATCCTTTGAGAAAGTGTGCTTGGTGGCAACTCTGATTTCCTCGCCAGACTTGGTTTTGACGACGAGGGTAACGTCGCCTTGACCGCCAGACTGCAAAACGTCCAAAAGACCCTCGGTGCGGACCTCGTCACAAGCGGCCATTTTGTCGTAGTCGGCTTCGTTGACGAAGGTCAATGGCACGACACCTTGCTTCTTGAGGTTGGTCTCGTGAATACGGGCAAAGGACTTGGAGAGGATGATACGGCCACCGAGGTAGCGGGGTTGGAGAGCGGCGTGTTCGCGGGCGGAACCCTCGCCGTAGTTGTGTTCGGCGACCACGAGCCACTCGTTGCCTTGCTCCTTCCACTTCTTGGCAAGGGCAGGGATTCCCATGCCATTGGCGCGGGACTCTGTGTCGTTGACATCGTAGACGATGTTGGTCTCGCCAGTCTCGGCGTTGATGGCGCCAATCAGGGTGTTCTCAGCAATGTTGGGCAAGTGACCCTTGTACTTGAGCCAAGGTCCGGCAGCAGAGATGGTTTCGGTTGTGCATTGTCCCTTGACCTTGACGAGGACACGGAGACCTTCGAGTTCAGACTTGGGAAAGGGGGAGAAAGGCTCGAGGAGAGCGAGACGAGAGGAGTTGGGGTCAACTACGACTTCGACACTGGCATCGGGGTGGCCGGGAGTAGGGAAGAAGTCAGGGTTGCCCTTCGCAAAGCCGGTCGAGGGAAGATCACGGCCTTGGGGAGGGTCGAAGCGGAACTCACCACCGTCAGGAAGAGGGATGGAATCAGTCATGGGGTTGAAGGTAGTGCTGCCACTGTATGCCATGGCAGTGACAAGCTCGGGACTGGCCAGGAAATTCATGGTCTTGACGTTTCCATCGTTGCGACCACGGAAGTTACGGTTGTAGGAGGTAAAAATGGCGTTCTCAGTGCCCTTCTCGACGCCATCGGTACGAGTCCACTGGCCGATGCAGGGGCCACAAGCGTTGGCAAGAATAACACCACCAGCGTCGTTGAAAGTGGCGAGAGTCTCGTCGCGCTCGAGAGTTGCGCGGACCTGCTCACTGCCAGGGGTGATGAAGAAGTCGGTCTTGGGCTGGAGACCAGCAGCAGTTGCCTGCTTGACTAGTGATTCGGCACGGGTCATATCTTGGTACGAAGAGTTTGTGCAGGAGCCGATCAGACCGGCACCGAGAGTCTCGGGCCAGTTGTTTGCCTTGACGGTGTCGCGGAACAGAGAAAGGGGCGTAGAAAGATCAGGGGTCATGGGGCCGTTGATGTGAGGTTCGAGGGTGCTCAAGTCGATGGTAATGACTTTGTCGTACTGGGCACCAGAATCAGCGCGAAGAAGGTTGTGAGGACCAGGAGAGCTGGCAATAGTTTCGGCGGCGATGGCGATGGGACCGCGGTGGGTAGCGTAGAGGTAGGGCACGTGAGCCTTGGTGAAGGGGAAGATGGATGTGGTTGCGCCAATTTCAGCACCCCTAGAAAATGTCAGCAGCATTCTTTCAAGTCCGAGACAGGGGAGCTTCAGACATGTTACACACGGTGCTCATGCCAGTAGTTGCAAGAGTCTCTACACCGGGTCCAAAGTACTCGACAATGTAGCCAGTACCACCACGAACTGTGAGTTGACCAGCAAGGTTGAGAATGATATCCTTAGGACTGGCCCAGCCACTGAGCTGACCAACAAGGTTCACCCCGAGAATCTTGGGAGCCTTGAGTTCCCAAGGAGCATCGACCAGAGCATCCACAGCGTCAGCGCCACCGACACCAATGGCAATGGCACCAAGACCACCAGCATTGGGAGTATGCGAGTCCGTTCCGAGCATCATCAGACCAGGAGCAGAGTAGTTTTCGAGCACGTTCTGGTGAATGATACCCGCACCAGGGGGCCAGAACTCGATACCGTACTTCTTGGCCGCACTCTCCAAAAAGTCAAAGACTTCCTTGTTTCCCTTGATTGACTGGGGCAAGTCGACGTCTGCTCCTCGTTCTCCTACAATCATGTGGTCGCAGTGGATACTGGCAGGGACAGCAGTGTTGGGCAGACCGCAAGACATGAACTGCAACAAGGCCATCTGTGCAGAGGCATCTTGCATGGCAACTCTGTCAGGCTTGAGCTTGAGGTTTGCCTTTCCACGAATGTCGGCGCCATTGTTCGTTCCAGTCAAGAGCGACTCTTCAGGTGACTCAAGATGTGAATAGAGGATCTTCTCAGCGAGTGTGAGGGCGCGGTCGGGCAGGATACGGCGGACTTCTGACAGTCTTCGTAGCAGCTTGGGGTATGGCGGGGTGCGACTGGCCAATTCGGCGGCCGAGGGTTGTTGGACAGAGGCATCCGCAGCGGTAGCCAGATGACGGCGCGCTATTGAGCCTCGCGAAACAGATGAGGCAAGTGACTGCCGACGTGTTAGTCATGATGTGTATAAGCATCAATTGTGCTCTGTTCAACATACCCTGAGGGCAGGCAGTCTGCCTGTACGCAATACTTGTGCTCCCATTGTGTGTATAGTGATTAACAGGAGGAATATCAAAGGAACAGAAAGGCAGAATGACTGTCGCGGTGGCCGAAGTCGCCCAAATATTTCGCTGCTCGCCGATCTCCCGTCAAAGCGCCTTCTCCACATTTTCCGACCTCCCGCATCTGGGGTCTGGAAGTCTTCGAAACCACTGCCAACACGTGCATTACTAATATATGCCTATATACCAGACAGACATCGGATCTCAAAGAGTACAGTCGTGACACTGTGTAGGATATTGTTGGTTCAGTTCGACTTTTTCCAGTGCTGACAATCGTCGCCTCCTATAAAACATGCTATATGCTTCTTCCATTACATCTCGAGACATTGGATATCGTGACTCGAGGAATATGATTGTAAGGCAGATTATTGAGAACAGACTGTATGATTCGATGTATATCAAAATCAGTGGCTAGTCCGAACTGAAGAACCAGGACTAATCCAACTCTGACCATGCCGAAACAGAATCATCTCTTGTTTCAGAAAACATTGCAGCCAATTTCTCAGCATCGCGTTTGTACTCACGTCGCAGCTTCTGAGTTCTGCGAAAGAAGAAGTTATCATGTTCGCACCTGACTTCAGGACGTCCGGCAGCCGTTTTACTAGCCATCATAGATACCATAGCCTTGAGTGAGAAATAGTCAGGCTCTGCGCCTGCACTGTGCCAGGTTTTGCAGACGTTGCTACGAGCTGCAGGGTTGGCTCTTGTATGGCATTTGATGGACAGCTTGGCATAGGCTTCAAACACACTTCCCATCTCCGACGACAAATTTGCTTCGTCCTTGAAGACTTGGATGAAGGTGGTGAGCGATATCTTTCTCCGCTTGAAGTTGTGTTGGTCCTCGGGTGCTGCGTTTGGGTCGGTGTAGTGCGTGAAGAGCGCACGGCCACTCGTAGTAGACGGTGTGTGTTTCATCTCCTCGTAGACAGCTTGTTTGGACCGTCTTTTCACTGCGGCCAGGTCCGACTCCCGCGATCGCTTCATTTGGGCGGCTCTTTTGGTAAAGGCCGAGTAGCGTTGCTTTGTGATGGTCCGACTCTCGTGTTGTGGCAACATGACTGAGAACATGACTCACGACAGCTCTGGTGTCGGTGTGGTAGAAGATGTTAGGGCGTTCTGATGAGGAGGACTGAATATGGTGATTAAGAATTTGGTGAATTGGAGAAAGGAAACTTTTGCTACGTTACTTGCCCATTATGCATCTTCAGGGGACTCAGAAGACGCGATACCTCACAGTCATTTCGGCGAGAATCAGTAAATGGCGAAGAGTCATGTGTATACCACGAATTTGAGTTAGTTCCTGGTGTTGGGCAAAGCGCATCAGGTAAAAGACTAGTTTCATATCACGTGACAATTCTCGACTGAGACAAGTGTCGACGCCAGCAATATACGGCGCATATCAGATCGATCGTAGTCAGTGTTCTGGATAATGTTGGAGGATGAATGATGGAGGATAGAAAAGGTGGAAAGAGTGTCTCGGTGCCCAGCTGGCTGGTCCAAGCTCATCTCCGCTCCCTCCGCCCCGCTGATGTCGTTGCGTGTCGCATCGCGACAAACAGGTATACAAGTAACATACGATCTTCAAGGAACGACGCAGGCGCATGACACAGCGCATACCACATAATGACTTCCAGACTTGTACTATGCTTGGGCGACTTGTTCATCCCGGATCGCGCCAATGTAAGTCGACTTCGTCACCCAATCGCACTCCTTGACTGACAGCGTGACAGGACATTCCCGCAAAGGTACGACGACAGGCTTCTGCTACTCATTGACTCTGGACCCAAGCCCTAACTCCATCGCGAACAGTTCAAGAAGCTCCTCACACCAGGAAAGATTGGCCAAATCCTCTGTCTAGGCAACCTCACATCACCAAGCGTCTACACCTTCCTCCGAAACCTGGCTCCCGATCTTCAACTCGTCAAGGGTGACTTTGACATTTCACTGTCAACACCTGCTCCTCCGAATCCCAACGCCGCATACGCTGCCCCTACCGATCAGATCCAAGTTCCCACTGCTCTCTCAAAAGTTGTCACACATGGCGGTCTGCGTATTGGCTTCACGCATGGTCACACCATCGTCCCACCAGGCGACCCGGACAGCTTATTGATAGCTGCGAGACAGATGGATGTCGACGTCCTGTGCTGGGGTGGAACTTGCAAATTCGAAGCCTATGAGATGGAGGGCAAGTTCTTCATCAACCCAGGCAGTGCGACAGGTGCCGTCAGTTGGTCACCAGATGCCGAGCTCGACTCCGAGGGTGAAGCAGTCTCGACGCCCAGTTTTGTGCTTATGGATGTGAGTCGCCACGCATCATGGGCTAACCTAATCGACCTTTCTGATCATCCTGAGCAGGTCCAAGGAGACGTCCTCGTCCTCTACGTTTACCAGCTTCGCAAGGACCAGAATGGTGTTGAGAATGTCGCTGTCGAGAAGGTCTCGTACAGGAAAAACGCTTCTTCATAGTATCATGCCTATGCCAGCCCCTCACATAACGACATCGAATACCTTTAGTAATCCTCACCCTTTGAAATACATACCTCAGTCTTGGAACCAACACCCCCAATCTGATTTCGGATTCCTTATCGATAACAGTACTGACTTGTCTATTCGCGACGACTCGGAACTGATGAGTCAACTTGTGGTTGCTGACAGAAAGTACCTAGAACTCCATGGTCGAAACATCAATCTAAATTGGCAAGGACGACCCCCCCACACGGACCTCGGCTTTTAGGACCATGGTTGCGTCAGGGACTCCTCACACTAGTAATACCGTCAGACACCATGATGCTTCTCTACAATCTGCTAAATTCGACCTTGCATTATTGCCTCGAGACTTGATTTGCACAGTATGACCAACGATCAGGAGACTTATCGCTGTGCGCTTCCAGACACACCGCCCCACATCAGCTATGGCATACCCTTTTACGAGTCATGTGCCAAACACGTCAACGAGACCTTCGATGCTAAACGTGTATACATAATCGCATCTGGATCTCTATCTCGCGATACCGACAACATCACGAAGCTGGAAGATGCTTTGGGTGACAAGGTGGCTGGCGTCTGCCGAGGCATGACTCCTCACACGTTATGGTCTGAAGTTCTCGAGATTACACATGAAGCCCGTGAAGCCAAGGTCGATTTGATTATTACATGCGGCGCTGGATCCCTGACAGATGGAGCAAAGGTCATAGCATTGGTAAAATATCATTCCTGATCTGTGTAAGAGAAATCACTCACGCCTTCAACTAGGCGCTTGCAAATAATGCTTCCAACGCAGATGACTTGGACACCATGCACCTGGGTAGAAACCACAATGTAATTCACACAGAGATCAAGGCTCCAACTATACCCATTGTCAGTATCCCAACCTCCCTCTCCGGCGGTGAATACACACGAGGAGCCGGCGCAACCGACGATCGCAACCATCGAAAACGACTCTTCCGCGAGCCTTGTCAAGGGCCTCTCCTTGTCATCCTTGACCCGCAGCTCACAACAACCACGCCAGATTCCGTCTGGCTATCCTCTGGTATCCGCGCAGTAGACCACTGCGTCGAAGCAATGTGCTCACTCTCCTCCACCCCTTCCGCTGTTAAACGAGCTACCAAAGGCTTGAAAGCTCTTGTGCCAGGTTTACTCCGCTGCAAAGCCAACAAAACAGATCTAGAAGCCAGACTCGCATGTCAATTAGGCGTCATCGACGCCATTGCTGCTGTCTTTGTCGAAAAAGTGCCGTTGGGTGCTAGTCATGGGATCGGTCACCAACTCGGTCCTCTGGGTGTTGGACACGGAGAGACTAGCTGTATCATGCTACCTGCAGTATGCAAATACAACTTCCCCATAAATTCAGCACAACAGAATAACGTCAGCAAAATATTCTGGGACGACGAGATGGTCAAGAACGTCCTACACAACCACGGCTTGAAAGAGCAAAAAGCAGATTTGAGCGATTGTTTGAAAGCCATCATCAAAGAGCTCGGTTTACCGGGAAGCTTGGAAGCTTGGAAGCTGTAGGCGTGGGTGAAGATAAATTTGATATGCTGGCTGAGAATAGTTTACTCGATCCTTGTTGCGCGACTAATCCTATTCCACTCGAGGACACGAGGCAAGTTTTGGAGATTTTGCATATGGCTTTAGTGTAGGAGGATAGTATCTACTTGCATACATCTACCTTGATACAACTTTCAGTATCATCTTGATATCTTCAATTTAGGTGCTGCTAGTGGTCGAAAGAAATAATGCCAAGTCTCGTATGCGCTCGACTGGGCATACAATCATTACAGACTAAAGAAATCAGTCATACAACGCCAGATCTGTGGTGCTGGTAGGCTTATACAGAGTTCTTGGGCCAGTGGAGAGGCCACTCCTAAAAAGGGAGGTGGAAGCCAAAAGTTTATGCGGTGGTCCGACCAAAGGGTGAAGGATATCTCTACACATGCTCAATGGCCGTATTGGAGTCGATCATATATCCCGAGGCCTGAGAGATGTCGTACTCTAACGTAGGTGTACGCTGGGAAATCAAGGAATCTTGATTCCTTGCCTCATGGCTCATGCAAGGACGAAAGACTGTGAGCTTAGCCATATCTTCTCTGGAGGTTGGGGTGTCTTGGCCCCGTCATCATTCGAGCTCGGATACAACAGGATCTGTGAAGCGCAAGGCAGAAGTACCTCTGTCAGACTTTCTATCATTAACAGCGAGGTCGTTCTTTGCTGAATGCGTTGAGCATTCGTACAAAAGACACGCTAGCCCCGCGATATAGCCCTCATGAAAAGCGATTGAGCGTTTACAAACATCCCTCCCAGCAAGCAGATATTTCTATCAACAATCTCCTTTGCTGTGTTCCTGCATTTCCCGCTTTCCTCTCAGACATCCAGAAAGAGGAAACAGCAATGCGCGCAAGAGTACAAACAACACTGTTCCAAGAGGCATCCTCGTCATTTTTCTTTTGGATCACAAATGTCATATCCCAGCTTAATCTTGTGCAAAAAATTCTGGAGTACTTGTATGATAGAGCGTAAGAAAACATGGTACTTTCTAATCACTCCAGTCCCTCGATCTTGAGAGAAGCATGTGTCTCGCATCAAAAGCATCTTTGTCAAAATTATCCGGCCATCCAGAGTCGAGATAGATTTGCTTCATGGCATCATGCTGTACTTCTTCATTAGCAAGGATGTTTCTCTTACTCCTTATAAAATTAAGCCCTCTTGTCTTTTTCTGTCCTCTGACGTTGAACCGGGGAAGTTATGGGAAAGAAGAAGATAAGAGGGGGGGCAGGATCGACTTACTTTTCCACTGCCGCCAAAGTCTGCATTTCGTGTCATCCAGATCTGAGCTTCAAAGTCGGGGACCCAATGTAGAGATTTTGTTCGCTGTATCCATCTTTTCAAAAATTCTGGAGCTGAATTCGAAAGTGAGGTGTTTTGATGACGTGGAGATGCTGTTGTAGTTGGTGTTGAAGGTATATGCACATCGGGATGACGAAGTTCGAGAATGATATCTTGTCTTCCCATTAACAGAGTAAAACGACCACATCTTGTAAAAAAAAAAAAGACGGTAAAAAGGAAGCATGAGTTAGGGAAGGAGGAAGGAGATTTAGAAAGGGAAGAAGAGAAAGAAGAAACCCACTTTTACGGATATCGAGTAATAACACAACTCCTCCCTCTCCAACACGATAAGTCAATGGTATACAATCTTTACCTTCTCTTGTCTTTTCATTACCCGTCTGCCCCCCCTTTTCGCCATCATCACCTAGAATATCTTCCAAGACTTCTTGTGCAAAGTCATCTTCTAACCAGTTCAACGCTCTAGTATCAGGTGCTATATCCCTCCTCCCCTCTCCTGATAGGTAGGGTATGTTCTTCATATATGGATGATGGTCTCGGATATCCCTGCAGTTTTCCATGACGAGAGAACAGAAGCTGAGGGAGAATGCGGTGGATACAGAATACAAGTGCCTGCAGGTTGGAAAGTGGAAAGCAGGTGCAAAGTGTACCATTGTGTTGATAGCGTAGAGAGGTCCGCACTCTTTTCGTCTAGGGAGAGATTGCTTAGTGGTGGCGATGTCGACATAGATGATGGTATGATGATGTGTGTAGTCAAGTCTATGGGTTGCTTGCTGTTCTAAGCCAAGGAGATGGTCAAGGTGTGCTGTGCTAATCGTGAGGTAGTGTCGATCCCGACATTTCTCCGGCACAGCTTCGCTTTGTCGCGTGCTTGCGACTTTTGAGTTCTGCCCATCCCCCCCTCTCTCTCTTTCTTCCTTGCTCTCTTTAAGAATCATCCTGCGTCCAACCCAGAAAGAAGAAATGATATGTGCGGAGGCTCAGTCGCATCCAAGGCAAACAATGAGTACGATGGCTATAGTCCAGAGCGTAAAGAAGCAGTAGGAATGAACGGAGGGAGTATCGACGATGAAAGAATGTGCAGCGTTCCAATCTCTTTCATGATCCTCGGGCGGCGGGTCTTGCAGGCGGCGACTCCGCCTGTGGTGCGTAACTGCTCGAGCCTTAGTTGACAATCGCAGGGCGGAGGCTCAACGGACCTGAAGCGGCGGGTCTTGCTGCCACGGTTCGTGATAAGCTGCCTGACAACGGCACATTCTCCTTACGGTCCGCTCTTGGCTTGGTCTGGCGGGGCTGTGAAGGAAATGGGTCGGTGGTTTGAGGTGAGAAGGTGGGTAGTGGAAATACATGCGGTCTTTCTTCTCGCATGTGCTCTTAGGCAGGAAATCATCATCTCTTGGTCAACTGGCGTGTACTCGCGTCTGCTTTGACCACGATTACGTCTTCTGGGCCTTAGTAGCAGTGTTGAATCCCAGTATGGCCATTGGGCGTGTGTAGGGATGTCTCTCGCTCTGGGACGACTGACCACGATGTCAGCACCCTTCGGTTTCCAGAACCTCTCTGCCTTTGGTCTGTCCAGCGGACCAAGCACCTTGTAAACATCGAGCTGTCGATTGGGGTCCATGGCACGCAATGCCGAAGATTGGGAGTACTGGACGTCCACGTATTCGTCAAAGTCCTCACATGTTGTGACCTTGACCACATTATCGAATTCTATCCATGCGACTAGCTTTTCGCGGCCACTTTGGCAAGTCACAGCCTCTCTCCACCATTGCGTCGGGACACTGTTGATGACTGTTCTGGCGCTCAGATCGCCACCGCCTGTTCCAAAATCAGATCGATGACTGCTTGTTGGGTTGATCTTACTCAGCGCGTTCATATATCACGTTGGAATATATCTCGTCTTTTTCTTCGAGGACGTGTGCCCTGTCCCCACGTCAGAGGAAGACTTGAGCAATACTCTACACATCACACGCGGTGAATGTGTTGGTGTTGGTCAAGCCCGAGACTTTTGTTACAGTTCGTTTGTGTAAAATAGTAAGGTTCGGCAAGTCAAATTCTGTCATTACCGAATGGACAACTATGAAAGATGTACATGAATTGAACACGCCTAGCTCAGTCCCAACTCCTTATAGAAAGCCTCAGTGCTGGGTTTCCTACCCAAAAAGTCTTCCAACGTCTGCATCTCATCCTGAGCACCGCCACGCTCAAGTACAGTATGCCTGTAGCGTCTACCCTCCTTGCCGTTCATGGGATCCTTCTTGAAAACACTGTAGAACATGTCGGCCGAGTAGACCTGAGACGACAGATAGCCGTAGTAACCAGCATCATAGCCACCAATGAGATGGCCAAAGGTAGCTTGACCATTACCCCAGTCGAGACCCTGACCGAGCTCTTCAGGTCCGTCGAGAGAGCAAATCTCCTTGCGGAGGGAGTTGTAGAGCTTGCTGACTTCGAGTGCCTTGATGTCGTCATGAGATTTGCCTTCATGTACAGTCATGTCGAAGATACCAAAGTGGAGCTGGCGGAGGTTAAACAACGCATCATTAACGTGACGTGTGCGGATAATGCTGTCAATCAGGTTATCAGACATGGTCTCTGGCGGCTGCTTGCCAGACTTGTTAGACTCTGAGAAGGCAGCCTTGTAGCTGTCTGAGAGGTAGCTGTAGTGGTGGGACAAGCTGCGTAGCTGCGATGCTGTCCAACACCAGTTCTCGAGCATTTGCGAGGGTGCTTCGACAAAGTCGCGGACGGTCGAAGTACCGTGGAAGCGAGAGTATGTGGTACGCGATACAAGATCGTGAATGCCGTGACCAAGCTCGTGGAAGAGAGTGACGACTTCGTCGTGCTTGAGGAGAGAAGGTTTCTTGGGAGTAGGCTTTGAGAAGTTGCAGACCAGGGCGGTTGCAGGGTATCTTCTCTTGCCGTTCTCATCAATGTATCCCGGCTGCAAGTTGAAGTTTGCAGCATGGCCGTACTTGCCATCGCGAGGGTGCAAGTCGAGGTAGAGGTAGCCGACAAAGCCACTTCCTTCACCTTCGTCATCCCAGACGCTGAAGATCTGGACGTCAGGGTGCCAGATAATGTCGTCACCCTTGCCAGTGGGACTGAGAGCGTCGCGGTCCTTGCCGGTCACCTGTACGAAGGCAAGACCGAAGAGCTCCTCGAAAATCTGTAGCATACCACGGATAGTGGTCTCGAGAGGGAAGTACTCGGCGATAGCCTCTTGCTCAAGTTGATACTCGTGCTCGAGCATGAGGGTGTCGTAGTATCGGTGATCCCAGAGGTAGTATTTGCCATCATTCTGCTCCGACACACCACGATCTTTGAAGTCCTTCTCCTTCAAAGTCTTGAGCTTCTTGATCTCCTCGACACCACCAGGCGAGAGACGAGTGCGGAGATCGCCGAGGAAGTCGTCGACAGTCTGTGTGGTCTTGGCCATCTTGTCCTCGATGCGGAAAGTGGCATGGTTGGGGTAGCCAAGGATGCGGGCAGCCTCGTCGCGTAGCACAATAGCCTCCTTGAAGAGGGGAACGTTCTCGTTGCACTTGTTCTCGTTGGATGTGAAGACCTTGCGACGAACCTCAGGGTTCTTGCAGTACTTCAGGGTGGGAAAGAGGTCGGGGTACTTGAAGGAGAGCCAAAGCTTGCCTGCATTGTCACCATCGCCCTTCTTGAGACCTTCGAGGACATCTTTGGGCACACCTTCCAGCTCTTGCTCGGCGAACCACAGACCGCCATTCTCTTCATTCAGGTTCTTTTGGAAGGTGATACTGAGCTCAGACAAACGCTTCTTGATGTCCTTGAAGCGGTCACGCTTGGGACCAGCAGGCACATTCAAGCCCATGCGCACGAAGCCTTTGTGGTCCTTCTCAAGCAGACGTTGACTCTCGGCGTCCAGGTCCTTCGAGTTCTTCAGAGCGGCATCAACAAGCTTGAAGATGTCCTCACGCATGCTAGACTCAATGCCGAAGTCGTCCATCTCTTTCTCGGCCTCGATCGAGGCGTCCCTCAGCTTAGAGTCGGTCGAGACGGCAGAGTAGAAGCCAAGGATGTGAGACTCGATGGCCATCTTGTTGTCGTCAAGAGCCATGGGGAGGACGACATTGTGGAAGTTTGCCGACTCGGGGGTGACGTCCTTGACGATCTGATCTTGGACTCGACGGGATTGGTCTAGGAGACGCTTGGTGTCCTTTGCAAGAGACTCTGTGGTTGCGGTAAAGAGAGGCGGTGCCTGAGGAGGCTTCTGGTACTTGGAGGAAGCCATGCTCATCGAGGTGATGTTTCTGGTAGAGGCAAGGCCAGAGGGGAGCTTGAGTGGGGCAAAGTGTGTCGTCAGTAGACTGAGACGAGAGGCGACGCGTGTGAAAGCCACCGTGAGGAGGACGAGGGCGATTGAGAGGAGGAAGAGAGATTTGTAGCTGAACCGCAACTGCTTCTTGAGTCTCGTCGTAAGCGCCAGCGTGAATGGAGCGACTGCGATGTGTCTAGTCTGATTCGAGAAGGTGCCCTGTTCGTGCCTGCCTCTTGCTAGAGCCATTCCCCGCCATATCTCGGACTTAAGCAAAACATACTTTGGCTCGTGTAACCCTGACGCAATGATTCATCATCCTTGTCTGAACATTGCGACATGTCAACTGTTCAGATGAGGTGTTGAATAGTGTACCAAACAATCCATCTATAAATACAGCTACAAGATCTATCATACTTGACAAGTCCCGCGTTCCGTTACTCCAGAACCATGCATTTCGTGCCAAAACCGTGCTACCGACTGATCCGAGCCGTGACCTGATACAACGTAGCACAATTCTACTCTGACTACTTGCAGACATGCATATGTCCCAACAAACCACTCTTTCTGACCGTCTCATACCGCTCTCGCAAGAGCATCACGCAGTATGCCGACATGAACCACAAATCCCGAATTTTCTCTCAGTGACGCCGTCAAAGCATCGTCTGAGAGTCTCCATGTTGTAAAGAACTTGTTGAACTCGTCAAGCCATTCCTCAAACACATCTGGCTGCCGGAGTTGTTGTGCTATTATGCAGACTGTTGCTCGTTCGGATGTTCTTGATTGACAAACATCCATGCATGTCTGAACGAATGGCTTGATGAGCGCATAGTTGTAGATACAGTCGCAAGCGATGACCAAATCAACACCTCCAGCTGCATCGTTGCTCTTGAGAAAAGAGTCTACATCGTCTGTCTCCCAATCCAACGACAAGACTTGTAAGTTTGAGGCTGGTGTCAGGCTCGCCTTCTTGGAAGGTTTCCTGCTCTTGCCGGTCTGAGTTGTCGCGATGTTCTGATCAATGTTCTCCTTGAGGAGTTTGAGGGCATACACTTGATCCGTGGCGATGTATTGCTGAACCAGCGGAGCCAAGGTCAGTGGTACGATACCGGCAATGCCAGCTCCCAATTCAAGCACACTCGACTTTGCAGATACGATGCCATGTTTCGATAGAATATTGCCAGGGCAAACCAACCACTCGGCGAACCTTGGAGTGACTTTCCAAACAACAGCACCTGTAGTGCCACCCCCTCGAGCCGAGTTGAGAACAGCGGGGGATTGCTTGATGACCAGATCACGAGACCCGATGGTCAGGTCAAGAACAGGGGCTTGTGAATCGATTATGCCAAGATTCTGAGAGGGGATGTCTTGGGAGAAGAGCAAAAAGGTTTCTGTATAGAACCTACCATTACCATGCTGAGGATAAGGAATGGGGCTTGGATTCTAGGCAATCACCTTCCGAGGCATCCTCAATCTCGGCACCTAGCTGGGTGATGAAGGAGGCGAGAGACATAGGTGACAAGTGAACAAGTACAGATTCTGTTATAGGAACTTCGTAGAGGTGATTATCCGTATGCTTAGAACAGAGCAGGTTGCGAGGATGGTGAGTCGGTACATTCATACAAAGAAAGAGTCGGAGTTGTAACTGTCCCCATGGCCGAAGCTCTGGCCTTTGGGTGGCGCAAGCACGGGAGGCAGTACGTCATTTATGCTGGGTTTGGAGCGGAGCCAACCAATTGTGTTTCTGACGCTTCAACGCGCCGCCGTCATCACAAGTCGCTCCTGCCAGAAGCTCCGCAGGTTGTCAAAACGAGGCTCTCCGCCCTTAGTATCCTACTTTTCATGTCTTTTGACAGTCTCCCCAACACAAGCAACATCTACAACATGCAAGGAACAGATCTGAAGAAGTTGGTTCCCCAGCCCAAGCCTTACAAGAAGGGCCCCTACACAGTTGAGGCCAAGGGCTACGAGAAGAAGGATGGCGAAACGATCCCTCGTGTGCACCCTTTGGCAAAGGACGGTCTCATCAGCACCCCGGCACCCGATGTCAAGACCATCTACGACATTCTGCGCAGCAGCTCAAAGAAATTCGGCAACGCAAAGGCGCTGGGTTACCGCAGCCTGATCAAGATTCACGAGGAGACCAAGCAGATCAAAAAGGTCGTTGACGGCAAGGAGACTACAGTCGACAAGAAATGGCAGTACTCTGAACTCAGCGGCTACACATACATCAGCTTTGTCGAGTATGAGCAGCTGTGTCTGAAGGTTGCCTCTGGTTACCGCGCTCTTGGCATGAACAAGGGCGACCGCGTCCACATCTTTGCTTCCACCAGCCCGTGGTGGCTGGCTACTGCTCACGGTGAGTCTACTCTTCTCAAGTCTACCAATTTTCTCCTGCTGACATGACCCTTATCAGCCGCCTCGACCCAGTCCATGCCCATCGTCACCGCCTACGACACTCTCGGTGAAGAAGGTCTTACTCACTCCCTCAAGCAAACCCACGCCAAGCTCATCTTCCTTGACCCCACCCTCCTCACCAAGCTCATCAACCCTCTCAAGGAGTCTAAGGATATCCAATATGTCGTCTACAACAGCCAGATGGAAGTCAAGAAGGAAGACATTGAGAAGCTCCAGAGCGCCCACCCCCACCTCACCATTCTCAGCTTCGACGAGCTCACAAAGAAGGGTGAGCAGAACATGGTCGACCCCGTCCCGCCAGAGCGCGAGGACCTCTGCTGCATCATGTACACTTCCGGCTCTACCGGTACCCCCAAAGGTGTCCTTCTCAAGCACAAGAACGTCATTGCTGCCATCGCTGGTGTCGACACTGTTGTCGGTGATTATCTCGGCCCTGGTGACGGTCTCCTCACCTACCTGCCTCTCGCTCACATTCTCGAATTTGTCTTCGAGAGCGCCTGTCTCTACTGGGGCGGTACCATGGGTTACGGAAACCCCAGAACCATCTCCGACGCCTCGGTCCGCAACTGCGCTGGTGACATTCGCGAATTCAAGCCCTCGGTCTTGGTTGGTGTCCCTGCCGTCTGGGAGACTGTCAAGAAGGGCATTGTGTCAAAGGTCGACAAGACTGGTGGTATTGCCAAGCAACTCTTCTGGGCCGGTATGGCCGCGAAGAGCACCATGATGAACCACTCTGGTATCCCGTTCACTGGTATTGGCACAAGTGTTATGGACTCAGTTGTCTTCAGTAAGATCAAGGAGGCTACCGGTGGTAGACTGAGGATCTGTTTGAACGGTGGTGGTCCCGTTGCAAAGGACACTCAGCGTTTCATCTCCATGGCCATTGCCCCTATGATCAGTGGTTATGGTTTGACCGAGACTTCCGCTATGGGTGCCATCATGGACCCTCTTGCCTGGACTGATGAGGCACTCGGTGGTCTGCCTGCCTCGATTGAAGTCAAGCTTGTTGATTTCGCCGATGCTGGCTACTTCTCCACCAACGACCCTCCTCAGGGTGAGATCTGGATCCGTGGTGACTCTGTCACTGACGGCTATCTCGATCTGGAGAAGGAGAACCAGGAGTCTTTCGAGGATGGCTGGTTCAAGAGTGGTGACATTGGCGAGTTTGACAAGAACGGCAACCTCAAGATCATCGATCGCAAGAAGAACTTGGTCAAGACGCAGAACGGAGAGTACATTGCTCTTGAGAAGCTCGAGTCCATCTACCGCGCCAGCAACGTTGTTGCCAACATTTGCGTATATGCAGACCAGAGCAAGAACAAGCCTATCGCCATCATTGTACCTGCTGAGCCTGCTCTCAAGTCATTGGCTTCAGAGTGTGGCAGCAAGGCTGGCGATCTTGAGGATATGTGCTCAGACAAGAAGCTTAATGAGGCTGTTCTGAAGAACCTGCAAGCCGCTGGTAAGAAGGGTGGTCTCTCAGGCATTGAGATCATCGAGGGTGTTGTCCTCGCTCCCGATGAGTGGACTCCTCAAAACCAGCTTGTTACTTCAGCACAAAAGCTGAACCGCAAGAACATCCTGGAGAAGTACAAGAAGGAGGTTGAGACTGCTTACAGCTCGTAGAAGACTTGAGCAGATTTCGATCAAGTATTTTGTATTCTGGACTCTTTTCCTTTCCCGCGTTATGATTTGCAACGATGCCGGCGCTAGATTTTAACTTCCTCGAGCAACTGGGCGATTTTGACAACTTTTTCTTTTATTGTTATTATGATTAGCACATAATTATACCCGACTTCTTCACTCTTGATCCATTCAACTCGGTTCATTTCTTCTTGCAGGTCTTGCTCATACTGTTCTTCACAGGTCTACCACCAGACTGATCTCCTAGGATCAGGACGTCGGATGCTCAAGACATCAACTGTAAAAGCGCCAAGGCTCGAGGAAGGCTATTCATGACAGCGTGCTGCTGACACCTAGAAGTGGAGAATCATGAATTGTGTTTGAGCAAGTTGCGATTGGAGCTTCACCATGCGTATCGCACAACGCTGTGGAAGCTGTTTCCCAACTCGATCAAGCACAACAGACCTGGAGCTGTGTCCTTCGTGGTGACCGTCCACTTTGCGCCTCTCCTCTAGCGCTTCATTGATGCTGTCGGCATCTTGGGAGTGTCGCGATCGGGAAATTGTGATATCGTCAACTCACGGACCGAAGGGAATCAGTGCCATGCTTTTGACAACTCTCGACTCAAGCCGGGAGTCAACCATGCGATTCGCCTTTTCCAACTGCAAGTTGCCTACAATTGGCCACAGCTACGGCGTCACTCGTGAATACCCGTACAAATGGTTTACACCACTTGCTCTAGTCGGAGGTGCTCTATCCACAATTTTGTTCTCGTCATTCAATTACTTTGGCAATGCGTATGCCATGATCGCCACGACTACTATGGATCCAAGCTTGGTAGAAGCCGATCGGTGGCCTGCTCTCATTCCAGGATTTCTCACCAGCAGGATCCAGCCGGCGTGTGAAGATACGACTATCCCTGTGGGAGCCTCTATCATCACCAATCAGACTGCGTTCTCATATCAGCTTAACGATGTCAAGGGGAATGATTCGAGGACTTTGCCGGCTTTGTTGTATCGTAATGAGCCCCTGGGGTCCTGCCATACCTCCAGTGTCCTGGTTGAGTTCCAGACATGGCAGGACCGCTCAGCTCCGGCCATCGATACATCAGCATGGAGTCTCAAAGTCAAACTTTTCACCGAATGCAACATCACCCGAACATCAGGAGAAAGCTCGAGCGCTCAATTGATAGCGAAGTTCGACCCCTTGGATGGCAATATGTTGGTCCCGAAGCCTGGAGTTGGATATCTCATGTCTACTGGCGCACTCTTCTACTGGGCACAATCTCTCATGGTTGCCTTTTCCATGGACACTTTGACAAAGCTCAAAAGCCTGACTGCTCAAGAGTCGCATGAAGATCAAACAATGACGCGCTACAACATCTCCAGTGGATATTGTTGGCTCCACCGTAGCGAAGAAAAAGACATCACATCTTCTTCCTTCTTCAGCACTTCCGACTGGGTCTTTTTCAACTTTGCAAATTCCAGCATGAGGAAATTCAAAGTTGATCAACCTCGATCCTCCCTTACTTCCCTGTCCCCTTCTGCAGGGTCACGAAAACCATAGCCTTTTCTCTGGCTCGAAGTGGATAAACTGGGGAAGGCTTTTTTGTCCACTGTCCAAGCCGATCTAGGACAACTACACATCCCTCCAGAAAGCAACATGCTCAACACGCCCAAACCCCTCCACTTCTGGACCTCGTCCCTCCCCGAAATCTGGAACCGAGCATCCCCATCAACAACCACCACAACCACTTTTGCCATCTTCAACATCTCCACATCCTCCTACTCCTCTTCACCTTTACACGCTTTGAACTTTTCCAAAGCGGTCATCAGAACGTTACATCAATGTCATGAACCGGAGAGAAAATCTACGGGGAATCTCATCATTGCGATTTTGGTGGCTGATATTGTGTTGTTGAGGGTTGCGCGGTGTGTTTATAATGCGGTTGTGGGCATGTGGTTGAAGGCTAGGCATCCGGAGGCTAATGCTTGTGGAGAGTGTTTTGGGAAGGGGAAGAAAGGGGGTTGGAAGTGTGATGATGGGGATGGGGATGGGGATGTTGAGAAGTTGTAGGGGATGGAAGAGGGGGTTAAGAGGGAGGATATTGATGGAGGTATGGGGGGAGAGGTAAAGGATAGGGTTTGTGTTGATGAAAAGGGGGTTGGGGGTAAGTTGTGTTGATGGATTGACGGAGGGGAAGTATTTGATAATGTATGAGTCTCTGAGGAAATGGCGATCATTCGAGTCGAGTCACCGGACTAGTTCATGAAAGAGTGAAGAAACGAAGGTAAGTGTCATGAAGAATTCGCAAGCATTTTTCGATTGAACTTGCCAGACCCGACCATGCAGGGATGCTTTTTTATTCATGACAAAAATTGAGCTTGATCATACACAATTGCACGAGTCTAATCTACACCGTCAACATCTCTACATCACCATTGATATTTACCCTCCTCACACCGTTTCTTCTTTTCCTAGGCACAACAGGTGCGCCCTCCCAAGCAGTCTCCTCAGGCAAAACCTCCCCCTTCATCAAAAGACTCAAACAACCCAACTGTGCTCCATCCCCCACCACACTTCCCGGCAAACAAACACTAAACGGCTTCATACAAGCCCTCCTCCCCACCCTAACATTGCCCACCTTCATAACCCTATCCTCAAAAAGATGTGTCTGAGCACCACAAAGCTTGTTAACCATACACTCATCCTCAAATGCCACACAATCATATTCCGTGATATCCGAAGAGAGAAGTGTAACTCTAGCACCGACTTTGGCACCCATGAGACGGAAACACATGGCGAGATATGGCGTTCCCACTAGATTTGCTGCTAGCAAGGGTTCGGTGAGGGTTTCCCAGGTGGAGGTTACGGCTTCACTCAGCCAGACTTCTAGACTCCAGAGGGGCCATTCTGCGGGTTTATAGCGGCCGATTAGCAGCCATTTAATCGCTGCTGTGAAGGTCAAGGCTGGGAGGGCGAAGAGGAAGAAGTAGAAGAGGGGGAGCATGAGTAGAGTGTGCACGGCGCCGATTTTGGCGTAGCCGTCGTGAGCCATTTGGAGACTGAAGCCGAGACCGAAGATGATGATCGCGCGGGGGATGACGATGCGGAGGCCTTCGATTGTGAGACGGGCGGCTATACGGCCAGCGGAGGGGCGGAAAAGGAGAGAGTCTTCGTGGCCTTCTGCTCGTTGTCGGTTTGGCATCAGGACTGGTGGAGAACCAAAGCAAGAGCTGTTATTCGCCATCGGTGTGTTTGCTGGCGGGGCGATAGAAAGGACACCCAGCAGTGTGCCGGAAGCAAGTGTAGTGCCTTGAGGAAGCACAGAGGCGTTTCCAGCAAAAGCGCGAGGTTCGAGCTTTGTCTTCGCCAAAGTAAGTGTGTTGTTTTTGACCACGCCTTCTCCCATGATAACAGCATCCGCGACGAAACTTTCCTCTCCGATCTCCAGAAGTTCGAAAGGTACATTGCGGGCGGTGGAGACTTCGGCGCGCTTGCCAATCTTTGTTCCCAAAGCCCTGAGAAAGGGAATTATGTAAATGGTTGCAAAAACAGGATGAAGGACATCCAGAGCGAGATCCATGAGTCTTTCAATGAACCATTTGCGAAGGTAAAAGACACTATAGATACTATACGTGCCTTCCTTTAGTTTACCGAGGAAAAGATGGCGGTAGAGCAGAAGCTGAGCAAACACCAAGACCTGGTAGGCGAAACAGATCGGTACTGATAGGATGGCGACTTGTTGCCATCCACTGATAGACCGGAAATCCAGCACGTCGAAGAGAATCAGACCAGGGATCTGGGGTACGAAGTACAGGAGAGGCAGAACCAAGAAGACTACGAATGCATTACCGAGCAACATGGCTGTTGCACGAGCTTTAGAAGGTCTTGTGTCCTCAGGTCGAGAAGATCCATCATCCGTCTTGATCTTTTCCAGACGAGCGGGCGATCCGTGGTAGCGATGGGAGTCAGGTACATGCATACCAGAAGGTACCAGAGAAAGCGATGCAATCTCTGCTCCGTTTCCGATCGTAGCATCACCTTCGATAGCACAACGAGACCCAATACTGACACCATTTCCAATGACGACTCGCTTGAGGATCAAACGTCCACGTTCAACCATACAGACGCCCAATAAAACATCACCACCGATCACGACATCATCCCCAATCTCAACAAGATCAAAGCAAGGTCCAATCTGCAAGGGACCAAGATGGCAAAATTGCCCAACCTTGGCGCCCATAGCTCTAAGGAAATAAGGGTATAATCCACTATCGGCAATCAACTTCGGATTTGCCAACGCAGTCAAGCGATCAGCGAACCACCAGCGGAAGTAGTAAACGCCATAAAGCGGATGCTCGCCCGGTTGTACTTTACCCAGAAGTATCCACTTGCCCATGAGAGCCACGATGCTCAGAGCAGGCGGGATGACCACAAAGACACCATAGGCCGCCAGGATGGCAAAACCAATCCTACCGGCAACAGCGTGGAAATCGAAAACCAGATACGGTACCAAGATCTCGATTGACTGCAAGAAGAAGAGGAAGAGGAGAGGTACAAGTTGAGCGATACCACAAAGCACGTACTTTGTCTGTGAGACGGGAAGGTAATCTCCAGTCCAGGGTCCAGTACCTTCTTCGTCGTCCAGAGAGTCAGTCTCATCAACGTCGATGCGGAGGCCTTTGCCTTGTGGTGAGACTTGAAAGCGAGAGGCGATGTTGGCTGGCGTACGTGCCTCATAGATGTCGGCAAGACCTATGGACGCAAAAGGTTGAGTGTGGTCTTTGTCGAGTTGTGCTTGTCGAAGTCGAGATACAAGGATAGCTGCAATCAGCGAGTGTCCACCGAGGTCGTTGAAGATGTCACTATCAGGCCTCACGCGTGCTTGAGGAAACAAAGGCGACAGTGTAGCGAGCAATAGACCTAGCACACCATCCATTGGCATCGTGCTCAAGGTGTCAATCGAGTCGTCGTCACTGCTAGACTGCGCGACCGCTCTTTCAGCATTGACACGCGTAGAGACATCTTGCAAAGCTTTAGCATTGATCTTGCCGCTTGGGAGTCTCGGCATCTCGTCTGCTTCCAGGAAGAAGATCTCCTCTGGACGCATGTAGGCTGGCAAGCTGGCGAATGCGGTCTGCTGGATTGCGGCAATATTACGAGAAGCTCCGTCTTTGAGGACGACGAAAGCTTCCAGACGTGCCGACTCAGAGTTTGCGTTGGCTAGAATGACGGATGCAGCTTGCACGTTTGAAACGCCGTAGAGTCGTGACTCGATCTCGCCGAGCTCGATGCGAAAGCCGCGGTGTTTGACCTGAGTATCGATGCGACCGAGGAAGATGATTTTTCCGTCGGCCTGTAATTTAACACGATCGCCAGTGCGATACAGCTTCTCTTCCCCAGCAGGCAGTAATGGGTGAGAGATGAACTTTTGTGATGTCAAATCAGAGCGTCCAACATAGCCAAGTCCAACACAAGGACCTCCAATAGCCAACTCTCCCTCAACGCCCTCGCGCCACTCTAATGGGTCGATATCGGCTGGCAGACTGTCATCATAGATATGGAGAAGGCACGCATGATATCCAGGCAGCGGTTTGCCAATGGTAACGGGAATACCAGGTTGGAGCTCGTCCCAGGTAGCAGTGACGGTAGTCTCAGTAGGACCATAAGTATTGATGATGCGAAGACCAGGTCTAGCAAGACGCTCCACCAATGCAGGCGGACAAGCCTCACCACCAAGGTTGATCAGGCGTACACACGACGGAAGAAGAGAGTCGCCATCGTCTGTTCGTGCGATGTTCATGATGCCAATCAGGGTAGGAACAGCGTTGACAAGAGTGACACCACGGCTGGCCCATACTGAGGGTAGGGCAGGTACGTCGCGGCATTCTGCTCTAGTGCCGATGGCGAGGTGACCTCCACCAGCGATGGTGACCCACATCTCCTCGACAAACATGTCGAATGCTGGACTGAAGCCGTTCCAAACGATGTCTCGCGGACTTGTTTCCAGGACCTTCTGCTCACTCAGAGAGAACATTAATGCAGCTGAGTGAGGAATAGCAATGCCTTTAGGCGTTCCCGTCGTTCCCGAGGTGTATATGAGATAGGCAGCATCTATAGGTCGAGGACCAGGTATTGACCCAGCGGCTGTAGTGCTGGAAGCATGTAGTGATCTCGCTTCCAGAGACAATCCAGAGATTGTGCGACATTGTAAGGGCGACTTTCCAGTGCCTGACATGTTCAGTGCAACTCGCTCTTGCACATCCCGAACTTGATCCGCATGGGCCTCATCACTGATGATCAAAGAGACAGAGGCATCAAGCGCGCAGACGGCGGCACGCTCTGCAGGGACATCTGGATCGAGAGGAAGCCATGTGGCGCCAGAGTATGTAGTTGCGAGGATAGCGATGATTAGGTCGAGGCCCTTTTCTAGCCAGATGGCTACTGTTGGTACTTTGTAATCTCCGGTCTGTGAGGAGAGGGCTGCGATGCGTATGGCCAGAGACATTGCTTTGGCATCTGCCTCAGCATATGTCATTGTCTGTAGTCCATGTGGTGTTTGAACAGAGTACGCAATGCTGTTGGGTTGTATAGTTGCCATGTGGTGAAACAACTGCGGTAGTGTGGTCACAGACGTTGGTGCGACTGGCTCCGCATCGAGAGGCGCATCGCCTATGAGAAATCGAGAGTCCATAGCGAAGTCCGCTGGTGAAGACGGGAGGCCGGATAGACGTTACCTGAGGCAATTGGGCAGCCTCTGTAAGGATCTTGCGAGAAGAAAGGAGAAAGAAGAACAAGGACGAAAGACTGCACAAGGCAACAAGATCACCAATGAAGAACGTATCAACAGTGTACGAAGGATGCAGGGATGGCAAATCAGGCAATGAAGGTGATCCTATACTTTACATTATCCGAAATTCGGTCTGTGACATACCCACGCCTTCTCACCTCGAGCTTAAGAGTCTGAGGCATTAAACAGATCACGCCCGCGGATGGCGTAAAGTCGTGCTTTGGTGTCATCTTCGTCGTATAGAGCCCAAGCAAGGCCAGAACACGCCCCGCTGACCATACAGAAAGTCGCCGAGTTGCACGTTTAGTACGGGGGACCCGGACGCGCGGCATTCATGTATGTAGAGTTCACACGGTATAGACTTTTGGCGCTTCGAAAAAGGCCAGAGCGTCAACGTTGTCGGAAGATGACCGGAGACCTCGCTGACAGCTGGTGTACACATGGTACAGTGAGACGCGCTCTTTGGTCCGTCGTCTCAGCATGAATTGATTGTGCCATGCTTCGGCCAAAACGTACGAGCATCGTACGTTGATAATTGGCAGAGATGAGGTGAAGTCTGAGGATGTCGTTGTGCATAGAAGAGAATCACGCAAAGGCTGACTACGCCAAGACGAGACTAGCACTCCCCCGCACCCGAAAAGGCTTGTGTGAGGATTGCGTGTCCAAGGGGGTCCAAAATTAGTGCCTTCCTGTTCCCTAAGCAAGACATCAACGAGACATTCCCGTAAATCTCTCACCGATGCTACCGACTGATACGAATGTTTAGGCTTCAAAGGTTGCAATTCTTGTTACAAATAGCCACTTCCATCCTCGTAAAACCTGCGAATCTTGTTTTTCTAATTACTTTCTAACCACCACGAGCCTTGCCGTACACATCCTTGCTGGCCATCTCCTTACAAATAGGATGGTAAAACTCCTTGTACTTCTCGAATGTGTGCTGAGCGAGCTTCTCATCACACTCCCGGAGGTTACGGTACAGTGGACGCACAAACTTCATGCGACCGACTGTGCCCAGCAACTCGGTGGTGGGGATGTATACGCTCTCGCATCTTGCCTTGAGACCGACAATCATGTATCTACTGACAACTTCGACGTTCTTTGACTTGGCGTAAGAGTAGACCTCGCCCATCTTCTCAACGAGGGCGGGTGAAAGAGGAGTTTTCCAGGTCTGAATCTTCTCAAGGAAGACGACAGATTGGTTGGCGGACCAGGATGAGATGTCGGACGCGGAAGGAGTAAAGTCTAATTTGCCACCGTTGAGCGACTCCCACTTGTTGGCAAGATCGTAGCAGACGTCAACCATGCTGGTGTCAAAGTCAGGCTTGGGTGGGTAGCCAGGCTTGTAGAACCAAGTGTCCCAGTCGACAGAGGTCAGCTTGTCGGTCGCCTTCTCGTCCTTTGCAAAGAAGTCGAGAAGAGTAGCCTTGAACTCATAGGAGTCAAGAGACTTCTGGGCGAAGGTGGTGAAGTAATGAGGAATGAAGTTGTCCCACTTCTCCTTACCAACCAGCTTCTCGAGGTAGTAGAGGAAAGTGAAACCCTTCTCGTAAGGGATGCTAGAAAATGCATCATCAGGATCCTTGCCCTTGAGATCGGGGATCAATTTTGTGTATTCGTGATCGGCGCCGTAGCCCTCGATGCTATCGGTCAACGCCTTCCAGCCAATGATGGCGCTGAAGTCTCTGTGAGGCTCGCCGTGGATCGAAGCCTGGATTCTACGTTCGAGGTAGACAGTCCAGCCCTCGTTCAGCCAGAAGTGCTCCCAACTGCAGTTGGTGACCAGGTTGCCGGACCATGAGTGAGCAAGTTCGTGTGCAATGACGTCGACGTTCTCACGGTCGCCAGAGATCAATGTAGGTGTTGCGAACGTGAAGATTGGGTTCTCCATTCCGCCTAGAGAGGTTAGCCTTGTTCGAATAGATTTGCCTTGTGACGAAGCTAGGCTTTGGGGGATATTGTCGAGTATGGACTTACCATAAGGGAAACTGGGAGGCAGGACAAGAACATTGTACTGCGTCCAAGCATAAGGGAAAACAATCCTCTCGGCAGCCTGGATAAATTTCTCAGTTGGCTCGAACTCCCACTGCGAAGCCAACAACTCCTCAGGACCAGTGTGAACACAACTGCGAGGACCGATAGCAGCAGAAGCAAGATCACCACTAGCAAGCGCGAAGAGGTAGACGGGCATCGGGATCTTTTGGTCGAAGGTATAGAGAAGAGTTCCAGGAGCATCATTCTCGCCATGGCGGAAGTCCTTGTTTCCGGTGGGGAGACCACTGGCGAGGACGGGGAGGGGAGAGCGGATGTTGAAGGTGAAGGTTGACTTTACGTCGGGAGTATCCTGGCAAGGCAACAGAGAGCGAGCGTGGATGGCCTGGCATTGAGAGAACATGTAAGGATGTCTCTTGTTGGAGGTTTGTTCGGGAGTCATCCATTGCACAGCAGTACACTTGTCGGTGGTAGCCATGGTAACCTCAATCTCAGCATCTCCAGAGTGGTCGTTAGGAATATCGATGGTAAGAGGACTTCCATAGGGCTCGACTCTCTCTCCGAGGTTCCACTTGGCCTTCTTACCAGCAAGCTTGACATCTTGAATGTCAAGGAAACTGGTATCAAGGACGACTTTCTGGCTTCCTTGACCCTTGTGCAGTCTTGCCAATTCGAGCTTGATGGTACCAGCACATCTGTTCTTGGCAAATTCCAGCTCCAAGTTGGCAGTCACATGCTTGGTTCTCCAGACATTGTAGTTACTCAGAGTATTGGGATCTCTGGGCTGGTGAATCGAGGTGTCAACATCATCCGGGATGGGGCGATCCAATATTGCCGCGGGGGATTTGTGCATCGTTGCAAATGTCCGCGAGTTTGCGATGGATCTCAATGGCGCTGTCGCGAGGAACTTTGTATGAAATGCTGTTGAACTTGTGATTCGATTGAACAAAGACGGGAACACCTTGTTCATTTGTCTTGTGGAAAAGGTGCAAGTTTCGCAGCGGCTCGCGTGTTCTTCTTAAAATGGAAGGTCGTAGGGCGCCTGGACTGAGCTTCACTCAAAATCTGGAGAGAGCTTTGGTTCGCATGACTCACGTGTGGAGCTCTCTCGTAAAAACAGCAGAATTTCAACAACACAAGCACGAACGCTTTATTCCTTAGTTTTGATATCGTGCCCATAGCTGAGGTTCTATACGGATTGATAGTCAAGGCTCCCACGAAACAATGGAAACTGCCATAGATCCGATGGTCACAAAGAACTTTTGTTTTGACCGAACCAGAAATGACTCCAAACGTGACAAAATTGGCTGACTTATCTTCGAATGTTTGGTACACTTGGTACACTTGGTACACAACTACAGATATTACAAGGCCTGCTGTGCATTCAACAACAATTGTCGCTACGATGAAACCTTTAGACCAAGTGAATTGCAGGAATACAGCGAATAGCCGGATTGTCGCGAGGGCAACCTTGCCGAAGCTCAACATGCGAGCCTCTTTCAATATCTCAAACCTGACCACCACCACCAATGATCAGATCAACATTCCCATTTCCCTGACTAGCGCGAGAGCGAGAATACGAGAAACTCGCTCGTCTTCTACCGTTCCTCAACATCTTGCCCATTTGATCGCCAAGCTTGAGTCCTCTAGTCGTCAATGAGAACCAAGAGACCACCGCGTACAAGTAAGGAATTAGCACCCAGGGAACGTTTGGCTGAGTATCCCAGCAGTAGAAGGAAACCAGGAACATGGTGGGATCTGTGGCCGCGGTTACCAAGATTATGACGAGGAAGCCTGTCCAGCGGGTGCGGTGACATTTGCGTGCGTATGCGACGACGATGAGATAGAGCGAAAGGACGAAGATAACCCCATATCCAGCGACCCAGTAGGCGATTTGGATATCCCGATAAGGGATAGGGATCTTCTCAGCATGCGGGTCATGTTCTTCCTCGTCTGGCTTGTCGAACTTTTCGGCGTGGCGGAGTGAGAGCAGGACGGCCAGAACCATTAAAAAGATCGATGCAAAAAGCATCAGCCATATGCGCCAATAAGGTCGATAGTGCGCGGAAGTCTGAACAAGGAGCCGGATGATGGGTCCGATAAGCAAGGGAACGAGAATCACACCGGCGGTCAGAGGCAGTGCGAGCTGCAAGAACAATGTCATGGTCCAAAAGTGCTGGGGTGGCTCGGCCTCCTTAGAGTCCTCCTCCACCGCCGCAAGAAGAGATGAGGTTGAGGGCGAGGTCTTGTTTTGCAATTTTGGATGGTGCAGCTCGGGGAACAAAGGTTGGCTGACGTTCATGCCGAAGATGGCCTTCAGGATGATTAGCTTCGTCTTGAATCACTAGGCCATTTGTTCTTACTGCGATGAACGACATTGGTATGAATAAAGCAGCGGCCACAGTGAGTATGAGTGTTCTCTGGCCCTGAGCAAGGCTCATTTGTTCCATGATTTGCTCTTTGCCAGTGGATATGATCTTCTCTAGCAAGACAAGCTCTTCTCTCAAGTATTGGAGATCAGTTTGCGTATCCTCAATGGCTCGCTTGATCGCCTGACTGTCATTTTGTGCTTTACAGCAAAATCGGGCGTTTTACATGGCGAGTCGCAGTCGACCTAGGGTCGCCGCATTGGTCTCGACATCTTTGATACCCAGAATGCGACAGTCATCGAGATGTACCAGATACTGTATCTTACTGCTTGTGGGTATGCGTCTACCTGCAATAACCAAAGCAAGAGGTCAGCGACGCTCGAGATGACAGCAAGCCCGGGCTTACTGTTTTGCGACACTTCCTCTGCAATTCCGTCAAGAAGAGATGAGTGTCTCCAGCCATCACTGCGAAAAGATCCATGACTATGTCGAAAACTTCGTGCGTAGCATTCCAGCGATGCGATGTCTTGAGGCTGACGCCAGAAGTGTGTCGACCGCGAGCGGCGAGACGACTTGAAAGACACGTTGGTTCGACACATATGATCAAGCGACGATGTAAGGGAACGCATTGCGTAACACGTGGCGAGACCACTGTAGCAGAGTAATGGATTCGGGGTCCGGAACGGAGATGAGGTTGCCAGACATAAACATGCAAGTCGTCTTTGTAACTCATGACTGTTCTTTGCCAGCGCAAAGTAAACCTCTCTTCGGAGGTCTCGAATAACATCATGTTGTTGGTTGGGGCTGTGCTCGATGGCAGCTGAGACGGTGGTTGAACGGGGACCGGATCATGGGAAAACGGAATGATTGGGTTCAAAAGACCCCATGCCAAAGCGACTTGTAGGGCGACTAACCGGGCAGGTGCGAGATATAGAGCGGGTAGATTCTGCTGGATGAGCTCAAATGTCTTGTGGTGAAATTTGAGCGAAGCAGGAGTGACATCGACGTTGGGCGTGATAATACTGGTGATCAAAATCAGTAGGCTTCGCAAAGCGGTCCTGAGTCGACATACCATAAGATCAGCGCGTCCATACCAAAGGGATGAACACTGCCTTCTTCCACTCCTTCTTCGAGATACTCATCCACGGTAATGTTCTGGTTCGCAGAGAAAACATGCCCACCCGGAAAGGGTAACCAGTCTCCTCGTCCGGACTCAGAAGTGTCAAACGCCATCGAAGAGTGAAGAACCATCGGAGGATGGACTGGTGGGTGGAGCACCAGAAGTCTAGCAATTGATTCGATCATCCTCTTGCCAGGCCTGTCTTTGTAGTACTCGAAGTGCCTTTCAAGCATAGTCTTTTCCGCCTCAGTGGCGCCAAGCGAGTCCATACCCCAGGTAAGCGAGACCTTCATGAGCTTCGGTAGTGTAGTCATGACTTCGTTACGTCAAGTGACAAACGATGGGAGAATGAGGTGCTGATGCGATGATAACCTCCAGGGCCATCTGATGAGTTGAAAAGGCATAAGAGAAAGGCAGGATGCGACTACATACTCTTGGTCAATCGATTTTCAATCCATGACATTATACAAAATAAACAAAACATGAGCCAGGACTAGGTTAAGTTGTTACGCGACAAGGTTGATGGCAATATAGCATGTGTCGAACCATCGACTTGACTGTTGATGAGGAAGCCAGAGAGTTTGGCAGATGTCTAAACCAGCAACCTACCTTTCTCCATGTACGCGTTCAGGGGCTCCATAGAGGCGTGCAGATGAGAAGCGACGCCATTGTGATTGGTTGGATGTGTATGTGTGATAAGTGTAGGTCACAGAAACTGCCTCAGCTGTGTTTGGTGGCCAGCTCGAGGAATCAATGTGGAGACGCTGCCAGAAAGCTTGACTTGTTGCTTCTTTGAACTCTGATAAGTGGCAGCAAAACCATGGCAACAACCAGCAAAGCAGGTGATAGAAGGGCAGACGCTGAGTGGAAGATGATGAACAAGTGAATGATGGGAAGAGTGTTCTTGACATGCGCCCGTGCACATACTCGAGGCTAGCTTCGTGCAGGGCATGAGCGAGCCATTACTCCTACCAATCTGCGCAAGCGGCACTGGACAACATGAGATGTAGGGGAAATGGATAATTGTGCTTTCGGTGAGTCGTATGTTATCATAATTAAAGTGATCAAGCAGCCTTAGCTAGAGAGATGTTCTCAACATGCTGCACATCCTGGTAGTTCTTTCTCTCGTGCTCCATGATGGCGTCCACCTTCTTCGCACTTGCGCTCGTCTCGTCGAACTTGTAGCTCAGCCACTCCTTGGCCAGTCTTCTTGCAACCTCGACCCCAACGACTCTCTCGCCCATACACAGGACTTGAGCATTGTTACTCAAGACCGCTCTCTCTACTGAGAAGCTGTCATGGGCGGTGACGGCACGGATGCCAGGCACCTTGTTGGCTGAGATAGCGACGCCGAGACCGGTGCCGCAGATCAAAAGCGCGCGGTCGGCTTTGCCTTCTGCTACAAGCTTTGAGGCATCGACGGCAGGGTGTGGATATGCTGTCTTGTCGTCGCTGCTGTTGACGCCGACGTCAATGACCTTCTCCACACGAGGGTCGTTCTCGAAGTCTGCCTTGATCTTGTTCTTGTATCCGCAGCCAGCGTCGTCGCACCCAATGGCGATGGTGAGGGGCTTGGTGGCTGACATGGTGTGTTGTTTCTCCTTCTTCTCAACCCGAGAGGGCGTGGGATCACAGCTGACTGGTATCGTAGCCGACGGTAGCTGGATGGTGGGATGGTTCAATGTCGAGCGTGATCGAGTCTCCTTGTTTTGTCTTTGTTTCCGAACCAGTGGTCTCGACGGTGTAAGGGTTTGTGGTCAAGGTGGTGGTATGAGAGGATTCGTGAGGCGTACCGTGGACGATGGTCTGTGTCTTGCCAGTCTTGTTGTCGTGTATCTGCTCGTGCAAGTGCTCGGCTTCAGTACTAAAGGAGGACGAGATCTGGATGCGCTTCTTGGAGGGAGTCGAGGGTGACATTTTGAGTTCTTCTGAGGGAGGATCGCTATTTGTACGAGAGCGACCACGTTCCCGCAGCTATTGGTTGGCGGCGGTTGGCTGAGGGGTTCCTGTTATGAGAGTCCGGCGAAAAGACCGAGTTTGGCATGCTCCTTCCTCAACTTTCGCTGTTCTGCGGGGGAAAGCGCGGGGCTCCTCATGCCTTCCTTCCCCGGACTACCTCTTTCGGCATGCCGTCGTGCCTTCCCCAACCACTATGACTTTACCCACCGACTACCAAGTATGTACTCCCGGAAGACAGCCTGTCGAATGGCGGCTGTTATCTCTCAGCTTGCGTGCTATCTCGGGGGGCCAGTTCTGCTTCAAAGGATCGTTCTGTCCGTCCTACTTCTCAGTCGCGATGAGGATGTTCAATAGCTTTGTCTCAACACCCGTCATCAAGATCCTCCAAGACCATCCCTGGATCGACGTTTCCATCCCCGCAAAGAGCACGAGACCACATCGCATTAGCAATCTATCCAGCGGCATGATGATGCCGTATGCCAATGCCTTTTCCTTTTGGCCCGCGTAGGTATCTCATCACCACCTGTAGTCTGGCCGTCCATCTTCTTCCACACGCTTCAACACAATTGTTTTCTCGTCATCTTCTCAAAACTGTCCGTGAATGCTTCGCGACATCGTTCTTGTACCTGCAGACCGGCATTGGCACTGACATCACACCACCTGTGAGACAAGCATTCAACATCTCACTTGCGGCCACTTGCCGTGGGCTTCTGGTTTTCGTGTTTGCTGTGCGACAACACTCCACTCTTTACTACCTGCACGACCATCAACATAAACTGCAGGCAGTTAATCGTGCGTTTGTTTTAAGCTTACATTCACTCACTGCCCTTTCTTCTACCTCGCACTCAATTAGAGGTACTTTTCCTTCTTCCTTCACCTTCGTCTATTGAGACGATTCCATATCTCTCTCTTACTTCAACACGACCACGTCTTCACAGCAAGGTACTCACGCTTGCTGCGTCCGTCCTGATCAGCTCCCTCTCCATATCACACCTCAGCTTCATCTAATAACAATGTTTCGTCTCAAGAGCCTGGACGCCAATGTTGAAGCCATCATCAATCCTCCACCCAAGCCACGTCCTTCTCCAGGCATGCCTCTCCTTAATGGAAACGTCAGTCAATTCCTTGCCGGCCAACCTCGCGGTTTCACCAATGTCGCCGTCGCCGCAGCCGTGTTCCATAAAGATCGCCTCCTTCTAGTCCAACGTGCCGACACTGACAGCTACCCTGGCCATTGGGAATTGCCTGGAGGATCAGCTGATCCATCGGACAAGTCCATCAGCGAGTCGGTCGCGCGTGAACTGTTCGAGGAGACCGGACTCAAGATGAAACGCATCCTCGTCGAAATCCTCCCACCCACAACCTTCTCCACTGGATGGGGCAAGCGCCAGAAGACATGGCTCAAGGCCAGCTTCGTCATCGAGATTACTGCAGAGTCCAAGGCCCGAGCTGAACACGAGGTCGAGATGCAAGGATCAGGTCAGGAGCTCTCTCGCAAGGATAGTGTTGTTGCTGTCGATCCTCCTGCCGTCAAGCTCTCGGATGAAGAGCATCAGAAGTACATCTGGATTACAGCTGAGGAGGTGATTAAGAACAGAGTGTCGATGCCAGGCGAAGGCACGATGGAGTTTATCGGATCGGACAGTGTATCGACCATACTTGAAGCATTCCGCTTGAACAAGCACATGCAGAAGGCGGAGCTGATGCAGGCACTGCAAGTGACCAAAGCTGAGGAGGGAAAGGCTTGAGTCTCGGGCAAAGCGATGCGAGAAACCATGACGGGTTGCTAATCAGAGATGACGGATGCTACGAGCTGCAGTAGATGGTTGCATCCGATGCACGCGATGGACAAATGGATAGAAAGGAGGCCCACATGCTGGGCAGGGGCTGATACAGAGATACCCATATTCAAAAGTTTGCGGGAACGGTCTTTACACACACTCAGGTAGTCACGAAATATGACAATCAAGTTGCGACACACGTAGATGCTCTTTGGTGCTGTAGCATGCTGTGAAGAAGTTTGCCCTATGATGAAACATGAAAAGACAAAGCACTTGGGTCGTGGCGGTCATGATGAATCGGCATCCAGCCTGATGCGAAAGCGAGGCATGGTGTTCAGAGCAGCAAAAGTATAATGGCGGTAAGTTGCAGAAAGACGCAATATATGACGGATTGGCTGCTGCGACAGACACAAGATGTTCTTGAAAGAGAGTCGAACAAGGTTGAGGGGGAACCAAGATCGGAAAGGACCGCCGAAAATGGCAGATGGACTGCAGCAGAAGGTGGAGGAGAATTGCTGACGGCAGGACAAAACGAACCTCGGCACAACGCGAAGAGGGTTTCCGGTCAAGCAAGCAGGCGCGAAGAGAGTAGGTCGATGAGGAGTTCCAGCCTTTTACAACAGATATACAGACAAGGTGCGGGCAGGCTGCATGCGCGACTAAGAAGCTGCAGGACTGCGAACAGGAAAAGCGACTCGGGACAACGGACAAGGAGGACTTGAGCTTGCATCGTCCATCGTTCTTTCCCACTTTCGTGCTTTCCCTTTCACATGCGACGCTCTTCAAGCTCGCCCTGATCATCCCACTTTCTTCGCGACGACGCGACTCTCGGCAAGGCTCAAGACGTCCGACGCGTGGATATGAGCTGAGGGTTTGGACGGGTATAACGACACTCTGATGGCCGACCGTCTATCCGCCGGCGCGATGTCTGCTCCACCTCCACCGCAGCAACAGGCATCCACGCAGCAGCCGCAATCGGCTCAGCACCACACACCACAGCATGGCCAGCATCAACCTTCCCCGCCGATGAGTCAACAGGGCGGCTCAGGTCCCAGTTTCCGGAGGTACGCGCCCATAAGTATCGGTATAGCCCATGGCCTGACACTGACGCGACCCTGACAGACAACGCGCTTCCAGAGCCTGCGAGGTGAGTCCATCTCCGACTGCTTTTTTCTCCTTCTACCACACATTACTGACCCAGTACTACAGACATGTCACGCGCGCAAGGTCAGCCCAACCCACCACCTCGAGCCCTTCTCGTAACCCTCGTTCTGACGCGTCCACTAGGTGCGATGCGATGCCGCCAGCCTCGGTGTACCCTGCACCAACTGTGTCGCCTTCAACATCGAGTGCAAGATCCCTTCTCCTAAGCGCAAGAAGACGTCCTCCAAGCAACAGAAAGAATCAAACAGGTACGTCGACACGCTGCCCCTGGAAGACACTTCTAACTCTGCCAGCGACCGCGAAGACAGCGACAGCATCGTCCACCCCTCCCCCGCTACCACCGAGACGCTCGCTCGTTCCGATGTCGCCAGCCAGGCTCCCATGCAGATGCCGCAACTGCCCCCTCGGAACGGCGTCGACTATGCTGCTGTCAGCGGCATGCCCGCGACCACCCTCTCAGAAAAGTACCAGGAGCAACAGCAGATCCACGATGCAACATGGAGTCAGTACATGAAGCCAAAGTTTGCTCGTGCACCGATCAAAGAGGCTGGTCGCGTCGCATACTTGGGCGAGTCCTCGAATCTGTCCCTGCTCGTCCACGACAAGCACGGCGCTTCCGATGTCGTACACTACCCCCTGCCCGAGAACGTGCGTGGTACTCGTGCTCGCATGAATGAACTCGATGAACTCGAACTTCGCATTCTGCACGAGAGAGGCGCCTTCTTACTACCACCTCGTCAACTCTGCGATGAGCTGGTCGACGCTTTCTTCACCTGGATCGCTCCTGTTGTGCCTGTGATCGATCGAAACAAGTTCATGCGACGCTACAGAGACCCCAAGAACCCTCCTTCATTACTTCTGCTTCAAGCAATCCTCCTCGCCGGATCGCGCGTGTGCACCAATACTCAACTCATGGATGCCAATGGCTCCACGACACCGGCCGCCATGACCTTTTACAAACGAGCAAAAGCCTTATTCGATGCCAACTACGAAGATGATCGCATCACAATCGTCCAAGCAGTCATCCTGATGGGCTGGTATTGGGAAGGCCCAGAGGGTAAGATGCGATACACCGGACTACCACGTGAGTGTCAATCTGACATTGCTTCAGATGTAACAAAAAATGTGTTTTATTGGAGCAGAGTTGCCGTCGTCATTGCCCAAGGGTCTGGCATGCACAGAAGGTGAGAGTTCCGTAGAGTCGTCCTGTGTCCCTCTATTAACCCATGTACAGCGTGGAGAAGTCTCAATTGAGTCAACAGGACAAACGTTTGTGGAAACGCATCTGGTGGACGCTTTTCACACGCGATCGCTCGGTGGCCGTCGCTCTCGGTCGGCCGTGCGGTATCAACATCGAAGACTCCGATGTCGAGATGATATCAGAAGAAGATTTTGTCGAAGACGAGACTGACGACGAGATGGAATTCCCTCCCGATCCGATTCACATCCATTTCTTCCTCAACTACGTCAAACTTTGCGAGATAATGGGTTTGGTGTTGTCCCAGAACTATTCCGTCGCCTCGCAAAAGCGCGGCCGTAACAATGCAATCGACCTTACGCACTGCGACATGGCATTGGCCGATTGGTTGCAGCATTGTCCCAGAGAAGTCTACTGGGAGAAGAATCGTCATCATTTCTGGTCTGCTCTTCTCCATTCAAACTACTAGTACGTGTTCGATCCTTCTCTTGCTTCATTCGGAGACTGACTCTTACAGTACCACACTTTGTCTGCTTCATCGCGCTCATATGCCACCTGCCGGTTCTTCGCCAGAGATGAACCGTGTGAACGGCTTCCCAGAAGAAATGACATACCCGTCAAAGAACATCGCCTATCAGGCAGCCGGCATGATCACGTCCATCGTCGAGGCTTTGACTAGTCACAACGAGCTTCAATTTACTCCTGCTTTCATGTAAGTGTTCTTCTTGGTCCTCCATTGATATCATTCTGACCCTCCCATCAGCGTCTATTCTCTCTTCTCCGCTCTCATCATGCACGTTTACCAAATGCGTTCATCCAACCAATCGGTAGTGCACACCTCTCAGCAGCGCTCGACGATATGCATGAACGCACTCAAGGACGTGTCTCGGGTTTGGCTTGTTGCCAAGATGGTACATACCCTGTTCGACTCTATTCTCGGTAACAAAGTCCTCGAGGAGCGACTACAAAAAGCTGCCGGGAAACGACATGGAAAGCAAAAATCTATGCAATCCGCAAAGATCCCTCTGTCGCGTACTAACAGCGAACAACATAAACGCAAGTTTGACGACATGGAGTTCGGCTATGGTGGAGGTCCGCCAGCTGCTCAAATGTCATATGAACGCTCAAGACCACAATCTCCTGTTAACGCTCCACGGGAACAGCATCCCATGCCTGGACTTGGTAATAACGCAAGCCCCTCTCTGCGCCAGGACGCCTTCATGGGCACTTCCCGCACCAACACACGACCTACTACACCGTTCAATACCTACTCATATCCCGGTACACCACCAGATCTCTTCCTTCACACTCGCACTTCACCAAATATTTCGCAGGATCTGTGGCAGAACTATCAACCAGATCAACTGTTCCCACCCGACACATCAGGCATGTTTCCGATAGGAAGTCCTGTGCAGCAAGCGACCATGGTAGATCCTGCCTTGAGAGGGTCAGCAGGCTCACAACCACCACAGTCATATGCTAATTCTGGACAACCGCCTCCTCAATACCCTCAGTCAATGATGGATACTGGAGCACCTCAGCAACAACAGTATCAAGGACAACAGCAACCTGTACATCTACAAAACCAGTACGTTCAGATGCCGGAGAACGGCGATCATCAGCAACGAGCGAATATGGAAGATACGTGGAGTAACAACAGTGGATCTACCACCGGAGGCCATGGACCTAATGTGCCGACAACGCTGAATGTTGGCGATTGGTTTGAATTCTTTGGTATACCTAATGGGGACCTGTCTGCACTGCATGCGCAGCAGTACTGAAGTTGCTCGTGGATATGGTTTCTCTTGTGTTCACTTGCTTATTCTTCGTTGCTTTTCAGGCGTGGCGTATGGTGATAGGGTCGGGTTTGGGATGCAAACAGTATGCCGATACGGAGAAATTGCTGCCGCGATTGCATAACATGTGCAACAAAGCATGGAGAATATGGGTATGGTTTTACTAGCTTGATAGCCTCTTGCAAAAATGTGCCGCGACTTCTATATGTAAGTCCTACATTGATCATCTTGTTGCTTTTTTCTGCATTGTGATATGGTCTCATCCTTTCAATTTGCTCCACGTCTCCACATGCTTCCTTGAGTTGGGAACTTGATGTGCATGAAAGAAGGCCAGCTACGCATTTGGCTGCATAGTCAAGTGTTTCATGGAGGATTTGAGTGGAAAAACGTGGACTTTGGACCCCAAATGTACAAGAATATTCTCTCTTTAAAAGGCAGCTATGGAACCTATTCAAGCCATTTGCATTCAAGCTCTTCCTTGAGGCTCTTCAAGACTCTTTCCATTAGGTAAGGAACTCATTCACAATTGAAGCTGCGCCTCTTTTGCCCCAATTACGAATCTATGTGCAATTCCTCTTTTCATCTTTTTTTGTCACTGTTTTGGATGGCTACTTTCATCGTGGCTCTTCTTCATTCCACCCATCCTTGGCCTCGCCACTCATAACTCTTGTCAAGATTCTGGGCCAAGTTAATCAACAGGAGCAAGATGAATATCGTACTTCAACTCCAGACCAGCCTTTTCGTTTCCTTGCAGAGGAGTAAAGTCGACGATTAAAGAGTCTTTTACGGCGAACACAGAGTCGTTGTCGAGGTATTTGGACTCGGCGTCGAAGATTTGAGTAGTGATTGGTTTGAAAGATTGTTTGATGACCTGATACTCTCATTAGTCTCCAGCTTTCTTTTCCCTCGATATGATGTTGGAAAAAAAGTTAGGAGAAAGCATGGTGTTTCACTTACGATTAAATGGATGTGAGCAGGTCTGTAAGGATGTCTGTCTAGCATGTGTAGTAATTCTCCAGCAGGCCCATCGTCAGGAACAGGATAAGGGGTAGGTCTGATGCAGTAGAAGCCGTATTTCCCATCTTTTCCCGTGCGAAATTTCCCGCGTAGATTATGTTCGATTTGGTCTGGGTCTTGTTGTTCGTAGAGGCCGTTTGTGGAGGCTTGCCAGATGTCTAGTTCTGCCCCCTCTACTGGTTCGCAGGTGGATGCTGACATGATTGTTCCATGCATATACACCAATTCAGCATCTTTGGGTGTGTCAAAGGAAATCGAATCACCTAGATTGCGTAAAGGTGCATCGTGACGGAAAAAGGGTCCGAGGATTGCAGATTGAGTTACTGCATCTTTGGCCGCCGCGGCCTTTTTGAATGTTATCTCATCCACCAGACTCTCAAGCCCAATGACATCGCAAAGAAGTTGTCCTTCATTACGAGTGGATGTGGACATTTGACCAGCACGGTTTATGAGAGTTACGGCGGAGGTCCATTCATCCACTGTGAGGTGTACTTCACGGGCGAAATCGTGAATGTGTTGGATTAGAGAGGTCATGACTTCGCGGAGGCGTGGGTCGGTTTTGGGACCGATTGCGGAGATGACATGGGAGGTGAAGTTTGGATCGTAGTGGCCTGCTCCGTTAAGAGTGTCCTCGGGCTCGAGGGTAGTCTTGTGGGTGTTCGACATGATCGTTGATCTGTTGTCTACTTCCAAAAATTAAAAAGTAGAGCTATAGTGTTGTCTGCCGATTGCTGCGATGTTGTTTGTCGGATTTGGGACTTGAAGTGAGAGTATTATAAAGGTACGATGTGCTTCTTTGGAACCCTTTCGATGTTGTGTAACACTGACCGAATCCGACAGGGCAGCTAGTAAGCTCCTTATATCCGCTCATCCATTGTTCTTCGGATGTCTTCCGCATTTCTTCGGCGGGGTTGATGTGGTCAGCAGTGTCATCGGAAGATGATCTAGCTCTCGGAAGTGGTCACATTGACGCACACGAGTCGTACAGAACACTTCCGAGGATTCCTCCACCTTCTGTGGGGTGGGCATCCGGGGCTTGAGCTGAAGTTACATCGGCATCTGGTGTGTTTGATATCCAACACGTCGCTCCTGCGGGCGGTTGATGTCGTTCGAATTGATATGATGCACATGTAGCTTGGTAATTAAAACGTTCTCATTGGAGGAAAATTGAGTGACGGCCTCCAGGGTCCAGAGACCGAGACAGGGTCGTACCAAAAGCAAGCTGCTAACTCATCATTATGCGAGAGTTAGAACCACGAGCGGAATTCAGAGAGGTCTAGATGACTGGAAAGAGTCCTTTGGATATGTTTCAGGTGGCATCCAAACTTCCAAGGACAGGCGCAATACATGGGTTCGACGTACAATCTCGATATGTGAAAACCCAAATTCTTCGAAACCATAAGCAGCGACGATTGAAACTATGGACTTATGATGGCTCAGGGTAACAGTCGAGAACCGCCATATAGTTTCTGATTGCAACACAAGACACCATCAAGCTCGTATCTTCGCGCTTATATATCACTCTACAATAAGAACAGATTGAACGCGTGTCGCTCCGATGTTGATATGATGTGTTGACCTCGGTAAGAAGTAAACAAGTACGCATCATCTCTTGGCACTCGGAAGGTCGTTCTAGAATTGTTTCCGCCGCCTGCCGCTCAAGCGCCCCTCTTACTCGAGTCAACCACGGCGGGGTGGTGTGAAACAAGCACTTTGTGTACGTCCCACCTTCCGAAAGATTTCATTGCACCATCAACTCTCAATCACACATTTGGAAGTGGGAATCGCTGTCTCGGAGTGGTCTACGGAGTGCATGATGCCACGACCGATAGTGGCGCCCGACAAGAGACGTCGCATCGCCCAAGCCTGCGACAATTGCAAGCGCAGAAAGGAAAGATGCGATGGCAGCCGACCGTGCAGCATCTGCATCCGACGAAGAAGGGAATCCGAATGCCACTTTTCCGAGACGCCTGCTAGATTGCTGCGTCCCCAGACTAATACTGCCAACTCCGGAAGTCCTGGCAGTGTTGGTCAAGCGTCTCCTTTGGTCAACGCGTCGAGGAATCGTGGTGGGAGTAACGCGCCTCTACCGCCGCAGTTCCAGCATAATGATGTCGCCGCCCGTACAAGTATCGCCAGTCTTGGCGCCATATCTGACCCTTCGCCGGCTAGTATCGCATTATCTGGAAACCTGAGCGATACAAGTCAAGCGGAGATGGCCATTGATCGTATCCTGAATGCCAGTGTCGACCAGCGGGGTGCTAGAGCCAATGTTGAGTCTAATTCTCGACCAGAGTCTGTCGCACCAGTACCTAGACTTGCGCGACTGCTTCGCGATACTCAAGGCAAATTCATGTATGTTGGCGACTCTGCCAGTCTCTCCTTTGTTCAAAGTGTGAGGCGCATGGTCTCATCAGCCATTGGCGACTGCGACTTCACTACCGACCCCCTACGGCATCAGATCGTAGAAACAACTCCTGCAGGCTCTATGCAGGCACCTGACATGTCACCTCTAGATATTAATCTAGAGGAATGTCACCGACTGTCTCGACAGTATCTCCTCGCGACCACTGGGCTCATTGACCTGTTCGATATCCCTACCTACTACCGCTATCTGAACGAATGGGTCGTCGACAAAGCCCGTGACAGCAATCTCAAGTCTTCTATCTTCTACATGGTTCTTGCTATCGGTGCGCAAGTTTCATCACCAGACGGCGACCAAAATCTTGCGGAAAAGTATTTCAATCGTGGTCGGCATATGGCTGTTATGACCTTCACCGACGCGCCTAGTCTCTTAACTATCCAGGCCTACCTCTGTATAACCATGTATATGCTGGGTGCATGTCGTAGGAACGCCGCGTTCATGCAATTTGGTATTGCAGTCAGAGCCGCATTCGCTCTTGGAATGCACAAGAGCAGCACACACGCACTATTTGACGAAACAGAAGCAGGGGCAAGGCGCAGGATCTGGAAGAGTGTGCGTGTACTTGACATCTTTTTGAGTGCGTCGCTCGGCAGACCACCAGCCACTTCTGATTTGTCCATGGAAAAGGAAGGCGACGCTACCGTCGAAGAAACACAAGCAGCATCTGCAGATCCCTTCTCAGGCAAGGTGCTTGCTCTTTGCGATATCTTCGAGCGCATCATAATCGATGTCTACATGAAGAAAGCCGTCTCTACACGTCTAGCAGACTTAATATCAGGTCAATATCGAGACTGGACGAGCGATCTTCCAGATTCGTTACAATTGGCAAACCTGGACTCCAGCGAGGATGATCCGGAGAAGCTGTCGAAAGTCCTGGCTGCCAGCTACATCATAAGCTCTTATCATTGGTCCATAATCCTGCTTACGCGACCCTTCTTGACTTTCCAAATCATCAAAGATATGAGCAGAGCTGGACAAGACTTGGAATTGAACGATCAAGTTGACCAATCATCAATAAAGACATATGCGGACGCCTGCGTGGATTCGTCGCTTAGATGCCTCAACATCGCTCAGACCCTGATGCGCTACTCGTCCCTTCCTCATCGCCTCCCCTTCATCATAAACTCGGTCTGTAACTCGGCACTCGTTCTGGGTGCCGCAACATTCGCAGACCAAGACAAATTTCTGCCACTCGAGGACGGCTTGCTTCAAGGCATACAGATTCTCAATCACTTTGCACAGTGGGATCCACATGCGGCCCGCTATGCTCAAATCATCACATACCTCCAAGATGCCACAATCAAGTATATTCGTCAACGAAGCCAGAAATCTATGGAGTCGAGGAGGAGCAACGTCACTAAGCTCTTTGGGACAATTGGTCAACAAGCAGGTGGCGCTGAACAAATGCTACAAGACCTGCCACTTGGCCTCACTCCTACCCCCAATAATCTTGATCTCGGAGATCCTCTTCAGGCCATCAATGTCGATCCTTCATTATACAACAGGCCGGCATTGATGACGGATCTGTATCCTCTGATAAACAATCAAGGAGCTTTGCCTGGCTTGCTCGATGGTGGTTTTTATCAGCAGCCACATGCTGACAATGGTCTCATGGCTGATGGATCTGGCTATCAAGATGACGCTTACTACTTTATGGATCAAGATCTGTCAATGTTTGGATTTTGCTGAGATAAACCATATTTATAACGCTATCCTAACAAGGCCATCTGCTCGCTCGCATCTGCCCTGTATTGCAAAAACAGCTAGATTGTGTGTGTGGCGTGTTTCTCGTTATCAATGAGCTCATATCATATGAGTAGGCCCTGTCGCCGATGCAAATGCGGCGTCGAAGTCGAGATCAATACCCGCCATGACCTGTCATAGACAAAATCAGCCATGTGTCACAACGGTTGTAGCTACTGAAGCAAGCGGCAACGGGGAGACAACTTACAAACGAGTCCAGCTCTTCCCAATTGGTCAACTCGTCGAACAGAGACGACACCGTAGCCGGGTCTACATCAGTCATGTCGAAAGACGGTGCAAGCATATCGTGCTGCTGTTGAGAGTCTACCACCTGTGCTTCTTCATCCCCTTGTACACTCATCCTAGAAGACCTTATGCTATTTGTAGCGGCACCAGGATTACTTCGCTCGACTTTTCTCTCGGCCTCGCTTCTTAGCTCGCCTAGAAAGATGCTGTAACGTCGTGCAAAGGACACTTGCGACGCATGTCGAGAAAGTAAATTTTGGCATCGATCTGCCGTTGCTAGATGTTCACGCCAACAGCTCGAAGCGGAGAATTTGCGAATGATGCAGACGTAGAGAACAGCTATCGCGCAGAAGACGTAGTATTGCATCAACTAGTCCTTTAAGTCAGCACAGTCTCTTTATATTGGCCAAGAAAATGCAGTAGCTAAACGATCATACATACCCAAAAAGCACCGAACATTCTACCACCCTCACAGGACTTTACAAATGAGTCTAGTACCGTCAGAGCAGCATCAATACAAGCTTCTGCACTTCTCTGCACCGCGACTCTGTCATCATGACTTCTAACATCGCAGAGCAGGAGCGGTCTGTGTAGTAAAATCACCGCGTGCGAATATGCATGTATCAACACTTCGCATTGTCTCGAGAATGGCGGTGCCATGAGGAGTATATCCTGCCATGTTTTGGTGACAAAGGCCGAGGAATCCGCGTGCCATGATTGTAAAGCGGCATCATACTTGATGGTAACGAGGGCTTGAGATGAAGTTGGTAAGGGATTGATGCTGTATTGTTCTTTGAGAATACCGCTGAGTATTCTAGCGAGTCTGATGAAGAGTTAGCTGAATGTGAGGGTATGGAGTTTGGAGGTGTGTATACTTGATATGACAGATGGAGGCTTGCATGACACTTTGTGTATGGGCTGATCTGGCTAGAAGTCGGTCTTGAAGAATGTTGTCGTCATCGATGCAATCAGGTAGCTCCTACACCATTGCATTAGGTCAGTTATATCGGCGAGTACACGTTCAGTGGGAATACGAACCTGATCAATGTCATCATCATGTATCGCTTTTGGCCGTCCCAGAGTAGCGCTCATATATCGATCCAAGCTGTACACGGCCCAGAAAGTGCGTCTTCGACACTGAACTTCAATATGATTGGCGTTGCCATGATGTATCTTCTGCTTACGGTGTAGTCCTGCAGCAAAAGCCAGTCGAGCAGTAGTTCCGAGAAGGGTCCAAGCATGATTTATCCGCGATTGCGATGCCAGATAATGGCATTGAAGGAGACGGACCATGACACTTGTTAATCGCGTCTCTCCTCTTTCTTTGGCTACCTGCTGCTCTGATGCGCCAAAGAACATGGCACTTCTGATGTGTCAATTGATAGACATCCGAGACAACAGAAAGAGGCTCACCTTCTCGCTGAACAACCCTTGTCCAGGTGCCCGCTCGTCAGTGTCGCTTGTGCCATTACCATAAGGACTATCGCTTTCTTCTCTCTATCTCCAGGCTCAAAGTGATTCGTCATTTGAACTTCATACAAACCATCGCACCAGATCCTCAGCGTTGGGTGGTGTAGGTATCTGTGGGTTGGACAAGAAACGTCAAAGTATGTCTTGAGCAGCGTCAGAGCTTCTGTCTTCGAAGGTAGAATCAACAAGGAGGAGTCATGCTCTGGCAACGGGGTGTCTCCGAATGCAAAAGCTGACACATCTGTTACGGCAGAGACATCATCTCGCAACCGTTTCTTCGCTCGAGTGAGAAAGGATACCCCAGAAGCTGGTCCAATATAACTGCCTGGGATGTCTTGCTGATCGCTAACATAATCTGGTTCCTCAACCGAGGTCCGATTCAAATCAGGCAGACTGGACGTGGTAGTGGTGCTGTTGAGCGCCTCGGACTCTGTGAGAGATGCGATTCGCGTCCCAGGCGTCGGTGGGATATGACCGGCTGGTAAAATATACGGCGTCCTCCCTCGGCGATATGACGCCTCATAGCAACACTCAAGGCCCGAACGATGGCAGACCGAGCAGGGTTGAGTCCCAGAACAACGAGCCTTTTTTCTGCCTGAGTATTAGAACAGAATCTCAGCACTGTTCGATCATGACATAATGACACAAAATTGAGAATTGAAACATCGATGATTGTAGACGAGAGTTTCTGCTTACGCTTTGCACCTATCGCAAGCACGGGTCGCCCTCGTACGCTCGCGGGCTGCTCTTCTTTTGGCGACCGAGCTATTTAAATCCGTCGGTGTTGTCTGAGGTGTCACCGGAGGTCGCTCTGAAGTTGACATCAGGACTCAAGTCACACAAATGCGATTGTTGGTCTCGACTTTAGGAAAAGGCAGGAGCCCGGAAAAACATGTAGCAGGAGCGACGCGGAAAAGCGGGGTCACCCTCGGAAAAATTGGGAGGCCTGCGGCGTCTTCAAATGTCACTTTTACGAAGTTTATCGGTCGCATGGTGTAGATCATTTGCGGTAGTGCTGTGAGAAATTGCTAATTATCATCTCTGTATGTCGTGAGTATCATGAAATTTGTTGTTGATCCCCTCGTCCATCTAGTAGAACCATCTGAACTCATCGGCAGCAGGACCATCGCCCAACTTCTCAGTAGGCACATCAATAGCTCTGAGATTAATTCCTTGGACTCTATCGCGGCGACGGTTATCATAGATCATCCAGACACCGAGCATCAGTGTGAGAACGATGCCAGTCCCACCAAAGGCAGCAGTCGTGGCAAGCGCGGTCATGTACTTCGGGGCTTCTTGATCAAGGAAGATGTTGCTCGAGACAACACCCATCAGATTGGCCATGGGAACAGCGATGGAAGTAAGGACAGCTCTCTTGTTCTCGTCGGCGATGTTGTTGCAGTACCAGACGTCGAGCAAGACGGAGGGTGCACTAGTACCCCATGTCATCATGAAGGTGGCAAAGTAGGCGACAGTCAAAGAAGAGGTGACATCGATGGCCGAGTAGATCACAAAACCGCAGAAAGTGAAGAAGAAGCCGAGGGCGACGAATGGGAATCTCCAACGAGTCAAATCAGAAGAGAAACCCAAGATGAGAAGCATGACTGCGCCGGTGATGTTGGGAGCGACGGTGTAGAGGTTGGTTTTAATAGTGCCATAGCCCTGTGGCACTTGTTAGTGTTGTACGTTTCTATGGTTGATCAGGGATTTAAGCATACCAAGCGTTTGACGATCTGCGGTAAGAACAGAGTCACCGACTGCAGCGGGACACCCAAGCAAATTTCGATAACCAAGAAAGCCCATGTGGTGGGATGCTTGAAGATTGTGAGGGCTCTGCCGAGCTTGAACTCTTCGTTGACGACCGCCGAACTATCCACCTGGATACGGTGAACAGCAATCTCTCTCTCCTCGGAGGTCAGGAAGTGTGCAGTGGCGGCAGACAGAGGGAGGTAAAAGAATGCGATGATTGAGATGATGATTGTTGCTGAGCCCTCGATGACGAAAAGGTAGCGCCAGTGAGCAATAGCACCACCCTTGATCTGAAAGACACCATAGGATAGTAAACCAGAGAAGGCACCGGCGATAGACTGGGCGGCATAAAAGATGGCAAGTCTGCGAGCAAGTTCGCCTCTACGGTAGAACCTAGATTCTAATCAGCATCACGGTCATATTATAGATATGAGCAACACTCACATGGTCTGGTAGTAGATGACGAGGGGGAAGAAGGCACTCTCACACATGCCCAAGAACCAGCGGATGGCCATCAGACCACCGAAGTTCTGCACAGCGACGACAAGGAGCGTGCAGGTACCAAAACCGAACATCATGCAAGGTAAGACTCTGCTTGGGCCATACTTCTTTCCCAGAGCTGCCAAGAAAGGTGCAGTGAGAACGTAGGGTACGAAGAAGATGGACAGGATGAGGTTGTATTGGTGGCCATGGAGTCCAAGATCGGTGGCGAGACCAGCTGTTTTGGCATTTCCCATGTTCGACTTGTCCAGTGAGTTGAAGAGATACATGACGGCAAGAAGAGGCAGAAGGTGTAGATCCAACTTCCAAACGACTGCTCTCTCCTTTTTGGCGTCCAAGGTGGTGATGAAGCCAGTTTGTGTGACGGAGACATTGTCTTTGTTGATACTGTCCAGCGACTTCCTATCCTCCGGGTCGTTGTAGTGAGTGGACTCCATGTTGGGCGACCTTGTGTAGTATTATGCGAAAAATGGAGGAATGTCAATGAACACTGCAGCAGAGCAGTACGTGCTCTTTATGAAGCCCATGTCTACATGTGTCTGTTATCGTGCTGCTCCAACTATTTCCGAGATCTCACATTGCCGGCTCAGCAAAAACACTCATCTGCGAGACGGGAATGATAAGGCTACAAACAGCAGCAAATGGTAGGAAGGCGATATGATCCGATGCCGGCTTTCGACGGGTTTTGCTGGCGTCTCGATAGGGAAGTGGCATCTGGGGTCTGACAGTCATAACCACACCTGATAGCGTGCCTAATTATTCTACTGATGGTCTCCTACCTTCGGGTGTTTCGCAGGAATACGACGTTGATATCGACGCGGCAAGCCCGGAGGCGCAATCAGAGTTCTTGTGAACAATTTTCATCGAGTAAATTTTGGGGTCACCGCGTTTAGAGTTGGCCGCCGGCGCGTCGAACGTCCTTGGCTGTTCAATATAGCCGACCGGAAATCGCTGTCGCGTCGAGCATCATGTCCTTCGGATCTGATGAACAGAATGGAGCTCCTCGCTCACGCGCCCACATCTTTGATCCGTGTCACTAGAGAGCGGTTTTCAAGCGGCGGTTCGTTTCACGAATTGAACCTGTCTTCTGACGATACTCATTCATGTTAGTTTATACATTCCTTACAGATCTGATCCCAAGTCTGAAGCCGAATCATATATGTTGCGATGACTGAACGGATTACTGCTATCACTATTGTCGTCCAGATACAGTACCTTCGGACTTCGACCATCTGGGGTTTGCCTCTGCAATTTTGCAACGTGTATCCTGTTAGACAGACCACAAGAGAAGCCTCTAGCTTTCACCTTGACGCATCTAGGCTGAAAAGACGTCCGGTCAAGTCTAAGTCTTCATCTCTGAGGATTATAGCGCGAGATACGAATGTTATGTGAGTTTCTGGGATCGGCCACGGCGCTACAGGGACGGCGGCTGTGATTCGTAAGGACTGCTACAGTCGGCCAGAAGCTGTACTTTCGGTCATCCAGGTTAATGCTGGGTCCGTGTGATAAGTTTGAGATGTCGAAGTGCTCCGAATCGGTGGATTCGCTGTAAGAGTCTTCGCTTATGATACTCTCGCGAGCACTGTGCATCCTTTTTACACTGTGTTCGATTTTCCTGCTCTTGCCCAATTTCCTAAGCCAAGAACCTTTCTTGAAGGCGTCCACAGGCTTTGAGTCATCAGTCTTGAGTTCCAGCGATGACCAATCGTCTGTATCTTTTTTGTCCGCCTGGCTCTCTTTCTGTAACTTGGTGTAGTCTTGAACAATGGTGCGCAATTCGAGCGACCAGGGAAATCGTTTTCGGTGCAAGGCAAGACATCGCTTTTTCAGCTTCGAAGAGAGGTACTAAACAGATTGCTGGTTGAGCGCATGCTCAGAGCTTGTTCATGAGAATATGCACAGTCGACTTGCATAGCTGCTTTATTGTAAACTGAGTAAATTGCGCCTTCTAAAGAGCAAGGTCTACATACATGGTTTAGTTCTCCTGCTTCTTCGCCATATATGCTCTCCACCTTGGGTTGAAGAAGTAGACGGGAATACCAAGCAAGAAGATCCCGACATAGATACCGAACAAAATCATAAAAGCAGTCAGGTAGTTGTAAGCGTGCACCATTGGTACGATACCGAATGACGCACCGAAGGAGATGATGTTTTTGACACCGATCACAACGACAAGAGCTGGTCCAGGGTTCTTGGGGAAGGCTTCGGAGCCGAAGTGGGTGGTTGTGATCAAGACGACGATGAAGGCGAATTCGTATAGGGTCCATCCCATGATAATACCCCAAGAGGAGTGATTCTGCGGAGAGTTTGCCGTGATCGCAAAGATGATGATGCCGATTGCGCCTACGATGAAAGGCAAAATTAACTGTACAAGGGTGTCCTCGGGAAGGTGGACGCCGCCACGACGTTTGGCGAGCCAGAGATTCATCTTGTCGCCACACCAGCCGGCATAGAACATGGCAGCGAAGGATGCCGGAAGGATACCGGCGTTGACTAGCCCTATGGACTTCTCGGACCAATGGAACTCGGTCGTTAGGATTGAGGCGTAGACAAGCGACATGGCAATACCCACGCCCAGCGCGATTGACGAGGTCAAGATGGCATAGATAACACCCGGAGAACTGCAGGCTTGTAGCATCTTAATCTCAGCACCGAGACCTAGCCTAAGTGCGTTAGGAGCAGTACCACTGATAGGGTTAAGATGTTGTAGATAGGTCTTTTCGCGGTGGTCCTGTTGGTCCGACTCGTGCACATCCCCAAGACGTTCTCTGGCCTCGGCATCAGAGAGAAAGTGTGTCACACCCCACTCGTCGGTAACAACGACCTGGCCGTTCATAGATGCAGGCGATCTGGTGTATCTAGTCTCGCTAAGCAGGAAGAAGCTAAGCACAAGGCCGGCGGCTGCGAAGATCGCTAAGACGTAGTAAAACCATCTCCATGAGGTGGCGGCTACCAGGTAAGAGCAACTAATGCCGAATACCGTGTTGATAAGGTTCTGCGAGCCCCAATAGACTCCGAACCATAGGCCGCGCTCGTCCACGAACGACATGTCGGTGATGATAAGAGGTAGAACCGATTCGGTAGCTCCTGCCGCAATACCCTGAAGGATCCGGCAAGCCATATGGGTGTTGTACGAGTCGCTTGCTCCAGCACCAATGGTGGACCCGAGCAAAAGGATACTGCATCCAAGCAGAATAGGTCGTCTACCAAACATCATCGACAATGGGAGGATAAGGAAACTGCCTAGGGATAATAGTTAGCACGTCCTCCCATTAAGGTACCATAGAAGACTTACCAAATGCCATAACCAGACTAGGGTAGGTCGTGAGATTGACGACCTCTTGCACAGTCTTTCCCATAGGAGCATATAGCCCGATAAACACGCCCAGGATTGGCCCCAGACCACCGACAAGCACAAGCGAGAAAATGGAGAACCAGCAGCAGCATATCAGAATGCCTAGCTTCCTCCACTTGGAGTAGTTGAGAGGGTCATTTGGATCATTAGACGGAATCGGGATTCTTCGGACCTCGCCAATGGTGTTGATGAGCTGAAGATCTCCGTTCGAGTGTTGCGGCTCAGGCAGAGCGCCCTTGTCGGGCATCTCGAAATGTTCTGCATTCATCGCATCTTTGGCGTGATTCATTGTGGTAGACATGATGATCTGGGCACTTTCGAAGACGGAGGGGGAGGCGATGAGTGGTAGGACAGGTCACAACACGGGTCAACACCTGCATATAAAGACATACGAGGACCACACTTCCAAGTTATCGCGGTTCAGCGAGGGTACCACTAGTACTCTGCGGGGTCTCCGGGTGGAGGCAGTCCCCCATGGGGCCACGTCTAGACTAATCGCACGCGAGCTGATGCGTAATTCATGAGCCGATTGATCGGTTCGGGCGACCGAGATGGGAATGTGCGCCAGCACGAAAGCCGTGTTGCGAGGAGCATCTACCGAACCGAGTTGAATGTGGAGAGCAAGTGCGAAAGCGAGCGCCGTGAGAGAAGCATGGTGTAGGAAGAACATCGGTAATTCTTGTTACAAATCGGCATGGCCAAAATTACCCCGCTGCAATTCGTTCGCTCGGTCCACGTACCGAGAAGGACATCCTTCCCGGTGGGCCCTTTTGTTCCACGATGGCGCGGCGCTATCATGAGCTCGGCTCGCGATATTGAGGCGTGGAATCTTTGCTTCGATTTCACGCTCACAAACGCACCTCATGTCTCCGGAGGCCACGAACCGACCGCAGAAACGCGTCCGATTGTCCCGCGCGTGCAACAAATGTCGATCTCGGAAGGTGCGCTGTGACGAGCAGCAACCCTCTTGCTCGAATTGTGTTCGCGCCGGAATAGTATGCATCACCACGGACCCGAACAATCCTGCTGAAGTCACGACTCATGCTCGTCGCAGGGCTGGGACTCATCTCTCGACCTCTCCTGCACTTCAGGAACCTTCAGTTGACCGAACGGACATAGCGATCGACCCGCCAGAGCCAAGTCCCGACGTAATCATTAATAGAGCGGAAAACCGTAACGTGCATCACGCAGAGAAGCCTCCGACGGTTGGAGCTAATGTGCCCTCGATATCAGCGGACAATGGCCAGAGTCCTGGATTTGCTGTGAATACCGTGAGCGCCACTGAACGAAAATATATGGGCTCGACCAGTCTGCAAGTCTTCTCGCAATGGCTGGATATGACCTTTCACGTGTTACCCGCAGGCCTCACAAGCTCTTTCCAGCATGGCATGCGGTTTTGTGAGGAGATGGATCTTCCTGAAGACCTCCACATGCCTCCAATCCCTGCTGAGTGGCACAAATACATCAATGCGTTCTTCACTGGTGTCGGGAAGGTGTTTCCAATCGTGTCTAAGGAGACTATAAATTCATGTGCGCAGTACATGTGCCAGCAGGATCCCAGATCCTTGCCGAGTCGTCAAAGACCACTTATCGCGTCAGTTTATGCTTGCTTAGCTGTCGGCGCCGATTCCCTAGGATCTACTGCTCAAGGACTCGATTATGCCACAGCAGCATACTCGCTGTATGCCTACCTCGTTGCCCGGCCTTATTTACAGTCCGCGCAAGCTCTGCTTCTCATTTGCTTGGCATTACGGGGTCGTAACAAGGATGGCGCAGGTTCGCAAGCTCTAGGACAAGCCATTCGTATACTGCATACTCTTGGCCTCCACCGAAGATTAAGTGGCTACGGCAGCCTGAATGGGGAGCAAACCGAAGCTGTAAGGTTGGGTGTTTATACTTGGTGGAGTGCCTACTGTCTTGATCGCATCATGAGTCTTGAAAGTGGTCGTCCTCCACTGGTCCAGGACGAAGACATAGACCAGGTCAGAGTCCTGCAGCCAAGCGGGGTCCAGGATCTCGAGCCTTTGCAAGCTTTGCTCGACCTAGGGACTATACAAGGCAGTATATGCAGACATTTAGCAACCATAAAGCTCCCGACTATTGCAGCGGTACTCGATGCTCAGTCCCGCTTGGATCAGTCTCTACTCAAATGGCAAGGAGCCCTACCCCACGATTTGCGTTGCGACGGAGACATCACAATCAACGGTATGAACCTGGCTGTTCCTAGAGCTTTCTTAGCCATACAATTTCACACAACGATGATCAACCTCCATAGAGCGGCACTCCTCATGGACAAGGATATCCATCAGACCAATCTCGCTCGCTACAATCTAAGCTCAAATCGCTTAGCTTCTAGTGAATCGATTTGCGCCAACTCTTCTCGAGCTATCATTACGGCATTCCTGCAGGTCAGGGACATTACACGACATTCCAGACTTCAGACGATGACTGGACCACTTATGGCTATCTATGTACTGTCCATCAACACGCTCAAGAATCCGACTTCCTGGTCTGCACGATCTGATGTTGGTCTGATCTATTCCGCTGCGGAAGCCGTCGAACAAGTGTACACAGCTGATGGTCAAGACCCTGCGTTTTACACACTTTTGAAGACGCTGAAGCAACTTGCGTCTCAAGACACCTTGTCACCGAAAGGCCTGACCAATTCCAGAGCGCCAACAAGGAGGACTTCGCCGCAAACCAATCAGTCGCGTACGGGACCATCGTCGGAATCAATCAATCGAGGTTATGAGATGAATGGTGTGCAGCTAAATCATATGCTTGATCATAATCTTTCGGATGAGTGGGACACACTTTTTCCACGACTATACGTGGGCGACTTTGCTCTGGACGCTGAAGCATTTGAAGGCATGGATATAGAACACCTCATGGGTATACCTCATCTGGCTTTCGACGAGCCTCATTGATCACTTGACTCTCGTTACATCTTGATTGTACAAAATTCGATGTGATACTCTGGACGCTTCACTAGCAAAGACAGTGTTTCTGTGGATGTGATCCTCTGCCAATCAGCATCCAAGGAGTTCCGCAGACGATCTTACAATTCCACAGCTTCGTCACTACGAACGCCGCAGCCGAGATACACGGAGTGACTGCGCTTTGTCCCTCCAATGTTAGCTTAGGCTCATTTGGCTGGGTTAGCAAAATCCTGATTCAAAAATATCGATTATGTCAGGTACCCAATTGTGTTGTGCTAAAACCAGCTTGTGTGCGCCCGAAAATTTGATCCCAACCTCTCCCGAATAATGGTTCTGAGTCATTAAGTCTTCATGCCTCTGCCTTGATGTATGGGATACCAGTAAGGCGGTACGCGCGCTCGCTCAATTGAGGCTTGTTGACAGGCTCGGTCCTGTTATAAGGGTCTAGTGTGCCGTTTCTCTTTGCGGAGTTGCGTCCCATCACCTGACAGTTAGGCCCTGTATCTCCTGTCAGTCATTCGATTCAACACAATCGCGGACATTTGCTTGACTTACAGTGTGTGGTACCGAACCAGCCTTCAAATGCAATCTTCTTACGCTTCAAATCTTCTTGACTTGCATCAGCCACAGGCATGTAGCAAGTGTAGATGCAGAAGCGGTTTTGGTCGGTGGTAGAACTCAGGTTGTAGTGTGGTACTCTCGAATCCCAGAGCAAAAGGTCGCCGGGCTCGCCAGACACCTTGACCCATTCGAGACCCTTGTCTGCCAACCACTTCATGCCGGCGTCGGTGAAACCGTACCACTCCGGGTTCCAGGCTGGGATTGCCGTGCCATTCTCTTTTTCGTACGCCATTTCTTTATGGAATTGCTCGCTGACAAGGTGAGCTCCCTTGCATACAATGAGGCCTCCGTCGTTAGGTCCGTTAGGAAGGATGTTAACAAGACCTTGCAGACAGCGGAAGCCATTCTTGGTGGGGTCCTGATCTTGATGGGGCCATGGTGTGTTAGGGGCCAAGTCCTTGCGACCAGTAAGGCCGAAGTTGACGGCATCGAAGGACACGATCAGATCTTCTGTCTTCAACCACTGCTCGAATGCGCCTACGACACCAGGTTCTGATCGCACGTCCCAGACGAAATCTTCATGTGCGATGGCGTAATCGAGACACATGCCTTTATTGTTGATCTCAGGGAGGTGCTCTGATGTCCATGTGGAGCGATCGTTTCTGTCGAATCCGAGGCCGCTGACTCTGTGTTAGCTTTCAGCATTTGCTTACTGGTTTCGTTCGACCTACAAGCCCTCTAGATATTGATACATGCGCTCGGCATATTGTGCAGCCTTCTCCTTTGCAACAGCTCCTTTGACAACGGCATATCCGTCTCTGGCTAGGTCGGTTTGCCAGTCATTGACGGGGCTGTTGGAAGCCTTGAGGCGAAGCTGCTCGACCTCGGAGATTTGTGTTGTTGTTTGACTCGACATGATGGATCTTCAAGTCTTGTATGAAGTTGTGCAATTGTCTTGTGGGTGGGATACAGGAGGCTGATATGTTTTGCTACTGTTGTATTTTATGTTCCGGGTTAAGGATCTTGAATGATATATGTGGAAAGCATCTTCGTATGCTCAAGCCTCTCTGCGGGTCACAGCTTACAGGGCGACTATTCCGAACCGAAGCGAGAGACGTTCTTCGTCGGTCTCGCAAGTCGGTTCAGCGTGAATCACTGACGATTCGAGCTGACGAACCGAGCTTCGGCTACCGAACCGTCTCTCGGCTCGGTTCGGACGAGACTCCCCACCTCCTCGAGCATCTGGTCCTAGTGTCACCTCGGGGTCCCGAATTCACGCTACTTGCCCATACCTGGGAAGGTGGTCCCGAACATCATCGGGTATCTGTTCAGCTGTACAAAGAGTGTGTACGTCCATCAAGGTATTGTTGATCACACTTTCGCCTTGCTTCGGACAAATTCAAGCATACAATTTCGACAACTAGCAACGACAGATACAGCAAATATGGCTATCGATGCAGCAACCAACACGTTTAATATCATCATCGTAGGTGGCGGTATAGCCGGATTAGCTACTGTAAGTTAGCAAGCAACACAAAATACCTCAAGCATTTCCTGATCCACATCAAGGCCATCGCAATGAGAGGACCCCACCGCGAAATCATCGTCCTCGAAAAATCACGCATGAACAAAGAAGTCGGCGCTCTCCTCTCTCTTCAGCCAAACGCCCAAAAGATCCTCGAGTCCTGGCGTCTCGGTGCCATAATCGACAAAGCCCGACCTACTGCCGAAAGACAATTCAGAATTCTGGATACCAAGGGAAATGTTCATATGAATATCGATATGGATGGCAAAAAGTATGGAGCTGATCGTATGGTGTACCATCGTCAGGATCTACATACTGCTTTGAGGGAAGCTGCGTTGAGTACAGAGTTGCCTGGACATGCTGCTAGTATCGTCACAGCGGCGAAGGTCGTGACTTGTGACTGTGAAGCTGGGATAGTCACACTGGAAGACGGAGCCACATATCAAGGCGATCTCATCATTGGTGCAGATGGCATCCACAGTGTCATTAGGGATGCTGTGCTCAAAGCTGGAAACCACGACCTCGTACATCCCACACCCACTGGCGTTTCTGCATACCGTCTGCTCGTCGAAACTTCCACACTATCCTCCATCACCGTGGATCCAGAAATCTTCGACCCAAAACGACAAGCAACCACATTGATGATGGGCCACGACCGCCGCGTAATAATGGGACCTGCAAGAAACGGTGCTTTGCTGGGCTTGGTCGGCATGGTACCCGACGAACACATGCATGAAACCAGCAATGCAAATTCCTGGACAGCACCAGGCTCTCTATCAAAACTACTAGAAACCTATCACGATTTCCCGCAATGGATCCGTGATATTTTTACACAGGCACCAGATCTTGCGCTCTGGCAATTGAGGGATATCGATGCTTTGCCTGCTTGGACAGCGGGACGCTGCATAATCATTGGAGATGCGGCACATGCCATGCTACCGACTCAAGGACAAGGCGCATCTCAAAGTCTCGAGGATGCAGAAGCGCTTGCTGCCTTCTTCATCAACGTTGGCACAAAACCTACACTCCCAGAGCTTTCGCAACGATTGAGCAAAGTGTTTGAAGCGAGATATAAGAGAGCAAGTCTGATTCAGGCGTATAGCCGTCAACAAGCACGCCCTGCCACGGAAAAGGGAAGTTCAAAGGTCACATTAAATCCAGCAGAGTTTTTGGACTACAATTGTAAATATGAAGGTGCTGTTAAATGGTTAGAAGTGCAGCAGCAACAGCAGCAGTAGCAGTAGCAGCAGCAGCAGCTAGAAGTATAACACTGCTCGAGTAGGGGTAATGGTGATTTGCTTTTGCTATTAAATGGACATAGATTTAGCTAGCCATATTAACAGACATCCTAAGGCAGTAGGACCTAATAAAATCGTTATATCGTACACCGCCAATTTGATAAAACCTAGTAATACTACAAACACTTCTTAATAATAGTATAAGTTAGCCGTCTAATAGCATGCTTTCTCTCCTCGCTTATGTAGCTTACTAAAAAAAGAAAGAAGAAAAAAAGAACATCTAGCTATAGAAAGGGGACAATTGTTTTTCTACCTTTTTAATATTATACCTAAGATATAGGAAACCTTAGGGCCCCTCTTATTCCTATTGGGATGTGATAAACATGAGACAAGATCACATGGGCTGTTATGAGATGCAAAAATACTACCATAATAGCACACAAAGACTATCAAGTCAATACAAAACATCACAAAACAATGTAGGAAGAAAAAGAACAGGCGAAGCAGCATCGATTATAGTACAGGAACTCCCCAATGCAACAAGGAAAAAAAAACGAAAAACCCAATGAATCGCACTTTACAAAGAAAAAACTGAAACCACATCGTCCAGGAGCTTTTTTCCGTCTCCAAAATCACTCAAGAATCCCATCCCACCCACTCACGTCCAACAACCCTCCAAACCCTCACTTCACCAGACCTCAAATCTCCAAGACGGAAACTCTCCATCCTACACTTCTGCTTCTTCTCCCTCCCTTGTTCCCAAGCTCTGACCTTTTTCTTCGTGCCGTCCCAATCGACTACAACAGCTACATGAGAGGTGTTTCCCGTACCGACATCCATAGAGTACGATTTGTGCATGGCTCCATGTTTACCTTGCAGTTTGGCATTGCGAAGGGTTATTATGTCACCGGGCCGGATCTCGTCGAATTGCTGGACACTGGCGTTTGCGAGATTGGCGTAGACGAGGGCGCCGTAGGCTCTTGTGCCTACTGGTTTGAGAGCGTCGTGGAAAGGGGTGAGGAGGTCTAGGACGAGGGAGTGAGGGCTGCCGTTGCCAACAACATGGTCCTTTTTACCTGCTGCGGCTTCGGAGATTTTGGTGCCGTATTTTTGCCATGCGGTTTCCAGTTGGTCTTGACGGAGACGGGGTGGAGGGGATTCGTGGCGTTGCTCGAGAGATGCTTCTGCAGGGTTCTGGCCGTCGTAGCGGGCTGTGATGACGGTTTGACTGTAGTCGATGAACAGCACGTAGACGTCTTTTGCGATTGAGGTTCTGCCGCCGCGTCTTTGCGTTACGTTTTCCTCGACTTCAAACAGAATGTCGCTTCTGTTTTGGAAGACTGGTGGAGGAGTGTTGGCTTGTGCCCACCAGAGAGTGTTCTCGGCAAGGTCGACATCAGTGGCAATGTGGCCGTCTTGAGAAGGTCTGGCGACGTCCATACTGCGACGCATGTTCATCGAAGGACGGCTGACATCAAGAGATTGACGGGATTGGTGTGTGGCTGAACGAGCGGGTGGTGGTGGCTGAGAAGGAGGTAGAGGTGCGGCACGGTCTTGATCGACTGGTGGCGGAGGAGGTGGGCGATCCATTGATTGGCGAGGAGGTGATGCACCGTATGTGTCATCCGAACTATCATCAGCATACTCTTGATGAGCTGGAACAGGAGCTGGTGCGCTAGGCGGAGGAGGTGGTACAGCGCGGATTGGCAAAGCACGGGGAGGTTCCTGGTAGCGATCGTCGTCACCCTCGTATTGTTCGTACTGGATCGGAGCATGAACAGGTACTGGTGGAGGAGCAACACGAGGAGCATCCATCGAGGCTCTAGATGGCGGAGGTTGAGAAGGTGGCGGTGGAGGAACTGCACGAGGAGCGGGTGCCGGAGCAGGAACATCGACCTCGTCAAGACTAGAATCTCTAGCATGTGACTTTAGAGCATCCTTGTGATTGACGCCAGATGCAATGTCAGTGTCGTAGTCACCCTCATACTCGCTCTCGCCTTCAACAGGCTCGCCAAGAGGAGCGCTTGGGATGAAGGGTGGCAGTTGAGGAGCACCAGAAGGTGGCGGCGGTGGAGGAGCGCGTGCTTGAGGAGATGGCACACTGCCTGGGACTGGAGGAGGCGGGGAAGATAGAGTGCTAGGGATTGGTGGAATGCGGCTCTGTCTTCTTTCCGAGCTGGGAGTTGCAGGTGAAATGGGTGACATGGCGTCTATGCTGCCAAAGGTCGAAGCACGCTTTGCTGAGCCCATGGATGGTGTGCGCGTAGCCTCGGGTCTGGGCACTGGCGGGGGAGCTCCTCGAGACGACAAATCGGTTGACTGTCTAGTGGGTGCCAGGGATCGCTCATCATCAGATTCTTCACCCTCAGACGGGTCCATCTGTGTGTCGACTGGTGGAAGAGGAGGGGGCACGGGTCGGCCTGGGAATATGTCAGATTTATCAGTATTGCACGTCTTTCCAGAACACTCACTTGCTAATGCTGGCGGAGCAGGTGCTGGACGGGCGTCAGGTACGGGTGGAGGGGCTCGCTCGCTTGTCGGAGATGCTAGAGGTCGCTCTGTGGGGAGAGGAGGCAGGCGGTGGACAGTCTCAATGTGCGGTGGTGGCTGAGGCTTGACGTCTTCAACATCGGGTACGACCAAGGGCTCGCGCTCACGAGTGACGCTTGTGTCGTGTTCGGGCTCCTTCTCGACAGCAAGCTGTCTGTCTTCGACCTCGGGGCTGCGTACAGTCTGCATGCCGGGGATTGGCATGACAGGAACGCGAGGTGCTTGTGCAGGAGCAGGGGCTGACTGAGCAGGCTCGTCGTGATCTCTGCTCTTCTTTGTCTTGGGAGGAGCAGGCGCCATCATACCGGGCATGCCGGCAGGAGCGCCGAACATGCCCGCCATGCCCATACCACCACTCATCTTTGCCATGCGCTCTCTCAACTCCATGCGACGGCGAGTCTCTGCATCCATCTCGTCCTCTTTACTCTCGTCGTCCTCGGTTGTGTCTTGCTGTTCACCAACGTCGGCTTCTTTGAGGGGAGCTGCAGGTGCTCGCTGGGATTGCATTGATTTCCTGGCAGGCTGGGTCGAGTCGCTATCCCCATCATTCTCCTCGGTGATGTCTCCAGCTCCAGACATGTCGGCATCATTGGCGTCGCCGTGGGCCTCGTTACCTACAGCGGGTGATGGTGGTTCGCGCGAGAGTGCACGAGTAGAAGAGCCGCGAGTGCGTTCACGTTCGAGAGGCTGGTCGAAGGATTGGCGGACGTGTCGTTCTGCCGGCTCTGTCTCAGCAGCGTCTTCTTCGTCTTCGGCGGCGACAGCAACAGGTGCTTGAGGAACTGGTGGAGGAGCGGCGGCCTCTGTCGAATCATCCGTGTTCTTCTTGACGGGCTTCTTGGGCTTGGGCTTGTCAACGACATCGGCCCTTCGTGCTGCCTGCTCCATCTGCTGTTTCTGCAACATGGCGATTCTCTCCTTCAGACTTTGAGGCTTGGGTTGGTCTTCTTCCTCTTCGCCAGTGGGTGACTGGGGGTGGTCCGAAGGCAGCAGACCGGCCTTTGCGGCATTTTCGTCTGCCTGAGCTTGCTCTGCTTGAATGTCTGGGTCCTCTTCTCTGCGATAGACTTTTTGCACTGGCTCGGCCTTGGGTGGAGGAATGTATGCGTTCTTGCTCGGAGGCGGTGGGACGAAGGGCTTCTTGACAAAGGTGGGAGCGGCGGGCTTGAAGGGAGCGACGGGAGCAGCTCCTGCGTTGTTGAAGGCGGCAATGCGGTCTCTAAATGAGCTGGGCTTGCTGTTCACTAGCGGAGGCTCCTTCTTAAGGGTCTCTGCTTTGACAGGCTCAGATCTGATTGGCTCGGAAGGAGCTGGCTTGGGCGCGGGCGGGGGAGACTTGATCGTTTCGCGAGCAGACGTAGCTTCTGCTTGAGGAGGCGGTGATCTGACAGTCTCTTGAGCTGGTGGAGGCGGCGCCGTCTGTCTCACAGGTGGGGGAGGTGAGACATGGCGAGGAGGGAGCGGCACTGGTGCAGCCTTGGGCTCAACGACGGACTTTGACTGTGCGGGAACAGGAGGGGGCTCGGCGAAGCTGTCGTCGTCGTCTTCGTCTGCTTCCTCTGGGAAAGCGCCAGGTGTGGGTTCGGGCACAGGAGCTTGCGGCGGAGGAGAGCGGACCTCTTGTGCGGGACGTCTGGCGGGTCTCGAGGGGATCTCTGGCTCGTAGCGCTCGACAAAGTTCTTGGGAAACAGACCAGAGTGCTTGCCACCTTGTGCATCTGTGTATTCGCCCTCGTACCAGTCGGCGTCTTCCAAGGCTACGACGGTAATGATCTGGCCTTCGGGGAAGGGGAGGTCGTCTTCATGCGGGCTGGTGTACTCGTACACGGCCTTGACCTTGAACGGCGGGCCTGACATGGCGGATGCCTGCACGGAGCCTGAATGTGGAGGGTGACGTGGAGTTTCGATTGACGTATGTAGGATTGAACGGTGAATGAGCTGTTTGTGAGAGGTGTGCAGGCGTGATTGGGGGGTCCTTCAGCCTCAGGTCGGACTGGCCGGGGCCTCTTGTTTCCACGTTGGACGCTTCGTCATGTTCTTGGCGTGGACGAGACCACCCCCGGACCTCGACATGCCCGAGGTCGAAAGCCACACTCCGTCAGCCACATGCAGCCACCATCGACCCTTCTATCAATATCCATCCATCGTAAACCAATCTTCACCTCGCCATCTATACCAACTCACCACAAAACATCAAAAGTCCCACGAACTCACCCCTTCACATCGCCACAATGTCAACATCACAAGCCGCACCAAAATCAATCCTCAAAAAGACATCCGGATCAGAAACTCAACCACAACCCTCCATCAGCATAAAACCAAAATCAGACTCCGAGCGCAAACGTCTAGAAACAGCAATCCAACACGCCCACCTAATCCAAGAACAAAAATCAATCCTCGCAAAAAACCTCGACTACATTGAAGAACTCTCCGAATACCCTTCCTCCTCAACCGGCGTCGCCACAGATGTCGAAGTTGGCAATTTTCTCAATTACATGATTTCATTTCAACCTTCAGATTACGATGCTTTGATTGAAGAACGTCATGTAAATGATAGATGTGGATATACGTTATGTCCCAATCCGCCCAGGAAGCCTACAGTCAAAGCCCCATGGTTGAGGAATCGCGTCGAAAATTGGTGTTCTGATGGTTGTGCAAAGAAGGCTTTATACGTCAAGGCACAATTGGACGAGACACCTGCTTGGGAGCGCAGAGCTGGGGACAAGAACCCTTTGGTTCTCTACGACGAAAACAAGTCTGTCGCCCAAGGAGAAGCAACGCAAATGCAACTTCCAGTGAGGGAAAAGCCAAAATTGAGAGTCGCTGATGAGAAAGAATTGGCGTATGAAAGAGGTGAGGTAAGCAGAGTGGAGGACGAAAAGATGGACAAGGTGCTCAAGATGGAAGTGCTCGAGAACAAAACGATTTCTTCCGTCATGCCGCCGACACAGACGAGTTTTGCGGATAGTGCGTTGCACGACTTGATTGAAGGCTATCAACCACGGGGTGTACAAAAAGGAAACCGCATGGTCATCAGATCGGAGAATACAGACAGTGAGGCTGAAGAAGATGCGTGAGTTATGGCTTTTTTCATACTTCAACTATTTAACCAGATACTCATCACATTTGCAAGCACGTCATTGCTGTAATCAACAACAGCGATCAAGAATGCTGATTTATGGTCGTGAAGCACGCTCTACTGATTGCGACGTCCCAAAGAAGCATTTTGAAGATGGTCAAGATGATTCTGACCAAGTCCTGGTCGTTGACCCTCTCACCCTGGTCTCCTACATCAGAGATCATCACACTCTCACGCCATTGGGCAAGAGTAGTCAGAAGATATATAGAGAATGCTTAAAAGCCCATCGCCTTCGATGCATCTGTTTCTGCAAGGACCCCCGTGGTAAAGGCGCCGTTGTTCAATTCTCAAAGATATGCCAACAGCTTGCGTGCATTGATGGGTGTCACCCACTCTGTGCCACCACAACCTGGCTGTTGACACAATGTTTCCCAGTAATCGGCTCCGTATACATTAATGCTAGAGAAGGAAGGATTGCTACTGCGAGAAGAAGAAGTCGCAATACTCCAAGCAAGAAACAAACAAGGGTGGTATCAAACGCAGAAAAACAACGTCAAAAAGAGTCCAAGAAAACCTCAAAAGACGTAGTGAACGAGCCATCCCAGACCATCTTTTCACCTCTTCCTCATGGCTCCATCTCAATTCTCATGAACTCGTCTTAATCCTCATCAACTACAACCTTCTTGGTCATACTTTCCACAACCTTTGTATAAAACTTGACGGCATGATTCCTCGGGAAGCAAATCTCTTCGGTCAAGTAATCAGGCAGAATATCCATCAAATCTGAATCCCTATTCGCGTCCAGCAAAGGTTCATATGCGAATTCTGTATCCTCGTAGCTGAGTCCAGAAGGTGTTTTTGGATTCGTGACGGCCGAGTCGGTAGCAATGGTGAGATGGAAATGAAGCGCTTTGGAGTATGTCAGTATCGAAGTGTGCAAGACAAAGGAGGATAGGGGAGGGCAAAACTTACTGCCATTGCGACCGGTCTGAATACAACTGTATTCATCTTCGCCATCTCTGCGTTTCACACTTGTGATGATCAAACCAGTCAAATCACGGTACAACTCTTCTTTCAACGCGTTCTCCTTGACTGTCTCTGCACTAGCACCGCCCAATGCACTCTTGCCATGCTCAATCTTCTTAACGGCTGATCCAGGTACCTTTTCAGAGTTTGTCTTCCTCGCGGCTTCGAGTTTGGCAGTCAGGGCTTTGCACTCATTCTGTGACTCTGTAAGGCTTTGATGCGTGGCTTTTGCGTCGTCTTTGAGCCTTTCGTTTTCCGATGTCAGGGAAGAGACTTGTGATTGGAGTTTTGCGGATTCGGTGATTGTGGTTGAGGAGGTCTTGCGGAGTTCGGCGAGTTCTTTCTTGAGGGATGCGATCAGGTCGTTTGCATCTGTTGATCTTGTTAGTCTCTGTGCGATCACAGTGTGAAGAAGTGGGAGGAGTAGAAGTCACCCTTTGCTTTCTGGTCTGTCGCCTTCTTCAGGCGCTCAAAGTTTGCCTCTGCAGCTTTTGGACCGAGTTCTGTGAGCGAGTCGTACTTCATGCGCATTTCTTCGTATTTCTTGGTCATGTCTGTCAACCTGCGACTTGCTTCTGCATCCGCTACTCTTCTTTCCGTGTCGCTGGCACTGCGACCTCGTGAATATGTGCCAGGTTGTCTGGAAGTGGAGCGTGCGCGAGAGTATGCAGCGCCAGGAGGAGCTTGTCGATGTATCGAGGCTGAGCGCTGTCGCGAATGTGACTTTGGCGGTGGAGGTGGAGGTGGAGGTGATGGCTCTCTGTCGATGTCCATAAGATCGGCTGGGGGCTCTTCATCTTCCACGATGGATTGTTCAATCTCGGTAGGCTCAGGTTGTGTTTCTGGGATGACTGGGGCAGGTTCGGGGGATGGCGCGCGCTTGACTTTTGGCTTTGTCTTTGCGATGGGCTTTTCTTTTTCAGGCTGCGCTTCTGCGGTTTTGACCTTTGCGGACTTTGTGGTCTTCTTTACTGGGGCAGGCTGGGGTTCAAGGACAGATTCGAGCTCAGGGGCGGGTGCGGCAGTCTTTGTGACAAGATCCTTCTTCAAGACTCGCTTCCTCTGCTTGGGCTTCGGCGCAGGCTCCATGAGAGCTTCAGGCTCATCGGCGTCGCTAGCTTCCGGTGGTTCGATAGGCTCGTTTGCAGGTCTCGCTTTCGCAGTCGTCTTCTTGGTAGTGGTGGCAGAGGCCTTCTTGACGGGTTTCTTGACGATGGTGCGATTGATCTTGGGGGGAGCGGGTCGCAAGTTCTCCAGATCGGAAGCGCCAATCTCGTCGTCAGAGGCAGGAGCGGGTGGTTTTGTAGCGACAGATTTGGAAGGCATTGTGGAGGGATGACGGTGAATGCGAGCAGGATGATGCAAGGCGAGCGATTGTTTTGTTTACCGCAGGCGCAAAGCACACGCGCCCCGCAACGCTGGGAAGCAACAAAGGCCCAATTCGGACTTGGAGTCTGCCAAGCAATCTATCTCGAGTGCATATCCTCTACACTTTCTGCTCTTCCTTCTGCATCAAGTACCTCGATGGTATCAGCTTACTCTCAGACAGGATCCACTTCGTTCAAGAATCTTCTTAACGCCCGTAGACCATGTTCGTGTTTGCTGCATGTCTCGAGCGAAAAAGACATGATGGCAGTCAAATCACATGATCCAAATCTTGGCACTTTGCGGCGATCGGGAGAGACAGATGGAATTCGGAACTGGAGCAGCAATAATTCTTGTCGCGGGCTCGAGTTGCAGCAGTCATGTCAAAGGCAATCAACTCGCCTACGGGCAGGCTACTACGTAATTCGCGCCTCTTCTCTCTACCGATCCCTCTCCCTGCTGCTCCCGTCGCCAGCTCGACGGCCGGTCAAATCCTGCGCACCTCGGACACGGCGACACAACCCTATCCCACCCACCAGGCCATCACAGCTCCTGCCTCGTCAAGATCGCGTGGTGACTGGGGTCTAAAGCGTCCTCTTCCCGACAGAGCCATCCCCAAGAACTACCCGCATCTCCGCATCAAGGCCATCGACACTCTCGAGCACATTACCGACTTCGAATCCGCCGCCGATCACACCCAGTCGCTCGCAAAATGGCAGGAAATGAACATTCCGCTCTCTCTGCCGCCGAATAGCCGCAACCACATTGTCTCTACATCTCACAAGTCCCGCCCCAACGCCTTCTCCGAAGCCTACGACAACACCACACTGCTACCCAACGGCAGTGAGCAGACGACCTTCACCGCCGAGCGCGCTCTCCGCGAGAGACGCCGCCAGACTGGTGGCCTTGCACGATGGAAGACTCAGGGTCCTCACCTCACCAGCTTGACCGAGGAGGAGTTTGAGCGCTACCTGTTCAACCTGGTCCGCCAACACAAGCAAGAATTCCGCAAGTTCTTGGCCGCTGTCAAGCTCGACAAGAACCGCAACGACCAAAAGGCGACAATGCGTGACCATGCCGACCCCGCTACCTTTGACATTGAGTTGGAACATCGCGCGCGTCTGGACAAGTACGAGTTGGATGACTGGATCAAGGAGCTGCGCGACAATCAACACGACACCAGCAGTGAGCTTGCCACTCTGGTCCGTGAGTTCTTCGACCTGCCTGCATTCTCCAGGGCTGGCCCCAGGTCTTCCACTTTCCAAAGCACAAAGACGCCGGACCAGAGTCTTGCCGAAGCTGTGGCTGTCGGAAACAGAAGCGACGCCGCACCCCCCTCAACTCATCCTTCAGCTGGTCTCTCTTACTTGCAGAGCAGCGCAATCGTCAACAACCACCCAATCTACGGTCCTCAGGCTGATCGCGAACCCGTGCAAGCCCGTGTTCTCAAGCCAAAGGACAGTAATCGCAACAGAGACAACAGAGCCGACGTCGGTCTCGGAGGTTTCGTCACGACTTACCAGCCTGGCAGCGTATTCGCTGGTTCCCGCTTCAAGGCTTCTCAACAGCCAGCCAAGGATCCTCTCCACACGCTTGACCTTTCTGTCACTGGCGGCAACAAAGTCTGGCTGCAACCTAGATATGCCTATGTTGATGACGCTGGTCGTATCAGACTCGATGTGGGAGAAGCTAGCAAGCACTCGGTCGACATCAAGGCTGGTAACGCAATTCAAGAAGAAAAGCCCGTCTACTCTGTTGCGCCTGGCAGACAACAAGAACGCCTCGATAGTGGCTTTGGCAGTGCAAACTATGGTAGAGCTCTGCCAGACGAGAGACTGCGTCAACCAGCGCGAGCTCAACCTTTTGAGCGTACGGGTGAAGACTACAAGGCTGGCCTGGAGCAGATTGAGGCTTTGGCTAGAGGCACTGGACAGCAGCAGTCATGAGACGAGTGACATGAGAAGACTGTATAGATATGTACAAATATTGAAACTGTTACAACAACCTGCATTCTGAACATGACAAGCACATGTTAATTGAGAGCGACTTTGATCTTGTCTCGAAAGTGATGTTGGTCTTCTCCAAAGAGTGAAGTCAGAGGAGGCCGTGCACCATGTTCTCCACGCCAAGCAATTAGCCGACGGCAGGCACGCAAACTCCAACCATCGCAAATCTCTCTCTCCTCTCTTTTCGAAGCTGCGCCGCGAACAACTTTCAACTCTTCGACCACCTCCTCTTCCGCCAACCAACACACATACCGCAAAAATGGGTCGCGTTCGTACCAAGACTGTCAAGAAGTCCGCCAAGGTCATCATTGAGCGTTACTACCCCAAGTTGACTCTTGACTTCGAGACCAACAAGCGCATCTGCGATGAGATTGCCATCATTGCCTCCAAGCGCCTGCGCAACAAGGTGCGTTGATCCGTCACGGGTTTCTACCGGCGTTGCAACAGGAACTGATGATTAGCAAACAGATCGCCGGTTACACCACTCACTTGATGAAGCGTATCCAGCGTGGTCCCGTCCGCGGTATCTCGTTCAAGCTCCAGGAAGAGGAGCGCGAGCGCAAGGATCAGTACGTCCCCGAGGTTTCTGCTCTCGACTTCACCCAGAACTCCGAGTCTGGCATGCTCGACGTCGACCAGGACACCAAGGACCTCCTCAAGTCCCTCGGCGTAAGTTTGGACCTCGAAGTTTTCCCCTTTGTTCCTCCCACTGACTTCTCTCTTCACAGTTCGACGCCATCAACGTCAACGTCGTTCCCGTCGCCCAGCAGCAGGTTGCCGAGCGCCCTCGTCGTTTCGGCGACCGCGCTCCCCGCAACAACTAAGCGGTTGTTGTTCGCATACCCTCTGCGCTACATCGGCTTCGGAAAAGTTCTTGACAGAAAAAGTGGGAGTTCTACATGGCGCATTAGTCTTGTTAGGTTCGGATTTCTGTTTTCCACAATGCAAATCTGCCTCCCCTTCACAATCAGGTGTCGCTGATTCTTGCTGCTCTTTTGCGGCAGATGACGCTTGACTGCCATCCATTCACATCTTTCTTCTTCCTGGTCACGATGGCGCAGCGGAAGAGTCTACGGGTAGTGCTGAGACTTGCTTCTGCTGTTGATCCGTCGTGGCTGGCTGAGATTGGGACTTGCAAGAGAAAAACCCTTCTTGCTTGTCTGCCATCTCAGCCGCTTGTGATGCCCTTCCCTCCGTGACTCTATCGTGACTTCTTGACGCAACACGCCCACCAGTCGTAGCTGGACTGAGTAAGCTCTGATTGTTGTTTTTTCTCAGACGCTGTGTCCTTATCCACTTCTCGCCGCCAAAACCCAAGCATCATAATCCGATGCCCTCAATATTCTCTGTAGGCACACGAGACGCCTAGCATTTCCTCATACGACGTCCCGTTTCCGTTCCCATGATCGTTGGACATGCATTGAAGAACTGAGGCGTCATAATAAGGCAGGTCAGGACCATATCCATAGCTCCGTTCTCTTAGCTTTCCTATCAATGCAAAATCTGTACTTTTTTTCCTCTTCATTGTCAGACTACGTCTTCGCCTACCCGTGTGCGGAATACTGTCACACTTATCGCTGTCTCAAAAGCACAATACTTTTCTCAACTTGCAACGATGTCATCGAGATACTTCGTGTCATCGACTCCCCTGCACTAGATTTTCTGAGCACGAGATATGACTATGCCTTTCCTACAGCTTGCCGCTGCCTGCTTTTTGTTATCAAGGGAAAGAGAGAGGGTGTAACAGTATTTTGCACACGGGGGGAGGCCGCAACACATTGCAGGTCGCCATGACTCGATTTCTTTTGAGTGATCGTGTCATTGTGCTGATTAGGAAAAAACAAATAATCACAACTTACCTAGTGCCCTTCTTGAGTGTCACAAGGTGTCAACAAAAGATGTTTGCTGTGAATCAAGTGTTTAATAGCTATGTGGCTTCCATCTCTGCTCGACAACTCGAGGACGTGAAGGATGCATATCATTGACAACAAAGATTCGTACATTGCCATCCCGCATGACGATGACGTTGTTGAGATCTTCGAGACTGAACAGCAAGAGACGAGGGAGTGGTATGCTGAGTATCACACACAAGTACAAGATCAGATTCAAGCGGAAGATAATAAGAGAATGGGGGCTCCTCAACCTATCTGGATCGGAAGATACCATGTTATTGGTCTACGCGAAGGCCGCGATCTTCAAGAGCACCTCACCAATCTTCCCCGGGCACTGAACTATCATATCGAACAGTACATCCCAGCCATAAACGGATATGCGCTTGACCTACTTCCATCAGAAACCGATGCTTTTGACATTATACGCGAAGACCCAAATGTCGGATTCGTCGTCCTGCTACCAAGAGGTTACTTTTCACCATACGGCTGGAAAAACTTGGATGACCCTGATGACTTGAATGGCTATCATGGTAAAAGGAGTTGGGAAGTTCTTCAGCAAAAGGATCTAATGGTTGAAGTCACTGATGATGGAGCTGTGTAAGTCCGTTCTTCCTCTTTCCCTCATCCATCACCTCAGCTTTCTTGGAAACCACCGAGACTGACATAGAAATGACAAGCAAAGTTCCTCTCTCCTACATTCTTTCCTTTCTCTCTCGATCGGCAAAGGACAGACACCTTGAGACCCCCTTCCTTCACCATTTCTCATAATGAACGAGTACAATCATGAGACTTCCTATCAAATCAGACTGGCCAGCGTCGAGGCAGAGGAGAAATGGTTACTGCTCGCCAGCGAAAATGGAAATGTCATTGGCTTACGACCATTGAGAAGCCGGAAATACCCTTGGTATGAGCAGCAGAACAAAGAGACTGGAGAGTCGGAGACAGTCTACGGCACAAATGGTTTGGTAGATATATGTCTTTGTCTTTTCCACCATGCCCTGCTGCTAAGGGAAAACAAAAACGCCATAAATCATAAAAGGGTCGAAAAATAAAGGGGTCCATCTAAATAATCAACCAAATCATCCCTCCTATCCAACCCGCAAGAACCAATATCGTAATAATCACCGCACCCGCCCGATCAGCCTGAGTAATCTTCCTCGGCACACCAGCCCTCTCACTATCACTCTTCCCCCCCGCAGCATCATCACCAGTACTAGTACCACCCGTACTATTCGTAACAGGTCCTCTGGCCCCCTTGATCAAATTACTCTGGATAACCTCAAGAGCACACAACTGTTGCCCTACTCCCCAGGTATTGTCCCAGGTCACGCTGGCTTCGCTGGTGTTGGCAAACCATTTTGTGCCGCAGGTCACGCCGTCTGTGCCGCCGGAGCAGGAGGCTGCGGCGCCCATGGCGGAGGCGGCGAGGTAGGGTGCTATTTGGGAGGAGAGGAAAGGTGCGACTTTTGAGGAGGCTGCCATCCAGCGGGCGAGGTAGGCTTTGAATCTGTTGGTTTTACTCAAGTCAGCAAAAAGCTGTTTTAAAAAAAAGAGAGAGAGAGAGAGAGAGAGAGAGAGAGAGAGAGAGAGAGAGAAGAAGGAAAAAATAGCCAAAGGGTGGGGATATTCAGGTAGACTTACGTGTGTTGATCGGTGTTGCAGTTACCGCCTGGTTCGCAGGCAACTTCATACATGATCTTGTCGGAGGTGAAGAAGACATTTGTCGCATTCCACAACCCTTGTGTTCTCTCCTTCCAAATGTCTTCTCCAGTGTGGTTCCACATGGTAGCCGCACCCAGCAAAAAGATTCCAGCATTATACGTCCATTGCAATTTATCCACAGTCGAGCAATTCTTCGTCGTGTCTGAACCGTCGTAAATGTAATATTCCGGCGTCATGAGTCCCACTTCTTCCATCCAGTCCCATGATTTGACCGCCCAGTCCACATACGAAGAGTTTCCGGTATAAGCGGCCAGACGAGATGCCAAATTGAAAAATCCACCATTGGAGATGGAATTCTTGTAATTGTATCCAGCATTGAAGGTGAAGACCTGCCATCGCAAACCTCCATTACAAGACTTGGTATCCCAACGAAGAGCCTGAGTGTTAAAAGTCGCTTGAGCAAGAGCAAGCCATTGCGGTTGATCTTGTGGCGGGTTTGGGAAGTTGAGCTCTGCGGCGGACATGGCGGCCATGCCCCAAAAGGCTTGATCGTCATTTCCTTCCGTCTTTGTCTGGTTCTCTGGCATGTAGTCTGCGTCTGGTCCGGCTTGGAAGATCAAGGCTTGAGAGGTTACGGCGTTGTAGGATGTGTCGCCTGTGTAGTACCAATAGTCGACCATTGCGCCAAAGACGGCACCGGCGTGCCACCAGTAGTACGGCCATGGTAGTAATCCAATTGTTTGTCCGGTTTCGTTGCCGTGGTAGTACTTCATCATACCGTATGCGACGGTCGAGGCGGCGGATTTGATTGATTCTTAAAAGCAGAAATGTCAGTATGCGGATGTACTATGAGCTAATTCAAAGCTTTTGCAAAGCTCTCTCTACTCACCATCACTGCTCAAGTCGAGCTCAATCGCTTGACTAGGAAGGGCAAGCGATGCAAGTGATAGACCCCATGTCAAAAGATTCGTTGTACGCATGATGGACGTATATTATGTCGTGGTGCAGATGCGATGAAAAGATTGTAGAATAGAAACCCAAGAAAGACTGAATCTTCGCCGACCTCTAGTTGGAACTCGTATGCCTTGTTGACAGGTGATCGGCAGGAATAGAACAGCTTCAACGGTGTCTCAGAGGGATCATTGGACGGAAAGAGTGGCGGAGCTGGAGAGAGAAAAACAGTCAAAGTATGGAGCAAATAATGAATGGACGCTACAATCGAGTAGCAAAAGACAGGGAACGTGAGATGTGGTGAAGAAGAAATGCAAAAGACAAGCAACCTAACTCAAGGCGCCAGGGCACCGACCTCATTATCTACCATGATCTTATTTTGGTGCTTATGTGACCGTTGACAAGGGGAGGAAGAGGCTTGACGGGCGTTGTGAGGACCTTATACGAAGTGCACGGACGACCTGCCCCACAGATTCTGCTCCATCTGGAAGCCCAGCCGTGTTGGCGGATGCTTTTATTGATCCATCTCGTGTCATGGTGGTGTGCTCCTCGGGAGATTCGACTGCTTCCTTCCGGCTGGGCAATTGCGTGGTGATGGTCGCTATGCCTTTGCGATGAACATATCGCAGGTACAGGGCACAAGCTACATGGTGGAGAAGGCGAATGACGACGGGTTGTAAACAACGGGCGAAGCGCATACTAAGATTGCAACAAATCGATGTCAACAGGAACGGATAGACTTGGACCCCCTTGAGCAAATGACCTCGTACCTGGACGAGAGACCATACGGGTCGTCGCATGAGTAGCCAATGATGTTCAGCTCGTGTTTGCAGTTCACAAGAGACAGAATTGGACGGTACTGAAGGATGAAAGCTTGGTATAAGATGGTATACGAGACAACTGGAGGCATATGGGGTATCATTGGCAAAGAAAGAGACAAGAGATGACGCAGCTGAAACACACAAGGCAGCTACGGGTCAAGGACGATGAGATCCGGAACGGGTGGGCCGACGCCTCTGAGCAAGACGAGAGTGTTCCCGGTCTTGACGGCAGCACCGAGCTTCTCGCCAAAGCCGAGCAGTCGTCCGCCTTCAACGTGGAAGACGCGCAACTTGTCCTCCTCGCCCTCGACACGGTTGTTGACATTGTCAACTTGCAACGACTTTGCGGCAAGGTCCAGGATCCTGCCAATGCTCCACTCGGACGAGTAGAAGAACTGGCCGGTCGGGTGCTTCGCCTTTGTCGTGTCGGCCGAAGCCTCGACATTGACATAGATGCGTTTCTCCATGGCTACCTTGGCGTCACCTTTGGCGTTCTTCTTCAAGTCGGCCGTGGCACGAACACGTTGAGCAGCAGTCAAGGGCTTGTTGGTGGATGGTGTTGACGTCGGCTTCGTGCTTGTCGATGTTGTTGCAGCAGACGTCATGGTCTTTTGTTTGGCCTGGCCCCAGGCACGCAGCTTTGCAAGCGCATTCAAGCCCTTTTCTTTATTCGCGCGAGCTTCAATAGGGATGAGCTTTGCGCAGTCGTGTGTCTCTCGTAGGCGGTGTTTCAGGCAGTAGCTGCGATTACAAGCGTTACACTCGACACCGGGTACCAGGGCCGTGTTGATCAGAGTCTTGCAGGACGGTTCGAAACATTGTGACTCGTGTGTGAGGACGGAAGGCTTGGGCGACGGAGTATAGTTGGATCGTTGTTGATCGGCGCGTGCTCTTGCCCAAGCGCCAGCATTGGGACATGAATGCGCCGTCTCTGATCGGTGGTCGAGGCAGTATTTACTGGGTGAAATCAGTACGTGTAGTAACTCAGAACACAAGGTTGAGGGACCCACCCTTTACAACTCTCGCATCGAAAGGGAAGAAAATCGAGCTGGTGACAGAATGACATTTGGCAATGAGCGCCAATCGCTTCGACGTCGGCGGTCGCCATTGTGCTGTAGCTGTGTTCGGTTGTTGAATCTGGAGTAGAAGACATGATTGAAGCAGCGACGGCGACGGCGACGGCGACGGCTTTATCTATCCGCCGCCTCTATCCAAGTCTCACGGTAAATGATGAGGCAGGCACTTGCTTACGACACTCGTTCTTGGAAGGCGCGAGCGGCGAGGAAGCTTCGGGAATCGCATGTGAAAGCCGCCGCTCTTGCCCGTCTTGGAAGAACATCAACAATCTGCACCTGCCACTTTTCCTCTGCCACAGTCACGGCAGGTGCCCACGCTGTCCACGTTCATCATCGCGTCCGCCAAACAAGCTGCGGCTGCAGTCGCAAAGATGCACTCCGCTCTGACTTATCAGCCAGTCGCCAGGTGCTCGGTACGTCGCGCCATGTACAAGAGAGACGTTGCAAGGTAGATACTGAACGCCATCAAGGTCACCAAGGCTCGTGCTGCTGTACTACAACTACCCCATGGCCCTGTTCCTCTGCCCATCTTTATGCCTGTCGCAACACAGGCTTCACTCAAGGGTCTGACTCCTCATCAACTCGAGGAGACTAGTTGTCGCCTGTGTCTAAACAACACCTACCATCTGTGATTTGCCTCGACTCCCATCGCATGACTCTTGTCTGACCATGTGACTCCAGCGGCCTCAAACCTGGCCAAGCCACATTAGACGCCATTGGTGGTGCTCACAAGCTTCAATCATGGCCGCACAACATCTTGACAGGTATACGCACCAACATTTCTCAACTCGAGCCTGCATTGACGCCATGCAGACAGTGGAGGGTACGCTCTTCTTACCGCTTGACTTGCGAGTCACGTCACTCACACGCCTAGTTTCCAAATGGTCTCTCTCCTCGAACTTGCTACTGTAACCGAAGAAGGCGTCCGCTTCCTCAGTCCTCACGACCGATCACCCATGCTCCTCACCCCCGAGCACTCCATCTCCCTCCAGAACAGCATCGGCTCAGACATCATGATGCAACTCGACGATGTCATTGCGACAACATCGCCAGATCACGCTCGTATCAAAGAGGCCATGTACCGCAGTATCCGCTGGCTCGATCGCTGTATCGCCGCCCACAAGAATCCAGAGACTCAGAATCTATTCTGCATCATCCAAGGAGGTCTGGATCTTGAGTTGAGGAAACAGTGTTGTAAAGAGATGGTTAAAAGAGATACACCTGGCATAGCCATCGGTGGGCTGTCAGGCGGCGAGGCCAAGGAAGAGTACTGCAAGGTCGTCAGCACTTGTACGAGTATGCTGCCAGACAACAAGCCCAGATATGTCATGGGCGTCGGATATCCTGAAGACTTGGTTGTTTCGGTTGCTCTAGGGGCAGACATGTTCGACTGTGTCTGGCCCACCAGAACGGCAGTAAGTTTCGTCTTCTCGCCTCTCCTTGCTCTTTCTAACCACCTTGTCTAGCGATTTGGCAACGCCATCACTTCCACGGGCGTCTTGAACCTGCGTCACGCCTCCTACTCCGATGACTTCTCACCTGTCGATCCAGGCTGTAAATGTACAATCTGCCGCCCAACCTCCGACGGCGGACTAGGACTCACGCGCGCCTACATTCATCACGTTGCTGCGAAAGAAACAGCAGGTGCACATTTGCTTAGTATACACAATGTGCACTACTTGCTCGACCTCATGCGACGCATCAGGGAGGCCATCATCGCAGACACGTATCCGGCCTTCTTACGCCAACACTTCTTGACGCTACACGCAGGAGACAAGACAAAATACCCCACTTGGATAGTGGATGCGCTGAGGAGTGTGAATGTAGACCTTATGGAAGACTAAAGGAGATACGATGAGAGTGTGATTTGACCATTCCAACGAGAATATGACATCAAATCCCTATGATCACCCATTTAGCCTCTTGATCTCCTTGAACATCTCCCCAATACACCCCTTTTCCGCCAGAGGAATGTTATCATGATCACTGCCCTCTACGACTCTTGCCTGAAACTTGACCTCTTGCCCTGCGTTGCCTTCCCTCCAGCACCTTTCAAAGTACTTTTGTCCCCCTTTTCCTACTATGACATCCGTCTCTGCAAAGTATGCCTGCATAGTCAATTGCCTGGTACCTTTTGGGTATGTTTGTTGCAAGGTCGAGATGAGTTCGGATAGGTTTGCGTAATCACCCCAATCTTTCCCATCTTCTTGCAGACAGAAGAGGCAATCTGCAGAAATACCACTATAAATTCATCATTGATATTAGCACATAACCTACAAAAAAAAAAGCTCCCAAACTAGCGCAAAAGGAAGCAGCAACAGGGGAAGAAAAAAGAAAAGTAAACGAAAAGAAAAGAAGAAGAAAAAAAAGACCAACCTCATATCCTCCAATCTGGACCACTTTCCCTGCAAAGTGCTTACTTGGTCCCAAGTTTGCTTATCCATGCCATGCCATTTGACAGACTCTGTTTCCGTCAAGCCAGAACTTTTCAATCCAAGCATTGCGGATGAAAGCTGTAGACTGGGTGCGATACTTCCAGCTACAAAGGATTGTATATGATGGTATTTGCCTATCCAAGATGATGGTAGTTTATTGACTACTTGCATTAATCCTGCATTTGAGAACTTGGGATGTATCCATGGTGCTGTAATGATTTATTTCAAGTATCAGCCATTTTTTTGCCTCTTTGAATCCCTTTTTTTTGACTCCCTGATAGGGATGGGGGGGGAAAGGAAGAGGGAGGGAGGGAGAGCAGGAGAAGAAACTTACTCATCACACCCGCAAAAGGCCATTCAGGATGCAAGAACTGCGACAATCGAATCAAAACATTCGCCAAATAAATTGTTCCCGCAGAATGAGACATCAATGCTACAGTTTTGACTCGCAAGTTTTCGAGAACAGCGGTAACAGCATCTAAGAATACATCTACTCTTTTGCTCAACTCTACAGGTGTGGAAGCCCCAAAACCTGGTCTTTTGTGTGTTATTTTATTAGCTTGCTAAAACGATGATGGATAAGAATGCAAGAAAAGAGAAAAGGGCAAGGGCTCACCGATCGATGATGAGGACTCGTACGCCTGTTGTTGTGGCCAAGTGCTCGAATTCGTAGATTAGGTAGCGGGCTGCTCCCATGGGGTGGCAGAATAAAATGGTTGGTAGTCCTTCATTGGAGAAATTTGTGGTTGTTGCGTAGGTTACTTTCAAAGCTTCATGGTCCGCAGTTGCTGGGAGGGTTATGCTCTGGTGGAAGCAGCTTTGTGAGGAAAAGGCGGTTGCGGCGTCAAAGGGTGAGGAGGGTGGTTGAGGTGGAGTCGAGGTAGTCATTGTTGGGTATTTTGCGACGGGCGCGTGTGATCTGTTGAATACAGAGATAAGGGTTATTGATGAATAGTATGAATTTGCTCTGTGCGATTTGATGATTCTATTAGGCGTACTGAGAAGGATAAATTTGTTGTAGTGGTTTATTGTAGTTTACGACTGGGAATAACTGTTGTGATGAAGGCTGTGTCAGCCTTGCGAATCCTTCTGAAATCCTTCGACCAATCCATCTCTATCTCCGTCCAGACATGGCCCAGCAAAGCTCTGAACATCGCTTGCTACAAACATTCACCCAGTGTCTAGTTTTGCTCCTTCGGTTCTGTTGACCCTGTACCACTGTCGATTAATAGTCCCTTCATCTCCATGGCCAGAGCCGAAACATCATTGTCCTCATCGTGCGGACCTAGCGACTTGGGCGGTCCACCATCAGGATTGATCCACCTGAAACCCGCAACACAAATCTTAGTCGGCAGGCCAGAGGTAAATCCTCTCTTTTTCGCCACCACAACTCTAGGTTGAAATGAGGTGAAATCCCTCGTGGAATCCTCGACTCTACCATCCCCGTACCAGGTCCTGGATATCCATTTGGCAAAGTCCCAGCCGGAGATCCGGAGGTTGTGAGAGCGCTTCGGGCTCGCGAGTACGCTGTATGGTCGACGGCTTTGACGGGAGAGATGGGCTACGTTCGGCCAGAAGGTGTATTGGTGGTAGTCGAGGGTGATGCTAGGATAGCGGGTTGCACGAGAAGTTGAAACGCGCGATTTGGGGCCAGAGTCTGTGGCTTCAGCGTCAGAAGGCTCGTCGTAGGAGTCTTCACTGAGTGAGTACTGGTCGGAGTCGCCCTCGTCTTGAAGATGATCAACGAGGTCGCGTGATTGACTTGACAAGTCAGCTTTGAGGTCTTCGTCGAGCTTGATGGTTGCGTCGTCTACAGCTGCGCTCTTGTGCTCCTGAAGGATGTAGCGTGGGTCAAGCATCCAGGGAAAGTGCTTTTGATATACAGCAAGACACTTCGCCTTCATTTTGCTCGCAAGATTGGAATCTTTAACAAAAGCATCAATAACGACAATATATTCAATGACCAGGCGAAGCAAAACAGCTTGCGACCAAGGGAAGGCGGTCTCGTCAAGACGAGCTGTCGGACCATCATCGTGTTCAAAGAAGCGAGCAAATAACAGGAAGGCCTCCATCACATCTGTGATCCTTGTCAGCTTCGGCTCTCCTGACGCACAGAGGCCACGAGTTTACCTGCAGCAATCCCCTAACCATTCGCAGGCTCGAAGACGTCTCGCTGTAGTTCATGCTTGGCTGTCGCAATGTCTTTTTTCGACTCGAATTGCATTACAGGCAACATGCAATACTTTTAACACAGGTCATGAAAGTAAAGACTGTCATTGTTGATGTACGCTTCCCAGACACTCCAGTTGTCGGCGAGGCTGTAGTCGGTTGTAAGGTGCCATGTCATGAAGCCTCGCAATCTTTGCACCGGGCAGACGTCGGGTTCGTTGTGGACTGGAGAGTCGTCTGATTCGGACTGGACTGTGGAGGCGTCTGCTTCGGCGTTCTCAGGTGTTGTGTGCAAAGGTTGCGAGCTGTCATCGCCGCTTTCCTCGTCGTGCAGCCGGACGGCCTGTCGACTGAGGAGTCGACTGAATACACTCATGCTGATGCATATGTAAAAGATGAAGTGTGCGCAGCTTCAACGCGAAAGAAAATACCGTACGTATGTAGCAGAGGTGGTTTGCGGTATTTCGCACGCCGACGTTGGGTGCTCTGGGGACGAACATCTTCGCCATGGTCTCAACAACTGGTCGTGGCCGGACACGATCCGAGATGGTAGATGTCGCGACCAGGATGCAATTTCACATCCCGAATACAACGTTCTTCAAGCCATGCTCCTTCGAAAGCTCAACCCAATCCACTTCATCCGAACTGCCGCCAGCTATTTCTTTCTTAGCCTGCTCTCTGACTACCAGCTCGAGAACATGCCTCACTCGTGCCACGGCTCCTGAGAGTCCAGCATGTTCCATCTCTTGTAACATTATCAGTGCGGCTGCCTTCTCAAGCGGAAGTTTGGTGGCCGAACCAGCCAGGAATAGCGCGTTCGCAAGATGGTGGTTCTCTCTGTCATTGTGGACAAAGCTTTGACGCACCGTGTTAATGATGTATGTGCAGTGTCGAGCATCTTCTGCCGCAAATATGTCTCCGTCCAGACGTTGATTGGGATACATGCTTGTGTGGAGATGGATCTGAAGCACCGAATATTGCAGTCGCGCGAAGTTGTACGTAGATGTTATGATGACCCGATCCGCTGAGGGCGCAGTTTTGTTGTCGGACGTGTCCATGTGAGGGGGGCAATGAGCTTGCCAGACTTCGGCGTGTCGCACCGAGAGGTCCTGGATATATTGCTGTCGCTCATGCAAGCCTACGCTTCGATTCTCAAACGCACGTCGGAGAGTTAGTGATGCCTGACTCTGCTCCGCAAACATCTCAAACGTCATTAGAGATAGCTTGTGGGCTTGTAGGAATGTGTCCATAGCTTCCGGACTGGAGAGAACTTTTTGATGGCTAGGCGATATTGGCCACACCGGAAGAGAGCGACCATTCTCTATAAAAGCTCGAGTGTAGTGACCGGCTTCAGCATTACCTGCAAGGCCCGCTTGGGCGTCCAGAAGCAGGATATACCATGACAAATAAGCCTTGAGTCGGCTAACTGTAGGTCCAGCTGATTCATGAGCCAAGCTGGCGAGTTTGCGAAGATGCAAAGACCAAGAACTGCGATCCTCAGGCCATCTTTGTGAAGCACAGGCGATGTCGTACATGAGGAGGACAAAGTGCAAGAAGAAGACAGCTTCAGAGTTGGCGGATGAAGACATTGACCGACAGGCTGTTATAGCTCGGTCATAGTGCTGAAAAGAGCCTGCTACAAGCTCTGGACGATTCTTTAATCCGCTGTTGAGAAGCGTGATGGCACAAATCGCGTGACGGAGTGGAACGAAATTCCTTGCCGACGTAACAAGCACGTTTTGATTGTCCTCAATGTTTAGTTTGAACCGAACAGCCATCGGCATGATCTTGCGACACACAATGCTGTCGAAAAGCGAAGGGTGTATCGCATTGTCGCGGGCTCTAGTACCATAATTCATCAGATCAAATGGTATGCGAGCAGTCCGGACTAATTCGAGCGATTGATTATCCGAGTCTTCAGATGACGAGTCGGAAGCTCGTCGTGAATCTTGCGCATCATCTGTCCGCGCCGGGCGGCGTTCCGTAGGTGCTTCGGTCATAGCCAGATCCTTCGAGAATGAATTAACGAACATCAAAGTCCGTGATTGGGTTGGGTCTGCAGTCTGATGCTGACAAGTCTCAGGCCGAGCTGACGCGCCCCGGTGTACTAGTGTCGCATTGTGTCCATGATTTGCATCCTTTGTTGATGGCTTTGTTCTCCGGTCTGGACCTTGACCCAGTACAACATACTGCTCTTGAACAGCACGACTGGTATCGATGAATTTCCACTCTCGCGTCCAATCGCATGGGCGATTCAGACGAGAACAAGAGCCGCATCGACCAATGTCGTCACGGTTTTCATCGCATTTGACCTTTCTCTGCCGGCAGGTGCGACAACCACTATACGATCGTTGGGCAATCGTCGCTTGCGAAGTTTCCATGCTGTCATGGTTCTGGACGTGTGTCAAGTCGAGCCTTGTCAAGACAGGAAGGAAGCAGCTCCATTATCTCTCGGAGGAGAAAAGTGTATTGGACGACTGGAATAGAGAAAGTCAAATCACACGAGCTTCCTGACGTGAAGGACCGAGGGTCTCCGACACGCCGACACGTGGCCAAGGAACAAGGAAAGCTAGAGCGGGCGGGTTCCGCGACGCAGGGTCTGTACTGGCCTATTTTCTGTGCGAAGAGCCGCGAACTGACAACTTGCCATTACAAAATCATCCTTCATCGATGATTCATCAAGAGAAGTCTCTTTGCAACGACTCTGAGTCTCCCGGTCGAGATCAAAGGCGTTGGAGATGGCTTGATTCTGACGCCCTGCGAACCTGATGGAACTGTCTCACGGTGACTGTCGGGAAACATCGTGTTTCATCTTTGGCTGAGCGCCACATAGAACGTCGCAACTCTATTGACGTTTCTTATTGTACAGGTGCATAGCCAGGAATAGACCGCTAGCAACTTCGGTCGAATTTTCTCCCGCTTCTCAAGACTCAGGCAAACTTCGCAGAACCCAGGCGCAATCGGAGCTCGCTGCGAGCGAGCATGTCAATCACCTGTCTGGGACTCGAGGGTGACTTACCTGCATGGCTGCTGTATAAGCTCATTGGACACGAGCTGAAGTAAACTCTTTCGTGTCGCGAGATGCAACGATCATGCATGTGAAAGGAGCCACGAGCAACAACGACGCGACCGTCGGACCTAGAGCAGGGATGCACGACAAGGCCGCAGCTCCTATCGGAGTCACCGACAGGCTTGAACAACGACGAATCACGTTAATCATGAACAAAGAAAGCAACATATATTCGCTCAAAGGTGAAGCGGAGATGGTCGGCGGAGGAAGATCATCAAAGGGGTTTTGCGCAATCGGAATACAAGCAGTGGTCTATATCTAACGAAACATCCTGCAGCTATAATGCGAAATCACACTGATATAGGTTCAATCTCTAAAGTTTCTCAAAGGCCTCAACTACAGCTCTTGTAGTGGACGCAGCACTCTGTGGGTTCTGACCAGTGACCAGGCGGCCGTCAACAACATAGAAGTCGTCCCAAACACCAGCACCTCTCTCATCTATTGTCCAAAGTCAGCGTTGCATCATCCAGACAATCTGAGGTAGGAAAAACTTACAAGTGGCGCCCAACCTCTCGGCCAACTCCTCGACCATCTCGGCGTCCCAGCTCTTCAACTCATCATAAATTCCCATATCCTTCTCCGCCTCGGTCGTGAAGCCCGTCATTCTCTTGCCCTTGATGATCGGCTCGTTTGTTGCTCTGTCAATCACATTGGCGAAGATTGCCGGCCCATGACATACAGAAGCCACAATGCCCCCGTTCGCCCATACCTGTTCCGCAATCTTCTGCAGCGACGTGGCAGTAGGGTAATCAATCAGCGACGCATGGCCGGCCGAAGCGTAGAAGACTCCGTACTTGCTGCCATCAATCTCAGATGCTTTGGGCATGTTGTCCAGTTTCTGGCGGAAGTCTGAGGTCTTGTCGTTCCAGGTGGTGAGGTCGGAGCCCTTGAGGAAGTCGGGTTGTTGGGAGAGCCAGTCTGGCGTATAGGAGCCGGTCTCGGAGGCGAGGTCGACTGAGAAACCGGCGGCCGTGAGGACGTTGTAGGGGTGCAGGGCTTCGCTGATGAAGAGGCCGGTGGTTTCCTGGCCATTGAATAAGCTTGCAGCTGCACTGGTGATGCTGATGAGGGCGCGGCGTGGTGGAGACATTGTTGAGATTTTTGGAATTAGTGTAATGGGATTAATTGCAAAATCTTGTAGGTAGTGTTTGATTCAGTTGCGTGTTGTTGCTGTGTTGAGTGATATCAAAAGCTTGTGGCTAACGAAGCCATATTTATACAGCTACAGGATCCTCGAGCTCAAGGAGTTCCGGAGTGACAACTCGCCAACTTCTTTAGTCCATCACAAGATAACGTCCAATGATGAGAAGATTCGGGGTCCTTCTGCAGCTTCCTTCGGAAAATCTTCCTTCGTTCTCGAGACTCCATGGGACGCGCGCGTAGACCTGTAAGCAAATCGAAGTTGAGTTACTCCCATTGGCTTCGAAGCTGAAGATTGCGGGCGCGGAGGAGTTGTTCCCATTGGTCAGATCTGGAGTTGACAATCTCAGCCAATAAACAAAGCTCCGGCTTTCCGGCCCTGTCACACATTCGTAAGCAAAGTTCCCCAGCTCGAAATCGCACCGCCCATCACGCCCAAGTAAACTTCATGCTTATTGAGAGTTTTAACTTCAACTTTAAAGAAAGCACTGGAAAACTGTCGGCAGCTGAGTGACCGAAGTTATCGTTCTACAGTCAACCAGCTGCTGTAGTGCGGTCGACTGTTTTCACGGTGGCAGTTGACTGACCCCCGCTCGAGCGACCCAAATACAGATGCCCCATACAGTCATGTTACCTGCCCCAGTTGATACACCCCACAACTCCGGGTCTCCAGAGCGTCGACTACTACCTCGCATACGACAGAAACGAGCTCAGGTAGCCAGGGCTTGTGACGAGTGCCGCGCACATCGGACAAAATGCGACAACAATCGACCCTGTTCCAACTGCAACGACAAGGGAAGACGATGCAGTAATAGTGATACGAGGAAAGTTTTGACTCTCTCACAAGCCTATAGAAAGATCGAGGATCTACGGCAGAAGGTCCAAGACTTAGAATCCAGGCTTGAGCGGGACCCGGAGAATCGAGTGACTACACAGTATACTCCTGACCTACTCAGCCGGTCTGAACGCTCAGATTCTCAGTCTGAAAATCACACTTCAGAACAGGGAGCATCTAAAATCAAACCTTGGGCCGGCATCAAGCTCCGGCCCGTACGCTCGCCGCATGAGACTTGGTTCGGGCCGTCGTCATTGTACCACTTCATGAAGCGCCTCAGTACTTTCTTGACCTCTTCTCTTCAGGAAATTTATACAGCGGACAGCATGCTTCTCAACTCTGAAAGTAGCAGGAATTTTCCCGGTGCACCGGATTTTTTAGAAGGGTCGAGCACTTACGTCACGTCAACGCCATGGCTTCCACTACCAGAGGGCCTGGCCAAAGATCTAACACCCATGCAGGAGGAATACTTCACGAGCCTCTTCTGGCAATCTTTTCACACAGCTTCGTCGGCAATCATCGATGAGGCAGAGTTTAAAGAACACCATCAATCACTATGGATAGGCTCTGGTAACGTACGCAAATCTTCGGCGCTGGTGGATATTGTTCTTGCAATGTGTATGCAATACGGCATTTCAACACTGCCAACCAATCAACAGGGAGAGATCGCAGATAACCATGATGCTACCATCGCCGGACGATGGCATTATCGACGTTGTCAGAGCCTGCTGACACATGAGATGGAAAGTCCCACCATATCAACATTACAATGTCACCTTCTATGCGCTCTATACCTCTGTGGGGGCTCTTTCCATAACATGGTTGATAGCTGTATTGGTCTAGCCGTACGCACGGCCTATATGCTTGGCTTGCACCTCGACCCTCCCAAGACCATGCCGCTACGCGAGCAAGAGAAACGCCGACGCTTGTGGTGGGCTGTATATGTGTTTGACAGCAAGATCAACATGAAGCTCGGAAGGCCATTTCTTCTTCGCGATTTCCACGTTATGCCCCAAATACCCAGCGATGACCTCGAAACCGCGATGATCTCGGGGTCGAGTTTTGCTCCGTTGGGAGACAATGCCACTTGGCTCAGCTTCAATCTCCAAAATATCAAGCTTTTCACGGCCGTCCGAGCCGCACACACGGCTCTCTACAATGCTGACCTCAAACTCTCTGAAGGGGAGACGATATGGGATTACCCGCAAATCTTGGAAGAATCTGCAAATCTCATGCGCCCTCATATCAAACTCTTAGATAATTGGACAAACGAAGTACCCTCTGGCTTGAAGACGCAGCGCCAGAATGGCAGCAGACCACTTTCCACGGATGCCTCAGTCCTCGAAATCGAAGCTTTCGCACCAATGTGGGTGCAGCGTCAACGTTTGCTCTTGGAACTGATGTACCACAACCTCAGTATCAGTCTCTACCGTTCATTCATACCTCTTGTCTCTAACCCAGCTTCGGGGCCCATCACGGGGGAGATCGCCGTCCGATGCGCCGAACACGCTATAGCGTTTACGAATATTCTTCACCAAGTGCTCAGTTCGACTTCAATCCTGGATGGCTGGCACGAGGTATTTCACTGGCAGTGGAAGTATGTAACAGATCACACCGAAAATCCTTTGGTTCGAAAGACAGCTGACATCCATCCCACAGCGCGGCAATGACACTCATAGGTTTCATCATCACCTATCCTAATAGTCCATCAACTACCGCAGCTCGAGGCGCACTCGAAGTTTCCATAGCCGTCTTCTCCATTTACGGTAAAAGCCTTTCGATCGCGAACAGTGCTGGAGATATCGTCCGGAACCTCTGCGCGAGGATCGGCAAAATTAGCCTGCAATATGCTGGCGTGCAGAACGCAACTTTCGATGGCTCTTTCATGGGGACAGGGCCATTGGCACCCGACAACCAGAATATCGATTGGTCGTTCTACGATATGAGTGTGCCTGCTTGGGAGAATCTTTTTGACGTCGCGCTCGATATTGATTTCTGGGGTGATATGAGTACGCTGTAGCTGCAAATTCAGCTATAGAACTCTAAAGCAACTTGGATTGAAAGGACTTCGACTGCATGGCTTTTCACTTTATCCCTATTGCTTCACTTTATCCCTATTGCATCGAGGAAGTCACGCATGATAACGCCAGTCTTGCTATTTGCGAAAGCATTGATCATGGACTCGAAAGCTGGCGAATCGCGTCGACCAGTCTTTGCGAAATAACAGAGCGCGTGACTGACAGGAAATACTGCAGCATGAGCAGCCCATAGACCCATGCCTGGCTTGAAGAAATGCCCTGCGACCTGCGCAACACTCAGTGCTGATAGCTCCGGGCTCACCCATTCGGGCAGCGATGGAAGTACCTCTCCAGGAGTCCATATGTTCATGAATGCTTGCAGCTGTTGCTGATGAGTCCTCAATGAGCTATACATTATGCTGCACATCGTCCAGTACATGGTGCATGTTGAGAAGAAGCCATGACCATGTAACCTGCAGACGTCGTAAAGGGACAGCCCTTGCTCATCGACTCTCACCGCGGAGGGTTCCCTGAGATCGATGCTGTACGAAGGCACAGTGAAATCCCAGGTAGAGCTAGAGCTGCTGGGAGGTCGACTCATCCAACCTGTAAATGATTGCTTCTCGCGACAAATGACCATGATCTTCGTTTCCCACTCTCTCAATGCGTTGCGGATGTCCAGGCATCTCTCCAACAGCGTAGTTCCCAAAACGATATGCTGACGACTTGCAAGATCGGTTTTGACGACAGCTTCACTCTCACGAAACATGTCGAGTTCTTCAAGAAGCTGTGGGGCGGGATTGATCAGTTCGTAAAGCTCATCTCTCATATTGAGGCTCGGTAGTCTCCATTCCAGCTGTGTGAATGTGTTCGGCCTCCGTCTCGCAAGACCTTGAATTATGGCGGTCAGGCGAACTCCGTCGTATAGCTCTGTCCCGAAAGTCGAAAGGTGTCTCTCACGTCCACGCAGCTGCACGAGACGACAGGTACCATTGACATGGAGTCGCCAGTCAGCAACTTGATTCCGACTGGGATCCTTGGTAGCGGGATCCGATGTTATTCGACGGAACATCTCAAATAGCGTGAGCAGACGACAACACGCCAGTACGCTGTCGTCGCAAGCCGAAATCGGATCCTGAAGAGCCATGTTCGTTTGCCGGAGTGCCTGCGCATATAACCACCCCGCCCGCATGATCAGCGTCCGGTCTTCATTCATCCATCCGAGACCGGCCATTGCGCAAGCCTGGATAGCGTTCCTTACATCGGTATGGCTGTTCGCTAGCTCTCGAACTGACGGTATCCAAGGTGCCGATAATATACCGCCGATGCTACCGTCCAGAGAAGGGTCTTCTTGCGGCAAGTAGTTCGTCCAAAAGTATTCATCCATAATGATCGAAAAGTCAGTCCTGGCTAGGGATGTGTCAGAGGTCGATATGAGACTCTTCGTTATGAGGTTGGACCCTGCATCTTGACCAACAAAGACGTACTTTCGATCTTCGAAGGCACAGGGTATTTTGAGTCGCAAGCAGCGACCGCATGTCGGTTTCTTCAGGTCACAGCCTTTCTTCTTCTGTCTACAGTTGACACAACCTCTGGTCGTTCGTACGCCCTGCATGATTGTGGGAATCTCCCATATAGCCTCTCCTTGGGCGGGATACTGTCGCACTTGTTGCTGCACGATTCTTGCTAGACTTGCAGCGATGGCATGGAGATGTGTGGACTCCCCGAGTTTGATTTGTCGATATGACAAACGATTGTGGCTTGCCACAGCTCGTCGTTGCTCTGCTTCAGTTGCTTAGGGAGAGCAGACGTGATAGACACCAGCATACGATGAGGAGGAAATCTCGAGAAGTAGATTGGGCGAAGTAGACTGTGCTTCGGTCGCGTCTGTGAGGCGTCGGCATGATAAGCTTTATCGCGATCCCTTCGAATACATTCTACTTTGTTATTTCGAGCAGCGGAAGTCGTCTCAAGTGATCGGGCAAGATTGACGCTTCTTTGTCGGCTTGATTACTGATCAACGCTGACCGATCGCAGTATGCGGAATCGAAAGGAACGGGTGCGTGGTGAAACTCGACTGATCACAGTGTCTCCCTGCGGCTTTATCAATTCCTCCGACCGACCTTGCGCGTCACAATATATTCCCGACTTTGCAGCTCCAAGAAGGGGCAGTGCACATCGCACGCCGATGGCTTCTTTACGACATCTGCGACAGATCGATCTCCGAAATCCTTCCAGCATGTACAGGGAGGCTTGGAAGCTTGGTGGTTGGGGAGGGGTGATGCCGTGACGGCTGCTTGCTCGAAATTGCTTCTTGGGTCGCAGAGTCTAACCGCTTTGGGAGTGTCTCTGCGCTCCACGACATCACCGTCGCAGGCTTCACGTCTCTCTGCTTTGAAAGCTCAACTTGTCCTATACACATGCATTCCTTCAGGTCAGATAACGGAACATGGCAGTCGCAGAGATGTTCCCGATCGGGTACAGTCTGCTACGCAGTACCAATGACTCCTATAGCCAAGCTGCGTCGGAGGAATACCTATCGCTCCTCCGCCGCATGCCATCATGCTGTTGAAGGCAAGCGAGCCTTGTCAGAAGTATGCTTCTGTCTATAAGAGCATCTCATACCGGGCCACTTTCTCAAACCACACACTTCAGACTATCGACACTCTTGAGAATACAGCATTCGGCTTCTAAGCAGCTTCGACGTCAACCACTTCAAGTCATGGCCAATACCTCAGCAAGAGACTGCCAGCCCTCAAATGGCTTTGTTCATGCCATGCGCCGTGTCTACCATCCACTTGGGTTCTCCAAAGGATATAATGCCGTCCTTGGTAAGCTCTTCCAGGTTGTTTCTCTTACAAACCACAGCTGATTGTTGGCGCAAAGCGTTCCTGGCCTTGGGTTATCTTTTTGGGTTCACTCTCGCGCGTCTACAGTATCTGTCGTACAACGGTGTTTTCTGCAATGCGAATGCATCCGGCGGTACTGGAGCAGCTCCCGGAGAATGCTATTACTACCTGCAGGTACCGTTCAAAGTTGGTAAGTCAATCTTCTCAGTCCCCGTCTGGGATGCAAAGAAATGCTGATAGCGTTGAAGGCATGAAGCTCCATCTTTTCACCGTCATCCCGGCATCACTACTCGTCGTCCTACAATTCATCCCAGTCATTCGTCACAAGATCATTCTGTTCCATCGAATGAACGGTTACGCCATTGTCATCCTCTCTCTCATCAGTAACGCCGGTACGATCATCATCACACGGCATGCGTTTGGCGGCGAGTTTGCCACACAGACTTGGACTGGTGCAATGGTCATCCTCACCACGATTGGGTACATTATGGCCTGGGTCAACATCAAGCTGCTGCAAATTGATCAACATCGAGCTTGGATGCTGCGAACGTGGGCATGGGTGAGTTGGCGTTCTACCTCCGGTGTGACACTTGCGACGAACTGATACCTTGACAGTTCTCGACCATCGTCACCATCCGTATCATCATGATTATCTCAGCTCAAATCATCAGCACGAACAGGAACTGGTACACCACTCGTCCGTGCGCCCAGATCGCATTCGCACTCGGACAGAACGACACGCTTGCCGCATACCCACAGTGCGAAGGTTACTTCAACGGCAATGCACCAAATCTACCCGTCGTAGTCACTGTCGACTTCTCCAACGACAACTCCATGGAGCTCTCTGCTGCACTTGCGGTGCCTTTTGGCGCAGCAGGCTGGCTCGCTCTGTTACTGCATACAATCGCTATAGAGGGTTATGTAAGTACAACTTGTACAAATATGACCTCGAGCGTATGCTGACATTCCATACAGCTCCGACTCACGCCCAAAGAATCCAACAGACTACGTCAAGTATCATATGAGCGTCAACTTGAAAGGGGCATGTCCAGACCGGGATATGCGGGATTGACTGTTGAGCGCTTCGGCGACGCTGAGCCGTTCCAACCTCAAGCAAAGATTGAGCATGAACATGCGGAGATGAAGCAGGACAGAGAGGAGCGGTTTTGAAAGAAAAGAAAAAAAACAGAGGTGCTAATCCCTGCATGACGTTCAAACTTTGTGATGTTACGATTATGTTTCACGAGACGCAGGCTTTTACGACCATGACGATGGTGTCGCTAGGTGTGTGCCATGAGCGACAGATCTCACTCCCCGGAGTGGTCGCGTATGCGCGTCGAGGGGACTGAGGTACTGATGTGATGTTACTGTCTATCGATGTATTGGGGCCGGAGATTCTTTCCAAGAGCAAGTCGGTGCTGAAATCGTTTCGGCGACGACATCGCGTCAGACGTCTCTTCAGGAGTAGGTAAGAGCTCAATAGTGACCGGAAACGCTAGATGATTCCTTGATTGTTCAAACAAGAATGGCTTTTTGATATCATTTTTCATGTCGTCATCAATGACGCACCCAGTTACGTGGTGATTAACCGATGTTTTGGAGACGGTGTCGGTCTTGCGGTGCTATGGACTAGACCTTCCAGAAGTTGGAGTTGTAAAACACAAATCTCGCCATACAACCACCAACGCTCGGTTCATGTACTCCAAACTTGATCCTGTCCTAGAAAAAGAGCACTTTGATGTCCAGTATGACTATCAGACAACCAGTCGTCATATTGGTGCTGGTTTTCGCCGATACATGGAATCATTGCTTGCTAAGGGTATCACCCTGACTTATCTTGGCATTTTGTACTTTCCGGCATCACCTCGCTTGACAAGAAACCCGTCGCCCTCGTGATTCACCTACGACACCGGGAAGAAGGTCAAAATGGCCTGCAAAGGACGACCAGCAAATGGCAACATGCCACAGTGACTTTGCATTAAACAACATAGATATTTTGACGGTCGAGCAAGCGGTGACCTGAAAGGGAACGAGCGGATAATGCGGCAGCCACGACTGTTGGCCGAAACAGCGGGCGGGCAAGTCGTGATTCGCACGCAATGAGAAAGGTTCGACTTTCTCCGCCGCGACCGGATTTCTTGCCCGAAAGGCGGAGACGTACAATGATTCATCCACATTGGAGGAGTACCGAGGATAGGGAGTCAGGAATTTCCGTCGACTCATTCGCAATGCAGTCTCTACTGTCGCCATTCTCGACGACGACCGATTGATCGAACGCGTCTGCCACAAATCCGCCATCATGACGTCCTACGCGTATGAGCCCAAGACCGACCGAGCCCACGAGAGCATCTCGAGCCTCTCAGCAGACAATGATCTGGGGCATGAGCAAGAGCAGGGATCATACAAGTCGGAAGACTTCCACACAGCTGAGCCGGTGCCGGGAGAAGCACCGCTAGCCAGCACCTTCTCACACGATCCCGCTGTATCAATACGAAGCGTCGGCCCAGCACCGGATGGCGGACTGCAAGCATGGACTCAGGTCGCCATGGCTCATTTGACCATCTTCAGCACGTGGGGATGGGTTACGAGCTATGGCGTCTTCCAGGAGTACTATAGGACCTCTCTGGGCCTCGACCCCTCCGCCATTTCCTGGATTGGCAGTGTTCAGATCTTCCTGCTCTTCTTTCTCGGGACTTTTAGCGGGCGCGCGCTTGATGCTGGCCTGTTCCGACCCGTCTATCTAGCTGGCACCTGCTTTCAACTGCTGGGCGTTTTCTCCATGTCGGCCGCCACCAATTATTGGCAATTGTTCCTGTCGCAAGGCCTTTGCATAGGCATTGCTGGCGGTCTGCAGTTTTGCCCTGTCATGTCTTTGATTAGCACATACTTCGTCAAGAAACGCTCATTTGCCATCGGTTTCGTCACAATTGGCTCCTGTACTGGAGGTGTTGTGTTTCCCATCGTTGTTCAACAACTACTTCCGCGCATTGGCTTCCCTTGGACCATCAGAGTGTGCGGCTTCCTGATGCTATTCACGAACATCTTGACAAACCTCGTCTACCGCACGAGATTACCACCTCGTAAGACAGGCCCCCTCGTTGAGTGGTCGTCATTCAAGGAACTACCGTATGTGCTCTACTGCGCCGGAATGTTCTTCAACTTCTGGGGACTTTACTTTGCCTTTTTCTATGTTGGTAGCTATGGTCGCAACATCATCGGCATGAGTTATCACGACTCTGTCGAGCTTCTTCTTACTATGGTCGCCATTGGCTTCATCTGGCGCTTGCTCCCGAACTACTTCGCCGACCGCATGGGTGCCGTCAATGTCATGTTGCCATTCAGCTTGCTGTGCGGTATCATGATGTTCGCATGGATAGGTGTCCACTCAAAAGCATCCCTCTTTGTATTTGCTGCCATCTATGGTTCCGGTTCTGCTGGTTTGCAGTCCATGTTCCCAGCAGGCTTATCAAGTCTGACTACAGACATGAAGAAGGCCGGTGTTAGAATGGGAATGGGATTCACTATTGTCAGTTTTGCCTGTCTCACTGGCCCGCCGTTAGCTGGAGCACTCATCAGCAACAACAATGGCAACTATCTTCCTGCGCAGCTGTGGGGAGGTGCCTCATTTGTCCTTGGCGCGTCACTCCTTGTAGGTGCCAGGACAGCCAAGGTAGGCCTTCACCTCAGGCAAAAAGTTTGATTCTTGGTAGGCCCGACCCGAAGCGTCATAGATGGTCATGTATTAGGTATATACAGACGTTATAGAGAGACATAAAGAAGCAGGTCTATCACAAATTACTGATCAATCTCGAACTTGGTGAACGCTATGTCTTGCGTGCTTTCATCATTCGAAGTAGCGAAGACACCAATGACGGGACCGACGAAGTCTGCATTCGACAACTCTTCTGTGTCGACGATCCCAAGCGTCTTCGTCACGCCTTGCTCCTCTTCATACTGGAACACGAGCTTTTCTTCAGTGTACTCAATCAGCAGACGGAGCTCTTCAATATCGTCCGCAACTTGCTCTTGGTCTTGTCTGTTGATCTTCTTCGCATTGTTGACGACTTCGAAGCAGACTGATTTGCTGCTGTTATCATACCAGATGCGAGCATACCGGTGCTCGTCTTTGTAGTTGACAAGTCCTGCACGGACTGATCCCGCTTTTGGCACGGCCACACTGACCGAAGCGCTTCCTTCAAGCTTCCTTTGGCGTTTGCCGACGAATGAGACCGGCTCCTGCCATTGCGCGAGGTCTTTTTTGCTTGGTGTGAGACGAATGGTGGAGCCTTCAATCTTGTGGTCTGACAGATTGGCGTCACGAATGTACAGCCAGTCCAATCCACTCCTTGTCGCTTTGACTACATCGGTCTTGAACTTGTGCGACGAGGATACTTCGACCGTATCGAGAATCGGCCATTCGCCGTCCCAATTGCCAGACACCAGGAAAGACTCGCGGCCCATGTGAAATCTTGAGCCTCGCATGCGCATAGCGAGACAGGCGCCCCACCATCTGCCGTCGCTGTCTTGGAAGATGTCGCAGTGTCCCGTGCAGTGAACATAGTTGTCTGTGCCTGATGCGGTGAGGATCGGATTCTTCTCGTGTCCTTCATAAGGTCCCCAGATGCTCTCGGATCTTGCGATGGTGATCATGTGCTCTTTGAACGTGCCGCCTTCGGAAATGAGCAGATAGTAGAGCCCGTCTTTCTTGTAGATGTGAGGGCCTTCCGGATATATTCCACCAGTTCCCTTCCAGACCGTCTTCTCCTCGGAAAGTTTTTCGCCAGTCGACAGGTCGGCCTCAAAGAGACTGATGGTAGTCATGGGCCCAGGTCCTCTTGATCCACAGATGTATGCCTTGCCGTCATCATCCCAGAAGATGGATGGGTCGATGCCTAAAAACTCAAAGTACACGGGATCAGACCAGTTGTCTGACCAGATGTCATCGGTCTCGACGATGAAGTTTTGCGGTATGTCTTCTCCGTTATCTTCGGGATGAACGACATTTGTGTTGATGATGTATGTCTTTCCTGATCTTGTATCGTGTCTGATGGTCGGAGCGAATAGTCCGCCGGTGGCTAGCATTACGGTGCCATCTTCTTGTGGATGGAGCTTGGTGTCTGACAGACGTAGTGAGAGTTGGGATTGACGGTTGATTGCATTTCCTGAGATAGAGTCAGCGAGATGCGGCAGTACAAGTCATCATCGAACACACCGATGAGTGTCCAGTTCACGAGGTCTTTCGATGCATATATCGGTAAGCCTGGGAACAGGTGGAAGGTGGAATTGACCAGGAAGAACGTATCACCAATGCGTTGCACCGATGGGTCTGGAGCAAAACCAGGAATGATTGGATTGATTGCGGACGCCATGACTGCGGACGAGCGGGGTGTCTCAACAGGAGGCAAACCGGATACAAGTGTACTTCATCTTCGATATCATGGGAGTGAAGCTTACTTACGTGGAGTATGGATACTTGGGATGTGGCTGTCCGGATAAATGGCCGGGAATCTGTTATTCCACATGTTGTGGCACAGCTTTCCGAGTTTATCCCATTTGGCCAACGGCCAGATGAGGTGGACAAGCTGCAACATCGAGCTCGGCATGCACCGAGTGATGGAAGCACTTTAGGCAAGAAAACAACCAGGTGTAATCCTTCGACCAGCTTGGAACGGTCGATAGCCAGCACGATTTGAGTCGTATGTCCAGATTCGGGTCAAATGCCGAAGTCATCTCACCCCCGCATGGTTCACGCCCCCGGATAATCTCCGCAAAACATCTTCCCCGCAGAAGCTTACTGTCCCCACCATCACGGACGAGACTCCTTCAACATGTGATCGACTATCAACACGAGCCCCTGGAGCTACTCAGAGACCCTGACTCGTACGCTATGAGCTCGGAGTCGAGAGTGAAAGCTGCATGGTGCCTCTCTGCTTCACGCTTCTTCAGCAACCCAACTCCAGTCACGAGATTGACTTATCGCCTTTCTCTCACAACACGGGAACTGACAACAGTAAGAGCTTTGCCGCAACTTCGTTTTGTGAGGGGGTGATCTAAGCCACTATTGCTATACCAAGGAGTCCCAGCCCACTTGGCACCACCATAACGGCCGCCATCGCTGCTAGACTTTCGCCGTCCAAGGCATGGCAATTCGATGCGATACAAGGAAATGTTTAGCCTATGATCTCTTGCCAAGTTCACCCTATCTTCTTTTTGGTGTGAGTCGACATATAGCATGATCATACTGGTATGGGCACATGGAATGAAATCTCGGCCGAGTTTCTTGGTCTCGAACTCAGGTTGTAGAACACCTCAATCCTTCCTACCGTGAGTCCGGTGGGTCGTTTAGCCTGTTGATCGCAAGCACGATATAATTACTTCGTCGCTTCCCCATATTGGAGGAGCATAATTCATCGCATCTGGTGGTATACCAATCTACAACATAATCATGCCTCGCTTCCCCAAACCCCACAGTCTGGCCGTGCCAGTCAAGCCTCCCAAGGGTCATTTCTTCTTTGCTGGACACACAATTGAGCGTGTCAAATGGTGGACGTCAGGTCCTATGAGGAAGCTCTACTTCCTCATGGGTGTCATGATCATGACCAACACTGCCAATGGCTTTGATGGCTCTATGATGAACGGTCTTCAGAGTTTGTCGTACTGGCAGGAGTACTTCAACTACCCCAGGGGTTCAATCTTGGGCTTGTTCAATGCTTCTATGAGCCTGGGCTCCCTGATTGGTCTCTTCTTTGTGCCTTACCTCATCGACAGACTCGGTCGTCGCGCCGGTATTCTCATCGGATCGGTCATCATGTGTCTTGGTGTCGGCCTCCAGACAGGTGCCGCAAACTTCGGCATGTTCGTTGCCGCTCGTCTACTTATCGGGTTTGGTGATTGTATCGTACTCGGATCTGCACCCCTTCTGATCACTGAACTGGCCGTAAGCATCATCTCCCCGCTTATTCAAATGACTATATTGACATTGCTTAGCATCCTCAAGACCGCGCTGTGCTCGTCACTCTCTCAGGTGCCTCGTACCATTCAGGCGCCTTTATTGCAAGTTGGGTCACATACGCGACTCTCAAGATTCCCAGCGATTGGGCATGGCGCCTTCCCTCCCTGCTTCAATGCACCTTTTCCATCATCATCTCTATTGCAGTCATCTTCACCCCTGAGTCTCCTCGTTGGTTAATCAGCAAGGATCGCTCCGAGGAAGCTCTGAACATCTTGGCTAAATACCACTCTGTTACTGGCGACACTGAAGACAAGGTTGTTCAGCTTGAGTACAACGAAATTGTTGCAGCTATCAAGATGGACCAAGAGGCCAATCGTACTGGCTGGCTTGATCTGGTCAAGACTAAGGGCAACAGAAAGAGGATGGGTATCATTACTGCCATCGGTTTCTTCTCTCAATGGTAAGTCCTTCCCCTATTATGAAGCTGCGAAGATGCATGTTTATGTTCGAACCGCGTCCCCTTTCTACGGAGAGCCTAGCATCGGAATGCATGATCATGTTCTCTGGCCCTGAGGTCCTACTCTATGCTTGACCTGCAGGCATGCACGATCATGTTTGAAAAGCATCCGATGGTCAAGGGAGTCGCAATGCCGCAAAACATAGCTAACGTCATAACAGGTCTGGCAACGGCATCATTTCTTACTATTTGGCCACCGTAAGTTTCCGCCTTGTTCAGCCCACAACAGATGGAACTCCTCTAACCGAGACCAGATTATGAAAGAAATCGGCATCACCTCCTCGAAAACCCAGCTTGGTATCAACGGCGGCATGAAATCATGCTCTCTCGTCACCAACATGGGTATGTCTTTCTTCGCCGATAAGCTCGGTCGTCGCCCGATGTACTTGATCTCCACAATCGGTACATTCGTCGTGTTCAACATCGCAACTATCATTGCCGCACGTTACGCTGCAACCCCACACGCCTCTCTTGGTGCAGCGTTCGTCGCAATGCTGTTCATCTACGGGTTCTTCTATGACTTCAAGTAAGCTATCCTGGACCTCGGCGAATAGTTGAACAACGACTGACGTGAGAATAGGAACGGTCTCATGGCTACATACACCACTGAGATTATGCCTTATGGTCTTCGCGCCAAGGGCTTTACCTGGCTCAACTTCTGTGTCACCCTCTCGCTGTTCTTCAGTATGTCTGCCCCCAAATGCCACTCTGACGTATGCTGACCTTCATCTTCAGACCAGTACATCAATGCCATCGCCCTCGACGCGCTGAAGTGGAAGTACTACATCTGCTACTGCGTTTTCCTGGCCTTCGAAGTCGGTGTCATCTACCTCTTCCTCGTGGAGACCCGCTACACTCCCCTGGAGGAGATTGCAAAGTACTTTGATGGCGAAGACAGAACTCTTGATGTTGCTGCTGTTGCCAATGAACAAGTCAAGCATGATGGCGATGGTGAGCTCAAGGAGAAGGGCTTGACCGTACAGCAAGTCGAGATCGTCGAGAAGGTCTGAGGGTGTATGAAGTGTGTCATTACGAACGAACGTGTTATTATTCAGGTGTATTTCTTTGTCAAAGAATGCAATGCAATATAAGCGTCAAGTACAGACGATCGCTCCCTTGCGTTACACTTGCGCTGTGCCGTTGCCACCACTTGTCGGTATCTCCGACCTTGGATGCAAATACTGGCCAGACCAGAGAAGGTTCCGCCAGGGAGACGAGGGCCCAAACCGAGAACGATCAGCCTTGCATTTTCAGCTACACACTGGAGGCTCAGCAGCTTGCTGGCGAACATCTTGTTTCGAAGCCAACCAATGCAGCCCTGAGCACATGTCAGCCGACCCAAAGCTTCGGTTCGAACGCTGTTCAGGCATCCATAAACCCACGGCCAAGAGTCCAAGAAAGCTTGAGGAATGTCCCAGAACAGTCAAAGCACGACGCTCAGCTATTCCGGGGCAAAGTTTGTACACGATAAGTGCCGAATGGGCATGACTTGTCAGACTGTTCTGGAAAGACCACGTGAAGCAAGGGTCAAGCCAAGCTGGCCAAGCTTGCTTTGTGTATCAGACATTCGGTGCTTCCGATGGCAGTTTGTAACGATCCCTCGTGTCGGAACGAACATCTTCAACGTCCCGGCAGGTGTGGCGCCCATTATTTGAGACATATCTTGACAGAGGCGGACGACAAGGTGTGCGCCCATAGGCGCAAAGGAGTCTGATATGCTGGATATTCAGGTGAGAATTACTGTTCAGGGGCCACAAACTCTGTGTCTAAGTTAGGCATGATAAGGCACTCGAAAAGGGAGGATTCATTGGGGCCTTGCAGGATACCAAGTCACAAGTCGCTACGTACCAAATTCAGAACAAGCTCAGCTGGATTCATCGAGGCGAGGGTCCTTCCTGTTCCTGGCCCTCTGCTTGTTTTCTCCGCCATGTTGAGAGTAGAGTCAGAGTATCCGGCTATTCTACAACGCTGGAACAAATGTCTCTGATTCTTGTTCCACACCAACGTAGATAGCGAATCACCCGAGATGTTCGGCTCGAGTCGAGAGACATCGCCAAGACTTCGGCTGAACTCCGTGCTCGGCAGGAGCAGTGTATCCTTCACGGCTTCACCATCTTTTGCAGGGTTTATTAGAACAAAGCTGAGCTCGACGCCGTACAAAGCATGGAGCCTATATCCAAATCTGAACCATTGAAAAAGCGCGCAATGTTATTCACAGCCATTCTTCAAAAGCCTGCACCTCGCTGACGGATTCCAGCGGAGCGGGCTTGGCAGACACAGGTCACACTAGCGCGAAACTTTGGAAGGTCCGCTCCCTTGCTTGTGATCTGGGGACACCGCTCCTCGAGATTGTGGGGACTTCTTACAACGACTCGCGCAGGCCAATTTTATTCTCACAATGACGACTATAAAAACCTCCGACTCGTATCTTGATTCTAGAAGCGACCTTGTGGCATGTCATCCAATTTGACAACACACTGTCAAGGCCAGGAGGATTGCGATAGCTTCACAATCCTCCCGCGGTCTAGTTCATGGTACATAGAGCGCCTCCCTTGGCGTGTGGCACTCCAGACGTCGTGATAGACGGTTCGGGGAATTTAGCTGAGCCGAGTTACTGCTATTCAAGGCTCAGTCTCAGCTCTGGCGTCCCACCACCGCGTGACTGTACCTCTCGCTAATCTTATGCTCGAGAGCATGTTTTCAAGAGCTATATACAGTGGTCGTGTTGGCCCGTTGTGTCTCGACAGCAGCTCAGTCAACATTCGTTCGTTGTTGCAACATGTCGGCCTTTACGACGCTCGTCGCGTTCTTGTTTGCATTCCTTTTTGCTAGCAATGTCGACTCCTTGGCAAGCACAGACACCATCACATGGGGTGGTGACAATAGTCGTGCAGGCTACCAAACGTAAGTCTACATCATCAATGTAGTAAGATTTTGAGACTGATTGAAGCCAGAAATCACAACATGGACCCCTCAGTCGTTGCTGGAGATGCTTTCGGTCAACTCTGGAAATCGAATCTACCAGGAAACTTCCAGGGCATCGGTGCTGAACAGATCTTCTCTCAACCGCTCGTGTACACCGGTAGCGATGGCATCCAATACGTCTACATTGCTACCACGCAGAACAATCTTTACAAGATCAACGCTAAGACCGGAGATATTGTCACTCAGAGGAACATGCATGTACCCTTCTTGACTGCTGATCTCGATGGTTGCGTCGACATCAATCCTACTGTTGGTGTCACAGCTACCGGTGTTATCGACCCTGATACTGGCATTTGGTACCTCACATCCAAGACATACTCAGATGCCTTCCAGAATGGCGCTTTCTCGAAAGCTAACCCTCCTGGTCGTTTGAACGGCCGCTACTACTTCCACGCCATCAACACCGCTGATCTGTCCGAGGTTAGCGGGTTCCCAAAGATGATTGATGGCCTTGTCTTCCGTAACAACCCCAACCGCATGTTCATCGGCGGTAATCAACACGCTCGTCCCGGTATGCTTCAAGTTGGTGACTTCATCTACACCGGCTGGGCGTCTCATTGTGTCAAATGGAACTTTACTGGAGCTGTCATCGGTTTCCATCGCTCTACTGGAGCTGTGGTCGAGGCTTTCGCCATGGAAGGTGGCCCTGAGCCTAACACTATCCCTGGTGCCGGTGTCTGGATGTCCGGAGGTGGTCTTGCCTACGACGGCAAGGGCAGCATGTTCCTTGCTAGTGGCAACGGCTACGCGTCCCAACTCAAGGCAACAGGAAATTCTTTGCCTGGTAGACAACCTCCTACGAGTCTTGAAGAAGCTGCCGTCAACTTCGCTATAGGCTCAGACGGCAAGCTCACTCCTGTTGATTTCTTCATGCCTTGGGAAAAGACTCAGCTGGACGGTGCTGATAAGGATCTTGGTACCACTCCATTGGAGCTACTACCTACCGATGTCTTCAAGTGTGCCAATGTCGCTCGCATGGGTGTTGTGACTGGTAAGTCCGGCAAGACATACTGGCTCAACCTCGACAACCTTGGTGGTTACCAGATGGGACCAAACAAGCTTGACGCTGCCGTCCAAGTATACCAGAATGAAAATTCGGTCTATGCAGGCGCTGGAGTCATGCCCCTGGGTGGTGGTTACATCTACATCAACGTCATCCAATATCAGACTCACGTCTTCAAGTTCAGTTGCTCGGCGAGTGGTGATCCTCAGTTTACCCTGGTCGCAAACACTCCCGAGAAGAACGCGTACATTCTCGGTGTCGGCCACGGTACCACCACTTCGCTCAATGGCCAAGAGGGAACAGGTCTCCTCTGGACTACCGATGTCGAAGGCTTCAACCTGAGAATCTATAATGCCATACCGACTGATGGAGGAAGCATGCAGCTGCTGAAATCTTTCAACATTCCCGGCGTAACCAAATTCTCTCGCCCCGTCTTTGGCAACGGTATTGCGTACGTAGGTACGACCCAGGGCGCTCTGTATGCGTTCGGTTCTCCCGTCAACCTCCCTCTCAACTGCTCGTCGCCATATACCTTTGCGAACACTCCTGTGGGCAAAGTGTCGGACCCGGTACAGATCACTTGCAAAGCAAACATCGGTGTCACCGTCAGCAGTGTCGCTCTGACTGGCAACCCCAACTTCAAGGCCGACAAGGTTGCCACACCTCTTACTTTGACTGCTGGTCAGACATTCACGTTCAATGCTACCTTTGCTCCTAACTCTGTTGGCCTGCTATCGAGTGACATCCTCGTCAACACGACCAACAATGTCGCCAAATATTCAACAACTACGCCTATCACCCTGAAGGGTACTGCAAACTCGCTCAAGCCTCTGTTGGCCATTGCTCCGAACACTGTAAGTATGCAAGATTGACGACACCAGAAGACACTTAACAAGCTCTCGCCGGCCGATCAAGCGGTCGTGAGTAGCTGCCGCAACATAGAGTGTATTTGAGATAAGCAGCCGCCGGAGGAGAACCATCTTGAAAAAGCTCTCCCACGGTGTCTCCGGGTTTCAGAAATACGTTGTGCATTGCGGCAGGCCCTGGAACCCTGAACCATTCTTGGAGAATCATGCTGATCCTTGTTGCATAGGTCTCTTTCAATGTCATCGCTGGCCAGCAAGTCGGCGGAACCTCCCAGTCATCCCTGTTCAGCAACCGCGGTGATACTGTGCTCACAATCGGCAATATCACCTACTCCGTTGTCTCGGAAACTGGCCCCTGGATCACCCCTAATATTACGGACAACGGCACTCAGGTCGGTTACTTTACGTTCACCAACCTTCCAACTACCATCGACCCCAACAACGTCGCAACGGTGAACATCAACTACAACCCAGACGTTGCAGGTAACCACGCAGTCTACGTCAAGGTGAACTCCGACGGTGGCAGCAGCTTGCTTGACGTAGTCGGTCGTGCAGGCACCAATCCCTCTGCTCTTATCGAGTTCCAAACCCCTGACGGCACGGGTTGGGTCACATACCAGCCAGGGGTACCCTTCTCTTTCGGCAACGTCACCGAAAATCAGACCAGAAATCTGAAGATGCGTGTCACCAACAATGGTACTGGCTCTGCGGTACCCCTGTCGCTGACGGTCTCGAAGCCCCCTTATGGTATCCCCGGTATAATAGGGGCTGTCAATACAATTGATCTAGCCGAGGGTACCCTCTTGCAAGCCAACGAGAGCCAGACAGCGACTCTCTTCTGCTCAGTGCCGAGATCACAAGTAAACTTGCCTTCCTTCATGGGTACCGCTACCTGGACCATCAACACGGGAGACCCAAACATGGGCAAACAAGTTATCCAGTTCACGTGCTCCGCGATCGCCGAACAGGTTGGCCCGCTCCTGACGAACGGCACAGCCCAATTCAGCTACGTAGGCTGCTTCAAGGAGAACAACCCCGGCCGGCAATTAGCCACAAATCCGATCAATAGCAAAACTTTGACCAACGACATATGTATCACAAAGTGTGCTGCGTTGGGTTATCGCTTTGCAGGGAGTCAATATCAATCTGAGTGTTGGTGTGGCAACGCGCTGCCACTTCAGATGGACCTGGATACCGACTGCAATTTCAACTGCGCTGGCAATGAGAACCAGACTTGCGGTGGTAGTGGAAACATCAATCCTGGCTCGCACATCTCGCTATTTGCCGATCTCGCGCGCTTCGACGGCAATACCACCACCCAGGTACAGCATATAGTGCCGTCTTACAACGGGTATAACTACTTGGGTTGTTATGCTGAATCGGGAGGCAAGACTGTTTCTGCCGCTTCACAGGATACCGGTACTATGACCGTCGAAGCCTGCGGTGATTTCTGTATCGCAAAAGGTTACACGTTGTTCGGGCTGCAGTATGCTAGTCAATGCTGGTGTGGAAATAGCATTGCTACGACTTCGAAGCTCACCCTTGACAGCAAGTGCAATATGGCTTGCAAAGGCTCAAACGCCGAATTTTGTGGAGCTGGTTCATTGACGAGCTTGTATGGCAAGAACATGACGGCGGCTTCATCAAGCTCGTCCTCGAGCGTCGTATCTTCGTCGAGCGCGTCGTCCATCGTGGTATCATCAAGCTCGTCCACAGTCGCCAGCCCTCCTCCAAGCTCATCTTCCGGAACCGCAACAACCGCTACGTCTAACACAGCAAGCTCTTCGAGTGCTTCATCCACGGCTGTACCTACGTCTGTCTTAGCTAACTACACGTACATGGGATGTTTCAACGAGACTCATGATCGTCGTGCCCTCAATGGCCCCTCCAAAGCTGGAAATACCAACACTCTTGAGAGCTGTGCTACTTTCTGCGCTGGATATGCCTACTTCGGTGTGGAATTCGGCCAAGAATGCTACTGCGGCACAAGTCTGTATGCCAATTCTATACTGCAGAAGGACGAATCTGGTTGCAGTGTTGCTTGTGCCGGAAATTCGGCCCAAAAGTGCGGTGGAGGCGATTTCCTCAACGTGTACTACACAAACGTCACCACCTCATCCACAACCACATCTGCCTCCACAAGCACGCCCACTGGACCTATCACGGTGCAGTCGGTTGGTGGTTACACGCATTTGGGATGTTACAACGAACTTGCCAATGGCCGCGCGCTCAACCAGTTGAATAAGGCAGGCAGCTCCGTCAGTGTCACCTTTTGCGCTTCCTACTGCTCCGCCTACACCTACTTCTCAGTCGAATACGGCCAAGAGTGTTACTGTGGAAACGCAATTGGGTCGGGTTCGGCACCTGTGACCGACGGACGTTGCAAGATGCCCTGTGCCGGAAACGCAACCGAGATTTGCGGAGGTTCCTCTGGCCTCAACATGTACCAGAAGGTCGCAGCTGTCTCAAGCTCCTCCGTCCTGAGTTCCTCTTCAGCGAGCTCTTCTGTCTTGAGCTCATCTGCAACTGGATCGTCTGTCCTGAGCTCATCTGCATCAAGCTCCTCAGTTTTGAGCTCCTCATCAAGCTCCTCAGTCCTGAGCTCCGCCACATCGAGTGCATCCGAATCATCAAGTTCGGCGCCAAGTTTCTCCGGCTCGGCACCCGGCACAGGTTCTACCTCGTCGTCGTCAGTTTCATCTTCTGCAAGCTCTTCGGCGGCCTCGTCTTCTATCGCTACTTCGACCACTAGCAGCATCTCATCAGCATCAGCGACACCGACTGGACCTGTCGCTAAGCAGAGTGTTGGTGACTATGTCTATCAAGGCTGTTGGAGTGAGATTGGCGGAAGAGCTCTGCAAGGCAAATCTTTCTCTAACAGCTCGAACAGCCTGGAGTTTTGCGCAACTTTCTGCACAGGATACACCTATTTCGCAACAGAATACTCCTCCGAATGCTACTGCTCAAACACTGTAAGCTCGGCATCTGTTCTGACTAAGGACGGACGATGCAACATGCCCTGCTCCGCCGATAGGTATGGGATCTGTGGCGGTTCCAACGGCTTGAGCTTGTACAAGTACAGCCCTGGCAGCGGTTCTTCGAGTGGCTCAAGTTCACCATCCTCGCCGTATACCTCTGTTGGACCGAGCAGTAGTTCATCGAGTAGCGTGCTAAGCAGCAGTTCATCGGTTCTGAGCAGCAGTTCGACCATTTCCTCAGCATCTTCGGCAACCGATGTTAGCTTGTCGAGCTCTACCGTGTCAAGCTCGAGCACCCCTAGTCAGAGCTCATCAAGTGCGTCATCGGCTGATTCCACATCGAGTTCGACAGTCTCGGCTACTGACTTGTCATCTTCATCGACGGGGCCAAGCTCATCTGCCTCGGTCTCGGTTTCGTCCTCAAGCGCGCCTTCGTCAAGTGTTCCTTCCTCAAGTGTATCGTCTTCGAGCGTGTTGTCTTCGAGCGCTTCCTCGTCAATCGCATCCTCGTCAAGCGCCAGCTCTGATCTCGGACCCTCTAGCAGCCCTTCGTCTTCGGTCATTTCGTCTTCCTCCGCTTCCGTAACGCCAGCACCTGTCTCGTCTACGAGTGCATCGTCCTCATTGATTTTGTCGAGCGTTTCATCTTCATCAACATCTGTGATCAGCGGTTCCGCCTCGTCGACGCTATCTTCGAGCACGTCGGCGACCTCAACAAGGCCCACAATCTTGCCCACTGTGTCTGATTACGCCGCTCAAGGGTGCTACAACGAAATCAACGGCCGCGCATTGGCTGCCGCGACTTTGAGGAACAGCACCGGGATGACACCTGCCATGTGTGCATCTTACTGCTCGCAGTATGCCTGGTTCGGAGTCGAAAATGCTCTTGAATGCTACTGTGGACCTTATCCTCGCACCGGGAGCTCGTTGTTATCTGACAATAGTACCTGCAATATGCCCTGCCCTGGAGACAAGACTGCATTGTGCGGTGCCGGAAACAGACTCAACATGTACTACAGTAGCAACTCGACGAAGGCTTCTACCGATCCCATGAACGTCAATGCCACCGGCAACTACTCATTCTACTCCTGTTACAAGGATAGTCCTCGGGCCTTGAGTGTGGTGTCGGCCAGCGACACCATGTCAGTCGACGCTTGTTTGAAGCTCGCTGAGGCCGGCAAGTACACCTGGGCAGGGCTAGAATATTCTAGGGAGTGTTGGCTAGGTAATGCGCTAGCCAGTGGTACAGGTAATGCGACCGCATCGGAGTGCAATATGCCTTGTAAGGGTATGCCCGGGCAACTTTGTGGAGCTGGCTCTAGACTTTCGCTATACAAGAGGAACACCGGCTCATAGAGTAGATAGACCGTCTTCGCGCTGCTTCTGTATATACTTATAGATATCTACAACGTTAACTTTAATTAAATTGCATCTTATTTAGTAAGTGTAGCAGAGATGTTATTAGCTAGATATCCATTAGATTATCCATGTTATGGCCAACTATTCTTGGGAGAGAATAACTAGTCACGGGGTTGGACTCGTGAAGCGGAGTGTCAAGCGAAGTGAAGCAGGTAGTGTGTAAAGTAGTGTATACTAAAGGGACTGTTGGAATAACTAATTGAGTTGAACGCAGGACTACCTAAGGTCGTCCTGCCTACCTATATACTTGATAGATAATGAGTGTATGCATGTTGCTCTGTATGCTCCGTTGTGCTCTATAGAGCAGAGCAGCAGAGCGGAGATAGCGTGTTTATGCAAGGTGCTCTGTTGTGCCAAGGTGCGGAGAACAACAGAGCGGGCTGTGCGACCCTGTCATTGGCAGGATCGTAACAATCCATTAGATTAGATATAGACCTTGATCTAGTGAATATCAGGTTAATATATTGACTTATATAGATTAAGTCTAATTACGGCAATCTCTAGTAGACATCTAGTCTATCGGATATCTAATAGACCTAACAGATTCAGTTAATATCTACTAGATTAACTGGATTAGATATAAGTTTAAGTATCTAATCTAAAATATCTAACGGCTTTAGCTGCATATCCAGCTAACAACATCTTTAAAGTGTAGTGTAATGTTAGCGAAGCTTATTACACTATCTAGACTAAAGCTAGATGTTGTATTTCAGGTTTAGCGGGTAGGAAAAGCCACGTTCGGCTTGCCACTGAGAGCCATGCATGATAACATAATCCACATCATCGTCGGAGTTTCGATACATGCCAAATCCAACCGCCTTGAAACCGTTTGAGAGTGTGGCAGAGCACTGTAGTGTAGAGGACGAGTCAACAGAGCATACTATGGGCACGATATCGAACCATCTGCCCGGGGCCGCAGGGTCGAAGAATTGAGGGAAGACCATGTCCGTTGCATAACCGCCACCAGAGTTGATAATATACAAAGCTCTGTTTGCTGGGGCTGATTCATGGAGAAGACCCGTCACCGTGTCCAGTCTGAAACCGCCGTCTTTGTAATTTCCAGCTTGGCGGTTCATCTCGAGATACAGTTGGTCCCACTTGTTCTGTGGATCGATGAGCTGGATGGGAGTTCCATCGGCACTAGTTCCTGAGCCGAAAGCCACAAGCTTTGCTGTCGGTGCTGCACTTGCTGTGGTGAATGTCGTAGAGACGGAAGAGATGATGGTGGTCACAGCCGAGGCAGTAACAGTGATGCTGGTTGTGGTCGTTGAAGCTGAAGAAGCCTGTGTGACTTGAAGCATACAAGCTGATGAAACGACCGAGGCGGGATACTTGGTAAGTGCGTCAGGGACGGCCAGTGTGCGCTTAACATTCTGTGCAGCTGAATTCGCGGCGGGGAGGTACCAAGTTGTCTGGTTTGCATCCACCAAGACTGCAATGTTACCCTCGTCGGAGGCTGTGGTCAAACCCTCTCTCGGAAATCGACTGTCATCTCGCTTACGCTGCGACGCCTGTCCAGCAGAAACAGTGACCGTGGCAGTGGAAAGTGTGATGCTCGTCGAAATTGGCGTGGTCATTGATGTGACGGTGACAGTGGCGACGACAGGCGTGTAACTGAGCACACTTGAACAGAAGGGTATGAAAGTCGACTTCAATTGGTCTGGGAAGTATCGCATGTCGGTAAGGGCTTGGTAAATGGCGCCGTCCTTGTATCCAACCACATGGCTAGGCGCTTGGCTGCTGATATTGGTGTATGTATAAGACATCGACACAGTGTACTTATCGTTGCCTCTCGTCTGGCCACTGTTTGTCGCATAGCTGCTCTCCCATGCTTCGGTGTACAGGGTACAGTATTGACCTTGAGCAACAGTATTGTTTAGATACAAGACAAAGGTATTGAAAAAGTTGCAAATCTTGGGAGGGGTGCCATCTGAAGGAGGGTGGTTGACATTGTATTGCGTCTGTGTCTTACAGTATTCGGCACAAAGGGATGCGTTGAAACCACCTTGAGTGAATATGGTAGATGCAACAAGAGTGTTGTAGCCTTGAGTATCATAAGGAGCGTCGATGGCAGCATTGCCGAGGTATTGGGCGGAAGAGAAGCCAGAAGGAACGATTATCGAGTTGCTGGTGTAGCCATTGGATCCAGCGACAACCACATTGAACGAGCTCCTGAACTGTCCATAGTTCTTCGTGTTTGAAGTCGAGACCGCACTGCCCCAGAAAACACACTTGATCATGGTGACACTGCTAGGGTCGACACAGGTGGGCCCAGGCACGAGACTTGGGTCACGCTCGAAGTAGATGTTGAAGGAGACGCATCCCCTGATGGTATCGCACTTCTTGGCACAAGTGGAGACATCATAATCTTGCAGTGTAGTGAAACCCATGTATCCGTAAGCACTGCTTGATGCGTTGAGATTTTGAAAGCCCATCGTGTAGCCGGAAGGCGTCTGGGCATTCATGGCCTTGGATGAGAACCTGGAGTCTGAAGTGAAGGCGACGGCAGTGTCTGGATTGGTCACTGCGTATGCTGCAACGCCAGTAGGTTGGGGAGCGCAAGCAGCTCTTCTGCCATTGCGAGCAGCGGCAGTGTTTGAATCGGAATACCTGTCGTCAAAAGAGATTGAAGAGACTGCCTCTGTAGCTTGAGCTGCCAGTACTGTAGGGTCGTAGGTGATGACCTGTGCAGTCGCACCGACCAACTCGGTGTAGGTTGGATCAGGTATGGCAACTACCATGTCCAGGTTGAGCTCTTGAGGCGCAGGAAGCGCCACAGCAAGCCTGGCCGCAAGAATTGGGAGGGCTGCAAGAGAGATTCTCATGTTGATTCTAGAAGTTATGGAGAGGTCAATGGTTTTTCCGTTGGCTCTCACTCCAAGATATACAATTCCTAATGTCTCGTATTCGCCTGTCGCGTAAGAAGGTGTTTACTACTCTTCCCTTCGGCTTCTCCGATGTGACCTTCATTCGAGACGCGATGGTCTGAATGTTACTTTCCTTTAGTTCAGCCCTCAGCTCTCGACTCATACAGTGTAAAACAGCAGCTGGCGAGGGCTGGTGATACCCGTGGTTTTGGCCCAAGCGCCGCGACGGGAGCGCGACGCCGGGACGTACGCTGGCGTCCATTCTGAGAATACAGTATCTACTGTAGTCTAGTTGCTGCTTGGTGCAAGATGAAGCAGGAAACAATTTTGGTGCATAAGGTCGGGTGCACCGAAGGACAAGCTGTCTGATGAGCTGAGCGACTGTCAAGATCGTGAACGGCTCGTAGGAGAACGCGTCGCTCGACCCTAGAATCCACTTGAGAGAAACTTCATCCACGCCGCACGCTAGGAATTCCCTCAGAACTTCTCTCCAGCTGCCAAGCACTGCTTTACCGCACTTCGCACCATGACCGTTAAGCTATCATAAGGACAGGCAGAGTGTACAAGGGGCTAGGCAGGAGCGTGGGCTCATAAGGCTGTAGCTAGAACTCTAGAAGCCTCCACGAGTCGGCGACGCCGATCTTCCTTCTATGGCAAACAGGAAGAGTATCAATTATCAAGCCGTACATTTACACTACACGTAGTTAGCTTGAGGTTTTATCCCATTACTGTCTATGTTCTGCCCTGGACCGGTAGGCATATAAGAGAGCCAGAGGCGGTTGGTTGGTTGACTCGTATACACTGTTCGCAGAGGAGCGAAGGACTCGACCTAATACGGGAACCCTAGATCTATAAAAGGTTTAGGGTAAGGAGAGTGCCTAATCAAGTCATCAGTGGTTCCTGCCAAGCCGGCGAGCCGTTCAAAATACTCGCTTCGGACATGCGAAAGTTGCAGCATTCCTGCTCCACATGACCAATTCAGGTCGCTTAAGTTCTTCTAGCTCAAGCCGCGCGCGAAAACATTACAAATAGGGCTACGGAGTATCTTTCAAAATCAGACTGAGTTGTGAACATTCTAGAGCAGAACATCCCAGCTGGAAAGACTCGAAACAGATTGGGGTTTGCCAAGTCCAGCTGCGCCTCGTTATAGCCGCAGGACTCGTGATCAGCTCGGCCTTGAATGAGATATCTGTTCTTACTGTCTCGATGCCTCTTCTCCAACAGTGAGAAAGACCGGTTAGTAGCCGCCTTTCAAAACGGCGACCACGGAATAGGTTCACGTCCCCCTTACCTTTGACTACCAGTTCTCTATACCTACAACTGCTCAGACGGTGTGGCTTGATCGATTTCTCCGATGAGTCGTTGAGGGCCGAGGCGTGCTGCTCCAGAGCGGATCCCGAACACACCACGGTGCCCCTGACAGACAGAACTTCAGAGTTGATATAGGATCTCAGTATCTCTTGCAAGTTGCAAGCGTTATGAAGCAGGTCAGGAAGTATGGGGAAATACAGGCAAGTGTCCACTGTCTGCGAAGTGCAGCGAAACCGTTCGGCAATGGTCCCGTATCGCCATTGTAACCAACTTGGATTTCGAACCCGCGTCGCCGTTCGTTCTTGAGTATGCTCGCTGGAGGCGTGGATCAGAGAGAGAAGCAGGTGATAGAAAGACTGTCTCGGTTTGATGTGTAACACTTCGCAGGCACAAGAGCGTTTAGAAAAGTCGAGTTGTGCCGCTTCCAGGTAGGATGGATGCGGCACGCAATGCCGGTTGCAGCCTTGGAGTCTGGAGACTACCGAATTGTCGCAACAACAATATCGAGTAAAATCACCTCCGATAGTGAAATGACTCAGGGAATCTCATGATTTGCGTCGAAATGTCCTTATGTCACGACCTTGCTACAACTCTACTCGAGGCGGCGGACGACATCTGTAAGAACACGGTCCGCGCGTAGGTAATCTGTTGTCTGGCCACAGGGTGTTCCAACGTGGCATGCTTGGCCCTCCAGTACAAGCTGGACATATTTGAACCTCACACTGCCATCTTCGACAGGTGGTTGTGTTTGCAAAGATCTTCGTTAAGCGCGTAGAGCGCGTAGCAGCACCGGAAGTCGAGAGGTTCGTACGTTGTGATATCTGCCAGCGATCTACAAGCCACGGTGCTTAGCTCTGATGCGAAAATACATCGTTGGTCGAGATTTCGTTTGACACCGACCAGGGCCCCAGCCGCTATGCATATCGATGCAGGCGGCGCGCCTACCTAAGGAAAACGCCGTACTGGGTATTGGGTGCTGTGCCTCATCAGGAATTCGCGCATATGAGCACAGTATGCCTCGAGGACTCTGCGGATCTACAGACAATCGTTATCAATTCAAGAACCAAACTTTTATAATACTCGGGGATTCATAGTAGTCAAGAACCTTACTGTGAGATCAGGCAAGGATCACGTCGAAGCACAGGAATTCTGTGGCCGTCAGTCTCGCCATGGGGCTCGTGGGCTTGTTCAGCCTTCTACTACATCTCCAGACAATTCCATCCACGCGCATCATACCGGAGACATCCGATGAGGACTATCGGATGCGCTCAGAGCCCCAGTATCCTATCCTGAACGAGAATCCTCCATCTTACACCACCTTCAACGTACCCGGAGAAATGGATGGTTTTCGACCGCATATCTGGCAAACTACTGGTCCGAAGCCAATCTCGGAAGAGCAGGCAAGCGACATTGCCTCATAGCGCGAAAAACACCCAATATTCTCCTCTGTTCTCATAATAGACGAGTAAGGAGACAGCTTCGTCAGCGAGTACTATGCAAATCGAACCGAAATTGTGGACCTTTTCTTGCGACTCCTAATTCTAATCATTAAAGTAGATCTCTTTCGCTACCTGGCGCTAATTGCAAAAGCCGGCATCTATGGCGATATCGACGTGCTCTACTTAATGCCGATGTAGTCTAAATACTAAACCCCTAACCCTAAGTTATAAGTATAAGAGCTTCCGTATACGGGAAGGAGAAGGTCTACTAGAACAAGAACGCTCTTCTTATCGTACTTAAAGGTAATTTCTGGATGTTTACCGCTAATATAGGACATTTTTTCTAACTGCTTCCTTATTACCTTTACACCTAGAACCGACCATTTCCTCGCCTACTAACGTTCGCTAGCCACTTATGACCTCATCACTTTCCCGACACTTACATTTCGACGAGGTCGCACATAATCAAGTACACAGTTACACGGCGACTTTCGCATACGTCCGGGATCATCGCATTGGCTGATTACAATCCGCGATATATAAAGAACCTTGTGTGATCGCGTTCTCGGCACCGACAAGTTATTGGATCGCATCGCGACGTAATTCGAACTTCTTCGTCAATGCCATCCGCGACGACTACGTCGCTCCAGCACGCCTATCAGGCTCTACTCGGAAGGGGTCGCTTATCACAAAATGGATCACAGGCAGCATTGATCAATCGTCTCTCGACCATCCAGACAGACCTTGTCTCCGATGTTGCCTCGACGCCGCACGGTCTCTACATTCACGGTTCGGTCGGGACGGGCAAATCCTATCTTGCGTCGCTATTCACGTCAACTTTACCATCGCAAGTCACTCGGAGACGCGCGCACTTCCATGAATTCATGCTCGACGTTCACTCGCGACTTCACAAAGCTCGGTCTTCCTCTAGCCGGTATGACTCTGCCGATCCTTTGCCCATCATCGGCCGCCAGATTCACAAGGAAAGTCGGGTACTTTGCTTCGATGAGTTCCAAGTCACAGACATAGCCGATGCGATGATTCTACAACGTCTGATGGGAGCCTTTTGGGCAGCTGGTGGTGTGATGGTCGCGACCTCAAATCGTGCGCCGGAGAAGCTGTATGAAGATGGTCTCAATCGCGACTTGTTCCTGCCGTTCATCGCAATGCTGAAGCATAGATGTGAGACTTGGCCGTTGGGAGGAATGCAGGACTATCGTATGTTGGCTACAGAAGCATCTGGGCAGAGTCAGAAAGTGTTCTTCACCGACCCGACAGAGTTTCATTCAAGCCTCGAAGCTGCTGTTGGAAGTCAGCGATTGGAACCTCACGAGATCGAAGTCATGATGGGCCGCAAACTCGTTGTCGCCGCCGCTCCAATTGAAAGCGATAAGAACAGCTTGATTGTCTCGTCCACGGTCACCCAACTCTGCGAAGGCAAGCTGGGTGCAGCAGATTACCATGCGCTATGTCGAAGGTCGAAGGTCATCTATCTTGAAGGTCTTCGTCGATTCCGTCTGTTTGAGCTGGACTTCGTGCGGCGCTTCATCACACTCATCGATCTGGCGTACGAGTCGGGAACAAGAGTCATTATCTCGTCGGAAGCAACGATTGATGAAGCATTCGCTGAGATTGTGGAAGCAGAGCAGCAACGCATGCAGCGGAAACAAGGCGGACTGAAGATGTCTGTTAAGAAGGGTGGTGGTAGCAGCTCGAGTATGATGAGCACCTTTGTTTCTGGTGACACAGAGTGGTCTGCAACTGGTCTGGCCGAGGCGAGTCTGGCTACTGGAGGTGCAGGTGAGACCGATGTAGGCTTTGCGATTGGGAGAGCAGTGTCAAGACTGCATGAGATGGGTTCTGGCATGTATGGACAGATGGACTAACCCGACCCGGTGGCGCTCCATAGCTGAATCTTGTCACCAGCGCGTGGACCTTTGAGGAAACGTTGAAGAATCACGCAGATGCTGGCACTAGACAACAAGTTAGTAAGAAAGCAGTGTAGCAAGGAGATAGCAATAGCGCAGTAAGCTACGGAGAGATCAAGATGGCAGCTTTATGAGTGTTCTGAAATACTCGTTATTAGATTTGGCTCTATAGCCTGGCCTTGGGCATCTGCTTAAGAGCTTGTCTGACGCCCAGATCGCTCAGAATCTCCTCCGTTCCACCCAAGATAGCGTCGAATTTGTACGTGCGATGGAACTGCTCGACAACTTTTCCCATACCTCCTTGAGTGATACCACGGCCTCCAAAGACGTTGCAGGCATCATCGGCGACTTCATGAGCACAGCGAGTTGTAAAGGACTTGAGCAAGCCGACAGGGCCTCCAAGATACTTGTTCTGGTCTCGATAGGACATCGTGTTCATCTGATACGTGATTTGTTCGAGCCAAGCTTGGGTGGCTTCGGTGTGTTGAATCATGCGTGCAAGTCTGAGGAAAGCCTGGCGTCAGTATCTGGTAAATATGTGTCTTGTCGCAGTACAACTTACTTTCCACGGATGACCGGTTGCTCAGAGAGCGGCTTTCCGAAGACAATACGCTGGGTGCTCCACTTCAGGCACTCTTCCGTGACAGCTCGCATCCACTGTATCACTGCTGCTGTCATTGCCCAGCGCTCGTGGTTAAAGTTGCTCATGATGACCTCAAAGCCTTTGTCCTCTTCGCCCAAGAGATGATTGACAGGGACCTTGACATTGTCGAATTGGATGTAGGCTGTGGCAGCCGCCGTTGAGTAGCTTGTCTGCGAAAGGTCAGAAAGATGCTTGGAGCAAACCCATGCATGGATTGTAACATACCTTGATCTTCTTGGTCTCGACATTGTCGTCCCTTGGAACCAAGATCACGCTGAAGCCTTTGACAGTCTTGCAGCCAACGACAAAGTAGTCGCTGAACATGCCGTTGGTTATCCATTTCTTGGTGCCGTTGATCATGTAGTGGGAGCCATCGGCCGTCTTTTCAGCGGTGGTACGAAGGCCAGCGACATCACTACCAGCAAAAGCTTCCGTGATGGCGAGCGACATCTTCTTTCTTCCACTCAGGCATTCTTCCGTGACAGCATCTCTCAGCTTGACATCTTTCATCCAGCTTCTGACGGCAGTGAGGGAGATTGACATGCCTGCCATGTTTCCATCTTGAAAGCCTCTTGACAGAACCCGAGCAAGTTCCTGACATGTGATCAGATCGTGGAAATAGTCGAAGTCTTCGCCCCTGACGCCGCCTGGCACCATTCGGCCGTGTAGATGCTGTCCGGGACCGAGTCGCATAGCCAGCATGTTGTTCTTTGCCATCTTATCGATCATTTCCTGACTGATATATGTGCCATCAGCTTCTTTCTCTTGTGCCTCTGGTTTGAGCTCCGCATCCACAAATTCTCTGAGGCTCTTTCTGAACTTGCGGTGTGAATCAGTGTAGTATGGGCTGGTGAACCGGGGACTGAGCCAAGTAGGCTCTGCGTATGGCACTGCGCTGAGATCCCCAGGCTGAGGATCAATCACTTCCGGAGTTTCGTTTTGCACAATGCCGATGCACAAGGACGAGTACTTTTGCAGGACTTCATGTCGGTGTAAATTGTAGAAAGCTGTCGTAGCATCTTGACCCGCGACTTGCTGCAAGACCACGTTGCCACCAGGATGCGCGTCCAGAAAATCCGTGAGGTCGTACACTTTGTGGTCGACGATGCACCACAAAGAATCTTCGGTGTTGTTCTTTGCGATTTCCTCGCGCGAATAAGTATGTGAGGAAACTGTACCGGGCATGATTGACAGCAACGGGAGTTCCAGATTATCGAAGAAAAACGTAACAGTCTACTTTAGTCGACAAGAAGGAAAAGTGTTTGACGCTCAAAAGAACTGTGGTGCTGCCCGGCTATAACAAACACCCCGCATGTTGTGTTAATCGTGCCTCGGTCCGCACGCCATGCACATGGAGTACTTGCAAACAGACGTCGCGACAACTGTGTACGGCCCTTGAGTCCGTTGGACGTTGGAGGACGGCAGTCTGGGATGAACCAGAGTGTACTCTCCTACTTGGTGTCTTTTGGCGCGTGTCTGCTCAGGAGGGCATCAGCGGGAAACTCATGGAACTGCCGCATAAACACTGCGGGCTGCAAGTGGAGGGAAGCTGCTTTAGATAGGGTCTGCAACCGCTTACAAATGCGGATACAACAGCTTCTTTCGACACTTGGCGCTTAAAGTAAGGCCGCATTCGGCGGATACAACTCAACTCTGTATCGTGATCACAACCGCTGTAACCGCCTGACAGCTCAGTTGTATCCGCTCAAAAGGGTGAAGTGTTAAAAATCTATGTGCGGGCGTCTGCCAAGGTCATCCCGCACTTGCACATCATAATCATAAGATGCATAATAGTCTGCACAGCACGAGTGGTAACCGCAAGCTGTAACCGCTGTTGTAACTGGGAGTTGCAACCGTTGTATTTGGTCGCTGACCCTCCCTATTGAATTCGCCCAGCCCCCGCAGCCGCGCGCGCACGCATTGCAGCGAGCATCAGCTGTCGCAAATCCTGACCAGCAACGCGAGAAGGCAAGTACAAGGTTACTTACAAGGTGTAGGATCTGTCGGGGTACCTCCGAGGCGGAAGGACGCTACAAGCTCGAAGAGGAAGGCTGCGGCTAGGAAGTAAAATCGAAGGATCTGGAGCTAGCCAAATCAGGTCGTCCGCTTTAGGCAGGATCTGACCACCGCCTGTCAAGAGTTTCTTTGCAGATTCAAAGCTTCGATAGCCTTAAGCAAAACTCGTCCCTAGCGGTGGCGTCTGATGCTCATCGTCAACTTGCATTCCTTACTTGTTCTTTGCTTCACAGCGCATCGTATGCGCTGGCTGCCTCTCAACATCGTGCACAGGGATCACGATCAGACGATTAAGGGACAGATAGGTAGACGGGCCAAAGCATTCATTACATCTTGATACCAGTAATCTCGTTCCCCTTTTACTTATTCTACTTAGGTGGGATAACAGGCAGAGTGACGAAATTAGGACGCTCTGAGCTGATGTGAATGAAATTCCGGCCCATCAACTTTTCCGGCGTTCTATTGCACGATTAGTGAGACCTCAGTGCTTGGCACTCATGGAAGACAACGACTTACCTATCTATGGGAGAGTTGTGTTGAAATTTCTCACAGCCTGTTCGGAGTCAGCTCTGCAAACATAATCCGTTGAAGCTCAGAGGTTCAACTTACTTTGAGTGTCGCCCGATGCAACGTCGAGAACGAGTCTCTCGCCTTTCTCAAAGATGATATTTGTAGGCCACACTTCGACAACAACAGGATGAATCTCCCCAGGGATGACCGGCAGAACGTCTGAAGAGAAGTAATCCCTGTAAGGTAGATAAAATCTGTGCCTAGCATGATCGCTGTTGATTTTACGGAGGCAAACTCTGAGCCAGCCCTTACACAAGGGTACATTATTACCTCCAGTGCCAGTGTAAAAGATCTCTTTGCCCTCAGCGGAGAAATGCCTTAGGGTAAGGAAGAGATCAATGTCGGTTGGTACTGTTTCGCCTTCTGGAGCGACATATACGTTAAGATGCGCGGTGATATGGCCCGTGATCTCAGTCTCTTGCTCGAAGGCTGCGGTCGAGAATTGAAGCATTTGAGGTTGATCCATGGATCCATGAATCCCAATGCCTTATACCCGAGCTGAGACTTTACAGTATTCTCGGGTTGCAAAGTCGTGAGGATAAGATCAGGCGTAAGATAGTATGGGATATACTGGGTATGTGCAAGAGGCCACTCAGTCTCAATATGACGAGGGAATGTCTTCTCGTCTTCAGGATTGTTGAAACCCACGTCACCCTTTCTGAGAACCAGGTCCACATTCGGGGCCGTAACATCGGACCACCCACCGCGATCTCCGCCTTTTGGAAACGCGTCGAGGAAGCTACGCTGAACCTCGACTTCCTCCTTGTAGTAGAAGGGCAAGTCGTGGCGGCCGGTAATAAAGCTCAGGTACTTTAGCTCCGAGCCTGCACTAACCCAACCCTCAACGTTACCGCGGAGATGGAGATGAATGCCGCACCAGTTTGCGACACTGAGAAGTGGGACCTGAATGTCGGCCATATTGTATTCTTTCGAGGCGTAATAGGGATCGTCGCGGAAGTGGTTGTTGGTATTGTCTTCATTCTGATCCTGACGATTTGCACGCAATTCGTCCTCACTCAAATCACCTTCAATGGAGTCAGGGCCCCAATTTCTAGCAGCCCTTCCGCCTTTACTATACTGATTGCTCAGAACCTGGCCATCCCACCAGAAGCGAATAAATTTGCTCGAGAGGATCCCATCGTGTCTGCAGCAATCACGATAATAGGCCGTTTTAGCACCTCCTGTTCAACACCTTGACAGGAGCGTTTCTCGAGCTCTAAGTGGCTAGTCGATCAAGTGGCGAGGGTTGAGGTGTTCAAGGCGTACACCATAGTGTTAGAGCCGTACAGGAGCTCAATTCGGCTAGTCTAAGGCATAGTTTAGCTAGCTCGGCGGCTAGCTAAGCTCCGAGGTTACAGAGGCCTCTAAGCTCTAAGTTCGTAGCGTAGCTATCTATATACACCTCGTTGTTAGCATAAATACTTAGGGCTCTTATCTACCGGTAAGCGAGTAGAGCAATAGTCAGTCTAGTTAGCAGTCGTTACCGTCGATAGATACCCTCGGCCTTGCTTTGCTAACTTAATCTAGCGCCCCCTAGAGCGCTTAGAGCGCTTAGAGCTAGTAGAGCTAGCAGAGCGCTTAAAGTTCTTAAAGGTCTCGCGGAACTAGTCGTATAAGAGGTAGTAGAGGCAGCAGAGGTCCGCGTAGCGTAGCTAACTATAATTAATCCGGCCGCTACTAGACTAAGCAGCGTAATAAGGATCTTCTTAATATCCTTTAGATCTATACGCTAGCGTATAACCGTATCCTAAACTCGAACTAGTTTCGTCGTATCTAGAAGCACTAGAAGCAGAAGACTAGCTATAACTACGCGTCGATAAAGAGGAGGATCTAAAGTATAGTTAACGAGCGCCGGCGCGTATAGCGGCTAAGGACGGAGACCTCTAGAACTGAGAATAAGACTAACTATACAGTCAGTATAGATCGGTTTATAAGAGAGGTATAGGATCGTGCTACTAAAGAGAACTTAGTAGCAGCGCTTAGCGTAGAGGCTTAGCGACGATAGAGCCGTCGAACTAAGCGTAATCGAGAGCGTATAACTACTCGAGGCGCTTAGTAGCGCTCACTTAATAACGAGAGCGACAAGGACGCTACTTCAGCTACTAATATTAACGACTTTAATACGTAGAGCGTTAACTTAGAGCTAGTAATTAATGTTAATATCAAAGTAAGTAATAGCGCTACGCGTAGAGGCCGAGGCATAGCAAGTTTAGTTAGTTCGCTAACGTAGCGTCGTCGCCGAGGTAGCAGCTATAGCTTAAGTAATAGCTTAGTAACGATACCTTCGTAAGAAGAGCTATTAGTTAACCTTATAGCTATCGCTAATCGCGCCTTTCTAGCAGCTATAGCGCTAACTTAAATAGCTCCTATAGCAGAGATTATAGAGCTTAGAACTAAGGTTACTTAGCTTAAGGCATCGATATAATAACAAGAGGCTATACTCGCTTAGCTACTACGCTAGTAACAGCTAGTACTAGCGCCAGTACTAGCGCTAGTACTAGCGTAAGTTAAGCCGCTCTATTATACGCCTTATTAGCCGAACTGGTTCGTACCGAACGCTTAGAACTGGTAAAATTTATAGCTATCTATAGCTCTATCAAAAGGTATTACTTAGGAGATGGCGGAGAGCATAAAAAGCGAATCGACGACTGACTCTAGCTACTAGTACAGGTATATAAGTTCGTTATTAGTATAGCAACACGGTAGAAGCTAGCTACCGCTTAATTTCTAAGGTTAAGGCCTTTAGTAAATGCTGTATATATCTATAAGGACTGAGTTCGACTAAAGGCATACTTAACTGCTATTCGGACCTTTAATAGACGCCTATTAAAGGCTCTCTATTTAGCGGTAAGGTATCGGAAGCTATACTAATGCTTATACGGCGCTATAACTCTAGGGTAGTTACTATACGTAAGGTCTCTATATATATAATAGCGCTCGCCCTTAAGTAGCTTATTAAGCTTCGAAGGCACTATTAAGCTCTACTATATAGACCAGTCGTTATCGCGGCTATAATAAGGACCTATAAGCGAGCTAATAAGGCCATCTAGTATAACAATTACCTAATACTTAAAGCTATAGCTATAGTAATAGCTAGAGAAGTAGTCTCGCTAACGGCGCTAAGGTCGATTAAAGCCTCTGAAAGTACTATCTATAAAACCCTATATACTAACTCTACCTCCTCGCCGGCGTATATACTTAGCGTACTCTTAAATTCGCTTAAGACGTAGCCGAGGATGCTACTTAAGCAGCTATTAGTGCTCTCTATTAAAGAATTTAATGGTATCGCTAAATACTATACTTAGATAGCTACGGCAGCGACTAAAGTAGTCGTAGAGCACCGTCTAGTCGTTCGGAAAGTGGAGGCAAGCGCAGGTAACTGCTATAGCGAAGTATAGCGACGGTAGATTTAGTCGGTTATTAAACTCGAGAGTATTAAGCTTTAAGAGCTGCGTTAACTTAACTACTTCATCCCTGCTAAAGCGACAGAAGAACTTGAATTTATCGGTAGGCTAGCTATTAAGCTACTAGTCGAAGTAGTTATATAGTAGAGGGGCTCGGTAGATAGTACGCCGAGAACGACGGCGCTAGCAGAGAACAATAGCAACTATTAGTATAAAGAGGAAGCGACGACGGAGCTCATCTATAGCTGCTATATACTAGAGGTTAGCAGTAGTAGTAGCAGCAGTAATAACAACGACGACGAGATAGAGGGGTTATATACGCTAGTACTACTAGCTGCTGGCGCTAGCAGAGCTGATACTATGGCTCTAAGGCCTCGGAAGTGGCGTATACTTGCTTACTTATTCAAGCTGTATAGTGTTAAACAGGAGGTGCTAAAACGGCCTAATAGTCTGACATGCCTTCCTAAGGGATGATGCACGCAAGACCCTTAGGTTGACGAGCAGCTACTCTCCATTGGCTGCCTCCGAATAGCTGATACCCAGGAGATCCACCTTACCCGTCGACCAAGACTGCTCGGCAACCCACTTAGCGACATCGACAAATGCATCGCTAGTGCCGCGGGACATTGTATCAAGCTTTCCAGGAGATTGTCCGAGACCGCGTTCATCTGCGCGTACGACAACATAGCCTTTGGAAGTCCAGTATCCAGGGTCAGGGACTTCCCATGCTGAGTGAGCAGACTTTTGCTCTGGATTGACCTCCGAATATGATCGCGGGTGAAAACTAGAACCGCAAGATCAATAATACATTCGCCAAGGTGACGGACCAGCGTCTTACTCTTGGTACGGGATGTCTTTGCCATAAGGACCGTACGTCATTAAGACGGGCCGTTTTCGTGCAGCGATCCAGACCCCAGGAAGGATGTGGGCGCAACGCGCAGCCGATGTGGTCGTAATTTGGACCCGGCCTTGACATGTGGGGAACAACAAGGACTAACACCAGGCATCAAGAACGCACGGCACCGAACGCGTCCTTCGAGGTCCATGTGAAAGCGGGGTGTTGTGTTACACCACAACAATTTAGAAGCTATATACAGGGTTTGCCTCACTTCTTGTCTGCAGTGTCTTGGTCGCTTAGATATATTCCGCCAGCCTGCAAGAACAACACTCCGTTCAATAACGACAAATTACACTCCCCATACTTCCTGACATGTCTGCAGCTCTCGACTACTCCAATGATCCAAGGATCGAACCAGTCTTCGGAGCCTCTTGTGAGCCTCTGAAGATCGTCATCGTCGGCGGTGGTATCGGAGGTCTCACTGCGGCCTCAGGACTGCGTCAAAATGGGCATGATGTTGTTGTTCTTGAGCAGTGGGATGGGAGTAAAGAGACAGGCGCTGCAATCCATCTCGCGTCGAATTCCAACGGTCTCCTCCGAAGATTGGGCCTCTTCGCTGAGACTACAGGAGCCATTCTCATGCTGCGCCACACTAAGTACGCCACCGACGGTTCTAGAATTCAATCTCTCGACCTCACCGAGTCAAACAAGCAATGACAGCATCAATGGCTGCTCGCTCACCGCGTTCACCTCTATGCTGAGCTGTAAAGACTTGTGAAGAGCCATGATGGACCTGGAAGACCAGTCGATCTTCGATACTCATGCACAGTGAAAGACTTGGATCCCGATAGTGCTACCGCCATTCTGGATAACGACGAAAGGGTCGAAGGAGATGTCATCATCGGCGCCGATGATGTCTTTCTGTAGCTCGCACCAAGGTCAAGGGAGGTAATGTCCGACCTTTTTCGTCCGGCAAAAGTGCTTTTCGATTCCTTGCCAAGAAGAAGGACGCTTTGGACGACCCAATCACACGGAAATTCGCCGAGAAGGACGGCGAGCTTGTCATGTTTCTTGAACCTGACAGCAAAGTCGTTACCCTTGCAAGAACACTGCTGAACTTTGTCTGCATACATCCTTCGGAGAAGACGTCTGCGCCTACCGACGACTGGAACACGGGTGGAAGCATGAAGGCGCTGCTTGACGTCTACGCGAATTTTGGCGCGTCAGCTCGAGCTTTGCTGAGTAAATCATATCCTGCTTCACTCAAGGTCTGGCAGCTACTGGACATGGAAACCCTGTCCACTTGGGTGAACAACGAATTGACTCTTCTTGGAGATACTGCTCATCCCTTCCTTCCTCATCGAGGACAGGGTGGAGGTCAAGCCATCGAGGATGCTGCAGCACTCCCAGTTGTTCTACCCCTAGGTACTCGATCAGACGAAGTCGCCGAGCGCCTTAAGTTATATGAGACTTGTCGTTACCAGCGTGCCCATCGCATCCAAGAGTACACTCGTCAAGTCGGAAAGTGCCTTGGGGAGGACGGCAAGATCGATAGTAAGTCAGATCAGCGGGTCTACGAGGTGCAACATACTGATACGTCTAGTGATGGAGTATGTCTATTACAACTTCGGCCACGATGAGTTTGATAGTGCCACCGGGATCTTAAACAAGTGATGTTGGGCCAAGAATCCCAATATCTACTGGCGCATGCCTGTAGCTTTCTGCCCGTCACCAGGGCCTTGTCAAGCTCTCTACACGAACGTGCCACAGCCCGCTCGTCACTCTAAATTCACCACTGCATCTATAAAGTTCAAGACATCGCGAACATTTCTGCAAAATCTGTTCCCTACCGAATCGTTCCAATCGAAGAATCCAGGCACAATCGCATATGCAAGCTTCTCCTAAACAACACTAGGCAAGATGGAGTGGCTCAGTAGATCTGGCTACCGTCACTTCGGAATGTACATCCACGGAGTGCGATATACCAAGCAGAATGGGGAGACTATAGATGCCACATACATGCCTCTAATCTTCGAGCCTCTTACCGACCCCATCGTCAGTGGTCGTGATGAGTTCGGTATGCCCAAAGTCTTCTGCGATGTGGACATTCGTCGCCATGTGGACTCCTATCGCGTGAGAACCAGCTGGCAAGGCTCCATGTTCGGCATATTCAATATCGATGGACTGGAAGAAGCTGATCCCGCGGCCGAGGCAGGTACCATTGATGGCGAAGCAGACTACGGTGTCCTGACCTACAAGTACAGTTCTGCGGTTGGCGAGCGTGGCAAAGCAGATCCCGCCTACGCTGTCGTTGCTCGTCACGCTGAGGAGTCGAAGGTGGTGCCGAGTAAGGTCACAGGCCTATGGAGGAGCAAGAAACCGAACTTTGAGTTGGACTCTTTGACTCAGCAGGACTTGCCCACACTGCAGCCCATTGTTTCCAAGCTTGCTCAGACTGCGGTCTACGAGTTCGTTTCTGGTAAAGTTGTTGACGGCTATGGAGTTTCTGACGCTTCTGCTGCGCGTCGTATTGAATAAAATGGCGTGGGTGTTGATGCCAATGCAATTTTGTACAGCATGTCTCTCGTATCACAACTTTCATGCCTAGCCAAATCATTTTGACTCTTTGCGACCATGGCTGATGACCAAACGTCGTGATATCCACTCGTCGTAATACACTAACTGACGAACGTCAGAGTAGCTTTAAGTTTGCACGCTGCGGTCTCCTCGTGGATCACTATCATCTGCGTCCTGGTGCTACAAGCCCTATGCATAGGACGGTGAGCTTGGACTACGGTGTTGTGCTGGAAGGCGAGGCTGTTCTAGTCTTGAATAGCGGTGAGGAAAGGCTTCTACAAAGAGGCGATATCGCAATGCAAAGGGGAACAAATCATGCTTAGTGAAACAATAGCAGCAAGAATTAGGCAAGGATGCGTTATGTCTTACACGAGGCCGAGCCAATTTGAATTGGAGGAAAGGAATTGGACGAGGATTATGGAGGTATTCCTGGAATCAAGCCATCGAGGGAAATACATGTACATAGATCCGGAGTAGCAGCCTAGAGATGTCGAGAGAATCAAGCTTCAATTGCGGTGAGTAAAATCCCTCGTTGGTTACACTTAATGGTGCCATATCCAAGTCGCTATGTCTAAGCTCGTATGTGCTGGTCACCATTCACCATCAATCTCGTACCTGAAGATCGTCTTATTGACCTTACCACCGCTAGCCCTCTAAAGAGTTTCTAGGTACTGTGCGAGGTGAAAATGCTGTTCCGAGGCCCCTTGGTAAGTGAACTGACTGCATTTAGACGCACGCCACTGTGTACTGTCGCAATGAAGATTTGTTCTGCGATTTTAGGGCCTCTAGGTCTAGTCACCGTGTCCAGATTGCGGTTGATGGGTCTTCTCGACGGGAAACCTCGATGTTGAGATGATTCTGACCATCGAGAGACAGAGTGATCGCTTAGGGCAGGATTCCACGACTCGTAGTCGTTACAGACATGCTTGTTTAAGTCGTGATATTGAGCTTAGTACAAGTGAAGATGTGTGGGATATTCTGTCCGATGCATGCGTGGTCCAACAAGAGTGAAGCAACTGGACCTGTCAAGCCACAGGTTGTTGTACGCCTTGCGCATCGCCGTCAATACTTCGCCGTTGTGGCACATCAGCTTGTTTCCAAACCGCGGTCACATTTGTACTCCAGATTTGCAAGAAGCCCCATCGCCCCATTTGAATCTGTCACATCGTCAATCTCGCCGTCTACGTCCATCAAATCAGCAGCAATCGATGGAAGGGCAAAAACTCCCCGCTTCATTCAACGGCAACTAGCGAATCTTAACAAAGCGATCACTACGAACGCGAAAACGATCCAAGATGCTATAATATCAGACCCGAATGTCCGATCTCGTGAAGCTCAAGTAGAGATAAACCTGACCATCTCCGTGGTCAATGATCTTTACGAGCACTTCCATGGGATCTTCTTGTTCCATACCAAATAGGACGACTGCTTGAAAGGAAAGCTAACCACCACTTGTCCTTCAACTAAGCCTATACGACATGTTCTCAAGTTACTGGATATAGATGTCTAGTCGCAATGTGATTGCCGTTGGCATCTTGGAAGGCGGTAGTGAAGTGATCTTTGCTATCGCTCATGCTCGGATGCTCTTTTTCACTGGGGCTAGCGTAAGTACAGACAGGCTACCATTTGACATCGTTGGAGCCACATACGCTAGGACTGCTTTGGTAGCATTTGCAGACACTTCAGCATTTTCCACTGCTTTAACGAAACCGGTCTTCACAGCCTCTGCCAAGTGGATTCGATTCCAGGCGTCAGTCTTGGTGGCGTACTCGACAGAAAATCTTCTCCCACCCTTCATGATGGTTTTGATAGATTTGACGTCGATGATCTTGTTGGCTGGCATGTTGTGTTGAGGTAGAGCAGTACTATAAAACGATGAATCTTTGTGTTTCTTGAGGTTTACGATTATCAGTCTTGAATTGAGCAGCAGTCAGCTCATATGGAATTCCTGGCTTGGGAACAGTTGGGACAAATGAACTTCGAGGTAATATCTCTCAAATAGATACAGCGGCTAGTAATTCAAGGATCGCGCCATTGTCCAAGTCTTACAGTTGTAGAAACACCAATGAGACAACACCGACCGATCGCTTATCAATTTTTCAAGCCACACGATAGGCTGGACTTTCTTGTCTACAGTCCATTGCGTCAAATTCTGTCACAATCATGTGCAAAGCTGAATGTAGTTGGAATCGAACTCATACATAGCCGCCGTGGCCAATTGTCGAACTGTCTAGCTTGATTGGAGGATCCAACGAAGGTTCTGTCATTAGTGTTGAGTCGGCGAAGGCGATTGTCCGCAGTAATCCATCAAGCGCTATTTTCTTTAGTCATGGCATCATCACTCACCGGTACTTGCTCTATGTATAGAACGAAAACATCACGTTCTGTGCCTTGCCAACATACTAATAGCAATTCAGACGCTTCGAAGTGATGCGAGTGACTCAAGTCCATGGCGGTCCAAGCTTCGCGCGGGATGGATGCTTTCGGCACTCGACCGAAACACACCAGCATGGACTAAGAATAACCAATCACATCAGTGCGGCGCTTAGCTCATGTGATGGATCACACGCTAGAGGTCCTCCCCGCGCGACGCGAAACTACAATTCGCATTCTTACTCCTGATTACTCATTTCTTCCATCTGATCAAGACATTCGACTCCACGTTCCATTCTCACTTTACTAGCTTTCCGCCCTTATAAATCCACGACACCAACAATGCTCTTTCGCTGTACCCACGCCTTGAGATCTGTAACGATGTCTTCGACTCTCGCGGGTCAATCTGGCCGCCTATATATACGTGATAAGCTACTACAGGCTCATCCCAATCGACCAGAACTTGATTTATATCGTGCATCGTAAGTCTTCGCCCTGTTTACAATCCTTATACGAACCCCTGGTGGAAGGAATGTCAAATAATGATGGATCGGTTCAGTTCTGGCAACAAACAATATGTCTTGAAACGCGTATCCCATTCAATCTTTTGCCTTCTGAAAGAAGTCAAAGAGATATTCAGTGGAAATCCTCACTTGCGACTGCACATCGATCATAACGACAAGGAGCAGATCCTCGTCTACGAGTACTTCCGAATCGATCTGCTCACGTTAGTCAAGAACTGCCCAGAAATGTCCGTTCAATCAAGAAAATCAATTCTTCAAGACGTTGGCCTAGCTCTTTATGATATGCATTCGAAGGACTGGATACACTTGGGTACGAAGCCATAAATCTTCAGCTGCTGTTTCTTGTCAGTCTCTGCTAATTACTCTGTCTAGATGTAAAACCAAATAATGTCATGGTCGAATGTGATCTAGATGGAAGGGCGTCTGTCTGGAAGCTACAAAAGGTGGCATTAGGTGACATGGATTGCGCTTTAAAGTTGGGCGACGAGAAAACTCTCGACGCCATGATCGGCAATGTCATGTGGCGTAGTCCCGAAGGGCAGATAGGCAAGGGGATTGGCAAGCCATCGGAAGTGTTTTCATTCGGACTTCTTGTAAGTCAACCACCTTCCCTGGTGCGACTTTGCTAACGCAAAATTGCTAGTGCTTCTTTGTGATCACGGGAGTCGAATGGCTTCACCCCAACTTCGACGATCTAGAGACGGACCCTGAGCCAGTGATACTGTACAAGTTACTTACAGCCTTTGGACCGCTTCCGAAGGCACTTGTATCGCATATCAATGACGAACCAGGAGGGGCACTCATGGAAGGTTTGTGGGAAGCTATCGAGGAAGAAGGACTTTACGAGCCTTTCAAGGACTGGCCACAGAACAAATTCCCGAACCTTGATCACGAGGCAAAAGGGTTGATTTTAAGGATGACAAACCTCGATCCGGCCCAAAGAGCAACGATGTCGGAAGTCATGGAGGATTCCTACTGGGACGCAGTCAGAGATCTCAGGGTTGTTGGTGCAAAGGGCAGCACAAAAGACTTTCTAGGCCAGTATCTCTAAATACACGCCTAAGAACGCCACTAAAAAGGTAACAAGAAGCAGGGTTTACTATTACTGAATGTCATGATGTTATTTGAACTATGTATAAATTCATACTATAAAGAGATGATTTATCTTTTGAACGTCCTAGTGATTTCTCTCCGCAAAGCCACGTTGGCCAAAAAGGTGATTGAGAAGGGCGTTCTCACTGTGAGCGAGTTTCTCCTGGCCCAGTATCATGACACAACCACCCAACTGAAGCACTGCTTCAACTGCCAGGCCTACGGGCATATAGGGCCCTATGGCGGTAAAGCCACAAAACGCGGAACATGCGCAGGAGACCATAACAGACGCGACTGTACGGAAGGGGATAAAACGAAGTGCGCGAACTGCAATCAGTGATAGCCGGCATGGAGTGCCGGGTGCAAGGTTCGCATGGCCGTGGAATAGCGGGCCCAGCTCGCTAGGCAACAGGCACCGCGTTGGCATCCAACGGCCACTGCTCAGAATGAAACTAACTGGCAGCTAGTCAGAAGCGACACAGAAGGAAACCTTAATGGCTTCACGCCAACACCGGTCATCCCGATGACGAAGAACCCGTAGGGAGACCCATAAGAATGAGTCAACACAGAGGACCCTATTCGATCCAATGTTCCCTCAGATACCTAGATGGGAGCACGGCGAGGTCGGTCAACAGAAACAGTCCTTGAGCCACTCAAAGAACAAATCCGCACGGCCTGGGCGGAAATCCCGAACTCGATAGCATCCCTCCTAAGTCTAAACATCGCAGGTGAATATGAAAACGTCACCCGAGACCGTCTCACCTACAATATGCGCATAGCAAGGCTCCCCCACTGGATCACAGAATTCAGTCGGTGTTTTGTGTCGGAACGAATAACTCGACTTCTTTCTGATCGCCAGAAAACCGCCGTAACTCATACTGAGACGGGAATCCCTTAGGGATCTCTCCTCTCTACGATTCTCTTCTCGTTTCTCGCTACGACGCTCCTCCGCCGATTACACCAAGGGAAGACCACGGCTGGAGGATTCGTCGACGATACACACGTCATGGCAGTCAGGCAGACAACAGAGGATTCCTGCCACGTCCCGGAGGAGGCCCACGAGTGGGCGCAAACACACGGAGCTACCTTCGGCCCAGCTCAATCTACTCTAGTCCACTTCACAAACCCTAAGCGAGCGAAGCTGCACGCGTCCCACTTGCTCTTACGTCCGTGCTTGATAGAAGATGGCCCTGGATGATGGTTAACTTCTGCCCTACAATGGATGGGCGAAAAGACCATATACAAATGGAGAAGCTTTAGAGAGGATCCGGCGTGTCACCGAAGAATACGAGTGTCCGATGTACGTCAAGATCAGCGTGATTAGAACGAGGTCAGCCTGCAGGTATAGTAGCGAAGAAGGACTATTTAATAATGTTCGCTTAACATCTTCTAGAGATGAAAGTGATAGACTAGGCGAATAAAGCCGAAGCGGTCGAGGAGAGAGCGATGAGACCTATATATACGAGATACTAAGAACGCGTATATCGCTATCAGTCTGTACAGTTACATATAAAACGTTCCTTAGACGTCGAAGATAACTAGAGAGAGCACTCTACCCCTTCTTTACGCCTTATAGACGATGAGGTCCACTAATTGCTCGCTAGACCTCTCTAGGGACTCGGACTTCGAGTATAATGTTCTTAGAGAAAAGGTTCCGGGCAGTCTACCAAATGCCGACTGACCTGGACTTTGCTCCAGAATTATAACATACTCGACTGAGGCATTCAAGCAGAAGGTGCATCAGCCAACCTATCTCCTTACAGAATTAATAAGGACGTCCTGCTTTGAATACTCCGAAGAACGTTGCTCTGAGCCCTCCTGGACCTTGATGGTCAGGTAATTGCTGGCCTGTTGCCTCGTCTCATGTTCAAGCTAAGTCTGCCGACGGCCCATTGTCCGAGAGCTCAAGATGCAGAAGATGGTCGTCCTACGGTCGCTAAAGTAAGCAGAAGACACATTGTCGTCGGAAGACCTGCTTTCGCAAAGCACTGAAGGGACAAGAAGAAGCCTGATTCTAAAGTATGCGTCAATGATCCCGAAATAGCGCGCCCCACGATTTGCACCCGATTTGCCACGAGCTTCAATGAGTTCAACGCCGCGACCACCGGTCGCTTTCGCGGAGTATTTTTAATCCGCTCAACGAAAATTTCACCGCCTTCTGCCATACACAGCGAGCACTCCTAGCCGTTAGGGTTACGCTTAGCCGGCCGAGGATAGGGTCGCGTTCTAAGCTTAGTATTTCTTGGTATAAATTCTTGATATATTTTTACTAAGTTTAAGTTTACTATTATTAAGCTATCTAACTACATAGTCTTGTATAATATACGTCTATAGATCATTACTTATTACGGAGTAGACTATAATCTAGTAATTAGATACTAGTATATAATATTAGAAGGTTTTATCATAGAGAATAAGAAGAGAGGATTTTTCTTTCTTTAGACGATATATTACGTACTAAGCTTCAGTTAAAATTTAGTAATAGCTCTATTTTTTAATGTGTCCGATATACCCTTTTCTTTCCTTTTCTTCCCTACCTTTCCTTAGTAGTCGTAGAGTAGTAATAGCTTATATAGAAGAGAGTGTATATGCTTTTGCCCCTAATTTCTAATCTGAAATCCCTGGCTAGAGACGAAATCGCAACGAGCGCTAACGTCAGTGTCAACCTCGGGGGCCATGTTTGTCTGATTGACTCTCATAACCATGTTCTCAGGAACCTGACCTCCAATCTGAGTACCAGCCGTCTTGAGATTGAACGCAGGCCAATATGGCTTGCTAAAGTTGCCCAAAGACATGCCGTTAGGGTCCAAGTTAATGACAAAGCTTGCGAAGTAGTCTTTCATGATTAGGGACAGTGTGGCGTTTCCAGATGCATTATTTGCCGAGGCAATGAATGGCGCGGTGGCTCCATGGAGCTCAGTGCCGGCGAAGAAGTTCATCTTCCACGTGGGCATGTAGTCGCTCACAGCGCTAATGTAGTTGGTCAAAGGGCAAATGATGATAGTATCGCTCCAGATGTCGGCCGCTTTGTAGAACGCAGAACTATTGGACAGAGATGGGATCATTGCAGCATACTGCGCGAATGAGGGAAGGCTGAAGAAGGTGTTGTCGGTCATATAAGAAGCGCCATAATTCGACACCGGGTAGAGTTGGTTGAGGCGAGTGAAGAATGAATCTTTCGCGGCAGGAAACAGACTCGTGAGTGAAGATTGAACTTGGGCGTCGGTGGTGATGGAGAAGTTCGCAAAGAAAAATCCTAAGGCAAGTATTAGTGCTCTGTAGCCTGCACGAATTGACACCAATTGCATACCTTCATGCCCGTTACGGTCTGTCATCAGCGGCACTTTTGCGAAGTGACCACGCTTCATTTCGTTCGAGGGCAAATCACGAAGGACGTGACCGTCAACGGCAGGAGTGTAGTAGAAGTCTCCATATCCGTATACGCCCTTGTTGTAACCCGCGGCCATGGAGTACATGACAGCACTATCAAGCTCCTCGGAAGATACACCTCTCAAGCATTCAAGAGAGGTGCAGTTCGTGGCGAAAAGCAACTCGTTGTACTGGTTGTCGAGGATGGTGTTGTTTCGGAAAGGAGTCATGCCAGGATACTCTACGATCGGGTCAGAATAAGTTCGGCAATGAAATTCGCAAAGCGATCTTACCGGCGATAGCGGCGCGGAAAGGTGGATTATCAACACCACCATACATGGTCACTGCCATAGGTCAGTACAGCCAATGAATCTGTCCTGGCAATACTCACTTTGCTCTATGACAGAACCTCCTCCGGCAGATCCCCCCCAGATAGTAATTTTTGAAGCATCACCGCCGAAAGCATGAATGTTGCGGCTGACCCATTCAATGGCTTCACGCTGATCAAGCAAGCCGGCATTGCCGGTGCCGTCCTCTCTGACTGCACTGCTGGCAAGGAACCCTTGGGGACCCAGGCGGTATTGTATCTGAACAGATATCATAGCTCCCTCGGAATGATTAACGAGTTCATTCCCTGGAAAGGTGGCCGCTGAACCAAGGGTGTAACCTCCACCATGAATTGAGATCAGTACTGGAAGAGATGTCGAGACTGGCGCCGAAGGGACAATGACGTCCAAAAGTAGACAATCTTCATTGCTGATGTTGTTGGCTGCGGCCGTGACAGCGCTTGCAAATATCGGAGTGCGAACAGCCCATTCGGGGCCTGACTGGTAGCATCGCGGACCCGGTGCTGTTGCATCGATTACGCTATCTGTGTAGTTGTTGCTGTGTTCAATGGGTATAGGTGCTCTCCATCTGCGCTGACCAACGGGGGCAGCGGCGTAGTAGAGACCGTAGAAATTGGTGGTCCTATCAAGCGGTTAGTTTCTAACGATCAGGTAATATGGATCTCCATGGATAAAGAACGTACCCGAGCAAAGCATCCTTTACACCTTGATACTTGGCATATCCAAGATCAACAACCGAAGCCTCAGTGATAGAAGCTAGGGCGCATGGCGCAACTAATAGCAGACCAGCAAGATGGGCGTAGGAGATATACATGATCAAGTGCGATGAAGTCGATTTGTCTGAATCGAGGAACGGCTAGATTGTTGTAGTGGGGGTTTTCCCTTATATATGTGAACGATGAATGCAAGTACATGCCTTAGCTATTATGACGCATTATCCAATCGAGAGGTTGTTTGACTCTAAGGTAAAGCTTGATACGAATACGAATACCCTACGATGGACTCCACGGGTACGAAGGTAAGTACAGAAACATAACACTCGGCTGTTCGCGTGCGGGTACGACTGCGCGGCAATCGGCTAAGCGAACGTTAAGTACGAGCACGCGATAATCAACTAAGGCGGTGACTAGCGCTAGCTGAACATGGCAACGAACGCTATCTGAACGTTGCAACGGAGAGCCATAGAAAAGGGAACAGTAATCTCAGAGGATGGGAATAGCCTAGGAAGCGCCTGGACCGGGATCCAGAATTCTCGACCATGACGGCTTCTAATTGTAACTTGCAAATCCAACCTTACCCTCAGCTAGCATAGAATATGATCTAGATTCCAATAATTCTTAGGTCTAGGCGGCATCGAGCTAACCGACCCGGATTAGCCCTATGAGCTCCTCTATCGGATCTTCCGGGAGATTCCCCATTAGATCTCCTATGAGATCCTCCGTGAGATTCCCCATTAGATCTCCTATGAGATCCTCCGTGAGATCCCCGATAAGATCTCCCGTGAGATTCCCCGGGAGAATCCCCGCTAGATCTCCCGTGATCCACCGTTGTTTGCACTATTAAATTAAGCACAAAGTTTATGTCTACCTGTTGATAGTTTTTGGGTCTACTATAGTTGTCTACTAGACACGTCATATTAAATCATCTCAGTAGTTGCAGTATTATGTTGATTATTGCGTTATTGACGTCAAAGGTCGGATTCTTAAGCACAATATTGTGCTAGAGATGTTGCTTGACCCAGCTTTATTAACTCCAGATGATCCGTTCTATCGACAAGCAGATTACGAAGAAGGTTTATTTATCGACTACAAACTCTTTCAGGCACAAAATACGACTCCTCAGTTTGCTTTTGGATACGAGCTTACCTATACAACATTTAAATACAGTTCTCTGACCTTCTGGTCTTCGAGCAATAGTTTGTCCTTCTTGCCACCTGAACACGGCTCTTATATGTCAAACCCAGCGCCTGAGGGTGGACTCGAGTCTCTTTAGGAGGAAATCGCTATCAAACCACTCTAGAGCGAGTCGTTGCTCGTAGAATCCCGCATTAGGCACGCCTCCTGCTGCCGCAAGCTTAGAACTAACCATTCAGCCCATTAACTACAAAAGTCCCGAGTTGCCGAAGGATGGAGAGCTTCGTGATTTCCCAGAAAAGGAAAAACTGTGTATGTTGAACTGTGAATGTCGAGAAACAGAGTTGGTAAGTCCAAGTGTTATATATATGTATATGTGTACCTATAAACAGATGTCGCTTCGGTTCATTTGATTACAGCGTTTCCACTGAAGCCATCGTTGAAAGCACAACCAATTTTGCCGCCACGCGGTCCCGAATGCGTACGAGTTTACGAGTACGAAGACTAAGTGCGGCTCGTGCGCTGGAAAACTCCTTCCAGAATCGAGTACAAACGCCCGGACTTTCGCCGCGGACTCTGTTGCGTTTTGACGAACTTCCGCACGTAGCTCGTTTCCCGCTGCGCATCAAAGTGATTTCTGGAACGGATTTTATCAAAAAAGCCGGACATGTCACTATGAACGAAAATTTATGCTGTTGGAGCTTGATATGCAGAGCAGGGCTTCAATAGTTGTAAGAGCAACGAGGAGCTACCGAGACCGAACTTCGAGAGGACTATATAGGCGACATCTCTTTTGATTCCCGAGATCGCACACGTGCTCAAAACTAGTAGTGGGTCAAAGTAGGGATTTGAGGCAACGCGGCGAAACTCCCGGGGAAACTGTTGCTGAGTTATTCATAGTCGTATCGATGTACGTAATAGGCAGGCTCAGCTCTTGTTATCGGGGGATAGGCACGTGGGTGACTAGGGACTTCGCATTAGCCGAGGTTGTTCCTCTAGCGCCTGTTGTGTCTACCTGCACCTGCTTGCTTTCTTGCTTGATCCACAGCGTCTCGGCCTCCTCAAGATACCAGGAAAAAGCGGCGAGTTTCTAGATCTCTCGAAGTGTAACCCTGACCTTGACACCGGTACGCCGCCATGAGTGATAAAGCCGAAGTCCGGGCCACCAAAGCGTGCGATTATTGCAGACTCCGAAAGATCAAATGCATCGCCTCTAGACATGGCACAGGTTGTGAGGCATGCTCGCTTGGCCAACTCGAATGCAGCTATCTCATGGTGAGCAAAAGACGCGGGCCAGCGCCGAAGAGGTAAGCACCATTGAGCTAGCGGTGCTCACATCATTTTTCTGACTGATATCCATGCTCAGGCGTCACATCGTCGGCGCAGCGCGTGAACCCAGGGCTGATATGTCGACTCCACAATCAAACACACGAATTGAAACCAGGCTTACGAATCGGTCATCTGTCGGCGGCTTGGATCCTGATCCACAGTCACGCTTGGTGCATCGCTTTGTCTTTTGCCCAGTCTTTGATGCCGTTATGCAAGACTATCTCAGTGTGCTCTATGCACTGATTCCAGTCGTTCACGTCCCAACATTTGTGTCGCACCTACAAGAGAGACGGCATCATCACGATCTCACCTTTCAGATGTTCTGTCTAGCCATTTCAGCATGTACATTTGGCATTCTTCCTCACAAGTTTGCAGAATACGTTGACAAAGACGCAAGCACGGGTTTCACGAATCGAAGGACAGCTATTGCCGAAATACACCATTCTATCATTACAGCACGCTCGCCGGCCTACCACGATGACTTTTCGCATGAGAAATGGGCCATCTCCTATTTATTCTCCGTCACTCACGCGCATCTAGGCCATCGTAGCAGAGCTAAGATTCAGTTTGCCGAATGCAATACGATCGTTAAGGAACTCGGACTGCAAAGGATTGCAAGCTATCACGATCTCAATCACATCGAGCGCCAGATCAGGAAAAAAGCTTTCTGGTTGAGCTTCATAGGATGGTCGTTAGTCATTGGCACTGCATGGTTATTTATGGATACGTAACTAATCTCGGACAGACATATGAACACTCGAGAGGTGGATTCGGACTTGACAGCAGATCGATCTGAGTTTGAAATAGCCGACGCTGAGCATCTCATGCCTCTAGAGGTCGACGATGAGTACATTACATGTAATCAAGTTCACCCTCAGCCTGAGGGGAAATTGTCAGTCGTTTCTGGATTCAATGCCCTTATTCACATCACCGACTGCTTGGTACCGATCTTCCCCGACAGTTCATTATCCGCTTTATCGTTCAACACCAGAGATACAAGATGTCGTGTCAACCTCGGAACGTGCAAGTGTGGGAGATACATCCACAAGGCACCTCTGTTGCCATCAGTCATGGCGAGGTTTGTCAAGGCTACTCACGTTCTGGACGACTTACCGTTACAACTAAGTTTTCGGGCTGTTCAGGACACAACTCTAGATGCTCAATTCGGATTCATGACGGCTAATATCCATGTCACTCATGTTTGGGTACGGAGCCTCTTACTTGAAAGCTTGATGACAATTAATGGCGCGACTGTTGCTACAAATTACGACGAGAGCCTCTCCCACAATCTGCTTTGGACACTACAAGAGGACATTTGTAAACAACTCACGAATGTGCTTAACGACATCCCTGAAGCAAATCTCAAACCGAATGGATACATTTTGGTAAGATCAATGCATGCCGTACCGTCAATGATTGCAGTATTGATCGTAGCTCATAGATTAGTAAAGCGAGGGTAGTCGCTGCTAGTCTGTTGGACAGCACACTTGAGAGGGATGACAAAACGCTTCACCAAGCTAGAAGGTACCTCCAGAAGTTTGCAGATGTCCTAGCACGTCTAGATGAGAGCTATCGCCACGACGAGACCTCGGATGTATGGACAAATTTTCACGCAAGATTCTAATCCGAGGTCGTCTCAGGCCTCGATGCTGTGACCCCAGATGCCCGGGAGTACGAATAAAAGGCTTTGGATTACGAAAAGTTGTGGATTTCAACCCCATCTGCGTAGATACAAAGCTGCACTTCAGAATCGACTGCACCCATAGTTTCTATGCCTCTTGCATAACAGAGTCGTAATGAGGCTGTAATGATTAGAGTCTCGCGAACTAGTTGAAGGAATGCCTGCAAGTGCTGGAAGACTTTCATATCAAGGATTAATTATGTACAAGTTGTATCGGCTCTATATTGTCTCTTATCCAGCGCAGACGATTGAATATGAAGGGATAGGCGCGAGGAAAGCCGTCAAGACGTTGGCTTTGCATAACTCCCGTCTTTCCACAGTAAGATGCGCCCAGTGGTCTTTTTTGCCACAGCCTCAGACCCGGTGATCCGTTCGCTGTACCGTCAGTGCTACATGCTTACCTAACGCGATACGCTTTGCAATCAGACCATCCCAAATCGGCCTCCGCTTTCCAACTGTTTTCTTTCCTTCCCGCCTATATATCTGAGCCACTCCAAACTTCACAACGCCATTCTTTCACTCATCAGTCTCTCGTTTGGCAATCGACAAAAGATTGTCTACATCCTACCAGCGCTCGACTCGGAACTTCATACATATACCCACTATGGCTTTAAGTAACGGAGCCATCATCGTTATCGTCATGGTCTGCTGCGGCGCATTCACCTGCTGTCTAGGAGCAGTAGGCTGGATATACAGACGACAAGACTCCGATGGACGAGGTATAAATTACGGCTGGCGACCAACCAATACTCAATCCGACTACATGCGAGATATTAGGCAGAAGAATCAAGAGGGCATGTTCCATGCTGCGCGCTACTGCGAGAGGACTTCGAATTCGCAACCTCCGAGATCGGATCTTACAAGCGACATCACGAATTTCAGTTAATGTGAGACTATCAGTCCCGTTGGTTTCCTCTTTCCTATCTATGTCCGCCTGTCTCAAGAGTAGATCGTCGGTCATGAATGTATTATACAGCTGCTAATGTTTTGGCAGATACTTGTGGCTTATCTTCACACCTCTCGATCACATCTCTTTACTGCCAACCCGCTTTCCAACCCTACTAACCATGCCTGAGAAACATGACGATCTTTGCGGATGGGAATCAGAGCTCTCGGGCAAAGTCGTTATGCCTAGCTGAACCACACGACGAGTTTCGCGATCTCGAGTCCATCTTCGATACGTCGTTGGGCCTCGCACGACTATTGTAACTCTCACCGATGAGTAAATAGTCTCTCAGCATCGCTCCAGCTATATGTCCTTGCCCACAAACTATCATCTGCCCGACGATCAGGCGATCTTGGCTGTTGGGCTTACGGTGACACCACTGTCTTCACTCAATGAACTCTCATCATCTCCATCCTTCCTACTCATCCTCTACTCCCCCCTTCGAACACCTCTATCCGAAAGGGAGAGATCAAATCGCAGATAGCCAGGCCGTCATACTAGTAAGGAATATATGCACCAGAAATTGCAGCACTACGTGCACCATTGAGTCAATCAGACACCTAACCGCGTTTGAAATCCTGTCATCGACTTGGATCAAAGGGATCGTGCCCATAACGATGGTATGCCAAGTTGGAATATATCTTGCATCTCCTAGACGTTTTTGCCGGCTAGTCGGCTGATTTTGTGATGGACATCAGATTCAAGAATCTTTCTAAGTGCTTTGGGCTGAGATTACACACCTTCTAATCAAGGGATTTACGAGTGACTAAGCTGATATATAGATTGGGCCAGTCATGTGTGCTGTTGTAGAAGTTATTGGCAATAAATCAACCCGGACAGTTTCATGGGATTGAACCTCGTAGTAAGTCGAACGATGTCCAGGCACCGAAGGTCGGACCGCATAGAACCATCTTCCTTACCAATTTTTATTACCTTGCAAGCTGGGCAGTGTCCCCTGACATCTTCCTCGAAATTCCAACGAAGCACTATAGTGCAAGATCGAGATGCCAGCTCGGAGAAGCCGAGGAGGCGCGAGAGGCGGAGTTATAGCGGGAGACGGGATGTTTGAAACGCTGTCGCAGGGTAGCGTAGACAAGCAAATCGAAGAGGACATGGTCATGAGAGGTAAAGAACATGCAGTGAAGAGAGAAACAGAAGACAGATAAGGCGGCGCAGAAGACAGTCCTCACAGACGAAGCTATGCTGACAAAGACTTTGGCTCGACATCTGACGATGTAACACCTAGGAGAGCTAGGAAACCGCCAGTTGCAACAAGAATTATGACTGGAGGACTCGAGAAAGAGGGCGCCACAAGAGTAGAGGGAGACGAGTCACAGAGTCTCGCGACTCATTCAACCTATCGTGAGAGACAGCCTATCACCAACTGGATCTTCAGCAATATCAGTAGGACCATCAATAAGGGGCGCAATGGGGAATATATCATACAAGAGAGCATCAGACATGGTCATCGTCCTTTAGGTCCTGGACATGAACGCATACTCAGAAAACGAGGCCTTGAGCAGGATCAGAAATTCAATCATAGCTGGAATCAAATCCAATGAAGGACTGGGCGCTGTAAAATTGAACCATCTTATGATAGGACACACAAATAAGGACTTTCACAAGCCTTCTTCAAGCTAGACAGAGAAGCAGGAAATACAGCAAGACTTCGCGTAGACGATTGGATCAGCATGTTCCTTAAGGGGGCAAGACTTCTTCAGCTAACAGGGTACCCAATCAAGATCAACTTTGTTCATATACGAAGGCTACTAACCAGGAAAGCGGCCGAGTCGATGACGTTGCAGTGAAAGGATTCTCAATAGAAAACAGTCCTGGAGCCAGACAAATTAGATGGCTAGACAGGCCAAAGGAGTATGCATCCTATGTATCAACGGTCACTGAACTAGCCACAAAGGAAGAGGTCAGCAAGTTGCTAAGGATGAGGAAGAAGGAAGAGAGATTGCCATGTTTGAAAGTACAGTGTAAGTCTCAATTTCCTAGGAGCAGAGGGGCCAAGATCATGCCATCAATGTCAGAGATATAGACACATTCGGAGGGACTGGATCATCGCGCTCGGGTGCTCATGGTGCACACAAGAAGGTCACAGAAATTGCTAAAGCCAAGGCAATGAACTATAAGCCTGAGAATGAAGGATTCTACGGGCCAAAGACTGGGAAAAACCATCAGAAGATCGATAAAGCACGACTAGGAAGCCACACAAGGAGGATGTATAACACTCTTAGCAGGATAACAGCGTCGATCCTGGTCCAATCACGAACGAACATATCTCGTCTAAACACACAGTCACACAAGATCAAAGTGACAGATACTGAAAAATTCGAATGTGGAGCTGTCGAGACAGTTCCATACTTCCTCTTCTGCTGTCCAAGGCGGTCGTAGCAGAGACGGGACATGGAAGTTGTCCATCGTAGCAGATACTGTGATTTCTCCTACGCCCTAGGAGGATACTCAACACATGGAGAAAACGGCTAGAAAGTTGACGGAGAAAAGGGAAATGGGCGACTCAACTTGAATACAGTAAAAGCCAGCATCGAGTTTGCAAAGGCGACGGGCAGACCTCAAAGGCAAACACAAAAAAGGAATCAGATTGACCCAGCAGCAGTCCTGGGAGATCGTCTGGCAGACTATCCAGCGGACCTTGCAATGAAGGGTGCTCAAAGACCAGACTAAAACACAACACTTTCCCATAGAAACTGCCTTCAAGCAGTATTCGGCTGAGAAGGAAGAGCACGCCATAGGGAACTGCCCTTGTGGAGGACACTGACACCTCTTTAAAAGACCAGGGAAAGGACGTGTACAATTCACACACCACAGAAGCACTTCGTAGGCTTGTCTGGGAATGGAGTGGAGTGGATTGAGGGTCCACAGAATCCCAGTACTCCAGTGGACTCCGGTGGACTCCAGTGGACTCCGGTGGACTCCAGTGGACTCCGGTGGACTCCAGCACCGGGATCCACTCCAGCCAAGATCTACTGGAGTGGAGAGGATCCGATCCTCACGCCACTCCACTTCATCCAAAGACAAGTCTGGTGCCACTTCGGACAGGCGTCTGGTGACTATCTCAATTGTGATACCATTAGGCTTCTTACTACTGAAATTGGCGCATATGATTGGCCAAAATGCGGTTAAGTTAGCGACGGCTCATACCCCTTGCGCTTAAATCGCTTGAGAACATCAGATCAGATCGTACCAGATGCTTAAGAACCAACCTCAAAGCTTTTGACGCCAAGCGCGTTTTGCAAAGCAGCCGTATCTGCTGCTTGTGCACATCAACAATTGTGTAATGACCGTCATGATTGGTTTCTCCGAGGGTTTTGCCGCATTGCATCATACCCCTCACTTTGAGTCACCCCTGATCCTTTAAGCGCGAGTGCAATCTCGAAAATCAAGAGAGCGAGAGCCTATACAGTCCTCCCGAAGTTTGGTCCGGTAGCTCCTGATCTTCCTTACGAGTCTTTCCTTTGCTAGGAGCTGCGCTCTGCATACCAAGCTTTGACGGCATGATCCTCCATCCATCGTGGCATGTCATGCCGTTTCGAGGAACAGCCACGCCTCCATTCGAAGCTAATTTTGATGCATAGCGGACGGTATGGTAGGTCGACGACTAACTACAAAATTTGTGGAAGAAGCTCGAGGGACCGAGACTGAACCTCGGAAGAAATGCTTGTGCGTACGAGCTAAGCAATTTCGTGGTAAAGAGCTCGCAAGATGAGACATTTGTAGCATGAATATCGCTCGAGTCTCTGGAGCAGATACTGACATGGGCGAGCTTAGTCCGTCTTTGCTTCCTGGGTCACTACTTGGTGCCGCGCACTCAAACACTTGTACGTACTCGAAAAAGCTGGACAGCGAGACCTGTTGTGGCTTTGACGATCGTCCTGTCAGAAACACCGTTAGTACGTAGGTAAATTCTGCTCTGACCCCGTCCTCGTATCATGGCGATGTATAGACACACGACCAAGGCATAGAGGCTCAAACGCTATGAGTCGATTAAATTGGGCTAAAACTCAATTCAACGATGCATACGACGGTCTGAGGGTGTAGGGTGTAGATACGAACCATACGAGGTGTGATGAACTATCTCTCCTGCGCCGATCTTCCGAAACCGCGGATAAGGCGGGCAATGCGGGCGAGACCAATCGTCACGTGGACATAATTCAGATCAGGGCAAGACGACGCTAGCAGAGTGCTTTTGTCTCATAATCGATGTGGAGCCGGCACTTGTTAGGGCGACAATTCCCAATATTTCTTTCCTACATATTGAATGCGATCCTCCCCCATGGAACAGTTCTGCCACTGAGATCAGCACATTCACGATGAGAGCTGTGATTGGTCTATTGTTTGGCCTTGCATGCCAGATGCTTGCTATTCCGGTATTAGGGTAATCACGACCACCTCTTTTGCGCATCCCCGTATACTGCCGAGTGCTTACACGAAACAGCAGCGACAAGTTCTACCCTCGTGCGATTGCTATTGGCAACACTACACAGAAGAAGACACAACCCTTTGTAGCGTTCACTCTCAACTCGGAAAATCCCGTAGCAACTCTTGATTACGGCCATGAGGTTGCTGGATACCCGTTCTTCTCAGTGGTCAGTCTCACCGGTAAAGTGCAGATTGAAACAAAGTTAGTCGTCTTGTGCGCAATTTTGAAGCATTAGTTGACCCTTGCCAGATACGCCGAAGATTTAGGGGACATCGACCTACCTTACTCTGATGGTCCCTTTACATATAGTCAGGGCTTGACGAACACGTACAGAGTTGAGACACTTGAGGTCAACGCCACAGGTCAGCTGAACTCGTACTTTGCTCAAGGTGGCCAACGCTGGCAAACTATCCGTTTGCTGACTCCCGGCACCGTCACTTTCAGGAATGTTGGCTTTGTGGCAACCGTTGATGTCTTGGATTACGACAGGCTGCCGGGTCGATTCTGTTCGTCAAATCCGTTGTACAATGAAATCTGGAAGCTTGGTGCCAGGGCTGCTGGTGCTGCTTGCTTCAATTCAGGTGCTTACAAGTCCGTCTGGGATGTCTCTGCTAGTAGCGGTGCGTTCATCAGAGGCTCTCGCGTTGGTCTGTCCAGCAGGGGCAATTCATTCTCGAACTATAACCTCACATTCTCTGCAAAGATCGAACGTGGTGGGCTCGGATGGGCCATGGCCTATCCCCTCCTCACCACAGCCGGAGGTATTCAGCTTAACCTAGTTGGAGATTATCCTGAGGGCACTACTTATGCCAACGTCAACCGGACGCTTCTTCCACCTAACACCGTTGTACTTGCTTATGGATTCAGCTTGGTAAACCAGACCACGCTTCCTGCATACTATCTGGATGCGTTTAGGGTCCCTTTCGATGTCAAGGAAGGACAGTGGTATTCCATCTCCGCGAAGATGTATGAAGGCAACTACCTTGCTGTATCGATCAATAAAACCAAGATATTCAATGTCACACTGGAAAATTACTACACTGGAACAGCTGGAGCTGGCACTACTGGCTCATTTGGCTTCGGTGGTTGGCAAGATCAGGCTGCTTACTTCAGGGATGTCAGAGTCACCTCAAGTAACGGCACTGTCCTCTACGCTAATACGATGACCAATACTTCAGCGATACTGCCAGAGTACGGCGTACAGTCAAACACGGCCGATGTCTGCTTAGACGGTGCCAAACGCGATCGTCTTGCTTGGCTCGGCGATTTCTACCATACAGCCGCTATTCTTGCTACATCAACATCTCGGAAGGACTACTCAGTGGGAACACTCAAGAACTTCCTTGATTGGCAACTGCCCTCTGGTCAACTGCCGTTAGACACAGCTCTTGGCTACCCTGGCTCGGCAACGACCAATTTCGCATTAATGACAGGCGATGGCCTCTCTTATCCTCTGGAAGATTATCACATCCTGGGTCTGATTGCTTTTGGCTCCCACATGCGCTATCACGATGATATCTCTTTTGCTACAGGAAGCTGGCCTCAATGGAAACTTGCTGTCAACTACCTCATTCACCAAATAGACAACTCTACAGGTCTTGTATCTCTAGGTTATACCTTCTTCGGAGACAGCGCCGGTCTAGCTGTCAATGCCGCCTCTGTACAAGCTCTGCATGAACTTACTGCTGCGGCAACCGCAGTAGGTGATACTGCTTCAGCTAGCTCCTGGAATGCAATTGCAAATCAACTGGAAGCTACTATCCAATCCAAATTCTGGCAACCCAATTTGGGTCATTTTAGCGACACACCACAAAACTGGTCCAAAATCTCCGTCCAAGGCCTTTCATTCGTGATAACTTCTGGCGTTGCAACAGCTTCGCAGGCGAACTCGTGTATGAATGCTCTGGCAGCTTTGAAGCTATCTCCTGGCTACAAAGATTCCACTGCTGTCTCCTCCAATACTGTGGCTAATATATCTCCAAACACGAATGGCTTTCTACTCTCTGCACTTGTGCAGACTAACCGTACATCCGAAATGCGTTACCTCTTTGAAAACCTTTGGGCAGCCATGATTCAAAACGATACCACTCATTCTGGCGCATCTTGGGAATATGTTGATACAAATCTCCAACCAGGACTTTCCCGCTATACCAGTCTTGCTCACCCTTGGGGCGGTGCACCAACATACATCCTCACCGAATACATTGCCGGTATCAGACCCGTTACCTACGGCTATAAGACTTGGGTTATCGCACCTGCGTATACAGGCTTTGATCTCAAGTCCGCTGCCGCTCAGGTACAGACGCCCTACGGTATGCTGAAGGTGCAGTGGAGTATAGCGTCTGGCAAGATCAAAGCCGTTATCAACGCACCCGTTGGTACTTCTGGTACCTTTTTTATCAACAGGGCTTTAGCAAACGAGACCAGGGCAAATTGTGTTGTGCAGGTTGAGGGTGGTATCTTGTCTAAGTCAATAACTCTCGATCTGTAAAGTAAGAGCATGTTGTTCCAAGCGAGGCTCCAAGTATTGCGAACAACGGAGACGATGGTTTCGATATTAGCATTGCACAACGTAACTATGCAGCTCTGACCAGCTTTAGGTTTCGCAAGAGGATAAAGCAGATGGACAGTATCTTCCTAAAATCTTGCTCACGATGCTCTATACGGCGACAATCGATGATTTTTGGGATGACAAGCATACGGCTAATATCGAGGTCGAGAATGAGGACAAGGAAAAAGACGATCTTGACCAAGAGAGCGGAGATCCAGGCGCTCTTGCTTCGCTAAGTTAGAGAAGATGTTTTTGCCAATCTCCACGCATTGCTAAGTCAGCAGAATCTCGCCTCCCTACACAGTGAGTGTTTGAAAGATTAGACCGTTAATCTGACTCTAACGGACTGCGGCAATCTTGTATACAAGAACGCGGACATCACTTAGAACACCATTGAGCCCGAGGTCCTTAGGTAGAAAGGAACGTGTGAGTGGCGTCTCCAACGCCATTTCTCAAGTTTGGTCATTGGTGCTTTCGGTAAGTTTGGTAGACAATCTTAAACGATATGACGATCGCGGCAGCATCACATTCGGTACGATGAAGACTCACAGAAATCATTTGCCGATGCGATATTGAACTATTATGCGGTTATGGCAGGAACTCACTACCTCATTCGAGACCTTCTGACCCTAGATGATCCGCCGTTAGTCCTATTTGAAGCAGTCGTGATAACACGGCTTGTACCTTCTACATATAACAAAGCGAAAACCTCAACCTGTCTTATTACAGACATCTGATAATATTGGCATCATTGCCGGTGTCGCGGCACGGAACGACATTCTTCAAAATCCACCTCATCATTTGAAGTCGAGCCGGATGTAGACTATTATCTACCTGGATTTAGGGTTGCACCTTCACTATACGGTAGCTTTAGATCATCCTCAAACAGTTCTAGATTTATTAAATCTCCTAGCAAAGTTTGATGTGATATTCATGATAAACTTTTACGTCGTTATCGGAGACGGCAGTTCAGTCCCTCCGTGATCCGGAATTATCTCCGGTGTGACACGATGGGATTCCCCGGGAACTGTTTTGGATAAGGAAGATCCAGCGGAGAATCTCCCGGGTGATCTCCCGGAAAATCTAATGGAATATCCCCTGGAAGATCTCGCGGGAGACCTCATAGGGCAAACTCGAGTCACTTGACTCGATGCCCTGGGCTAGTGGGCTAGAAATCCCCTAAAAGTATCGCAGCTACCACCACCCGAGTGAAGATTTCTATGTTCTTCATAGGGCGCTCAGTTCTGGCCAACATCTGCCTCTAGTCAAGAGGGACGTGGCGTAAATGGACTGTCCTGTTTTTAGATGCCCCGTGGAGAAGTTGCCTCCTACTCCAGACCTCCTAGACTTCTAGGGAGACTATAAAGCTCCCCCCACTTTCTGTCTCCAGAGAACATCAAGCATCTCTTATTCCAAGCAGCTGCTTTACTCCACGCTCTGTTATACCCCAAATTTTTCTTTGATGAAGATGTCTAGCATGGAACAGATGTCGGAGAAACATGAGAGCAAGCCCGTTGCGACTATGATCGAGAATGCTAGCACTCATCAGTGCGAGCGGATGCAGCACGAGGAATCTGTCAAAGACGCCATTCGTAACAACCTTGGTAGTTTGGCATGGTGTAAGAATATCTTTGGCACAACACATGCGGACAGCCTACTGATCGATTCTAGGTTGCTACACTCTTTTCACTTGCATCATGTGGGGCTACGATGGTCTTGCAGGTTCTGTAAGTATTGAAGTCGCTTCGGAAGCTTAGATGAATACTGATGGCTATCACAAGGTCGTCATCTCTTTGCCTTACTTTCGCAGGGATTTCGGAACCCCATACGGAGAGTCTTATGTCATACCGGCAAAGTGGCAACTTGCATTCACAGCGGGCACTATGATCGGTCTTGTGGGAGGCGGTCTTGCAACCGGACTTGTTGCGAGTAGATATGGAAGGCAGGTATGCATAGGGGTCGCATATCGTAAGTGGACATTTGCTTTGATCCTGATCACAAAAGACTAACAACTGGTAGTGCTCACTATTAGCGGCGTCTTTGCACAATGGTTCGCAAATGGAAGCCTTCCTCTATTTTTTATCGGCAAGATATTGACTGGACTCCCTCTCGGTGTCTTCACCAGTGTTGCTCCAGCTTACTGCTCCGAGCTTGCACCGCTTGCTCTTCGTGGTTGTGTCACCGCTGCTGTGAACTTTAGCATCGTACTCGGACAATTCTTCTGCTACTGCGCACTTCGTCAGACCCAAACAATCGCCGGACCGAACTCCTACAAGATTTTGTTCGCGGTACAGTGGGGATTCGCAGCCGTCGGTCTCGTCATCCTTCCATTCTTCCCAGAGTCTCCGTACTTCTTGATTTCGAAAGGAAAGACGGAGAAAGCCAGGAACAACATCGTCAAATTGCGTGGAGCCAACTTTGACGCCGACGGGCACATGGCCCAGATCCAGATTGACCTCACAGACAATCAGAGTCTAGAAGAAGGAGGCTTCGCTCGATGCTTCAACAAGGATAACAGGCTCCGTACCATTATCGCTTGCAGCACTTTCGCCGTTAGTGCTAGTAGTGGTGTTCTCTGGGTTGTAGGTTACCTCAGTTACTTCCTGGAACTTACTGGTTTGGACCCCAGCCAGGTCTTCGACACAGCTGTCGGAATTATTGCGCTCATGGTAGTCGGTAACATGGCGGGTTGGTATGCCATCGAAAAACTAGGAAGACGCGGTTCCTTCCTCTGGGGTGAGTGAAACGATCGGGAGTCTCGTATTTTTTTCTGACATAGGAAGGTTCAATTGTTCTTACGGTGGCGTTGTTCATGATTGGAATTCTCGGCCTCATCGAAGGGGCCGTTTGGGGACAGGTCGCGTTCGTATGTATCTGGGCCTTCGTCTATCAAGCCACCGTCGGCTCTGCCTGCTGGTCGATGGCCTCGGAGATTCCAACATCAAGCCTGCGCGCGCCAACCGTCTCTCTCGCCGTCATGACCAACGGCATTTGCAACGCTGTGTGGTCCTTCGCACTACCTTACATGATCAACCCTGATGAAGGAAACATGGGTGGTAAGATCGCCTTTGTCTACGGACCTTTGTTGCTTGTCGTGACGATCTTCATCTTCTTCTATTACCCGGAGACACGCGGGCGCACCTTCTTGGAAATTGACGAACTTTTCAGACAACGCGTCAAGCCTAGACACTTTGCAAGAACGCAGCTCGCGGTGGTTAGAGCTTGAAGTAGCATTCGCACAACGGTGTCTGTCTCGACTTCCTAGATACGCCTAAATTACTATTCTGCATCTAGCTTGCTAAGTCCCCTCCTTTGATCATCATTTCAAATGACCTTTTCACGTCTGCTTTCCACGCCGAGGTCGAGATTCTTACAAGGGATGCTCCACTAGCGACACTCCATTTCGAATTGCCTTCATTCCATTCAGAAAACTCCCTTCGTGTGAATCCGATAGAAGCAGAGGCAGTGTCCCCAGCCAGCAAATGCAGCTTCTGAAAGCCTACAAGCTTTCGTTGCGTCATTGTACCAGTCGCAGAAGCGGGATTTGTGACGAAGACTTGCAATAGCTCACTGCCGCCAACTTGTCCAACATTCTTCACGTCGATGGAAGCAGCAAATTCAGAGGACTCCGCGCCGGACGTAAATATGGCATTCGTGATCTCAAAAGTTGTGTATAAGAGACCATAGCCAAAAGGAAACAGCACTAACATTAGATTGATTGATTGATTGATTCAATTGATCAGGCTACTTGGTTCTACGGCAAACCTATAAGCCGTCTCCTATCAGTTCTTCCTTCTTTGTCCCTGTCTGTCCTTGTTCCATTCTAGCTTCCCCTTACTCGACAGCTCTCGTCTGCTACGCAAACCTGCCGGACTTGTGAAGGAAGTGGAGGACCGCCTTTACCGCCGGAAGGTTCGCCTTCCATTTTTCCTTCGGCCCGCTAACATTAGATTAATTGATTGATTGATTGATTTATTTGATTAGGCTACTTAGTTCTACGGCAAACCTATAAGCCGTCTCCTAATAGTTCTTCCTTCTTTATCCCTATCTGTCCTTGTTCTATTCTAGCTTCCCCTTACTCGACAGCTCTCGTCTGCTACGTAAACCTGCCGGACTTATAAAGGAAGTAGAGGACTGCCTTCACCGCCGGGAGGTTCGCCTTCTATTTTTCCTTCGGCCCGTCGACTGGTTGCCCGTTTCTCGGGTCTTCCTAGGGATTAAAACCCCCGAGTATATAAGAAAGGTCCCTCCACCTGTGCCTTACTACCTCGATAGCACGTTAACGATCTTCGCGCAGGAGGGGGCATTCGTATATAACGTGCTTAATAGTTTCTCGCGTGGCTCCGCATTCGCACCCTACTAAGTCTACTAGTTTCATCCGGTATAGGTCACTCTTTAGTTAGGAGTGCCCTATCCGGCATTAGGCGAGTATCGACGCTTCTTCCGCTGACAATGCGTTATACACTATCGCTATATAGGGACCTAGAAGAGCTCCGTCTAGCTTCTACGTGTATAATCCGGTATGTAGCGTGTCTCGAGGTCTTATATTCCTAGCCTGTTTCTAGGTCTCGTCTAGCTTCTTTTAAAGTGTCTTCCTAGCTACCCTTAAGGCCTAGCTAATATAAGGCGGAGGGGGCACTTAACCCTAGGTTAGATTTAGTTAGCGTAGGGTCTTAGCTTACTAAGTTAGGTAATTTGTTAACCGGCCCTAGCAACCGGCCCTATGTCGCTTAAAATCATAAGAATAACGTGTCGCATCTTCGCTCTTAACTTCTCGCACACGTAAAACTCTCTACGTAACAATCGCACTTAAGTACGACAATTATCTTTAACCATTTATACGTTACACTTATTAGGGTCTAGGGTTTAGGGTATAAAGTGGGCCGCTTAGCGAAGCGACATATAGCTATAATCTTCCGCTAGAGCACGTACGATAGCGCGTAAACGACATCTAGCTCTAATTAAAACTCTCGATCGTAGTCTACGTTAAAGGTAGCGAGTAAAGTAAAGATTATAGTCGAGAATGCCGATAACTAGTTACAGTATAAAGAGAAGTATAAGCTGCTTATCTGTAAGTATTATTAGTATACTCTATAAAATCTTAGCAATCATCTTTATATATATTATAGCGGAAGCATAAAAGAAAAATCTGCTATCGTTAAAAAGTTCGCTAGTCTATATACTCTTTAGCCGTTAGAAGTGTAATTACCGCTGCCGCTTAAGGAGCCGATCGAGTCGCTTAGCAAGCCGCGAGACGCATATATCTATAATAAAGAAGAGTATAGATTTATTACGATTAGTTAAGACGAGATCCGAAAGCACTATAATTAAATATACGAGTAGCAGTTAATAAAAGAAGATTAGGAGCATTAGCATTACGTCTACGTATAAACATTCTTTTTAAATAGTAGCCGGCAACGATACTTTACTATCGACTACGATAACCCCGACGCTATAGAAGGTATAGCTATCTTACGTAACACTTAAGAAGATGCTATTAGTATAGGACGACAGCATAATTTTAACATTTCTTATATACTAGAGGAATAGAACGTAGTAAGAATATAGTATAAGAAAGAGCTCGAGGTCGTCGACGGAAATATTATAAAGATAGATTACTCGCTATAGTCTAAGCGCACTAGATATTCGTAGCATCTCGTAGGAAGTAACTTTAAATATCTCTTATACGTAGGTCGACTTACTAATAGAGATAAACGAGAACTACAGCATATCTCGAGACTTATCGAGTCGCTAGTTAAGAAATGTGTCGCTAGTCTACCGACACTCGATTAGGAAACCTAAAGATAGCTTAGGAGCGTAAAAAGGTCTAAGCCCGATATTAGACCGCTCGCGAGGCTATAAAATCCCGATTCTTAGCTTTAATATACTAGCTACTAAAAAAGATTTATCTACTATATCTTAAGGATTATATAAAGTTAGAACGAGTATAATAGTAGAGACGCTATCCGAGTATACGAATAGGAACATAATTAGTAGAATCGAAGCTAAGGAGTATTAGATGCTAGCTCTAGTAGCGATAAGGATAATAGCGACACTAGAAGCGCCGATAATTCTAATAGTAACGATAGCTCGGATAGCAATAATTCTATTAACACCGACACACGAAACGAATAGGAATAAAGGGATAGAATAGTAGTCGACTATATAGTAGACGCTTACCGATTATTCCCGTAGATAGACGAGCAAAGAACTCTCGCTAAGGAGCTCTAGGACTCGATAGAGATGCTGTATATTAACGACGGTACGAGGATAGATACTTTACTAAAGCTTATTAAGTCTTTTATCTTTACTACTATCTAGGGAGACGTCTTTAGCAGTAGACTGCTACATTTTATAGCTATACTCTATATCGACGAGGAGATAGGTCGACTCTACGATGCTAACCGCTTTTTATTTATACTTACAGGTGTTATTTATTATACGCGAGTCTTTATAGTCGAGGTAATACTTCCGTCGGTAGAACGGGACTATTAGGGTAAGGATAATAATAAGAAATTTCTTAAGACGCGAGAGCGTTATCTAGCCGACGGTAGCTATAGTCTAATAAGCAAAATATTAAGTCTTCTAGCTTACGGCAAACTTATCGCGCGAGATTATAGAAATTAAGGCGCAGTTCTCTAGGATAGCGGTAACAAAAACGTGTTACTTTATAGCTATAAGATACCCATTACTCGGTTTAGGTTAATAGTAACTAGTATCGTAATAGACGTAGAGAACATCTTATAGAGTAAGGTTATATAGAGCAACAACGACGTAGATAGGTTTAGCATACCGTTAAACAATCTAGAAGACGATCTGACTTAGATAAAGCGTAGAGTGTTATTCTTAAATAATAGTAAGAACGGGCTCGAAGATAAGCGAGAAGTTATACTAGGCCGTATAGAGAATTATAAAAACGGACGAAAACTACGTAGTCGAACAGGAGACTAGCAGCTTCGACATATACGACGATAGCTTCGCTACGTCGATAAATTCTAGGAGCTACTACTATTATATGTATACATCACTATAGGTTAACTAGCACGAGGAACCGAAATAACAAGCGTACGATTTAAGAACGGCTTTATATAAGACCGTAATATATACATTATTTACGGACAGGTTGCTATAATTATAAGATATTATAAATCGCAGTTATAATAAGACAAACCGAAAATTATACCGCGCTTTCTCCTATATAGGGTAGTACAGCTGCTAGTCGTATATCTTACTTACGTACAGCCGTTATAAGAATATCTCTCGGTTATAAGTAAAGGCAGCGGCTGGACTAAATACATCTAGGGCGATTAGAACGGCACTTAGGAAATAGACCGCTTAACCCGGATTATCGCTCGTAAGATATAGAAGCGACTAAAGGTTAGACTAACGACGTATGACTATAGACACTTAGCTATCGTAATCGGCCGTATTACAGTTAGTAAACAATTTGCATATAGCTACGTAGATAAGATCGGGGAGGTAGAAGCCCCCGAACTAGATACGGACGACCCGCTTAAGATGTCTGCTAGCCGTAAAGGCGAGATAGGAGGTAATCGATACGGCGTCTCGGTCGATGTCGTTAAGTATATAAACGATCGATTAATTAACACGTTTAGGCCGCTTAGCGAGAAATGGCATAAGTTTCTCGGTCTAGATAGCTTTAATACGAGCAAAGGACAAAAGCACGTAAGAGAAACGTCTATGTGTATAATCTAACTANAATCCGACGAAGGAAGTAACTCAATTCCATTAAAACCCCGCCCGGCGTCGCTCGTCTTAGCACGTAGACAGGACTTAATTCCATTAAAACTTAGCACTTAATTCCTTTAAACTTAACACACTCTAATCCGGCTAAATTTCCGACAGAAAATAGAACATATTAATCCACTCGAC